TACTAGCTGTGTCCCGCTGTTTCACCCGCGGACGATTTGCATTGTTTAAAAGAATTTAAAATTATCAATTTATTACCTCTACGTCTTGGAAGACCGTTAAAATTTGAAGAAATCGCCCTGGAGCCTTTGTACCGAAATGCCAGACCTATTACGTACGAAAAATATAAAGACATGAAGCAGCTTACCCTTACCCTATCTTGTAATGACAATGTAATTGCCGTCTAAAATAAAATTTTATGTGTTGTTATGCGTATTTGTAAACAAAATTATATTAAAATGAAGTATAATTTAAGCGATATTTGATTTTTCAAAATTGAAATTAAACCATTTTTACAATTGTCTAATTTTGAAAGTGGTGTAAGTCCATTTACAGCACATAAATATGTGTAATCGTAGTCTAATTAGCCAAAAACAAATTTATATAAACAAATTAAATGTTGATAAAACAATAGAAACAATGCCAGACCTCATATGATTTGCCTTCAATCAACAAATATAGTAACCTTCAATTTTCTCGAAACAAAAGAAATTGGACTGTATTCAGATATGGATGTGATTTTATGGTAAGTATATAAGTTACTATATATTTAGGTAAGCATTTTTATTATTTCCTAATAGAAACAATATAATATATATAAACAACATATTGTTTCCTCTTCTTATTGTATAAACATTGCCTACTGGTAATTAACGGTTTTTTTTGCTGGAAGAGAATTCTTACAAAGTTTAACTTGCAGTTGTACATCTTTATTTAATATAAATTATATGAATATATTTTTTGTGTATAATAAAGTATAAATAAATAAATAGTTTTAAGTACTATTTATTTTCGTATTATCATTATCGTTATTTATAATTCAATTTCAGTTCATATCGATAAATAGTGAGTCTTGACTGGAACAATACTAATGGATTTTAGTTAATTTAGCAATTAGTAGCTATTATATGGCCAGATAATTAAATTATATATTACATGCAAATTTTAATTATTTTAATTATAATTACTATTTGCTCACTGGTTAAAATCTATTGAAAATTAAGCTATAAACGTCGTTATTTTTTATAATATATTACATTGAATATAAATTTATTTGAATTTTTATTTATTACTACGTAATTTATCAAAATACATAATAGTTATTATAATATTAAAAAAAAGTATTATACGTGAAGCGCTATTTTTGAAATGACGCCGTAATTTTGACTCATGACGCCTAATCAAAATAGCTATGATCCCTAAGAAATCTTTGCATGATCCCTGATAATGGATTTTTTTTAGTTTGGTAACAAAATTTCATACAAAAACGTTATTCCAACAACGAATGTTCCAACTGTCGCAGGCCTGGACGATAATAGAATGGTAACCCCGCCTTCCACTAATGGTATACGCTGGCGGGGCACCAGTAAAGGATGGTCGATGAAAATGAAAACAGGCCAGTTAGCCCATCATGATGAATTCATCAGGAATTAATCATGATAGTTTCCAAGGGGAACCGCGTGGAGGTCGATCTAGTTAGATATATTGCTAGCGATGGGATTCTTAGTTTCCATTACTAACAATTCTTTGCCTTCAGATTGAAGGATTGTCAAATTGACATTGTCATTTGACAGCTCACACCTATGAAATTTTATATCCTTTTCAGTTAAAATTTCATATAGATAACGTCGTACCTCATTGATGATTACCGCACACTTTAGTGATGTTCGACGCAGACTGATCGACTACAGACTATCAATAATCGTTCTTAAAATACATAGAACATATAAAAATTATGGTAAATGTTAAAAAGTGTTGATTTTTTATTAGCGAAGTAGGATCTATTAACTGCGCTGATTCCATGATAAAAATATGTGCATTCAATACTAAAATAACTGAAAAAGTCACCCTTCATTGTTAGTTGTTACTCTGAATTAGGTTGTGCACCATTGGTTTAGCAATAAATAACTAGGTAAGTTCTCATTCCGTGTTTGGTTCCACTCTAAAGGGTTTTTCATAAAAACGATTTTGACGCGCGCTTATTCTACTGTATTCAGTATACCCGACTGAATAAAACTACGCATGAGACGAAATCATCCTTAAGGGAGGGCTTTTCTTATCGTAATAATAAAATACTATTAATTCAATGGATATGAAATTGGATTATAATCTATACAGTATAATAATTCGAAACCTCATCTAGGGGGAAGGGATTATTAATAATATGAACTATTAGTCCCATTATTACCAATATATCCTAGCAGGTTGACCTCCACGTGGTCCCCAATAAAAACCATTATGCTAAATTTCAAGTGTATCCATCACGATGAGCTATTATTGTTATTCAAAGAGGGCTTTTTTTCAGCCAGAAATACCTATAACACTACGACCTTTCCAATTTGTTTTCGTTACACCATTTTATTATGATGTTAAGAGCTCTTTGGGAACCTTCTGATATGATAGCTTTACAGAAACCTCTGACCATAATTATAAGCTCATCTGCATAACCCTGTACTTTGATGTGATTATCAATTACTCGTTCTAAAAGTTGATCTACTGTTAGAAGCCACAGAAGGAGCGATAAGATACCTCCTTGTGAGCATCCTCTAGTAGCATGAATTTCATGTGATATATCATGAAGATTTATTTTTATTATTGATTTTATCCATTGGATGGATATTTCGTCCACCCCTTTTCGGTAGAGACACTGTATAAGAGAGTCAATAGGGGTATTATCAAATGCGCCCTCAATGTCGAGGAAAGCACAGCACCATTTGCTTGTCCTCAAGGGTTTTTCGATGTTGTCGGTTATGTGATTCCTGTACAAGAGAAACTTACTGAGGACAGAGATTCTTATGTGCTGATCTAGTACTTTATTTATGTCAGGTTGTATGTAAGAGATTGCTTTTAGCGATAAGGCCGCCTTTTGTATATGCACATTCTGTATAAATACTCCTTGTATACATCTCTACTGTGCGCAATAAAGGGTTTATTATTATTATTATTACTTTTTCTATCGTTTTGATGAAGAAAAAGATAAGACTGATTAGTCTATGAGACATTGGCTGCGTGCAATGTCTTCGACTAGTTTTTGGTACAAAGATTACTTTGGTCTTTATGTTTCTGGAATTATACCCCAGGTAAAGCCGGTTCTAAATATTTTGACCAGAATTGGGTGCCAGAATTTCAAGTCCGTGCTTTTTTATGAGTGATAATGAAATAGTAAGCCCGCCTGCACTATCGATATATACTGGCGTGGCACCAGTGAGGGATGATAGATGAGGATGAAAGCAGGTCAGTCGGCCCATCGTGACAAATTCAACAAGACTTAATCACGATGGTTTCCAGGGGAATCACGTGGAGATTTTTTTTATGGATAAATGTAACCCCGCCTGCGCTAACGGGATACGCTGGCGGAGGACCAGTGAAGGGTGATAGATGAGAATGAAAACAGGCCAATTAGCCCATTATGGTAAATTCATCTGGAATTAACCATGATAGTTTCCCGGGAGAACCGCGAGAAGGTCGACCTGGTTGGGTATATTGCTAGCAATGGGATTCTCAGTCTCCATTATTAACAATCCCTTCCCCCCACAACGTGGAGGTTGACTTAATATGGTAAACTGCTAGGCTGTGAGATCCTATTGCTAACAATCCCTTTCTCCCCTCAACTCCGTGCTGTAGTAGGGCTGGAAATATTCTTCCTCCGCTGATTTGTAAGGCTTAAAAGACTTGATAGCCTATTTTATTTGGTGGGACACACGATAGGCCAACTGGTCTGCCTTTTCATTCTTATCTTACATCCATTGTTTCCCGTCAGTGTAGGCGGAGTTACTATTCCATCAAAAATATCATCCATTAAAAAATACCCTTTCTGTGATTTGTCAAATTTATAATGGAAAATGATAAGAGTATTCTATAAATAGGGACATTACAGAATACACTATTATGACCTTGGTGGGGACACCAAAAACCAAATAAGAGCCAACATGGGAATGTTGGCTCTTATTGTTAGTAATGTAGTTTTTTTAATGGATGATAATGGACAGTCTCTAATCTGTGTGGAATGGTAACCCCGCCTGCGCAAACGGTATATGAAGGCGGGGCATCAGTGAGGAGTAATAAGTGAGAATGAATGGGCAAGTCAGTTAGCACATCGTAATAATAAACTTGGAACCAGTAGAATGGTTTTCAGGGTCACTACGGGAAGGTTGATGTGATAGTAATGGCTGGTAGTCCGCAGTACTAATCCCTTCCCTTTCCCCCTAATATACTCTGCTAGGTCGACCTTCACGCAGTCCCCTCTTAAAATATCGTGATTAATTTGTTGTGAATATACCACGATTGTCTAAATGAGCTGCATTCTCCACTGGTGCCCCGCTATTGTCGTTAGCATAAGCGGGTGCACCATTCTATCTTTACTCATTAAAAAAATACACTGGTACTTCTCATGGGTTGTTGTCATTCCTGAGGACTACAACGTTATGCCTCCATACCCTATAATTTCACTGCCATAGCCTTTCAAACTAAAACTCGCCTATACAAGCACAGCTGTTTTACGGCAGAAACAAGAATAGTACTTGTATAGATTTTATTATAATTTGCCTTTATTAATAGGCTGAATGATAGTACTGGTGGTGGTTGTAATTATACCTAGACATTATGACTCTTTCTACTTTCTCTTTGTATCAGCTTATAACTAATACTTAGTTTTTTTATTTACTTATGCTATTGTGTGAGTTTCATAAATGTTTAAAGAAATTCTTTCTCTTATTCCAAATTTCTTTTCTCACAAGGCATTGCGTCTTGCCTTAAAAATATTCTTTCAATACCTATCTCATATCTTTCGTTAAGTTTTCAATACAATGCGATATTTCATCCTAATACTCACTGTTCTATATTTCAAACCCTGTAAGTTAATCAACCACTTCTTTCTTAAATATGCTTACCTACTTATTGTTTTCTAAGATACGCTATTTAATTTTGAGTGGGGACGGTCTCTTGATTAATAATAGTAATAAAATATCAGTTCCATATTTATTTACGATTTGTCACATAATTATCTATAATACAATGTATCAATAGAGCAATGCAAAATAATAAGAATACATGTAATAAATAATTTTATCACATTCAGTGTATGACTTAATTATCTCTTAAAGTAAATTAAAAACTTAAAAATGTAACTAACAATAAATCTAAAAAAAAAACTTGACGATCGTTTTCAGGTCAGTATTTGCAAGTATAATTTATTACTTTTGTAAAATTTATTTCTAAATAGTAGCCAGCCAATATCTACTTAAAGAGTAAATCTAACACACCACATCAGCATTTACAAGAGATCTCCGTAACACGCTCTTTAAATCTCGATCCACAGAAATAAACTTCATAATAGTACATTATAGTATGATTAATATACAATGATTTAATGATAATAATTTTTTACACACTTAGTCTCGTCACGAAATTATTGAGAATTTTTTTTTGAGAGGAGACTAAGGTGTTATTATATCCATTGATAAATCTGGAGCAGAGCAGAAAGTTCCTCAAGCGATTAGTTTTTTTTTTTTTTTTTTACAACACAGGGGGCAAACGAGCATGCGGCTCACCTGATGGTAAGTGACTACCGCCGCCCATGGTCACCCACAACACCTACGGCATTGCAGGTGTGCTGCCGGCCTTTTAAAAAGGAATATGCTCTTTTCTTGAAGGTTATGTTGTCGTATCGGTTCGGAAATACTGCTGCTGGAAGTTGATTCCAAAGAGTGGTTGTGCGTGGAAGAAAGTGCCTTGAAAAACGCACGGTGGAGGACCGCCACTCGTCCAGATGGTTGGGATGAAATTTTAGTTTATGGCGGGTTGTACGATGGTGAAAATCTGCAGCAGGTATCAATCCATAAGTAGTAGTAAGAGTAAGAGTTGCCATCACAAACGATGCAGATACATTATGTCCACGAGTACAATTGTCAATTTATGAGGATATAGAGTTTAATAGATTACAAATTCTTTGTGTACATACGTCTCTATCCACAAGTAAGGTCAATGTGATTTTTAAGATCTTTTAAATCGTCATTGTCATGATTCTACCGCTGCGTTCGGAACATTTTAGATAGTAGAACCCGTTTCTCGACTGGATAAATAAACAACATAAATTTTATAGTGCAAGTATAAACAGATATAGGTAGTAAAAATCAGTTGAAACTCTGCGAATTATGCAAAGCAAATATGATTTGTGTCAAGTAAGGTGGGTAATCAGTTTGAAATTTTGCGTCAAGGTTATCTTTATATATTATTGAAACTAAAAATATTGTTAAAAATCGCCGAACTTTACAAGTATTTAAGGTATTGCAATAAATGTTATTTTCTATTGTAAAAAATATATATAATCTGTTTTTTTTTTCTCAGTGTATTAATAAACAATGAAATCAAATAATATTAAGAAAAAACACAAGATAATAGATAATATGTGAAAATTCCTGTAACAAATTGGATAGTTTTCAAGGTGGTGTTCATAAAGGTAAAAAACAAGATCTGGTGTATGTTTTAATTTTATATGAGTCCATATGATCTTGATACTGATGTGATATAATCTTCTAGAATATATTTATTTCATTGGTGTTCCTACTTTTAAATTCCACGCATACGGAGTAATTAACTAGTTTACGGCAAATGTTGTTACCTATCAGATCTATAGGAATAAGAAATATCCCATCTATCAAGTTGGAGCAAACAATACACATTTACAAATTTCATTAAAAAATTTTAACGGTTTCGGAAATTAGAATGAATGAATATCATGATATAGGATTTTTATACATAAAGATTTATACAAAACATATTTAATTTTGCTATTTGTTTAATTTATAGTTATTTTGATGTGCCAAGATTGTTTATTAATTATGCCAACTATAGAAAAACAGATTATATGTATCTTGCCACCCAAGATATGATTTGGAGAGTTTATTATTAATATATAAAACTTGATCCTTTACAAACATTTTTGTTTTCAAAAAGTATAAATAAAATTACAATTAACACAGAGATATAAGTAATTCAATTTTCTATTATTATTACATTAGATTCAAATATAATATATAAAATTTTCTAAGCAAAATGAAAAGTATTCTTATACATTATGTTTAGCTTACTTAGCAAACATATGAACCACGATATTAATTATATTATAACCTAAAAAGGTTTAGTATCTATTGTCCGCTTGGCTTTGTTAAGCTAGTAGTTGCTGTACTTCTAGCGCTTCGTTTACATTGGCATTTTTTATAGAACTTGATTTTTAATTTTTCTAAGTATAGCAAGTTTAAAATACTGTAAACAATTGTTGTATAATGAGTTATGCAGTAAGCAAAAATTTTAAATTTAAAAACAAAAATAGGATAAAAATAGATAAATAGAATAGGCGATATAGCCACCGCAATATTTGTCATATAAATCCAACTGAACAATCAATACTTGCATTACATAGTGTGATATAATATTGCAATATGCTTTATACTACCAAAAACAATAAACTGGGCGCAAATCCAAAATTTTATTCCAGTTTAATAATTGGAAAACAAAATACTAGTAGTATTAGTTCATTAAGTGTTTGTTCCCATAATAAAATCAACTAACACTTAAAGGATTGTCAATTGCTCCTTATTTTACAACTTATACCACATTCACATAATACGGAAATACAGAATTCTTAGACTATAAAATCAATCCACAATTTAGTTTGATGTAACAAGGTAATTAGTTAAACACACAAATGTGTTTACAATAATATAAAAATAATTGTTGAAATAAAAACCTTATATTACAGTAATTGAATTTGCCGTTTTATTTAATATCCCGTAAAATCTAAAAACGTCTAAAATCTATCTATTTAATGTATAATTGATTGTTGGGAATCTAATAAACTTCACCCTGAAGACTTTTGGTTAAAGTAGAAACAGCCGTTGGAAATAATAACATAGTAGATTCATTAAATTCCTACTAATAAAAATGAAGCAAATTATTATTATTAACAATTTCATTAATAAATGATATTTATGAATTTATTTCAATTTAACATGCAGCCAGCTGACTTTTAAATAATATATAGAATATTTCTTTAAAGTAAAATGTAAATTCACGGTTTAGTATTCTTATTTATGTAGTAGATGCTAATTATAGAAAATATTAATGATTAGAGGATATATTTTCGGTCGACTGACGTCCAGCACTCGATCTCAACTCACGACGCGGACACGTTGCAGCTTCTTCAGAGGATTTACGAGTTTTCTTTTTGGTCCCTCTACGTCCAATGTCATTTGATGGTACTTCTATAATGTTAGTAGATTCATCAACAATGGCGCTATTGTCTTTACTATCAATATCTGAACTAGTACCCTCATTAACTGGAATATGTTCATTACCAGTATGTATATTTGAATCACGGTATGGACTATTCAATTTAGGTTGTACATGTTCATCTTTTTCTAAATTAGATGGTGTAGAACATGGTATGTTATCTGTAGGTGTTACCTTTTGGATACTGTTTTCAAAATCACTAGCTTTCATACCAGTTTTAATAACAGTGGATGGTGCTATTAAGTCTTCTAAATCCATTTCTCCTGTATTTGTATCTGGTTGTTTGTCTATACTTGTATTAGTTTCAACAAGTGACTCTTTGAGTTTTTTAGATGAAATTACTTCATTTGCCTGGAGTGCTAAGTTTTCAGGTTCGCAGTTCATTTCATCATGTGTTCTTTTAAGTGTTAATGATACATTCGAGGAATTATCATCAGATGCTAATGTTCTAGCTATATATTCAGATGAGCTTTTGCTTAATTTCTCATATGCATCTTTTTCATTATCTTTAGCTTTTTTAGCTTCAGCTGAACTGACAAGACTAGCACTTAGTGCTCCAGAAGCCATTTGCTCCAATAACATTTTACTTATATCAATATCCTTTTTATCACCTTTTAGGAGTTTCTCCTGCACAGCAGCGAATTCGGGAGGTACTTGTGAACGCAATGTATCAAACGGTAATTTTTTTTTATCTGTTTTAGATAGATCTGTAGCAGCTGATTCATGACTATCACTATCACGAACTCTTTTTTCTCCTCTTAAAATAGACTCATAATTTAAAGATTGTTTAGAAAGGGATTCTAGTAGGTAAGGGTCTGGAGGTAAAAGAATCTGAGGAAGTTGACTTGACTGTTGGCGATCAGATACTTTCTGTTGCCGAGATGTGGATGAACTTGTAACAACTGTTGATGGCCTGGGAGTAGTGGTTTTTGTAACACTACGTGTAGATGTATGGCTAGAACTGTGTAATGGCGCCGAACTGGAACTTGCTGCCAAATTGTTGCCAAGTAGTCCCAAAGCATCATAGGCTGATGACATGCCTGAATGCATACCAAATGGATTTAATCCACCCAGACCTAGCTGAGGATATAGCATATTAGGGTTTGGGAATACAAAAGGAAATTGAGAATTAGTAGATTTTGAGCCAGAAGTACTAGCTCCTTCTGATGGTTTTCTTTGTTTTGATTTTTCTCCTGAATTACCTGTTCCACTCAAGCTATTTATATCAAGCGAAGAAAATCCGGGTAGTCCTAAGCCAGCTAAATTAGCAAAGATATTACTTCCTGCAATATTGCCTAATAAGTTAGGCATACTCCCAAATGTATTTAATAATGGATTATTCTTAGCGTCAAAACTACTTAAACTAGATAATAATTTCGGATCAAAAGTATTTAGCAATTTTGGGTCAAATCCTGTTAAATTAGAAAGTGTTGCTGCCAGTGTTTTTGGATCGAATGCACTCAAACTAGACAAACTTGCCAAAAGAGCTGGGTTTAAAGCACTCATATTTTGGTTCATGTGAGGGGCATTTGAAGATAATACATTAGCCGATGAGGCATCAAGAGTCGGAGGTCGACCCTTTTTACGTTCAGTGGCAGTACTTGTTGACTGCATTGGTGAATGTCTTTGGCTACGTACATCTTGAGGTAATTTAACATGTTCTTTTATACCTTCAGTCCACTTAGAGTCAATATCGTACATCGGATTCTCAGCTATCCATTGTGCCAAATGCTTCAACTGAGGTGCTTTATGTCCAACTATACGTTTTCCAGTAACTCGATGAACTACGGGTACATGTTCATCAGGTGTAAGTCGAGGTGTTAATCCACGGCGGCGGGTTTCTACACTGGCTTGTTCTGCTAACCATTTATTTACTTTAGCCTCATGAGAATAAGGTTTCATTGGTACAGTGGTAGAAGTGCTCTTTTGTCCTTTAATAGTCTGTTCTAGGGATTGTTGCAAAAAGGAAGATAATTCTTTGGACGTCGCTTGAGGCGATGGGACATTTGTGACAGTTACTGAAAAAGGTTTCTGTATAGGCAAACCTGCTGAAGAGGTCGGTGGAGCTGCAGGAGTAACAGTAACGTCAGGAAGAATTGACGTGTTCCTGCTGCGAGGAGGATCTGATGAAAATGCAGGAGTTGGACTTCGACCTTTCGCGACGGACAAGCCCAAAACAATCTCATCCAGTTTTTTTCTTTTCTTCTCTTTACCAACTATCTGCTCTGGTGCAGGCTGCAAGACATTAAAAACCAATCAGCTTGTTTCGTAATAAAAAATATTTATTTTACTTAATAAATACAGTAGAACGTCCATTATCAGAATCAAATAAAACTAGAGATCTTTTCCGTATAATCGAAAATCCGCATAATCGATTTTAAACAATATTTAAAATATATTTTTTATTATGTAAAGGGTTTTACATCCATGATATTTCTAAATCGGTAATTGGAGCCGTGAAGAATAGGTATGGATAACCGAATATGTTTAAATAATTGAAATTCTACTGTAGTTAATAAATGATGCTTGGATAACTTGAATGTTTTACTCTGTCCACACCCATATTTCTGTTGTGATTCATTTCTATACAAAAAAATATTTTTTCTATATAGTAATTTCTTCCAGACAACCTTTGGGTAGAAGGAAATAAAGAATAAATAGCTAGGTGGCGCGTTAAAAAAAATTATCTAAATATGTATAAATAAGCACAATTATAGCCATACATAAATTTTAAACATAAGTCTTCATCATAAGAGGAGTTTTGCCAGTAGTTGCCACGCTTGGCAGGTGGGTTGGCAACAGCTGTTAGGCTTTTAAAGACGTTTTAAGACGGATGCTGCTACCCATCCCTTGCTATCCCTTAGTCGCCTCTTACGGCATACATGGGGAAGGAAGGAGTGGCCCATTCTATAGGGAAAGAGTTGCACGAAGGAACTGCTTGCACAGAAATGGATTTGGAGTAAAAAGAAGAATGAGTAGGAACTTGAGTTGGAGATTGTCAATACTACGTAAAGAATAAGAAATGCTTTCGCTAAGAAATATAAAGCGTTCTTTTAAATAATGGGGTGTAGTTGGATTAGACAAATAAATAAAGAAGGAAAAGTATGTGCCAGTTGCGACGAAGACGGATAGAGAGCCACTTGTGCCATGTATGATTTTTAATGAGGTAACAGGCATTTTAAAACAATTCAAAAAGTTTATTTCATATATCGTCTGATTAGGAATCGAATCTGGGACCTAATTTACAAAGCAAAGTGGCATGGAATTGTTTGTACCGTATGTCATGCTTATGTACAAATAATAAATGTATAAAAAAATTGATTTATCAATAATTTATGTATCATATAAGCATTGAACATGTAATTAAAAATTGACGCTATACATTCATAATGCACTGTGACGCTAGATTTGCAAATATGAAATAAAAATTGTGTTCGAATATTTTAAAAATTACATCGGCTCAGTTCTTTTTTTTCATGTTGTATACAATTTTCCCGCAGTAGATTACTTGTTAATCATTTCCTATCTTATTACATTAGGATGACGGGAAGCCCACCCTTACTAACAAGTTTTTAAACCAATCGCCGTATATCTTATTTACAAATGCAATAAAGAATATAATACAATGCTTTAATTGTCGGCATGGCTTTATGCACAATGGATATGTATGTCGCTTTTACTTGGTTATTTACTATTTTATTTTTATTTGTTACAGACGTATTATTATTCTAAACATCTCAGTTTTTAAGCAACCTGTCTACCAATGCATTATGAAGTTTATTGTATGGTAGAATTAAACTAGATTATAGTGTATAAATGTTTCATTGGAGCTTACCACATTTTTTCTTTTCATCAGTCTAGAGAGAGTATCGTCTAACTTGCTTCTAGTAGGTGTGACTGGGGAAGCGCATGATACTGAAGTAGCAGAAGCGGCGGAAGGAGCGGAAGCGACGCCATCAGTCGTCTGCGGAGTACGACGACCCATCGAGAAGTCATGAACTTCGCTGAGGTCAAGCGGCGCCGACAAGTCGACGGGCGCAGAGCTTCCTGGCGACGCGGCCGGCCCAGTAGTACCGGCAGTAGCGCCTGGTGCGGGCGACGGTGCCACTCGCTGATGTGCCGGTGGCGGCGCAGGCGTAGACCGCCGCGAACTTGAGTCGCTCGATGCATCATCGCGCTCCACGCGTTCAGCACGCATGTGTGCCGAAGACGCCGAGTGGGCGGCGGCTGGAGAAGACAGTAGAGCGTGTAGTTTGGCGCGATCTGTTTCCACGTCAATGGCTATATGGCGCTTTTGACTGTGTTTGCGCTCCTCTAGTTGATCAGCTTGCCCGACGCGAGCTCCGCCTTCACTGCTTTTCGGTACTGGTGGCGCTCCCGGCCACTCGCGATTTTGCACTGCGTGGGCAATGTGATGGAGTCTCGTCTCGAGAGCTCGCTCTGTAAACCAGTGTTCAGGGGTCAGAGAGCCTTCGATCCTTCCGAGTTTTGCTAGGTTCTCCAGCTCCGAGAGAGCGTCGGTATCATCGTCGTTGTCGCGTTCGCAGGCATTTGATGTACGTTTGCTACGTCGAAGAGATGTTCGTGTCTCGTATGTAGACTCCTCTGTATTATTCCTCTCCTCGTCTTCGGAAGGAATATTTTGGGACTCAAGTTTTCCGCTTCCTCGATGTGTTGTATACCATTTATTAGCGCAATCCGCAAATGGCATTTTTGGGTCACAAAATAACTTGTTGAATGTATCTCCTAAGCCATGCCTGCAGAAAAAAAATCAACATATTAAATATAAATAAAATAGTATGCCAAATAATTGTGCTTTTAAGGTGTCGAAAGATAACAAAGTACTAATATTATCATCCTACTAATAAGTATCAAATGAATATCCTACTAATAAGTTTCCTATAACTCCAGTACCATTTAATAAAGGAGTAAATTTATTTGGTGGCAACCCTTACTTGTGACCACTTTTATAAAGACCACCATATATTATCATATGAATATACAATGTGTCCAGTTACGGACTAGCGATATACTAGATACTTATAAAACAACTATTTTAATTTACAAGTACAGCATAAACTTGGGTCCAACCCACCTTCATGTTAAATGGCAGCTATTTTGATTTTTTTAATGAAATTTCTCTACGTGTGTACAAAAAAACATTATATCAGTAAAAGTTTGGGTTTCACTGCGATAAAAATAGGTTTACTCGACGGGTAATAATACTGTTTGTTATTTACATTATAAAAAAATGTGTTTACTATTTACAAATTTTAGAAAAAAATATGACATTAAAAAAAAAATAAAAAATACGCAAATTAACAAATTATTGCAAATTACTACAAAATCACTACACATAATCCATTTAATGTTTTTTACTAGATCGATAGCTTTTGAGCTAAGCTACAATACAACAATAAATTTATAACTATATGTGTATTACTTTAAAAGTTATTGTCACTTAAAGATAACGTATGCGTAAACACAAAACGCCTTTGTTAAGTGGCATCTAGTATATGCTGCATTCCCTTCGAGAAAAGAGTAAAATTTTCCATATTTTTTTTGTCACATAATTGACAGCGTCCTCTTTTTAAGACATTTTAGCTTGAAGGAGCGACAGTAGATGTCGAAGGCAAAGGCGTCGTGTTAGCTGCTAAGAAATTATCAATTATAGCATGCAAATCTCTAGGGTACTTAGAATACTCGATTTTTCTGTTTAAGATGTGATCTTTGATGAGTTCTATACCAACAGAGACTTGTACGGCCAGATTTGCACTCCCATTGCAAAAATCATACATGAAGTGTACGTCAGCAATATTTTGCGTTGAATATTGACGATTTGCCATATTCGTATCATAGGATTAATTACTTAATCACTAATACAGACCGTAAACAGCACGGACAGTAAGTGAAAGTAACGATCACAACGCAGGGCGAGGGATAACTAACTATTCATTATCCCTAAAACGATTTGATTTTATTCCAGCTAGTACCAGTATGTTACATCTCACTTACTTCCGCTGATAGTACATAGTATTTTGCCCTTTTCTCGAAAGGAATGCAGCGTATACCAGATATCACTGTTTTTTACAACAAAGGGACCAAACCCTTTCTCAAAAACTTTACTAGTTAAAAACATTTTTTTTAATATACTTTTATATACTGTAATTATTTTATATTTATCACTCTGTAAACTTCAGAGATGCCAATAAGGGGATTTTTTGATGAGATAAAATAAATACTATTGACCCTAATTATAAATATTATTTATTGTGTAATTTATTGCAAATTATTACAGTATCACTCTTACTACAAAATGTTATACTTGTTTAGACAGACCCTTGTTAAAAACCTATATAAAATCTTAATACAAAAGGGCATTTAATATATTTTTATAATTTCTAAATTTATTTTTTGTAAATGGCTCAATGATAAGCTGTCGACTCTTAACCTTAAAAAAACTAAATTCATGACATATTCAATACGTGCAACTACTAGCCAATAAATATAAAAAAATATAAGCGTGTGAAGGATTCTCTCTAGCTCCCAAAGTACATTACTTACATAGTGCTAGTTCAATGAAATACTTTAGATCAAAATCCGCAATTTCTTTAAACTTATCTTTAAAAATAAAATGATCGTAGTGAAATAATTATTGAAAGGATTATTTTGAACCAATTTTTAATAAAGTTAGAATTATTATAATTGTATTTTATGAAAGTCCATAAAAATTTCGCTAAATTACCAAATTGAAATATTAGGTTTAGGAGATAAGTTTAGAGAAATGGCACCTCAGAATCGGCCCCAATGTTGAAGGAAACGCGTAATAAGCATGTTTTTATGGTAATTAAAATGTAAACACCGACGAAACAATGTTATTATTATTAGACTGTAAATCTGTATGTACTTTCACTTTATTATATTAACTTCGAATGTAGTCCGGAATCAGAATATTACTTACTTGCAAACTCCTAAGACCAGCAACTTATCATGGCGGGCAGGTGCCCACCAAGGTGGTGTATCAGGTGAACGTTCGCAGAGGGCTAATCGAGTGTCTAACGCTGGATGTGGCGCTACCTCTTCGCGTAAAACACGTAATAAATCAATTCTGCAAAAGGTATTTGTAAAAGTTCTTATTGAGACATTCCTAATAATAAAAAAGGGGTAGAGGTTTCTGCAGGGTCGGTAACACGCACGTAACGCGCCCCTGATTTTGCAGGTGTTCATAGGCTATGGTAACCGTTTACTAACGGATGGGCCGTGTGCTTCTTTGCTATCTTACTTATTTATTTCTATATAATTCTACTAATTTCTATAATAAGCACAACGAGAATCTAATTGAGGTTCTCATATCTATAAAACAACATACTCTTATCATGGAATATGCAGATTAGGTATAGTACATTACTGCAGCGGCCAGCAACTGAGGCATTGATGCACAAAGGTGCAAATGTGGGCCGAGGCGTAGCCGAGGCACACTTAGGTGAGTCAATCAATGCCTAGTTGTGGCCAACGCTTGTATAGTACTTTTCTCAAACAATGCGCGGAAATCAAAAACACAATTTTACTTTTTAAGTTCAATGACGAATAACGAACAATAATAATTTTTCACGCGCCATAATGTTCCTTTGTTTTTTTTTTTTAATAAACAGCTTTCTATTTGCAAGCCAGTTCGAAATTTAAATAAAACCTTTTATTAGTTACCTCCTTGGTAGCCATGTTTCGAAGTAAAAGGTCATTCCATTTTTAAATTACGGGACAGTCCTCAGGAATGGCAACGCATAGGGGGTATCATGGGCGAGACAATATACTGTTATGTCCATGGTACTGCTCATGTCTATAGGCGATGGTTACCACTTTCCATCAGGTATTGACCGTCAGCTTGTTTGCCATTCTAAGTTGTATAAAAAAAAAAGTTTACATAGTAATTTATCTGGCCGCAAAACACGACAGATATGGATTTTCATACAACTTTTGCCGGCCGCTGCCCGCATGTATCTGGCCAGTACGGCAATTTTGATTTATCTCGAAGAAGATTATCAAAATAATGCATCACATTTCCAAGCTTGTTTGAGAAAAAGTATATGTGTATCGTCTTTTGGAACCAGAATGTATTTCTTAAATATATGATGCACTTCAATTTATCTAATAATATATGGGAACTATAGCAGCAATAACAATAATTGAGTATTATTGAAGAACAATTATAGTGAGTCATAGTCATATATCAGGCATCCTCGAATTTAAAATATCAGTAAAGCCGATATAAGTAATTATTATCTATTTTTATTAACATTTTTGTCCTTGGAGCTTAAATAATTTGTGTTTCACAAAAAAACCGACTTCAATTGTGAAGAAATTTTATTTATATAGTAAGTATTTCAGACAAAATTAAAAATTTCCAGCTGACGAACAGATGGTTCACAACTAATAAAGTTGTTTGGTAATAAACATAAAAATACAAAACCAAATTGAAAATATTCTTCTTTTTGATGTCGGTGGATGACAAAATTTGAATTACACACCCCATATCACGTATGCATTAGGTTATTTGGTAATAGACACAATTATATAATCTGCATAACGGCAGCTTGTCATGTAAATAAATTATCATAAAAGCAACGTGTCGTATAGGTACGTACTTTGTCACGAAAAGAATTTTTGTAAATAAACCTTTCTTTTGTAATGAATTCGTAATTTTTCCTTGTGTAGTATTTATATGTATAAATATATATTATTGTACTGTAAAATATTTATTAAACATATTTTACATTATTTTTCAGTGTGTAGTTTAGTATATTAGATAGTTTTGTGATATAAGTTTCGCATTTTATGTAACTATATTTGTTGTTCTAATACTGAAATTCCTAAAAGTAATTGTGCAGTGTATTGAAACTATTAACCTACTCCTACCTATTATCCACTAAATAAAGGTTGTCTGCAAGAGATCGCCCTAGCAATAACATCGCCTTTTGTAGCTACCTGTTCTATGTCTATGTTTATCTCTATTTTATCACACTGTTTTAATTTATATATGTCATTGCAATAAAGAATTAATATCTTTTTTAATACATAGAAATTTAACAATCTGTTTTTTTTAATAAATATTAATTTTTATATGATTACCTAATTTTATTGAAAATACAATAAATTTAATCATAAGTCTATGATTAAATTAATAATCATATGTCATATGAAATGCAATCCGGTATGCATTCGCAGTAACCCAATGTGTAAGTGTTATACTAAAATTTGAAATTGTTTTTACATACCTTTCTAATGTTGCGATTGCTCTTTCTTCACCAATAGGCTCAGCTTTTAAATCTGCCCTGGTTGGTAGTTCAGCTTCACCTACAGAGAGTCCACACTGACGTTTACACATAGCCATAAACGCCTTGAGGTAATCAGTTAAAGCATCATCACTTTTTGAGTCTAATCGTGCCAATGTTCTAAATCGACTCCATCTGAGACTTTTGGTTGCTGGATCAAACTCTACTCCATATGAAGCAACTGTGCGTCTGAATGCTTCTTCATCAGCTCGGGTCCAGCGCCACTGTGCGATCTCATCTCTTGCAAGCTGATCCATGCGCTCTCGTCGCTCCATCTGTTAATTAAAATTAATAGATATACTATTCAATTAATGACTACAAAAATTTAAATAAGGTTATCCAATTAGGTATATAATCTACCATATTAATTAAGAGAAATAGCAATTCCATGTTGCATAAAAAATCTGATAGCCAACTTTTTATCTGAAAAGATATATTTACAGGTTTGCCCCATAGAAATTTTATCAAAATCGTTTCAGCAATTTATGTTATATTATGGGGAGGGCTATGTTCAGCAGTGGACAGATAAAAGCTGATATGATGATTATAATGGTATGTAAACAAGTTTGGCATGCTATTTTTTCTTAGTAATAGTGTTTAAAATGAGAAAACGTTTGAAGTGTTTTTTATAAGTTCTGCGATTACCGTTTGTCAAAAATTTTGTATATATTACGTAAAATTTGTATCAAGTTTTAGGTAATAAATGAAATAGTATAAAAATATATGTGAGATTCTTAACATTTTACATACACATTAGACCTATGGTGAGTCTGCAATGAGAAAAGAGTTTGCAAGATAGCCATGAGACGTTGAAGATAACGAACGCCCTGGATGCCCTAGCACAACAACAACAGATCAAAACGTGGAAAAAGTCAAAGACGTGGTTATGAACGTTCGCTGAATCACAAACAGGGAAGTCGCTGATGATGTTGGCATATCGATTAGCTAATGGCATGAATTTTTTTCGAATGTTTTGAATAAGACACATGCGACACCAAAATTTGTATCAAAATTGTTGAATTGTGAATAAAACTGCGGCGAATGTAAGTTGCGCAGGAATCACTAAATGAAGTTGACAAAGAAAAAACTTCCAAAAACAAACTCATTTCTACAGTCCGATTGTCGATCCCACTTATGGGCCTAAATAAGGAATTCTTAATTGCAATAACAATATAATAAATTATTAATTATTTATTTAATAAAGAAATACAATAAGGTAATCTATCATATGCAGATGATACGTATTCAAATAATGATATCATATACGTTACAGATACAGATGGGCAAAGCACCGGGTTTAAACCCGGTGCTTTGGTAAAAACCCAATAAACACCCATAAACTCCCATAATCACCCAAAAAAATAGGTTTTTACGTATTTTTTTGAAAATATGTAAGTAATACCAATAAATTATTTTTATAAATTGTATTGATCAATTCTACAATATTAAATAAAACGTTAACTAATAATATTTCAGGAAATTTTAAAAATCTATATATAATAAAATGAAAGTAATTAATTTTCAGTGTTTTCATGTTGCAGTTGATCAACATGTTGGCCTTTTGCTTCCCGTAGATACTTTAAAATTTCTTCATAACACCTCGTTCGCACACATGGCCGTATATATTTAAATTCTTGAAAGTCCGAAATACTCATTTCTTTTATCCTCTTCTCCATAAATTAAGCATTTATTTGTTTCTTCTTTCATAAATTTTCTTTTACTTTATCCTCGTTTTTTTCTTTGTTGCGACGACGCTGGGTAAATCATCTGGACACTGGGTCTCACTATCGCCAAATATATTTGGAGATCGGCTTCGGCTACGGCGTGGCAGACATTTTTTTCTTTCTACAATTTTAAATTAAATTTATTAGAATAAATGCTTCGAACACACGCGATCTAAGTACCTTTTGTGTTTATTATACCTTACCTACCTAGGTATAAAAAGAGTACTTACGTAGATTTTCTTTTATTAACTGTTTTATACGAAGATCTTGATCTCTCAAATTAGCATCCATTTTACTTCCAATTATCAACTAAATTAATAATCCACAAAGTATTAAATAACGTTTTTATGAAATATTTAGCACAAAAACAATACCCTTTAAATATCGATCGTCAGTAACTGTGGCTGACTTACCTATATTCTAGCAAGCAGGACTGCCAGATGTGAAGGGGAAATCCCCAATAAATTGTTGCATGTGATATGTGAGCATGTTCGTTTCATAATAAAAATGTTGCCAGGTAACCAAAAAGTCGTATGTTTTTGTGCGAATTACGATCATAATCTTTACGATCGTACATTAAAAAATAGACAAATAATAGTATGAGTACGATTTAAATCGTATATCTGTCAACCCTGCTAGCAAGACAGCGACAAAATCACGTTGCATAACAATGTAGCCCAAGCTTATATCTTATGAAATATACGGAAGAGATACGGACTTAGAAAAAACAGAAATGTTGTTCTTTGTGGAAGTCATTGATGAAATTCTATGTATTTTAGCCCGCAAACTTTCTTCAAACAAAAACAGCGCCATCTAGTATCGAGTTCTGTAATTATCTCTTTGTTTATGGATTTGAAGTAAGACCGCCACGCATGCAATACATTATGACTGGGGATTCCCCTATTCGTCGACGCTGAATATGAGGCGACGACAATCACTGTTGTTCACTATTACTCTGACTCTGGTAACGTGACTTCCTTAACGTGTTAGGTAGGAAAAGCAGTAAAAAAGTGCATATTAAGGGAGCAGATTTGAAATAATATTTATACTTAACAAGAAATAATTAAAGGTAAGTGGATTTTTGAATGATACAATTATATCATGATCACTTAACAATTTTAACTTAAAATTAGATGTATTATTACAAGCTTTTATTTAGCTTGCGTTATGTAAATAAAAGTATGTAGGTATGTTCGTATGTTGATGCAATTATCCTCAATCCTCAACCGACTGGGATAAAATTTTCCATACACGTTTATTTTGGATGATAGTGCATAGTTAGCTGAGAGTCGTCATTGGATAATAATGGTGGATAGCCTAAGATGTGTACTAGATATTTATTTTTAACATAATATGCGTAAGTACCTAATCGAATTAAAGAAGTTGCTGAGAAAAATACAGAACAATACGATAATAAACTAGCGTCTGCGTTTAATCCTCCGAGGAGATGTAATTTTACAAAGGTTTTTTGTATTTATTTTATTATTTTTTTAATAAATTTATTGTAAATAACAAGAAATAATCATTGTAAAAAAATAGGCACTCTATTGTTGAATTTTCGTCAGACCAACTAATCATCGTTCATTTTTTTAGGTTCAATGGGGAGACCTAAAGATTTACGCATATGGGAGCACTACCGTACTTTACCAAACAAGTCTGTTTCTTGCAAGCTTTGTAATAAGGTCTACAAATTCAGTAATGCTGCCAAAATGCTTCAACATCTTATCACTTGTCCAAAATCTCCAGAAACATTAAAAGACTCTATGAAACTTATAAAAGATAGCTCGTCCAAAACCAAAATGTCTGGACTGTCAGAGATAGAGACAAATGATTCTTTTATAAGCCCCTCGTCGTCTGCTAACACTACAATAAATGCTGAGTTTCAAGACACCGATGATCATATAAAAACAGAATTAGCGAGAGCTATATTTGTAACAGGGACGCCATTATCGATGGTGCAACATCCTTTATGGATACAATTTTTCGAAAAATTGCAACCAAAATTTAAAATACCTTCACGTAAAGCTTTAGCGACAAAATACTTAGATAAAATATATAGAGAAATGCGTTTTGAGTTAAATGAGGAACTAAATGCTTGTAGTTACTTACACCTTCAGTGCGATGGCTGGTCTAATTTAAGAAATGAAGGAATAATAAACTTTCTTATATCAAAACCTCAACCTGCATACGTTAAAAGTTTGAATACAGAAAGTAATCCTCACACTAGTGAATACCTTAGCCAAGAAGTTGAAAAAGTAATGAAAGTGTATGGAGCAAATAAGTTTCTTGTACTTATTGGCGATAACGCTAGAAATATACAAAAGGCATTCGAATTAACAAAACTCAAATATCCACATGTTGTTCCTCTCGGTTGCTGTGCACATATCCTTAACTTGTTGTGCCAAGATATTGTAAAGATACAAGAAGTAACTGTGTTTATTATGCAAGCCATAAATATAATAAAAACTGTTAAAAGGAGTCAACGATTAAGTTCCTTGTTGATAAAATCAAGGCAGGGTGAAGATTCTACACAAACACTAAAATTGCCTTGTGCTACAAGATGGGGAAGTCATGTTACTTCGTTAAAAAGTTTGAAAGCAAATAAGATAGCTTTGCAAATATTAACAGTTAGAGAAGATGTGGTAATTTCAAGAGATATTAAAGATTTAATTCTAAGTGATGATTTCTGGACGAAGACAGGGGAATGTATAAGTATTTTGGAACCAGTCACTGAAAGCATATTTTACTTAGAGAGCGACCAGAATCGTTTGCATCGCACATACATTACATTTAGAGATGTACAAGCTAAGATACGTTTTGCATTAAATGAGATTTCGACATTGAGCGAAGAAAGCAAACAGCAGATTCTAACATCAGTATCTTCAAGATGCAATATGGCAATGAGGCCAATACATTTTGCAGCATATATTCTAGACCCCAGGACTCTAGGAGTCGAACTTACTCAAGAGGAAGAACTTAAGGGTATGGAGTTTATCTACAATTTAAGCCAACACTTAAGTTTGTCAAATGTAATGGCAGATTTGGCGTGTTATAAAGCTAAAGAAAACTTTTGGGCCAGAGGATTTGTATGGAGCTCATTAGATAGCATTGAGCCCCTAATATGGTGGAAAGGTATTTGTGGTTCCACTGAGTTAAGCAAAGTAGCGATTCGTATTCTATCAGCTCCCTGTACTTCGGCAGCCACTGAGCGTTCCTTTAGTATCCAAGGCTACATACATAATAACAAAAGAAATCGACTTACAACTGAAAGAACTGAAAAAATTTCATTCATTTGTTATAACTGGAATCTTAAACATAAAGCTGAATGCGAGGACATTCAGTTTAATGAAGAAAATACCTTAGAAGCTTTCATTGAGCAAGTAAATGAACATAACAGTTTAGACGAAATAGAGCCTATCGAACCTATACAATTCATCGCTTGTAATAACTCTGAATCTGACAGTGATTGACTGTAGTTTTACATTTTACTTTCATCTCTTTCTTAATAAACTCAAAATCAAATTAAAAGTTTTTTATTCTGTAGGCTGCATAATAATATTGTCTATGTCCAGTATAGTGGACGTCTTGCGGCTGAGATGACGATGATGAAGTACAAAATCATAAACACCCAAAAATTTGGGTGTTTATGGGGTTTAAACCCAATAAACCCAAAACACCCGGTTTTTACCCACCAGACTTTAAACCCACCCAGGTGGATTGCCCATCTCTAGTTACAGATAATTTAATTTTTATCTAAAATCATAAGAACCACCTATTTAATCAGTTTTAATGATGTTGTTATTATTATAAAATGAAGAAAATTTTATATATTACTAAAAGTTGACAGTTGACTGTCATGGCGTCAACAGTAAACAGTTCTTAACTCCATTAATTTTACTGCATTAAAAATAAAATTGTAGCGTATTAACTTTTCAAGTAATTAAAATAAAATAGGGATTACAACAAAATTCTAAATTATATAATTTTTTTTACAACACAGGCGGCAAACGAGCTTGCAGCTCTACTAGCAGCCCTTTGCTACGTGCTTTGCTACTTATAAAGTGAAATAATAAAAAAAAAATTAACATCAAATTCATTTATTTAAACAAAAATCTCAAAAAAACTGTGAAAAGTACACGCACGCATATACATAGTATATATTTGAACAATTCAAGACTCACCGTTTGTATGAATGCACTCAACAATATGTTTCAAAATATAAACACAAAGCAATAATTATCGCTGACAATTTGCTTTAATCGAAGCACGTCCAAAATGAAATGACCGCATGAATGACATAACAACATGCTTGTATTGTTAACACTGAAAAAAGTTTCAATTTCAATTCCCTATCTTAAAAAAGTTTAAATTTGACACAAAAATCCCTATTAACAAAATCCGCCATTTATTGATTTCTATTGTTACAAAAAATGTGATAAATGAAGAACCGCTCGACCGATTTTGTGCAAACTTCACATATAGTAAACTATCATAAATAGTCCGAACAAAGCCTAAACATTTGGTTTGGATAGGTAAGGTTCTCGAGTTATAAAACTACAACGAATGAGATAAATTCAACTAATACCAACCAAAATATAAAGTTATATATGTATAGTGTCGGTGCAAGATTCGGTCAAGTTTTGATAATCAATCTACATGAAACTCTTCAAATATTCAGAGGAAACAATGAGTAGCATTGTAATGTCACTATAGGTACCTATGAGAACTAAGAAAGAAATGAGAATCAGTTTGAGTCACAAATGATTGTCAGGATATTCAAACTAACAAAGTGAAAGCAATAAATGTGTATTAGTGATAATAAATCTGAGGGTACTACAACAAAAAAGGACGACATCTACGTTCAGAAACTTAATACGGCAATTGCCGTAGACAATTCATATTTTATTTTTTCTAATACATTGTCATATATTCACGTAAGATGACGCAAGAGTGTTATAAATGTAAACAAGAAATCCCAAATAGACAATATCTCTGTTGCAAGTTATGTAAAGAAACATTTCATATTTATTGCACCAATGTATCTATTCAAAGATTTTATTTAATGAAGGTAAGAAAAAAAATTTTTCAAAAAAAAAAAGAAACCCGAAATCGATGAAGTAATCGACACTATACTACCTGTACTACCTGTGAAGATACATGATATAACTCACAGATAAATGTAACACGTAGAAATAAATATAAATTGAACTTGTCAAATGAAACTCTGAGGGTAGATATTTCGGATTTGGAGAAAGAATACACAGATACATCATACGAATCGACCAGTTATTTTAGTTTAAGTTTGTTATTAGTGTAAAAATTAAGGAAATGGAAAGCGTTATAATTGCTCAAGAAAAACTGATAATAGTCAAAAATAAAATTGATAATTTACTAGAAGAAAAAAACAATTTAAAGAAAATAATTACTAATCACGAGAAAAGAGTAAATCAGATATTTGTAAATCTACTTCAATAAAAAAAGCAATAAAAATGAAAATAAAGACAGTTTAACTGCTATAAAATTAAATTTTGCTGAACAATCGTCACCGCGCATCATACTCAAAAATCAGTATCAATCAGGAAAAAAATTCTAGATGAAAATGAAACAGTAGACATCCAATCAAGAATGATATTGCAAGTAACCAGGCCGAGTACAAGCAAGAAACAAACAACTATACATCCACCCTGCAGGAGCATATTTTTATAACCGGTCGATAATACTGAATTAATAAAAATTGTAACAAGTTTTAAAAATAAAAAAGATTTGTGTTTATGACGACATACCAATATAGATTTTTAAAAAAATCTATTAACTATATAAGTGAACCTACTGATATCTACTGTTAACGCCGATCTGGAACGTATATCTGCCTGGAGTAAATCTCATGGTCTTGTTATAAACCCCTTGAAGACACAAGCCATTATTATTGGGAGTCCCATACTTATTTCCAAAATTTCCTCGACCAGTCTTCCGCCTGTGGTTTTTGATGGGGTTATTATAGATTACCAAAAAAAGTAAAAAATCTTGGCATTATTTTTGATAACACTTTGTCATGGTCTCCACAAATCTCGGAGGTCAGTAAAAAAATGTTTGCTGCAACTTTTGCCTTAAATAGACTACGTAATTTCCTCCCAGTTAACACCAAAATTGCGCTCGCACACACCTTACTCCTACCCATTCTTGATTATGCCGACTCATGTTATTTAGACCTCACCGAAGAGCAATTAAACAAGCTTGAGCGTCTCCAAAATTTATGTATCCGCTTCATATTTGGTCTTCGCAAATATGATCACATTTCTCAATTTCGTACTCAACTCAAGTGGCTCCCTATCCGTTTTCGTCGTAATCTGCATATCCTGTCTCTTCTTTACACAATCCTTTTTAATCCTGCTGCTCCTTATTATCTAAAAGACCGATTCTTGTTTCTCAGTGAGGCTAATGATCATACTTTACGCAGTGTCAATAATCTCCGACTTAAATTTCCCACTCATTCTTCTTCCTTTTATTCTAAATCCTTTACTGTTCAGGCAGTTCGTCTATGGAACTCACTACCTACCTCTATTCGGTGCGCTCAAACTCTTACTAGAAAACCTCTGTTAAATCTTAAAGTACTATTTTCCTGCGTTCTCTCTTCGTTTTCCTTCGTCATTTTTTTCTGTTGTATGTAAAGTATGTGTTTGTTATGTATATATTTAATTGTGTATATATTATATATGTATGTGTATGTATGTATGTATGTTATGTATATATTTAATTGTGTATATATTATATATGTATGTGTATATATGTATGTATGTATCTATATATGTTTGTATATGATAATATTTATATAATAGTGCGCCACCTACTCTTTGTCTTTTTCTCAATGTCCTCTACCCAAAGGTTGTCTGGAAGAGATTGCTTAGCGATAAGGCCGCCTTTTGTATCACTTCTCATTAATATTTACTGTATTTGTTATTTCTCTTTTTACTTGGTGCAATAAAGTGTAAATAAATAAATAAATAAATAAATAAACCTCTCATTTATACAGTAAGGTGCAAAACTGAGTCAGTGTTCTGTCATTTTTTATTATATGAATTATAATAACATTCATTAAAAGCTTTTTAAATTATATGTCTTATTATTTAAATCTATAACTCATTAATTACTTAACCCATATAATTGTTGTCCACTATCTGTGCTGTAAAACCTTTACATAATTAATATTGATTGACTCACTTTTGCACCGTGTTTAAAAACATATTTGCGTTCGAGTATGAACGTGTTTAAACTTGTCGGGAATAGTGTAGAGATCGAATTTCGCTTTGTTTGTTACTCAGTTTAAATTGATACATCACAGTGAACGCTTCTACTTCATACATTTATTTTCGATACAGTCATGAAACCGATTACAAAGAATATTTTAGAATATGTTAAAGCGTTACTTAAAAATGGAAAATCGACAAGATATATCGCTCAAGAGTTAAATGTGAGTCAATCACCGATACAAAGAATTAGAGTCAAATGTAAATTTTCTATACCAATTAATGTTGATGGTCGTACTAAAAAATTATCTGACAGAGACGTAAGAAAAGTTATTAACTATTTAAGATCTAGTGAGGCGGCTTCAGCTTCTGAAGCGGCAGCGCTTTTAAGACAAGACACTGGCACGTCGGTGAGTAAGCTGGCTTCTTGATAATATTTTATATAATTTGAATGAATACTTTGATGCTAAAACTCATTAAATTAATAATAATGTAAGCAATATGATGTCTATTTATCTTGTAATCAAATAATTTTATGTTTGCCTTGTAATTTAATTTCGATTATTCTTTATTTTATTAATAGTATTACTAAATAATTCATATTTATTTTCAACTATGTAATATTAATAGTATTTAAATGTTTTGATATTTATGCCAGCTAATTACTTGTTCTTAAATTGTTGCATGCCCGATAGGGTATAACTGTTGATACTAAAATCAAGACCAAAGCAATGTTAACTGTTACATGTACATAGTTAGCAATAAAATTCTATTCTATTATAATGAAATTAGTATAATGTAATTAATTTAATTTTGTCTGTTTAAAAATTGTACACTGCTGTATCCGCTGACATTGATGTTCCTTTCCACTTTGGGTTCGCTGGAAGAAAGCTCTATTAGAGTTAAGCTCGCCTTTGTACTTTTGATTACCTCTGTCATATTCTTATAACTAATGTGTACAATAAAGTATTAAATAAATAAATAAAAATGAAAATTTTATTCATTTATTAATCATATATTGTAACTGTGACATTACCTTAGCCCGCTGCTGTAACTTGAGTTCTTCTCGTTTATAATTCCGCTGGTATGCTGTAATGAGCCGGCGCAGTCTCGTGTTCAAGTCCTGCATAGAGGGCCAGAGATGGCCGCCGCCGCTGCCCTGCGTGCTATCGTCATCTGGCCGCGGCGAGGCGGTAGGCGACGTGGCGCCCGCTCCACTCGACACGTCGTCCGTGCAGTCTTCATCTCCTACAACACTGCCTCTAACTTTCCTTTCTTCACTTCTATAATACAAAAAAAAAAAGCAATAAAAGTTATAATAGTATTAGTGTTTTATTAAAAATTTTCAAACTAATAAAAAATAAGAATGTGACAAAATATAAAACTACTAGAGGAATTTCTTGTACCTAAGAAGCTATGCTTTTGCACGGCTGTTTTGCTTAGTGTCTCTATTTATACATAGTAATTATTCTGTAACATCTTGGAATGACTAAAATCGATATAAAAACAATAATAGTTATGATACACATTCTATATTACGGTACATGAACATCAAAGCTTGTGCATGGAACAATTAAATTGTAATAAAGAATTATTACAATTTAATAATAATAACTAATATTTATAACGCTTTTTTCAAGACCAGTTTATTTGTTCGCTTGACCGGAATGTGACGATTGACCGAAGTAAAAAGAAGCCTATATGTTTTTCGTTCTTAAAATAATTAAGATTATAATGACAAAGCTTATAACAATTGATGGATGGATTTATTTATTATTTATTCAATACAACTATTTAATATGTAGTATAATTTTGTGCCGCTCCCAAAAACCTAGTAAGATTTATCTAGGTATCAGGGAATCGTTGATATTGATTGATACACATAAGTAGTTTTATATTAATAAGTATAATTTATGTTAGTTAAAGTGTAAGAAAGACTTTAAAATAATTACATATTTAGTTTACACCCACAAGTAGGAAGTAGGTAAGTAATATTATATTAATTTATGAATGATAGATAAATATCATTTATTGTTACCTACAAAATATTACAATAGTAAAATTATTATAAATAATTACGAAAAATATTACACTGAGGAAAAAGGTGGCCTTAGCGATAAGGCCGCCTATTGTTTTCTTGTATTATATTTCAATGAAATTTGGTACACCGGTAGATTATATTCTAATTTTGCACCTAGACTATTTTAAATACCGATTCAATTGAACAAAGCCGCGAAATGCGGACAGTAATACATAATTTCGTAACGACTGAGCTATGAAATCGGCAAGAGGTAATAAACAAATAAATACTCACTTTCCTATCTTAACCAACACTCATATTATAAAGACGAAAGATTCGAGTTTTTGCTTGTAATAGATAAATTCAACAATAATTAACCGATTTAAAAAAATAATTAAATTATATTATCAGGGAGTAACTTGGGCTATATTTTATTTTCAACTAGCGACCCGCCCTGGCTTCGCACGGGTGCAATGCTGATACTAAATATATCTAACTACTACAGAATGTCCTTATAAACAACGTTTACAGCCTTTTTGTCAAACAATACAATTCAAACATGATAAAGAGCTATAGGGCGAAGCGCGGCCTTCGACGCGCCGCCTTACCGCTATGTCCCTACATTTTAAATTTGTAATATCTTCGGAAATATTCATTTAAATTACATGCTGTAAAGGGCCATATTGATCTATATTAAGTAAATAAGCCTTTTTTCCCGTAAAATGTAAAGGATAAAAAATGGTTATTGTGAGTTATCCTTAAGAGATAGAGACATACCATCGGGGACTTTTTTGTTGACCTTTTTCAGGTGTACAATACTGTAGTAATTTTTTTTTATTTATCACGTGGGGTTCGGCTAGCGTTTGCAATGTAAGCGCAAAAAATGTGTTTATTTACGACATCATATTAGAAACCTCTAAATTCATCAGTGTTTCTCTACTATATTATGCATGTAAACATTCTTCTTGAATCACTCTATCTATTAAAAACCGCTTCAAAATCCGTTGCGTAGTTTTAAAGATTTAAGCATACATAGGGACGGACAGAAAGCGACAGCGACTTTGTTTTATACTATGTAGTGAAGAAACCGTAAGAAGCCTGGAGGGTGGCTAATTTATAATATTAGCCTTAAAAGTTTGTTATTTCTTAGCGCTTTAAAAGCTCAACCAATTGTCTTGAAATTTGGCATATCTATAGTATATACTTAGGGTGAAGAAGGACATCGACTTTTATCACAGTCAATCATATCCCGGTCATTCGGATGAAGTCGCGGGTAAACTACAGTAATTTTATAAAATTTATATGAATATGTTAAAAAAATTTAAAACAATTGTCACCGATTGGTTAGAAGAGCTCATATTTAGATTCAACATGCTGTATTTTAGTTCATCTTTTTAATATCTAACTGTATAAAGATATATAGATATTAATGAATATAGAGATATAAACCTAGTAGTCCTCAAGAATGGCAAAGCATACATGAGTTCTATCATAAAATGTAATTCCGAATTTTCGTACTCAATTTCGTGTTTCTGTTCATACAGAAATCGACCCTGTAAAAGGAACTTAACATTCTGTTTGTCATAAATCCTACCATAAAAGTCCAAAGAAACGATATTTTAAAATTAATAATAAAGGAAATATTTTTGTTTAGTTCGACCCTGAAATTTCGGAAAACATTTCATGATAGGCCCTCTGGGTACAATGGACGTCAGTGTACTATGTGATACCCTGGCGCTGTTTATATCAATATTTGACAAGTACCGCTTTTTAAGTGGCCTGTCACTTTTTGCAATTCTAAGTTCCATAAGGAAGACTTACTTTATATCTGTACATTCAGCATCGTCAGGTGGACCCAGCTTATCAACGAAGCACAGCTGGGGATCTGAACGCATTGCCAAATAGTTCTCATAACCGTGTATGTAGGTGCCCACTAACAAAGACACGTCGCATTCTGTATCCCACCATAACCTAGGTGGGGTACTATCTACTCCTCTAGGTACGCGCATTCCTAAAGAGCTATACAAATAAATACAAAACATATTATTGTAAACTATGAATCTTTACTAATATTATATTACATGTGAAATTATAATAATGAAAAATATTAAAATTAGCTAACCCGTATAGCAGTATATAGTAACCCGCATAGTAGCTGTAATGTTCATTCACAATAATCTATCTCCATAACTTCTCAACCAATTTTAATGAAATTTTGTCATATGTATATCGTTTGTTTAAGCGCAAAGTAATAGTAGAAGGCAAAATAACATTTGCCTAGTCAACTACAAAATTATAAACAATACAACGTGAAAATCTTTAACTTAGTAAGATTTAGCTTAGTAAATTTACATAGTGGCATTTACCTCGCATGTATTCCATTCTCTATTTGTGTTGCATAGTCTCCTATTACTTCATGCTTGATATAATACATCATACGCACTCGCAGTAGAACCCTGTAAATAAGTCGGATTTTGTAAGATGTGTAGCAGAATAATAAAATATGAGAATACGGTAACAGTCTATTCAACAGTTTAGTTAAAATAAACATACAAATCAAATTTGATCATAAGTAACTTTAATTTATCTATGTGTAAACTTCTTTTGAAACTTCAAACGCGTTTTTCTAGAATGTTTTCTAAGTAGGTGACCAAGATTTCTAAAAAACAGTTAAATCAATCAGTGTTAAAAAAATGCTCAACCAATCGAAATTTTTGACAAAATGGCACTTAAAAAATCTATATGATTCTGAACAAAATAGAGACATCGTGATCACCGCCGAACACCTTTTTCTGGAAGACCTTCAGGAGATCGTATTTATTTTAAAAGGTACATCAACAATGTAAATACAGACATTAATTTTAATTGATATACAGGGCTTGCATTTTGCATTTACACCAATTACAGATTTACACAACATTTTATTAAGTCATCGATTACATATTAACAAAACTGACAACAATAAAAAAACATACAAGTGATAACATAAGAATACTTAAAACAGAATTATTAAAGTGCACACAGAATTAAAATTATTACTTGTAAAAATATTATGTAGTACTATGAGAGAAGTTTTTGAATTTTATTCTTGAATGACTTGGGATGGTCGTGAAATATTCTTTCAAGACACAAGTTTCTCTAATTTGAAAGGCAGATGAAATATAAATTTAATAATAATATAGGTATACACTGTTATAAAACAGTGTATTCTTATATTTGATAATAAAGATTTATTATTCATCATTATCATTAATTTTTCCTAGTTCGAAATCAGATTAAAATCGGGTCTTATCCCAATATTTTCTATAAACCTGATTTTATTTGCAAAAAGTTGTTTATTTTCAACCCAGACTACAGTACAAAAAAAAATAGAAATATTATATTAGCACTATCGGAATAGAAAATAATAATAATTAGTTAATTGGGACAAAAATATTATTGGTTATTTTTAACGCCTGTATATTTGTAACATATCACATGCTGCAACACTCTAATCTCCATCTCTACAGCAAAGGTTTAGTGAGTTTGATCTTCTATATTTAAAATAAAAACAAGGGTATAAACAGTAATTACGCGTGTTGTACCGGTTTGTGATCTCATGCGAATAATTGAACTTAATAGTAATGTGTATTAATAACTAATAGAAAATATTTCTGTATTATTAATACTTAGTAAAATTAATTTTATTCTATCTTTCCGTCAGTGCGCCATATTCTACATTGTTTTAATGTACTACAAAGTTAAATAATCACAACTCTCAATCTGAAAAATTGCTATTATATTTTATATTTAAAGCAGAATAGGATAAAATACTCACTTATTTGCGTGCCTGAATAAATGCTTTTTATAGCTACTTTCTAAATAAGCCTCACAATCGTATTTTTCAGTCGAACTCCAATGGCTTGGATCTTCCCATTTTTGAGTATCATTGAGTTTAGGCGTATCTTTCGGCTTATTCTTTTTTTTAGCGTTTCTTCCCCTGGGTACTGGGTTATGTAATCCACTGTGATTTCTTGAAATAGTTACCTCGCCATTTTCACAGGGTTCAATTAAATCCCATATAAAATTTCTAATTTTCTCATCACCTTTGTAATGACGTAAACAATAAAGTACCTGTAACAAACAAAATTAGATATAATTAGATAGAGACTTTTAAATATTAATATTATCTAATCTAATTACCAAAAATATATCAGTTATTCACATTGAACTCAGTGAAAGTCTGAAACTTTCTCGGTATTAGCATGGCTATTCATCATATTTTACTTATAAAACCAATTCTAGAGTTTTCACGATACCATACAATATACACTAGTAGAAAAAATTAAGGGTTAAAAATATCTAAATTTCGTCGATTTTTCAAATAGCTGGCTTATCTTTGATAAAAATGGTCGTATTGAAGTAAAAAAAAAAAAATTTGAAATTCTTTTATCTTAGTTTAGAAACATTTTTTTCAAATCCGTATACCAACTTAACCATCTCAACTATGGATTAGATATATTTAGCTTCGATTTCGTTTCTCTTTGGTCTCGATACGACCGTTTCTCGCTGAGCAATCGTACTTTGAATGAAAATGGATCTTTTTCTCTTTGTTCGTCGATATTTCAGAAACCAATGGTTGCATAAAAAATCAATAGTGGTTTTCAGATACTTAAATTCTATACAAGGTGTAATAGAATTCAAGTGTAATAGTAATAGAGTATATATTTCAACAGTATACTCTGTTATGTCCATGGTACTGCTCATATCTATAGGCGACGGTTTCCACTTTCCATCAAGTGGGCTGTCAGCTTGTCTGTCATTCTAAGTTGCATAAAAAACAGCACCAAAAATAAGATAGAAAAACATTTTTTTTTCATGATATTCATTAAGATTGTGCGATACGTGTTACTTGGATTTTTTTTGCAAGATACAAAAAGTATAACTTCAAGCTTCAAATTGCTTTTTTTTTACTCCAATACGACAATTTTTTATCGAAGATACAGCGCAATTGGAAGAATCGCCAAAAATATAGATTTTTGGACCCTTAATTTTTTCCATTACTGTATTATAATGTATAAAGATCACTTCTATGTACACCTGTACTATGAAATGAAAGTCCTCAAATTAAAGACATGCAGAGAATTTTTTAAAAAGCATAATACGCTTTAGTTTCGGCGACTACATCGTACACTGGATCAACCTCAGACTATCTGGCACTCCTGGCGAAATCAGTTACCAGATTGACTATCCACAGAAGTATTAAAAGTCGAATACTCCTTAAAGTTGTGATAAACTGCGTAAATCTTATTTTTGTGACTTTGTGTTTCTTAATGGCCTAGTAGAACAAAACCTACTTGTTACAACAATAAAGTCTCAAACAGTATTATTATAATTTATATGTGGAAAATAGGCGGAAACAACAGAATAGTCGGTGATTTACTGCTCACTTCAAAGATTTACTTGTAGCGGATACTACCAACATAGAGAAGCCAACAATTCCGCTTTTTATACCAATTTTCATTTGATTAATAAAATTCTTTAAATACATATATAAATTGCACTTACTATAATGCGAGCACAATCTTCAATAACAGGCAGTGTCCATCCCTTTCTAAACTGATTTTTATCTATAATTTCTTCCCATCTCGCCCAACTGTAAATAATAAATTAAAGTAAGTTTTTCAGACAAAAAAAAAAAAGAGTTACACTTATTAAATAAATAGGAATTTTTAAGTATGCTTTTTAAGCTTACTAATATTTATTCATTTTTAAACCCAAGGAATATATAACATAAGTACATTGGACCCCACACTAGGCGAACCTGTATGGCAAGAGTCCATAAAAGGATTACCAAAACACAATATTGTATTTTTTAAATATAGATCAGTGAACCAATTTCACAGAACCAAGCGAAGTCATCATCGCCGTGTGGGTCTGGCATAGAATAGGCCACACCTTCCTATCCCGTGTCGTAAAAAGCGACTAAAGGAACTTATTGGTCGAGGGATGAGCAGCAGAATCCCTCTTAAAACATATCCAATGCCTTATTGCGGTTGCCAACTCGCCTGTCAAACGTAGCAATTACTGGCAAAACCCACTATAGAGGTCTATATTTAGCAATGGACAATTAACGGCTGATATGGATATGATAAACATGACATATTATCCAATACCTTTTTTTGAGCCTATGCTAAGTATAAAAATATTTTTTCAATAATTTGTTTTACAATAAAAGTCACAATAAAATTGGGTTCACAATCGCTAAAACCATGGCATATTTAAACCTAAAAATTCTGTTGGGCGAAGTAACGTCATAAGAAGAAAGAATACATTTATTGAATCCAAGATTTATTCATAGAATCATGCGACTCGCACAGTAACATATAACAAAATTTAAATGGGGGGTATCATGGGCGAAACAGTATACTCTGTTATGTCCATGGTTCTGCTTATGTCTATAGGCAACGGTTACCACTTTCCATCAGGTGGGCCGTCAGCTTATTTGCCATTCTAAGTTGTATAAAAAAAAAAGCAAAAGAATAAAACATAAAAAAGCATTTTTTGATTCCTACTCAAATTACAGTCTATTTTTACACAGTGACAAGTGCAGGGGAGTATGTGTGTGTATCGCAATGTTTTCCGAACCAGGTCTGTGCTCAGCATAATGCTGCAATAATTATGAGCCCTCCTAATACCATTTCTGTACGAAAGCCTAATAAGTCACATGATAAATAATTAATATATATATATATATATATATATATATATACATATATATATAAATATAATACCCAAAGGTAAGTAGTCCTCTTTCTATTTTAAAGCATTCTGATCTAGTCCAGGATCCATATACAACTTCTTCATCGACAAAAACGCCTTCGTGTCGCGGAATATAGTCATCACTTGCATATCTTCTACCTTTCCTGCCAAACTTGTCTTTTTTACGTTTACTTCGCAAACTTATACCTGTAAATATCATAATTATTTATTAGAAATGTGTAATTATTAAGCCCAAATAAAACCAGACGAGAGCTGTTGAACTCAAGCTTTGCTTTGCTTCGCTCTTGTTGTTTTCTTGTTTGCTGAGGGTTCCATACAGGAAATATTTATTAAACAGGTTATAGTTTAATTTAAAAAAAAATTGAATATATAGATACAAGGTCAAAAGTGTTTGTAATATGAAATATGCACCTAATAAATTATAATAATACCTAAATATGATTAATAAACAGGTCAGCTAAGCTTATTTTTGATAATTTGTCAAAAACTATGCTAGTAAGAAACATCGTTCAAACAAAAGTAACAAACATCAAATTCAAAATTCAACTCGTTAAATAACTTGACGTATAACAAATATATCAACACGCGTGTGTATATATATATATATATATATATATATATATATCAGTTTTAGTTTTCCATTAAAGATTAAAAAAAAGATATATAGTGGTAACACATATAACTTAGCAAATAATCACTATGTTATTAAGTGAGTAATGCAGCATTGATAAATTTGTGCGCAGTAGTTACCTTATGAATGGCATGGTAGCGACGGGTTGCTATTGAAAGTATAACTATAACCAGATAGTATTTTGAATACAGATAACTTAGCCGTAGCTTTGAATTCGAATTAGCTACAATCTGTAGCTACAAATTACAGCCATCCTCGAGTGCTAGGCAAGTTATAGTGAAAAGATAACTAACCCAAAGAGTAAAAAAATCGTTAACTATGTTTATCGCTAGTGACGTTAACTGGCTATGGTAGCTATAAGAGGATAACTGATAGATTAGTCGCAGTCACAAAAAATAGATGCGATTAAAAATACAGAATATACATACATTAAAGACGAAATAGAAACATATAAATAAACACATTTTAAGTATAGGAATCTGTCGAAATTTAACAGTGTTTCAATACTGTTTTAGACATTTAGACATAAAAAATATTTTTTTCAACACGAGAAGTGAAATCCATAATTCCTAAACCCAAACATTAAATTGACCGTTTCGGTCATCGTTAATACTTATAAATACAAAAGCTTCTTGCCTCATTCCTTATATGGTACCGCTATTGACAATATTAAAAGATTATTTTACTAATGCACATACTTAATATAATAACTAGGGGGAAGGGATTGCTAGTAAAGCAGACTACCCCAATCCCACTGCTAGCAATATACCCTGTCGTGATCTCACCCTGGAAACCATCTCACTAGTGCAGCGTATGCTATTAGCGCAGGTGGGGTTACAATTCCATTAACTATTTAAAAAAAAAACAACTACTAAATAAGTCTTCGAATAAAAAATTTAATAATTTAAAAAAAGATCCCACCATCTATCTATGAAATTCGAACTCGATGTTACTGGACAGTTATTCAATTCAATAATTAACGTTAGGTATAGTTGACTGTTTAGCCGATTATACCAAAAACAAAAAAAAAAAAAAAAAATTGTCGTACAAAATGGTCGCGTTTGTAACGGTACTGAATTGATAATTGCAGATGCAAACTTCCAATTGATTCCATGCGATTGTATCGCTATTGAATTTTGTTACATGTTGCAAATGTCACATACGGCTGAGGGTATGGCAATCTTTTGTAACGATTCAATAGTGCCCTTTAGTTAACGCTGTCCGTTTCTAGCGACATCGGATCAATATTCACAGGTGCATGAGAGCACACTAAAATTTTTGCATTTCTGGCTTATTACAACTATTTAAAAGTCGAATAACATATTTTTTAAAACATAATAATCTTATTATTTTATGTTTTAAAAATATGTTATTTAGAAAAAAAAATAGGATAAAATATTTTAGATAATTTTTAAAGTGATCTTTATTCTCAAGATCATAATGTTCGGTTTTAAAGTACTTTTAGGAGGGAAGATAAAAAATTACTACAAGGCGATTTTCAGAGTGGACAGATTTTTCTTGAACATGAGATTTGTGATGACCGTCTTTAACAAGAGAACTTAAACGAAGAAAACGTGAACACATTGAAGCGGTTAATTGAAAAAAAAAAAATTTGAGAACATTTGAGAATCGGTAGGAGTCTGATTAAAAAATGTTACATAAAGAATTCAAGTTATGAAACATTGCAACCCTCGTGAACTGACATCGAAATAAAACCGGGCTATTGCGAAAAAAGAAAAACGAATGTTGCTTAAATATAATCACGGACATTCAAATGCTGTTTATGATATCAATACAGGAAACGAAATGTGGATTCTGAACCTGAAAAAAAAACAGCAATCTTGTAAATAGGCGTATCAAACTGAAAATAGACTTAAATAATGGAGGCAGGCGAGTAACGTGGGTAAAAAATGATTGCATTTTATTCTTCCATTGGGCGCCGTTTGCACAGATCCACTTTAAGATCAAAAGAATGTTAATGTTGTGTGAAATACCAATATTTGTTTACACACCGACAGAGAAGCCGCGTCTTCTTGCACCATGACAACGCTTCTTCACAAATAATCAACAAAACAAAGACATTTTTAACCTCCAAAAAAGTAGAGCTCATGATCCATCCTGCACATAGACCAAACATTGCACCTCACAATTTTTTATTTTCAATAAAATTAAAGATATGATGATAGGTTTTATTTTTACTACCTCGAAAATACATACACTCGATTGAATGAGCCATGTTTTGAAAAATGGTTCGATCGAATGAAAATATGTTTAAAATATAGAAGAGAGTACTTCGAAATACAAAAAAAATTAATATCTTGATTTTAACTTGTTATATTCGTAAGTTATGCAAAGCTTTTAGGGTGCCCTACATATTCACAGATAAACAGACACTACAGCGCACAATAGTATCAATCTGCTAACTGTTGATATACATGAATGGTAATAATTAAAAAGCTACTGATGAGATTCTAGTAGAAAACTACGTGTTGACAAAAACACGGCAGATTTCATGTTTAATAACTGCATGTAAATTATTTTAATAATAACTCCTTAAAATAATAAAGTCATAACAAAGTAAATAACAAAACAATCGTCATTTAACATACGCGTGGTAGCTGTTTGAAGTTAAAAAAAAGAATCTATGTAATTTCTTATACCATATACCTCGATCACGCGAATGGGGTTACTGTACAATCAATATAGTATATAATTATTTTGAAGAAGAGTATAATTCCTGATGTAACGAAACCCAATAAATTAATTGAATGTAATTAAAATGTTTACCTTCTTCATCTTCGTCAGAATCTGGTGTCACCTCCATATCTGACATTTCCATTGGTCCGTCATCATGACCATATCTTTTAATAACAGTTCGTTTTCTAGGTTCAGTAACTATCAAATCTTCATCTTCTTTTTTCTCTGTCGTGTCTATTTCAGCTTTTTTAGCCCACTTGTTCCAAAAATCGGGATCTCTTATATCTATATCTGACCTCTGATCAGTAGCTGCGAAACTGGCTTTTGAAAATGTAGAACCTTTCTCTGATTCCATTTGAATAACTTGAGTCCTACGAGCCAGAATCATTTCTATATCTTCTTCGCAAAATTTGTCACCAGCATTGTCCTCATCCATTACAGCTCCATATGCGCCCTTTTTTAACAAATCTTCAATTTCTTTTTTTGATAATTGTTTAAGCCCTGTCTCTTTTCCCTGTGTTGTATTCATACTTTGCAATATTGCTTTGTCAAGGCCCAGCTTCAAAGATGCCTTATCAAACATTTCTCTTTCATACGTGTTACGGCATATTAATCTATAAATTTTTACCATTTTCTGCTGACCTATGCGGTGGCAACGAGCTTGAGCTTGTAAATCATTTTGTGGATTCCAGTCACTATCATATATTATGACTGTATCCGCGGCAGTTAGATTTATCCCTAAACCACCAGCTTTAGTACATAATAAAAACACAAATCTATCTGAATCTGGTTTAGAGAATCTATCGATAGCTTCTTGCCTAAGATTACCTCTAATTCGACCGTCAATCCTTTCAAATGGGTACTTTCTATACAATAAATAATCTTCTAATATATCGAGACATCTAACCATTTGGCTAAATATTAAAACGCGATGACCACCTGCTTTTAACTTAGGTAGTAATTTGTCAACTAAAACCATTTTACCTGAAGATTGTATGAGTGCTTTGTAATAGGCTTCTTTATCTTCTCCGTAAGTTTGCTTATAATCAAACTGAATCTGGTCTTCAGCACCATTTAGCAAATATGGATGAATACAACATTTTCTAAGCTCCATCATAGTATTCATTAAATTTGGAATATTTGCAGCAGACGCAGTTCCTTTTTGCAAGAAACTGAAATTTCTTTCCAGTATTGCTCTATAATATTTTTTTTGGATATTGGTTAATTCAACTTCAATTATAGTTTCCTCTTTAGGTGCTAAAGTTTTCTCAACATCTTCTTTTAATCTCCTCAACATCATTGGCTTCAATAACGCTTGTAACTTTAACACTTCAGATTCAGTTTTCAATTGGCCAAACTCATTTAAGAAAGCATCACTACTAGAAAATTGAGATGGTTCCAAAAAGTTAAGCAATGAAAATAATTCGTTAACATTATTTTGTAAAGGTGTACCAGATAACAAAACTCTATGCTCTAAGTGGAGCTGCCTTAATCCTTCTAGTAATTTACAATTACGATTCTTCAGTCTATGAGCCTCATCTATGACACAAATACGCCAGTTAAATGACTTAAGCTCTTGGAAATCAGTGACAATTATTTCAAACGTTGTTATCAATACATTGAACTTGGTAATATCTTTAATTGGTTCCCCATCTTCATTTTTGTAATAAAATTCATATTCTTGTAACATACTTTTACTTTGTTGTGAACCATGATACACAACAACATTCATTTCTGTCCATGCTTCAAATTCCCTTTGCCAATTCGGTATGGTTGACAATGGAGCTATAATAAGAAAGGGACCTCTGATGCCATACTCCCAGACAGAATTGACAAATGTTAAACTTTGTATAGTTTTACCAAGTCCCATTTCATCAGCTAAAATACAATTGCGATTGTTATGCCATGAAAACAACAACCAATTAAGCCCTTCTAATTGATACGGCCTTAGTGTATTACCTCCTTTATATAAAGGCGATTCTTTAAGTTGAACCCAATGATCTGCAGATGGCCTTTTCTTAAATTTCCATTTCTCCTTGGATGGAATTTCACTAAACACTTTATATTGTTTTATCTTATCAACATCTATATCTTCTTCCAACTCCCACGTACTATCTTCATATTGTAAACTTTTCCATTTCACTAAATAATGTTTAACCACTGTATTATTGGCCGGATCTTGATTTTCTGACATGTCTAGAATTCTTTCGACTTCAACATAGTCTGGATTAAATGGTTCGTCATCCAAAAGTTCAAATATATTCATTTGTTGAGCTTGTTTTTGTTTAAAACGTTTTATCTTCGAGAATATTCGTTTGTCTCCTTTATACAATTCTTCTTCGGTTTTCCATTCACAGTGTAAATAGGAAAAATTTCTATATTTCACGAAATATTCTTCAACATCAACCATAATAGGTTTCTTATTCTTCGTCTCTATATTTTCTTTATCCATAGCATCATTTGACTTAAGACTCGGTTGTTTTGTTGTTTCGTCTAAAAATTCCGAATCAACTTTCTCTTTTGACTCCGATAATTTGGAGGTTTCTTTTAAAGGCAATTCATTGTTATCCTTAACAATGTCTAAGAGCTGAGTAGAGGACGGAGATTTTTCGCCTTCATTAATCTCCTCTTTTTCACTTTTTGGTATGACATCGTTGCTAGGTTCATTTTTCAATTCTCGTTTTCCCATTCGACATGCTAACACATGTTGAACTATCATAGAATCTTCTTCAGTAGTATTCACATAAATATAGTTAGGTTTAGGCGTGCCTTCAAGCCTAACACTTTCTTTGGTTTCAGCACTCGATTCTTCTGGCTTACAATCTTTTTCGATTTTAGGAGTCGTAATTGCAAATTCATCGTCTGATAGTCGTAACATAACATCATCGGTATATTTTTTACGTTGCGTATTTCGAGCTGAACGTCTTTTTAAACTGTCGTCCCCTTCAGGCGGTGGAGATGGTGGCGGTGTAGACATCATATCATCTGGTTCACCATCAGAATCTGGGATTATTCCGCCACGTTTCTTTTTACGACCACCAGGTGTTTTCTTTACTGACATTTTCTTACAGCTACCACCTGATGAGGCTCGTTTTTTTGATGTACGTTTCTTTTGATTTATAGAATCGGCATCATCATCTTTGTCGCATTCCCGTTTTGCCTCTGCTTCTTCTAATAAATCCTTGATTGCAATTTTAGAAACAGGAATGTCGTCAAAATCCGTAACATTCGATTCATCTAAACCAGGTAATTCAGAAGAGGTGCTAGTTTTTATATCAGAGTTATTTTTGTTTATAGAGATTTCACTCGAATTATTTTCAATATTACTTTTTTCTAATAAATCATAACTTGTTGTTGTATCTGCCAAAATTTCAGCTGCATCCTTTTTCAAATTTCGCCTCCGTTTCGGAGCGTTAGGATCTTTAGGTTCTCGTTTTTTGCGTTGTTTCACTGGTTTATCTTCAGTTTGTTTAGTGACCTTGGGTTCTTTTGGTGTTCTAGGTTTTCTTTCTTTATTTTTTCGAGGACCTCTTGGTTTTTTAGCTTTTCCGGTACTAAGAGCGTTAATTGATAATGCACTACTATCAAGATTTGTCATTTCTTCATTTAATTCCATATCAAGCTCTGAATTGCCTTGAAGTCCTGTACCGGCTGTTACACAATCTTCAGAAACAGGCAATTGATCAAGAGGTGCAGTATTTACGTTTTTTTCTTTTTTTACTCTAGGTTTTCTTGGTTTTGCAGGACCCTTACCTCTCCCACGTCCTGTTGTACTAGTTACCTGTGGACTCTCAACCATTTTTGAACCATAAAGAGGATTTTGCAACAGGCAATTAGGACCACCATTACACTTATCATTTGTTTCATGTTGTTGTAATAAAGCTAACCTTTCTTGTAAACATCGAACTTTTTCCTGGTTTTCATTAGATGGCGGCAAACAATAAATTTCTTGAATCTGTTGTTGTAAAGACAATCTTTCTTGATGATGTGAGGTGGGATACATACCAGGCATGTTGGAGTGAGTCATCGTATTTGTTCCCATAATTATAATATTTGGATTATGAGGCAGGTTATGGGGTATACTTGGCATTGCCTGCATCGAAGGTCCCATATTCGAATGTATGCTAGGAACATTCATAGGTAGCCCTACTGGAACATTAGGTACATTTGTAGAAGTATTTGGTGGAGCAATTGGCATATTACTCGGTACATTAGGTATTGTTTGTGGTTGAATATTTGTCTGCATAGTAGGCATGGACGATGGTATACAATTTAAATTACCCTGTTGATTGTGAACTGGTATACTAGAAGACACGGGATTTGATAAATTACCGTGCTGAATGGTATGATTTTGTTGTCCGTTAGGTACAGACTGAGTCGTAGGGGTTTGTCCACTGGGAAAAGTCGAAGGAACAGAATTTGTATTTGTATTAGACGACAAATTTGACGGAACATTTGATGGCAACATATTCGGTAAATTAGTTTGAATACTTTGTATATTATTGCCTGCATATCCTTGATTTCTATTGACATTTAAATTTGTCATATTGTCATACTGATTTGCAGGACCCGGAGTATTAGTTGCAGAATGTATTGATAAATTCATTTGATGTGGTACATTTAATTGAGAATGCTCACTAGCAGGATTACCTATATTCTTCACTGACGATGGCGGCACTGATATTCCTTGATTTATTGAAGTTTCGATGCTTTGTTTACTCGTTACCTCAGTTGTATGTTGTTTAATTTCCTGTCTTTGATCAGTTTTTTCAGGAATATCAGAATTATTATCTACTTTTTCTTCCTCTGTTGTTTCGGTATTTGTTTCTCTTATCAAATTTGAAGGTGGCAATTTATCAAGTCTATCCGGTTCTTCATTAGGAATACAAGAATTTAAATTATTTGATATATTAGTTAAAGAATTTTCTGGTACACTATCCTTTGAGATATTAGTCATGTTAGTTGGTTGCATGAACGTATGCGATGGCGTGCTTAAATTATCAGACGATCTATCGTGTTCTATTTCCGTCTTTTCTACATTTTTAATCTCTACATTCGGACAGGGAACTGGAATATTTTTAGTCACCAGGTCAGATTTCAATCCAGGTGGAATAGACGCACTGGACTCTGAAGATTTGTTAGATTGATCACTGCTTTCCATTTGTGTCAGACTGCTTAAAGTAGGCATTTTAGTTTGACCCCATTGTGAGGGGGTTGAAACTATATGACCGACAGCTGGTGAAGGATTCCGTTGAAATGGATATTCGGTACCAGTGGGTAAAACCATTTGTTCCAAAGCTTGTAAGGTATTCTGAGACGTAAATGAGCTAGCTGTTGTAAATGAGCTAGCTGTGGAAGAAGAACCCGTTGTTGCTGTCGTCGGAACTATGTTTCTAGAGGCGTGAGGAGATGCACTAGGTCCTTTTACCGGTGACATTACAGGCCTAGGTGACAATTGAGGAGGTTGCTGCTGTCGTGGTGACATTTGCGCCCGTGGTGACATTTGAGGAGATAATTGTGGAAACGCTGGACGATATTGAGGACTTCCAGTGTCTATACCTGTAGGTTTCACTGGATTATATTGATTTGTAACATTTACGTCCAATGGATGTTGGACTTGATGTGGTTGATAGTTCATTGGAACGGAATGATGAGGCGATGCATACGGTATATTTGAAGGGACAGGGTGTGACGGAGCAACAGAAGAAGGCGGACCTGGAGGTTGACGTGGCACATGGTGAAGAGGAGCGGCACTAGGATGATGAAGATGAACATTAGGATGGTTTTGAATTCCAGAAGCCAGGCCACCTGCATGGCTAGCCATATTTTGATGTGGTTGATGTTGAGGCAACGGAGTGTGACTTTGTTGCCCGTGAGACATCCCATATTGATGAGGATTTACATCCATTTGTTGATGATATGTTGGATGCTGGCCTATTCGCGATGCCGCTGGAGGATGCATTTGTGTATAATTAGGATAATTCTGAAATACAAAATAATTTTTATATTATAAACAATAAAATTACTTAGATGAATAAAATGAATTTATATACAATATATTTCTTTATTCATATTGTTTGTATAAATGGCATAATTAGTAAACATGTCGTATTTCAAATATCACTACTTTTCACGCACAATAAAAGCTCTATGATATACATACATAAGTCACTTTTCGTTTGTTAAACAACTGCATTGTTGATGATTACTATAGACCATATTATAATAGTTGCTCAAATTCGTTCTGGGGCACATACAAAAAGAAACAAATCTTTGTACGTATTTTTTTAGACTTAGAAATAAGGTTTATATGAATGCGTTGAGGGCATGGCGATTCAAAGGTGTGTCGGTACGAAGTTTGACTTTAAGATCCTTATTTTACCCTTATATTTATTTAAATATAGTGCTCGTGACATTTAAGAGATTATCTTATCTTTGTAATTAAAAAGTCAATCTTTATATTATATTTTCAGTTATGCTCTATGGAATCTTGGATGCCGGTTCAGACTTCAAACAAAAATTTTGACGTTATGATATGTATAAAAAAAAAACGTAGAAATAAAGGTTTTTGAAAATATAACGGATCAAGTAAAAAAATATTTGTATGTTTGTTAGATGATTAATAAAAACTTAGAATTCATAAAATTATTAAAACTAGGAATCTCCAATACCTGAAACATATAATACGAAATGACAAATACGGTCTTCTGCAACTTATTATTCAAAGGAATATAAAGGCCGCAGTACACATGGTCAGAGAAGTATTTCCTTGTAAAATCTTATAAACTGGTTTAGAATGATCATTAGATTGTTTTTCTGAATGGCAGCTTCTAAAGATAGCCCTGATGATCACCAACCTCTGATTAAATATTGGTACCAAAACATGAGCATAAAACTAATATATGGAAGAGTAAGTTTAAGAACGGCGTTGAGATTATGGTAAAAACAGAAAATTGGTTCTACAATACGTACCGAAATTCAGATACTTCTTATATCCAAATATCTATTGAGAAATATCGGTAGAAGATATTTTCATACCGGCAGTGTTCAAAATGTGACCTCGTAACCACCCTAAAAATGAAAGATATCAAAAACCAAGCAAAGCTGGAAGACTGACTCGGAAGATAGAGACTAGCAATAATTGCCGGATCTATATCGTCCAACAGACGATTACAATGTAATTTACATCTGAAAGTACAAATGTAGTTTTTGTTTTCAAATAGTGAAAATCAACATTATTGTGAAACGAGAAGAACATTATCCTATTTTAATTTGTTAACAGTAAGTCATAAGGGAGAAATATTTAATAATACTAACTGACAATCTTAAGTCACCTAACGGTATGAAATACACTTTCAAACCTATTCTCATACCTACCAAACATACATAAAAAATCATAAAAATCTGTAGATCCGTTTCGAAGGTGTGCGATCACAAGCACCGTGACACGGTGACTAATAAACTTAACCTATATATAAGTATATTACTGTCTATACACTAGTAAGTGTACTTAAGAATAAACTATTTCATTTGTAGAATATGTTGCCGTTCAATTGCCAGGCCATTATAATTATTATAAAAATAAAGATGTCTAATATTGACATGGCGACTATAATAGTTATATATAAAGTCAAAACGACTTTTATTTTTTATTCTTTTATAGGCTAAAAGCTAATTAAAATTCAAAATTTAAAGCCATACATTCGTTTGGTATTTCGTAAAGGACTTGACGCAAGCAACAATACTTTTGAATTGTAAAATTGTTTGTTAAATTTTATTAATTAACTACTTTATTGTTTTACTACTTTGGACATAGAGTTAAGCTTTTTTTATTGTAATACATGATTTCTTACATTTTATTTTGGGTATTATTATTATTAATTTTGATTTACAATTTAACGTAAAGTTGGCTTTATTGCCATAAGTACGAGCTGGCTGTCTAGTATTTCGTAGAATTTATAGATAATTTAATTTTGGTTACAAGTTAAGCAATGGAACAGATGTTTAGTATTATAGATTTTTGCAGTTCGATGTTAGTGTAGTGCTACGCTCTTGACCTTCCGTGCGGAAGGTCAAGAGTTCTGTGATAAGTGTAGCTGATTCGGGATTACTTCTGTAGTAGATAGTACTATTGGGACTATGGTTGCGGATTCGGGACGCCACATGCGGTTTATTTCGTTCTTTAGGTCTGTATATTTTGCCAGTTTTTCATCTATAGAGTTCTGTACATTGTGTGTATTTGGGACTGCAATGTCGATAATATTTGTTTTGCGGTTCATTTTATCTAGGAGAGTAATATCAGGTCCATTATAATGTATAGTTTTATCTGTCAAGGTAGCACGATCATAGTTTATTTTGTGTGTATTATTTTCAACTACTACATCGGGGGTATATTTATAATAAGGTGTGTATGCTTCTGGTATAAGTTTGTATTTGTGAGCTAATTTTTGATGAATAATGTTGGGAACCTGGTCATGTCTGTATTTGTAATCGGTCTAAACCAGTAATGGGCAAAGTACGGCCCGCGGACCAACTCCGGCCCGCGAAAGCATTTAATCCGGCCCGCCGAAGGTGCATTGACATGGATAGTATATGGCCCGCTATAATTACGTTTTGATGGTCGAAAAGTATAAAGTAGGTTCTACTTAGTAGAATAATAGATGCATAACCTATAAGTGACGCTAAATTAGCCGCTAAATTCGAAAATATTATAGAAAATCAAAAACAATTCCATATGTTTCATACGCCTACTATGGCAGGGCCTACGAATAAAAGTTAAATTAATTATTATTTAAGGTAAAAGGTAATTTGTAACATTTGTGGGTAATGCTTTAATGTTTTTTATAATATTATGATTAAAAGCTTTAACACAAAATGCATTTTTTCTATAATTCTGGCCGTCCTCTAGAATTTCTTAAACTTTGTAGCCCCCCATTAAAAAAGTTTGTTCACCACTGGTCTAGACTATGAATTTACAAGCTCCTAAAATATGCTGTATGGTCTCCGAATTACTGTTGCACAGTCTGCATAAATTTGGCAGTAAATTTTGTTTTATAAATGAATTTTTGGTAATTCAGAGTTTCGATCATTTGGTCTTGTATGGCAATCATATCTTGTCGATATAAATTTTAAATACGGGTTTGATAAAAAAGACGATGGATGTCAATGTTCTTAATTTTGGGATAAATTTTAGGCAATTTTATACAAGTTTGGCCCAGCTTCGTTGAATTGTTGTCACATTTATTTTCAACTAAATTAAAGAATGCACTTGACTACATTACTTAACAACTTGATTAAACTGACTGAATTTGGCCATACTTGGCCTAAAATGATCAAGCGCGACCAAATTTCATTAAACTCATCAAACTTGACCAATTTGAGCTAAGGTAAAGCAAATTTGGATAAGTTTGATCAGGCTGTACTAAATTTGGTCAGTTTAGTCTAGTCAAGTTTGATCAAGTTGGGCAAAACTTGGTCAGTTTAATCAAGTTTGTCTCATTTGGGCTAAGATTGACTACTTTAATCGAAATTGGTATAATTTGATAAAGTTTGGTCCAATTTGACTAAATATGGTTATGTTAACTGATCCAATTTGATTAAAATAGATTTTAGTATAATCAGGTCAAGAATTATTCGGTCAAATTTGACCAAATTTAATCAAGTGTGATTCATTTTAATTTTTTTTTCATCATGGATTTTAATTTATTAATAAACAATTAATTTAATTTTTATAATCTAAAATCCCAAAATATTTTAAAAATCCATATTGACAGACTGTATGAAATATTTTTATATTCAAAACTTTACTTGCAAAAATCCAAAAATAAACAACTTTTTAAATTCGCATCACAATTATTCAGACACAATATCCTTATAATTTTTTTTATAACACAGGGTTGCTAACGAGCATGCGGCGCGGCTACCTGATGGTAGGCGACTACCGACGTCTATGACCACCCATAACACCAGAGGCATTGCAGGTATACTGCCGGCCTTTTAAAAAAGAATATGCTCTTTTCTTGAAAGTTATGATATCGTATCGGTTCGGAAATACTACAGCTGTAAGTTGATTCGAAAGAGTGATTGTGCGTGGAAGTAAGTGCTTTGAAAAACGCACCGTGGAGGACCGCCACTCATCTAAATAGTTAAGATAGAACTTTAGTTTGTGGCGGGTTGTACAGTGATGAAAATCTACAGCAATCTGCACCCGTGCGAAGTCAGGTCGGATCGCTAGTCATTTATAAAACTCATCAATTCTACAATAGGCCTTCTTGTAAATAATTTGTTATATGTAAGATTTAATCTAAAAGCCTGTAGCCTTTTTCAGCCAAGTTTTCAGATAAACAAAGTTTTATAGTTTGTTATAAAACCGTACACAATTCCTATAGAAAGAATTGCTAAACTTATTTAAATGGCATTTGGATGATTTAATTTTAACTTGTGATTATTACATAATCTTTTATCAATGCAAGCACAAACTTTTTTTTTAAATAAACAATATTTTGGTGTTGTTTATATAAAGTACTCATAAATATATTAAGAAGCAATTGTGAGAATATTGATCCTTAAAACTTCTCGTGGTGACTTCTTTGAACCCCTGCCATAAATATAATGAATGACTCTTTTATAACATGAATATCTCTTTTGAAAATTTCATGAAACACTGAAATTTCTATTTTAGGACTGATACTTGATTCACGATATCATTTCGCATTTATAAGTACGCAACTAGTGACAGAGACCGAAATATTGTTGTCGATATTTTGGGCGTTCACTACTTATGCCAGACATATAAAACATTGTATACCTGTTGTTGCCCATAAATTTGCTGCGATGTAGGCTGGGAAAAATGAGGCTGTCGTGGTAAATATGTTCCATTCTGCGACTGAAGACCGCCTATATTAGATGCCTAAAACAAACAAATAAATTGTACACATTTTAAATAAGTGTTGTATATGTGTTTTGAATGTGTTTAAGGACAAAAATATTGTTAAAATTTTTAAATATACATTTATATTTTCCACTAGATTTTTATTCACTACTTCGTAAGCGCGGTTTTCAGAAGAAATCAAATTAGATAGACCATTTCTAAATGCTATGGATAGATAAAACATATATAAGTTTTTAGGTTAAACCTTCAGACATACAATAGTGAAAACCGCATTCAAACTATTGTAGAAATAATATATAATAATAGTATAATGAATACTGGTTTATATACACACCTAACACTTTGGGCGGTAAAAATAACACCTATCTAGTTGGTATATATACACATATAACCGCTATCCAATTGGTCGTTTAGTATTTAAATTATCTGTTGTTAACCTACATTTTAAATAATATTCTTGTTGCTTAATACATTTATTTCAGCTTATTTGCAACTATGCAACATGATTCCGTATATGGTTAAGATTTACCCTCTGTAAAGTCTAGAAAGACCACCTAACAAGTTACTGTTTGTAGATTTTGCTCCACAAAAAATTAGTTTCAGTTAAATATGTATAGTCATACACAGAGAAACGACAAGAGACTTTGCAAATAACTACATTTTTTATATACATATTTGAATTTAGTACGCGACATCGCATGTCAGATATGTAACTTTATAATGACAACCATTTTTTGTCCAATTATACGGCAACAAAACGATAAAATTTTGCAATAATGTGCTGTGCTACGGTAAATTTAAAAACGCTCAATGGATGTGAATATTCCGTAGTTGTATTTAGTCACAAGTACAAGTTATCGCCTCTTAACAAACAAATGCGATCTACCAATTTGTTTAGTTTTATAATAAGACTGTTTAATACTGTTTATATTAGTTACTTTACCTGTTGTGGAGTATACTGATGGATTTTTTGCTGGTGTTCATAAGTATGTCTGTAGCCGGGGATGGGACCATATCTGTTAGCTCCTGGCGCACCAGACCATACACCCATATCCCCAATACCTGTCATTAAATATTTTTTCACATATATTTAGAAAGATAAACATAACGTGTTGTTCTATATCTGGTATTTGGGTTCTTTGAGATTTTTTTAAACCACTGTTGTGGCCAACAAGTATACGGCCCACCTGATAGTAAGCGGTTACCGTAGCCTATGGACGTCTGCAATATTAGGAGTATTACGCGAGCGTTGCCGATCCTAAAGAAACCTCTTTACCCCCCTTTTGTAGAACCCCATGGTGTAGTCTCCTAGAAAAACCTCGGCAGGGAGCTCATTCCATAATCTGAATGTCTGTGGGAGAAAATATCTCTGAAACCGTGTTGTACATGACTATCTAGGTTGTAGGGTATGAGAGTGAACTCCCTGTCGATGGCGAGCCGTACGAAGGTAGATAGTGGCCGTAGGCATCATATTGAACAATTCCTCTGAGCACAATTAATTGTACAAACGGTAGAACACGCAGAGTAAGGCAAAATCTCTCCTAAGACTTAAGGGTTTGATACCACTTGTAAGCCTGAAACCATAGTCAATTCTCATAGCTCATCGTTGCACTGAGTCGAAGGGTTCAAGCTGGTATCTAGGTCCTCCCACCCATAAGTGACGGCAATACCCCATGTGGGGCCCGATTTGCGATTTGTGGAGCATTAATCGTTGATCCGGCGTGAAGTAACGCTTCGTTCTATTAAGCACACCGAGTATTTTGGATTCCAGCTTCACCTTATCTTCGAGGTGGCGAAATTGTACGTCATTAGAGATGTCGACACCAAGAATCCCAATGATTTTAGAGAAGTTAAAAGATATACCCTGGAATTGTGGAGCCACAGCAAATGATTTTTTTAACGGTAAACGCGCAAGCTTATCTTAGCAGGGTTAAACTGGACTAAGTTTGGTCGTCCCCAATCAGAGATTCCAGCTAACATTCTCTCGATTTCAGACACAACCTGTTCAAGATTGTCCTCCACGATGGAAAGAGGGGCATTGATGTGACATGTATAATGGGGCATCCCCAATGCTGTCATGTGCATAACAATGAATGCCATCTTAGACTAACATATCATGAATATGCAGCAGAAACAATGTCGGGGATAGCACAGAGCCCTGCGGGACGCCAGTGTTAATGTCCATGCTATCGAAGCAGCAACCGCGTACAACGGTTTTTGTGCGTCTGCTGGACAAAAAACAGGCAATCCATTTACACAGACTGTCGGGAAGCCGATAGTAAGGCAATTTCAATAAAAGACTCCGATGTCAGACCCGGTCAAATGCCTTAACAATATCAAAACTGACAGCGAGCGCCTCACCTTGACTCTCGATGGCTGATGCCCATTGGTGCGTAAGATAAACCAAGAGGTCTATAGTCTATAGGCGATGGTTCCCACTTTTCATCAGCTTGTTTGCCATTCTAAATTGTATAAAAAAAAAAAAAAAAAACTTAAATATATCTACGTAAATTGACTAAAGTGTTTTGCTGTGACTAGACTGACAAAGTGTCTCCGCTCTTACGCTAGTTAGTTAGGTAGTTAGCTAGCTAATAATTGCCTGTACGAGATTTATTTAGAAAATAACGGGTTTGTAGAGTCTGATTGTAATATTTTTTCATTATGTTAATAACCATACTACTACCTACAATTTTAACGCCATTTGCGTTGAGCAATCCGAAAAAAAAAACGCCCGGATTTGTGGAAAAACAATTCATGGCTTTTGTACTACGATAATACGTATCCTAACACTTTATTGCTTGTTAATGAATTTTTAGCCAAAAGCAATACTGAAGCGATGCCCTCGCCTAAATATTCGCCAGACATGGTTTCGGGTGACAATTTCCTATTTAAAATAAAGAGAACCTTAAAAGGTGGTTGTTTTACAGGCATAATGACATGAAAAGTGCATCGCTGAAAGAACTAAAGGCTATCCCAAAGATCGAGTTTGAAAAGTGTTTCGAGAATTGTAAGAAACGTTGGCACACAAAAGTAATATCTAATGGGGTCTAATTTGAAGGAGACAACATTAATGTAGACGAAGAAACACATTAAAAAAAAAAAAAAACAAAAATTTCCTTTTTTTTAACATACCTCGTATTTTTGGCATTCAAATACACTGAATAGGCATGCTCAATATGACTCCCTGAAAATCGCATTGCCGAATGACCTCCTTCGCACTTCTATTATAACAAGAGAAAAAGTTTTCTGATGCAAACAGGAGACATAAACTTGACAGGACTTTAAGTATATTCCATGCGTGTTCAATGGTATAAGGTATGGCGATTGAGTATCTCACAGTAATACAATGATGTTAACTACGGCAAGTATATAAAACTCGATCGGTGTTTGAACGTATATTATCATGTATAAGATGCATAAGCTAAAAGGAAATTCCCAATTGGGTTCGCAATGGAATTACAACATCTGATACAATTGTTTAAGATTTGATCAAAAACAGTTCTGTTTTTACGCCATTCAAATACCTGCCGCAAACGTCCTGTTCTGGTCTCATAACAAAGCGAAATTCATCAAAAACCATTTCTCTTTTGCCCAATGTCTATATTTACTAGCCCATTGCAACCGGGTCCGTTTATTAAGACGTCCATGAAGAGCAAAATTGTTATAACACACCAATGTGGTACTCAGCTACATCGTCAAGAATGCGATAGCATCTTCAAAGGCGACAGCACAGAATACACTGAACATTTTGTAATAGCCACAGCAGGTTGTCAAGAACAAGTTTATAAAATATTTCAAAATATTTTTTCTCAGTTCAAGTGACGTCTTCTCTAGGTATATAATGTTCATTTATTGATTTGAATTAAAGAGACTGTGAGAGAAATGGTAAACTATTTATTCTATAAATTTCATAGTTTTGTTAAATTATGAAATTTATAGAATATCCCACTCAATAAGAGTAAAAAAAAAAATCAACTAAGAAAACTAATTTGTAATAATTTTCAAAAACGTGATTAATCTTGATCCCGAGATACTTTTGACGAGTGTAATTATAGTAGGTATAAAAAAACACTACATAGTTTTGCTCATTGACACTTTTTCCAGAAAAATTGTATTTTATATTAATTGTATATTTCTTATTAACTTTAATTAAATAAAACAAATATACCTGTTTGTTCAGGCATGGTGTACATTGGATCTGGTCCAGGATGATATCCAGGATATGAGTGTGAAGGATGCACATGATGCGATGGATGTAGCGGCGCATGTGGCGGCTGAGGTAAACGTGGGCGAGGAGGATAGTTGCCATAATCATGGTACTCTGGACCTGGTGGAGCCCCTGGTGGAGGCACTGGTTGAGCATTACTTGATATGCTACCAGCACTCCCTCCTCCAAAAGGGGCTAGTTTCTGAATCGAGCCTTCTTGTGCCACACTGCCTTGGTTATATGTTGGCCTATAACTAAAACATTTTATAAATTACAAACTATTTAATCTATTTAAATTAGGTAAATTAATATTAATTATTCATTACATTTACTTTAGTAAATAACAATTATTATACATACATACATATCTGTCACGCCTGTCTCCCATTAGGGTAGGCAGAAACAAATGAAGGCCAAATGCTTCGATTCAAACAAACCTCTTTCGTTTCTTCCACATTCATCAATCTTTTCATACACGCTCGCCGGTTACGGGTACTTCTAATTTGGCCCTTCTTCAGCACGCCCTACATCTTCATACGCCCTAGACGGGCGTATGTTGACCAAATAGGCGACCTATTTGGTCAATATACGCCCGTCTAGGGCGGCCCCTACCGACATCTCCAATCATTCTTGCTCGATATAACTCTTTCGTAATTCTTCTTTCATGCATCCTCTCCAAATGACCAAACCAACGCAACATTCCTTTTTCGATTTTTGTCACTACATCGTCTTTCAGTCCACACTTCTCTCTAATCACACTGTTTCTTACTCTATCTTTTAATGTAATACCACACATACTTCTCAAAGCTCTCATCTCTACAGCATTTATTTTACTTTCATGCTTCTTCTGCCATACCCACGATTCGCTTCCATACATGAGTGTTATTAAGAATTATTAAGAATGGTAAATGAGTTCTAAAAGAATTAATCTCAAAATTCGTCATTGGGATGTATTGTTTAACCAGGATAAAAAGTAGTTTATGCCTTTTACCAATACAAACACCACGTTTATGTTAAAATATATAGCAGAATTACAGGATAGGAGAAGACATTAATACTATAGTTCTCAGAGACAGCAACAACTCTATAAATAACAGTACTACTTTACATCAGGTACAACATTTTTTAATGGGTGATAATAAAATTATTACAGAGTTAAACACGATGGTTTCCAGGGGGATCCCGAGAAAGTCAAACTGGACTGAAGAATACATTGTTTGCTAGTCCCCATTACGAACCCCACCCCCGGACCAGTAGCTTGTTATTCAGTCATGTAAAATAAAAGTCAAATGATGTCCGCTAGTGGCCATATCATTTGAGAATGGGTGGATCAATTTGACTATTTTAAAATGTTTATTAAGCAACATTTTAAAATTAATCGAACTAATAAAAAATAGTGCCATTAAAGTTTAAAAAAAAAAAGATGAGATTTGAAGAGCTATAAATAACATAAACACCTGTTATCTGTAGTTTCTTTGTTATCAGCTACTGAAGATGATGAGCCACCAGCAAAGCTGTCTGTTCCACCAAGATCAGTAAGTCCTTCCAACATACCGCTTCCATCATCACCAAATAAATTATATGAGTCCATCACTCAATTAAGAGTGAATTAATATTATTTGGCGTTGAAGTGTCCAACAATAACTTAGTGCGTCCATTTTATCCTGGAATATTAAAATAATAATTTTATACGCGTAATACAAATATCAATCTGCGTATACAATGAGGAGTTTACACATTCAAAATAAAAATATACCAAAAATAAGCCTTATGTCTCGACTTAAAGTTGTTTTCTTCTACAGATATCTAAATACTATACATAGATTATTAATAACAGTCAAAACTTGGCGCCTACGTTGGGCCAAACTGAACCAAGTGATGTACATACATGTTATCATATTAGCAGTTATGCAATATTTCAAATATTTTTGGCTGTTGTGTAAAGATATGTGCCCAAACACAGGGAAGATACATTAAAACAAAAATTTTATAAAATATGGAGTCACAAATAGTCTTTTATGGTCTATTATTGAAACAATTTTAACACTTATCCACAATTTAAACAGTGACAATACATGCAGTAATCAGTGGCAAGATCTTAGAGTAAAAAGGTCAATAGTCAATTATTGTGACTATGTTATGCAATTGCACCACCAATTCTGAACCGATTTTCATAACTCCTTCCAATATATTAGCAAAATTCAGTCATTTAAATCTTTATTATGGAAGTCGCCTAAAAATAATCGATTTTCTGTTTTTCATTCTGGATGGATAGGGTATATTGATAGCATATAGACTATTTACTAACAATCCGTTTCCCTCCCCCAGTCCTCTCTATTTTTTATCGATACTAATCCTTACTAATGTTACGAATATACAGCAATAACAAACTTGCTTTTACTATTAAGCTAATTTAAAATATTTCCCTTTTTATTATATTTAATAAAAACAACTCGTCATTTAGTTAAAAAAAAACAAAAATTTTATTGTATGAAAGAACTGTTTCAAAAGTTTCGGTTTCGATTTAGGCGGTAAAATTGAGTTTTGATCAGACACTAACAATAGATATAGAATTAGTTACATAATCTATGAGATGATTGTTGTCATGAATATTAGAAAATATATCAGAAAACCTAGTACAACTTGTTACTCTGATGATTTTTCTGAACATCATTGAGGCTGATGCTTGTATAACTAAGGGGAAAAGCTATACGCTTATGATAAAACTGTAACATAAAGCGATACAACTTCTCCCGTTTAGTTAAACAGCAAAATTCTTGAAGTTGCTTATACTATACATTCCAGCTTTCTTATCCTTGAAGCTATATTGGTTATTTTGATTCTTCAACAAATATCCTCATTTCTGATTTCATCACACTTTCAGATTTTACACAGCAGAATTTAAAACATAGATATTCCTTACTATAGATTTCCATGCTTCTTGGATATTCTAGATTTGGTTAACAATGTAGGGTCACATTTTGCTTGTATTCCTGTTACTGATAACAGATATTGTTTAAAGACCTTTGTTTTCAAATGTCGAGGTATTTTAGATGAAGATGAGGTGTAGTTTCCCAAATACTGTCAAACCAGACTGTTTCAATATGATAAATCATTACTGGCAACATATATTGGTTAAATACCTTTGTCTCTCTGATTTTGAGGTATTTTAAATGAGAATATGTATCATAGCGTCCCGAATGCTGATCATTTCAGATTTTTTTGCCAACTGACCTGTCAGATGTTCCAGGTAAACATATTTTTCGACAATTTAGGAGTAGATTTCAATACGATTAATAAAAACATGATTAATCTTATCTACATTTGTCTTTAGAGAAATACTATTATATAAAATCATGAAGCATAATTTTGTATTCCTCCAGGAATTCTTTCACCATGACAACTATATCTTTGATAAATCGGAAATAAGTGATGTATTCACAATTGATGTTTTCCATATCCTTTATAACTAAAACTTAAATCTTGATGCGGAGTTTACTAAAATTGATGGAAGGAATCATGTACACATTTTGATGCCTCTGTAACATATCTTTATTGTTCATGATAAACAAAAATTTAAAGATAGGCTGAAAGGGAAAATATAATCTAAAACATGGGGGAAGGGGGAGACTGATTCATTGGGGTACCAGTGATTCAATCATCATAGATTATTATGATTTATAATAGCAAACTTGTAAGCAATTCCCTAATATCAAATGTATATTACACTTAATTTAAAAACTGTGTTACACAGAACAATTGCTTTTTAATCACTGCATGAATTAAATTAAATAGCACCATACTGTGATCCCACATTGTGCTTTAGTGATAAAAAAAGAAAACTGATTCATACTATGATTCTTATGTATATTCATATGATTATTAAAAAAAAATTTCAATTTTCTCTATCACAAGTGTTTACTTTTACAGGGCATAATCATACATTTGGTATAATCATAGGCAGGGGGAGCCATTCCATTTTCACTTCTTAAAAAATAAGTAGAGGGATTTGTTAATTGAATAGTCAAGTCTCTACAGAAAAAACTTCTTAATTTAAAATATGATAGTATGGAAGTAAGCACTATTATTGGCTAAAAATTCCCATGGATATAAGAACTAAATAGGAATCATTACAAGGAAGTTACAGGTTACCTATACCAAATGTTAATTCCATAAACTGCAGTAAAAATTTTAAAATAACATCAAACAGAGAACATACCTTGGGTGAGAAATGTTCTAAACTTCATAGATCAGTTATTTAATTACAATATACTACAAAGATCAGCAGGTGTACTCTTAAATCATCACTTTGGTATTCACAAATTATTAGACTTGTAACAAATATTATATTTAACCAAATATTAGGTTTTTTAGTTAAATATTAGGCAATAGCAGCCAGTGGACAACTAGAAAATATGCACATATTTGTATAAATGATTATTTTTTACTCATTTGTTCAAATGTATGTATGTGCCTACAATTCTCACACACCCTGCTACATTTGTGTTCACAAATGCAAAAAAACTCACTTCCAAATTTTAGTTAAGATAATTCAGTGAATAGACATTTCATAGATTTTTTTATTTTTGTAATACAGAATACAGAAGTGCCATGTGCCCTTTACTAATGATTATAAATTCATTATTATATATATTCTTTACTGCACTTGTAAGTTACATATAAAATAATGTATTTATAAATGTTGTGAGCAAGGGCGGACTTATCTCTGACAGAGCTCTCTTCCAGTCAACCCAGTACAGTAGGAAAGCATTTCGTTAGCGAGCAGCTGAAGTGCTACAACTATTAATACATAAACAAATATACAGTTAAATAATTATAACTTATAACATAAAACACCATTTAATATTTTCCAATTATTTGATTACAACAATCATTAAATATTTGTTATATGGCTGAATATGATAAAAGTAACCTAATAAACTGAATATTTAATAACTGAATATTTCTTACAATACTAAAAACTGTACTAATATGCATATGTCAAAATAGCATTCAGAGTACTGAATAATCCAATTACAATATTCAGTTAATTACAATAATAAAATTTCAAGAACATCTAAACTAAATTTTTAATATCAATCAGTAAAGTAGTATTTATAAACAATAAAAGGTAAATAACCCTATTTTAATTTCATTTTAACTAGCTGTATCCTGTGGTTTTATTGTGGCATTAAAGAGCATAGGCTATCTTTATAAGTTACAGAACTTTCCTTAAGAGTTAAAGCATACAAAAAGACTTTTTCCAAATCTGACTAGTAGTTTCATAGATTAACATGTTCAAACAAACTCTATTATATTAGTCCCTACGTAAAATTTTGATGAAAATTTATAAAACAGTAATCAGTTTTATTCTTTATTATACACATTTTAGCATTTCCTTACAACTTTAATGAATTTCACCAATTGTTTATTACTATAGATCATAGATACAGAATACCTATAGAACATAGGTATCAGTGTTGTTTGTGATTTTAAAATTTTCTTAAAAATAAATACTCATCTGACAGTTTCCATGAGGAAGATAGGGTATGACCATTATACACCAATATCATATCTAGTACAAACTAATAAATTAATTAAATCCATAGTAATTATAAAATTTAAGCACTAAGATGATCATTTAACATATAGGTAAATGTTATTGTCACATCAATAGCTTATGTACTTACATTACCTAAATTTATAAATAAGTAAAAATAAAAATAAATGTCCTTAAACACTTGTTTATATATGCATTTTAACAAAACAGCCGACATGGACAAGACATACTTAAGTGTTTCAGTAATCATGTACATAAGAAAGTAGGTAACAATGGGACAAACCGCAAACCGGAATAATATAACGATTTCAACTAAACAAATATTTAAATTAAAAAAAAATAATATTAATAAAAATAAGATATAATAATACAAATACCAAATAAACAGTAGAGATTAGAGATAAGATTAACTTACTGAAAACGCCACACAAGATTGTTCACAAAATGGACACCATACTCAAGAAATAGATTCAAATTCTTCAGAAAAGATAAAGCAATAAAGTTATTAAATAGACAGACTTTAAAAGAGTACGTATAGTTAATACTATTTAATTGATATACTATTCGAGATTCGTCTTATAAATGCATATTTTTCACACCGCGTTAAAAATTCGTAACAACGCCATTACACACACCGTCCATTTTGTTTCCTTTCCCAAATTCTAAGTAGGGTTAGTGATGTATAATCGATTATTATAAACGATTGTATACAATAACATGATCTATAAGTTCATGATAAACGATTAATAGATAATTCGAATTCGAGGTAATAAGAATTGAATCAATATGTAATTGCTTCAATTCTTATTACCTTATTTTTTGTATATTAAACATATTAAAAACCATAATAACAAGAACTTCAAACGAAATTCAAACAAAGAATAGCAGATCACTCCTAAAATAACATAAATTTTATTAAAATAATAATAAATATACAGATTACTTCTAAAATAACATAAATTATAATACAAAATTAATAAACCGATGATTAATGTGGAAGAAGCAAAAGAGATTTGTTTGAATAAAAGCATTTGGCGTTCCATTGTTTCTGCTTACATTAATGGGAGACAGGTGTTATAGACTGTGACACAGATATGTATGTATTATATTAAAAAACTAAAATCCTACTACTGAAGTCATGCCCTAAAAAATACGAAACAAGAAAATATGATCAAAATTTAACTATTTTTTTTATTATTTTTATATAAGCCATTAACTGTCCATTGCTGAACATAGGCCTCACCCATTAGGAGAGGTTTTGCAAGTAGTTGCTACGCTTGACAGACGGATTGGCAACTGCAGTTAAGCTCTTGGTAATTTTTTAAGAGAGACGCTACTGCCCATCCCTGACCTTTAAATTTCCTTAGTAGCCCCCTTACGACACCTACGCGAAAGGAAGGGGTGGTACATATTACCCCGGGACCGCACGGAAAACCTTACCGTTTATTATACATTAAATAAAAAAGGAATATGTATATTGAATTTTTATTAATTTCAAAACTATTGAACAGGGGGGGGAAGGATTCTTAGCAATGGAGACTGAAAATCCCATTGATAGCAATATGCCCAACCAGGTCGACCTCCTCGCGGTTCCCCCTGGAAACTATTATTGTTAATTCCTGATGAATTTATCATGATGGGCTAACTGGCCTGTTTTCATTCTCATCTATCACGCTTCACTGGTGCTCCGTCAGCGTATCCCATTAGCGCAGGCGGAGTTACCGTTACCATACCATTTTCACCCATAAAAAAAACTACCGAACGAATACTACAATTTAGTTATATCATTTCCACAGCTATAATATGTCTGTGATCATTCCTTATTGTATAAGCAATTAATAAATAATACTATTTCAAATTGAAAAAAGAAATTACTATTAATTGTTAATTAAATGAATGAAAAATATTTAAACTGTAGGTATAAAACACGATCAAATAATAAATGTGACAGCAAACACGGGTTCGCTAGTAAGACATAGACACGCGAGTACGAACTCCTCTTATTAGGGGGGAAAGGGATTGTTAGTAATGGAGACTGAGAATCCCATTGCTAGCAATATAACCAACCAGGTCGACCTCCTCGCGGTTCTCCCTGGAAACTATCATGGTTAATTCCTGGCGAATTTATTATGATGGACTAACTGGCCTGTTTTCATTCTCACCTATCACCCTTCACTGGTGCTCCGTCAGCATATCCTGTTAGCGCAGGCGGTGTTACCATACCTCTTTCACCAATAAAAAAAACCCCTCTTATTAATTTTTTTGCGACACCTACCTACTCTTCGGGCTTTCGCTTACAATAATTAAATCATTTTTATTTAAGGAAATGTTATACTTGTCTGCAAACGATAAAATTAATAAGAAAAATATTAATCCCATATTTGGGTTCAACCACCGAGCATATACCAATACATCTTACTATCTTGCTATACAGTGCGACTGGGAAGCAGCATCTTACCGTCTACCTTTTATAATGGTACGCCACAGGAAGCCAGTCACCACTCCAAAGCCACTCAGGGCAATGATATTTTGTGTTACTTACTTGTTTTATTGTAAATTTTTATAAATTTAAATGTATTACATTATGAAATAGGTCTTTTATGACAATAGTTGATATCGATATTTTAGACAGTGGCACAACACTGTGAATATAAATTTTTTCATTGTGTTGTTACTTCAAAAAGGTAACATACAAAACATTTTCCAAATTTTGTGAATAACTTTTATAATACAGTGATTATTTGTTCAGTAGTTTTTTAATGGATGAGAATCAAAAGGAAACCTCTTCGTCACCATCGGTATATTCTGGCGAAGTACCAGAGATGATAGGTAAAGATAAAAATAGGTCAGTTAGCCCACCTTGACGAATTCCACAAAAAATTTCCAAGGGTAATATGGTGTCGAGGTTGACATGATAAGGTATATTACTAGCAAATTATTTCCTTTCGTAAAGGAATTCACACCAAGTAGCCAGTCAAATTGAAAAAGCTCACGATCAAAATTTTCCCCCCGCTTCTAGGTCGCTTTATTTTAGTAGGCTTTGATTCGTTTTGAAACACCCAAACCGTGTACTAGCGCTTTGTTTCTGGATCGTATTAATAAATCCAGGATTCATCACCTGTAACGATGTCGTAAACACGCTGAGACGAGCCTGCTTCAAATTTGTCTATCATATCATGGCACCATTCCACCCTTGCCAGTTTCTGAACATCAGTGAGGATGTGCGGCACCCAGCAGGAAACTATCCTCCGCACCTGTAGATGCACGTGTAGAATCTCGTATAGGCTTTCTGGTCCAATCTGCAGTATATGCTGAATCTCTTGGTATGTAACTCGTCTATTGTCTTGGATCAAATTTTTCACTGCTAGCACGTTTTTTTCCATAACAGACGGCTGTTTGACGGCAAAGGGCGACCACTTCTTTTTTCATCCTCCAAAGTTAGTCGACCGCACCTAAATTCATTATACTAACGATACACGGTTGCCTTAGAAGAACCTTCATCCATGAATGCCATTTGAAGTCTATCGTACGATTCGTCCGGTTTCAGGCAATATTTAAAATCGTAAAAAAACATAGCTCGAAAATGTTCTCGACACAAATCCATTTTTCAATGAGACACGATAATTTTAATTAGCTCGTAAAAGATGTGGAGGAAAATTTTGAATTTAGAACGTACCTATTTTTACTTATAAGTAATCATATTTTTAAATAAATTATTACTAGCCAGTCTCATACATAAAAACTTTTTCTCGCAATAATTTCTGAGTGACCTGGTATTGACAATTTGTTTTATAAGCTTACTAGCAACTAGCTAGGACCCGCCTCGACAGCATGGGTATAATGTAGAAACAATAAGGTGTCAGTGTGAAATTAGTAATAATATTACTATTATATCCATCTAAATAACTTTCCAAACTCTACATAATTTCAATATATTTTTTTTTAAATATTAAAATTATTATAGAAAGCTAGTTGTATAATATAGAATGCCAACGCTAACTTTGTTGTAGTCCTAATAGTTGTTAGTAATGAGATCTAACAAGCCCATTACTAACAATATATCTTAACAGATCGAAATCCACACGGTTTCCCCTGGAAAATAATATAGTTATGCTCTGTGGAATTCGTTACGATGGGCTAACTGACCTGAAATGAAATGAAATGGTAACCCCGCCTGCGCTAACGGTATAAGCTGGAAGGCATCAGTGACCGATGATAGATGAGATAAAAAGACAGGTCCGTTAGCCCATTGTGATGAATATACCTGGAATTCAGCACGATGGTTTCCAGGGGGGAGGGCCATATGGAAGTTGGTCTAATAACAACAATATACCCTATAGTTAGCAATGGGACTGGCAGTGCGTATTACTAACAATCCTTTCCCCCTTCTATCCTAGGTATTACTCCCGCCGGCTCTCTTCAAGCCTTGCTAGAAATGTTGTATGCATTGTATATTTTTTTAATGGATGCTAATGAAATGTGTACATCACGTCCATTTTAACCTCAAGCTATGAACAGTCCTGCACCCTAACTACATCACAGTATGGAGGAAGGCAACACTGGTAGTGTCCGAAATTGGAAAGACACCGTCGTAAGTTAAGGAAATTGTTTAACATAGCCATGAACATACAGTCACAAGAAGACTGGAATAAATACACAACATCCAAAAAACAATATAAGAAACTCATAACAGACCAGCCAGAGAAAGCAAGAATGCTGGAGGCGTAGCTGTACAAATATAGAAAACAATAACCAGGCGATTAAAGTAAAATCATGTCTCTTTAATAAAAAAGATCATACAATAGAACACAGAAACAACGAAATTGCTACTAACCACACATTTTTCAGGTTTTCAGACCACTGCTGAGTGGTCATGGGAACCATACAAGGAAAGAGAAACCAGCAGCTCGGACTGGGAAGTAGCAAACAGAGTTATAGATAAAGAAAAACTACTATGGGCAATCAGTACCTTTTTATCATTCAAAGCGGCAGGCCTGGATGGAATATTTCCAGCCCTTCTGAAATGGAGCGGGAGCATCACAGTTGACTACTTAGTACAGCTGTTCCGAGCGTGTATAGCTCACCGTTACATACCTTTGAAATGGCGTGAGGTAAAAATTATATTTATTCCCAAACCAGGTAGACGAGATTACACTGTGGTCAAATCCTTTCGATCTATCAGTCTCAGATCGTTCTTTTTGAAAGCTTTGGAGAGACTATGTGACAAAGAAATTAGATGTCAAGTCTCCTTGTGCAAACCTTTACACCTAACCAATGTGCTTACAGTGAAGGCAAGTCAACAGAATCAGCACTTCATAACGTAGTATCCCGAATAGGCAATGTATTGTAATCGAAGCAGTCAACCTTAGGTGCATTTATAGACATCGAAGGGGTATTCGACAAAACAAACTTTGCCAGTATTAGTCGGGCACTAGCTACACATGGACTAGAAATAACACATAGAGAATGGATACATAACATGCTTAAACAACGAGCTATACAATTTACTGTAAATACTACACGAGGAATCGTCGGTAGGGGCTGTCCACAAGGCGGTGTACTGTCACCACTATTGTAGAATATAGTCGTAAATGAGCTCATAATAGAGCTCAATGGTAACAGCCTCTACACGGTAGGTTATGCGGATGATATAGCTGTACTTTTAACAGGAAGTTTCGAAAGTACTCTGTGTGATCGCATGAGAATAGCTTTTGAAATAATTGAGAGATGGTGCGTATAGCATGAACTCTCGGTTAATCCTACAAAAAAATTATTATGACTATTTATTACTACAGAATTAATTATGTTTACAAATAGAAGAGTTACATGTCCTTACAGACTATCAAAACTCTTCAATACGGAACTGAAACTTAAGGAAGAAGTCAAGTACCTTGGCATTATACTAGACAATAAATTGCTTTGGAATAAACATCTTGACTATAAACTTAACAAAAGCACAATTGCATTCTACCAGTGCAAAAAGATACATAAGAAAAAGGGGTCTTTCGCCAAAAATAACTCTATGGCTATACAAAGCCGTAATCATGGTGTGCTGATTTGGTGGCTGAGGACAAAACTATCGACCACTGCCGCCAAACTAAAAAGCCTTCAGAGACTGGTTTGCTCTTCTGTCAGCGGCTGCATGAAAACAGCTCCTACAATAGCAATAGAATTGGCCCTCAACATAACACCCCTAGACCTGCACATACAGCAGGAAGCGGCCTTAGCCGCTATCCGACTAATACATCTGGATCTATGGGGTAAAAATCACAACAGTTCCCACACTTCTATTCTGAACCAGGCAATCGAATATGAACCTTTGATTGCGGCTCCGTGTGACAGGACTCATAATCATTATACGAGGTCTGTCCGGAAAGTTCGTATAAAAGTGTTCTGGAATGCGAGAAAGAGGAGTGGGGAGGCCAGGTAAGCGCAGGACCCCTTCCTTATGTCCCTAACAATGCTTCAGTTCTGGTCTGACCGCCGGGCTTGTCACGCCATCTGTGAACCTCTAACGAAACCCCGTCGGCATCCCGCTTCCGTTGAAGAGCAAATCAAGTTTCTCTCGAAACTCGGCAAGATAGAAATTTTTGCCGATCTCAGAACAGTTTAATGATGCACCAACCGTCCACAAGTGGCTAAAAAGATTCAGAGAGGGCCGAGACGTTCAAGATGACCCACGTTCAGGACGTCCTTCCACTTCACATTCCGACGAAAACGTGGAAAGAATTCGAACTTGTGTTAATGGGGACCGTCGTTTAACGGTCAGACAGGTGGCTGAAGAGCTTAATTTGGGCAAAACCGTGGTCCACAAAATTCTAAGAAACGAACTTCAAATGAAAAAAATTTGCGCCAAGATCGTTCCGTGAGTTTTTGAGTAAAAATTCCATTACGGTGACCAAACACCCCCCCTATTCGCCGGATTTGGCCCCGTGTGACTTCTTCTTGTTCCCAAAAACCAAATTGGTACTTCGGGGGCGGCATTTGGGGGACATAAATGAGATAAAAAAAGCTACGACGGGGCAGCTGAGAACAACCAGAGGACTTTCAAGGATTCTCACAGTGGAAACGGCGTTGGCACCAGTGCATTATGTCACAGGGGGAGTACAAGGGGATAAAATCCTGAATAATTGTATATAAAAAACTTTTATACGTAACAAACCTCGTATATTTAACAAAAAATACCAAGTACAAATAAAAGAAGAGGAAAAACACCAATCTGGTGTACATGAATTACGCATATACACCGATAGCTCCAAAACTGAGAACGGTTCAGGAGCCAGAGTCTTTTCCTTAGACCTTAATATAAACATGCACATACCGCTTGGCATACACAGCTCAATATTCCAATGCGAATGAGTAGCAATAACCGACGCTGCTGCTGCTGTACATAAGTTAGGAATAAATGGTATTGGCATTAGATTCTTATCTGATAGCGCAGCAGTACTAAAAGCATTACGAAACAATAAGACAAACAACAAATTAATAATTGAATGCCACCATTCCCTGGATATCTTCCAATAACCGAGTTATCTTCCAATGGATAAGAGGGCATAGTGGATCTTATGGTAACGATGCCGCAGACGAACTAGCTAGATGAGGTTCAGGAACGGGGGTGGTAGGCCCGTATCCACTTCTTCCTCTTCCGTTCTCGCAATTTCAAATATGAATTCGTCAAAGATCTGCTGACATACAAAACCAAAAATGGATACAGGATACTGATTGCAGACAATCAAAATTAGTCGTTCCTACGTTAAATCAACGACTATCAAAACGTTTACAACATCTAGATAGGAAAAACCTCAAAATAATGATAGGGACAATAACGGGCCATTGTCCATTAAACAAACATTTATACACAATAGGAGCTACAGACAGCCCTCTATGTCGAAGCTGTTTCGACGCTGAAGAAACGGCTGCTCACGTAATCCTGGAATGTGAAGCTGTGGCCCATCAACGTTTAGAAATCCTCGGAACAGTGAGGTCGCTCCGTGAGGCCAGTGAAGATCCCAGGAAGCTTCTGTGCTTCTGGGCGGAGCTAGGTTGGCTGTACTAACCAAGACTCATACGCACAACGGCCCAAATGAGAGGCTAAGCGCGAAAAATAGAGTCCTATTTCCTTTGCATTACATTATACTGTATATTATAGCCATTCATCTATGTCATCTTTGACTTGCTAAAGTATATGTGATATCGTTACTTTACTAATAGAAGAGTGGGAGAGGATCGTCCCTACATTACGTTTGTCTGTACGAGGAAGCTAGTTTTGAAATTTCTTCCTCATTTTTGATATAGGAATTGATTTCGACTAAATTGGTAGTGCCAAAATAAAAAAAAATAATAAAGAAAAATGTCGGATATAGGTACATTTTTTTACAGAGGTTATAGCAGTATATTATGCAGTGGATATAGACCTACCATAATCTAAGGATCTAATACATAATAAGTATTACGTCTATATCTACTCCATATTCTCAAATTTGTCACTTCACTGGTATGGTGGTAAATATACTACGTTTAGATTTATCTGTATTACGTTGCCACTTATGAACTTTTTTCCACTTTTTCAAGATAATAAAGGATTGCTTTTTATTGTTTATTTAGGCCAAAGTAATTTATTAGATACTGTCGATGGTAGATAGAATATAAAACCTATATTACTGCTGATAATGTATGTATTAGTGAAAGAATTTCAAAATCAGTTAAGTAGTTTTTTGAGTTAATACATTACAAATAAGCAAAAAATCAAATTTTTCCTCTTTGTAATATAACTATAAACGTAGAAGTACAAATTTGTGACAATTCCATTATGCTAAGAGGAAGTATTTTGTTGGTATCGGTGCACTGACAAAGTAATATACATATTTATTTATTTATTGACCACATTACAAAAAAATGTCATACAAAAGGCGGACGTACATACACTTCTATCCAGATTATTAATTCTTATGCTATTAATATCTAAGGTTTTTTTTTTCGAAATATATCTATAATTTGTTTCAATGAAAATGAAAATCTGTTGACATTCAAGAGTAGTAAAAATAAAAATCTAATAATCATTTTAATTTATTTTATTTAGACAGTGTTTCTGTGACAATTTCAACAAATTCTAATTTAATTTTTTATAAGTTCTATTGGAACACAAGTACATTATTTATAAAAGATGATTATCCTAGAAATAAACTATTTTTAAACAATGTAGAGCCAGTGTTACCAGGGATAATGTAAATATCTTAACTATATCAGATATATGTAAATCTGTTCAAATATTTAAAATTTGTTGTGGGATAGAAAAACTCATATATACATAGGTACACACACAAACACTGAAAATATTCTTTTTTTTCTTTCATATAATTTCACTATAGACACAAAATTTTTTGAAAAACAAAATGAACATTCCTAACATGAACATAAAAATGATTGTGAAACATAAGGAGTTCATTCTGAAGTGCCATTCCATAAATTTATTTAAAAAATTTATTTAAAATTTACACTATAGGGAGGTGAATTTCTTATAGACTAAATACACTATATATAATTTCAAATTAAATTAATATCATAAATTTAAATGCAATGCCGTAGGTGTTGTAGGTGACCATGGGTGGCGGTAATCACTTACCATCAGGTGAGCCGCATGCTCGTTTGCCCCCTGTGTTGTAAAAAAAAAGGTAATTGAAAAAACTAAATTTAATGGCATTACATGTGACAAACACATTTACTCATTTAAACATTTGGTCTAACTTTAGTACTTTCTCATCTTGTATATGTTCCATAAATTTCTATTTAAATTTCTGTCAAAAAAAAAAAAAAAATTATAATATCTCTTTTTAATGATCATAAACCATTTTTCTGGAAAAATCTCCTGTACAAGTAGTAGATAAAAATTAATAATAGTTATATTATCTCCCTATTTAAATAACTATTTTATTTATATTGTATTGTCTTCAATGTTTGTGTTTTTCCTGTTTTTAGATATTCAATGAATCTTATCACATCACCAATAAAATTGCAGTGTATTTTCCAACTTGACATTGACAAAAACATCAGAACCTCGATGGATCAATAATTCAAAAAAATATACACATGCAGTTTGTAACAAAAGTGGTTCTTTATAAAGGCATTTCATCACAAACACAATTGGCCACAAATAATTTTTATCACAATCTAAATAAATCTTCACTAGTGATGACACACATGTGACTAAATGTATTGTGACATGGCGCTTGTAATACATTTAAAGAATTTTTATTTTATTATCTTTATCCTTCATATATTTTTTCTTGTTTTGCAAGTTAATGATTATACTATAATATCAGATTTAAATTCTAGTTTTACAGATAAAAAATGATGTTGTAGAATCAATCACAACATATAGTGAATAGTATGTTTTTGAGCATCAGTTAAACTCTTCTATTTCAATTATTTATATAACATTTTAATGTTATTGGTACATTAATACAGTATTACATAGTAAAATATACTTAGCCCTTAGAAGAATAACACTGAAAATACAGTCACATTAAATTTTCTAAATTTTAATTTGTTTTCTCACAATATTACCAAATTATTTAAATTAATAATCAGTTAATTCAAACATCATCTATAGTTGGCAACCAGAATGCCATATTTGTACATGCTGAAGCTAACATCATATATTTAGGATTAAATTGAACACACTGTATAGGTGCTGGGTGGTCTCCATTCAAAACACAAACTTTATAACCAGTATCAGCGTTCCAAACATGGACTCTACCATCTGTTGACCCACTAAATATATACTGTGAGTCAGGACTAAATGAGGCTTCAATAGGTATTCCTTTATTATTAAGATGTCCAGTGAATGTCTGAAGAGGAGTTCCATGATAAGCATCTACTAGTCGGATGATTGAACCATTGGTGCTGATTAACATTGTTTTACCATCTCGGGAGAACTTTAGGCCAGTCCAATCACATTCCTTTTCTTGATTCAATTTAAATGTCACAAAAGGTCCTTTGTCAAATGAACGGAGATCATATAATTTAATGCTCTCTGAGTTAACACCTGCAGCAAATATAAGACCTTCAGGATCATAGGCTGCCACTGGTCTTCCTGACAAATGCATTAACCCTTGACAATTTGGTGATCGCAGATCCCATAATCGAAGTGTTTTATCCAAGGAACCTGATAAAAAAGTATCTACTACAGGTGACAAACATAGCGTTACTACTTTTTTCGTGTGTCCTGGAAAATATCGAATGTATTTATTGTCATGAAGCGACAAATATCGTATTGTGTCGTCAACTTTTGTAGAACTGTGGATTGCTGTATTCTTTGCATGTGTAAAATGTATCAAATCAACACCATATTTTTTACTGTTTACCGTTATCATTTGTGTACCCTTATCGCAGTCGTATATAACAATTTGATCATCTTCACTACAAGAAATTAATGTTTCTCCACTAGGGGAAAAATCTATACTATTTATTTTGTCTGTATTTTCTCGAAACACCTTCGCAACCTTAAAACTTCTAACAACCTGATCAACTAACTTCATCATTAATTAACTTTTTCGGAAACGATTATCAACTTGAACTTATTTAAAAATACCCTATGAAATTATTTGGTGATTAATACTTGATTTTTTCAAACAAAATGGATATTATTCAGTGAACATCAATAAACACTACAGAAAATGAATTTAGAGATGTTATAAACCGATTATTACAATGAATCGATTTATTCGATTAAAAAAATAATTCATTATCGATATATAGATTTAATCAATCCAGCGAATTGATATCTCATCCTAGAAAGTTGAGATTCTTTTTTTATATATTGATAATGAAACATAAAATTATTTACAATTACCTCAAACTCATTTCAACCGTAATCTACTGCTGAACATAAGCCTTCCCTATGAGGAGTTTTGAGGAGGTTGGTAATCATAGTTTTTTGACGAGTGAAAATGGTATGGTAACCCCGCCTGCACTAACGGAATAAGCTGGCGGAGCACCCGTGAAGGGTGAGAGATGAGAATGAAAACAGGCCAGTTAGCCCATCATGATGAATTCATCAGGAATTAACTATGATAGTTTCTAGGAAGAACCGCGAGGAAGTCGACCTGGTTGGGTATATTGCTAGCAATGGGATTCTGTCTCCATTACTAACAATCCCTTTCCCCCCTGGTAATCGTAGTTAAGCTTTTAGAGATGTTTTAAGAGGGACTCTGCTTCCACCAATCCTTCTACCATTACCATTAAGTTCCCTTACGATATTCACAAGAAAAGAAGGGGTAGCCCTATTTTATGCTGGGACCACACGGCTTTTACATTCACAATTATTTGAATGTATCTAAATAAATGTAAAAATGCAATAACGAAAAAATATGTAAAATTAATATAAAAAATAAATGATATACTTAAAAACTAAACAAAAATAATAAAATATCGATTATTTACGGTTACCGTATCTCTATAATTGAATGTTAATTCATATTAAAAACCGATCCGAAAAAAAAATTAAAATCTCGTTTTTATAACCTTATTCAAATACCAATCAATAATTGACACAACAATAATTAATACAACCCTAATGTAAAGAACGAAATTATTTCTTTTGAATTTATTTATGACCATGGAAACCATGTAATTAACATATTAAACATTTTCTTTACACTTACCTGCTATGAATTGAGAAAAATAGGAACTGATGGTGTAATGCAATGTAGATTGGACTCCCTTTTCCGCACTTATCTCTCTCTAGCCTCTCATTTAGGCCTTTGTGCGTATGAATCGTGGCTAGCATAGCCAACCTAGCTCCACCCAGAACCACAGAAACTTCCTGGAATCTTCGTAGGCCTCACGGAGCGACCTCATTGTTTAGAAGATATGTAAACGTTAATGGGCCGCAGCCTCACATTCCAGGATAGTCGTTTCTTTGGCGTCTAAACAGCCTCGAGATAGAGGGCTGTCTGTGGTTCTTATTGTGTATAAATATTTGTTTAATGAGCAATGGACCGTTATTGTCCTTATTATTTTAAGGTTTATCCTATCTAGATGTAATAAACGTTTTGATAGTCGTTGATTCAACGTTGGCAAGGCCAATTTTGATTGTCTGCAATCTGTATCCTGTATCCATCTTTGGTTTTGTATGTCGCGGATCTTTGACGAATTTGCGAGAACGGAAGTGGAAGAAGTGGATATGGGCTTACCACCTTTGTTCCAGAACCACTTCTAGCTAGCTTGTTTGTGGCATCGTTACCATAAAATCCACTGTGCCCTCTTATCTACTGGAATATAACTCGGTTATTAGAAGATATCTTATTCAGTGCCCGGTGGCATTCAATTATTAATTTGTTATTTGTCTTGGAAAAGACTCCGGCTCCTGAACCGTTCTCAGTTTAGAAGCCATCTGTATATATGCGTAATCCATGTACTTCAGATTGGTCCTTTTCCTCTTCTTTTATTTGTACTTGATATTTTTTGTCGAATATATAATGATGAAGAGTCCAATCATACGGACCTGCAATCAATGGTTCATATTCGATTACCTAGTTCAGAACAGAAACGTAGGAACTGTTGTGGTTATTTTGACCTCAATTTTGAAATTATTTTTTTTCTTGATATTCTTTGGGTGACTGGATTCAATCAATCTAAACCATATTGTAGCTTAGGCTAATGTTAATATGCCCTAATATTTTGAAATATGTAACCCGCAGGATCTGCGAGTTATGAAGATTCTAAAAATTTGGTCAGGGTTGCTACCTGCTCTTTAGATCAAAATTATTTTATATTCAATAGTTTTGGTACATAATTAGATAGAATCGATTGTTAATTATGATAATCAAAAGTAGCCTATGTATTGATCCAGACTATAAACTACCTGTGTGCCAAGTTTCATTAAAATATTTTCTGTAGTTTTTGCGTGAAAGAGTAACAAACATACATCCATATAAACTTTCGCTTTTTCAATAATAGTAAGATAAGATAGTCAGGTGGATTTATTCTTATAATTGTATTTTAAATTCCTCATAATAATTTGAAAACATTTTCAAACATGAAAATAACGGAATTTAAAAATATCTGCGTGGCAACCCTAAAACCATAGAAAGTACAAAACTCGAGAAGCTTGTAACTCAAAGATCCTGCACTATTAGGATTTGATTTTCTTTCGTGTTACTGGTTCTATAGGAGGCTAGTTATTTATCAAGGTTTTGAATCCAGCTAGGACAAGATATAGCTATAAAAAAATAAAACTTAAAATAACGTTTTTATTTTTTATCTCGCGTATCTTTCATATGTTACGGTTTATATTTTTGTGTTATTTGTGTATGTTAAAGCCGCATATAAGGACACCAGTAGATTTACAGAAACACATATGGAATCGAAGATTTTAATAATTTTAATTTTTTCGAATATTTACAAAAACAATCATATCTTTTAATCAAAGCATATTTGAACATCGGGAGTTCTACTCTTACTTTTGTAATGATCTATTCTACAAAATAAAAATATAAAAAGAGGATGGTTGTTTTTTGGCTCAAAAAACACACTGTGTGTCGCCATATAAAAAATAAATGTAACATGATGACATATCTTAAATTTACTCTTTCAATTTCCTTGATCCTGTAATCCCTAAACTTCCTATTAATACTAGTTTTGTTCGACGTCGCTTTCCTTACTTGTTCGTTAAACTTGAAAATGGCTAACGGTATTCCTAAAAAACCACAACAAAAGACAAAAAAGTCTCTGTAATCTGTGCTAACCACAGGTTATATAGACTATGTCACTCTATACCTAATCTGTAATTATCATCAATCAAGAGATATCATACTGAAGACTAGGCAGCATGGTCTCCGACCTTAGCCTGTTCCATAACGGAACAAACGTACTAAAAAAATCAATGAAAAGATTTATAATCTGAACTTTTTAATTTATACCATATATTGGTCGAAGAAAGTAAAAAAATTTAATAAGAACCATGATTAACAAGTTTATTCGTACTTATACTAGGAGTGTAACACAAAGAAGAAATGTATTACCAGTTTTCAATCGTTTCCTCTCAAATAAAATAGAAGATACAGTTACACATACTGGACAGGTTTGTACAATTCATTAGACTCATTTAAATCTGCTATTTTGGTATTAAATCTCGTATTTTTATTTTATTATAAACATAGGTAAATACAACATGCTTATGTAACATTTACTTGTCATGACCATCTGTCATATATGAATTTTATTTAATTATATACAATTTTTTCATAGTATATTATGAAAAATATATAACATTAAATCATCAATACTAAATAACATTTAGTATTATTTATTTTCTAATAGCCTTTATCATTCATCTGACATATCAACTTAGAGTATTCCATAAAAAATACCAACACAACTTCATTACCCATTCACCTCAGTCAAAAGATGTTGTACAGGAGGCAGTTGCTTTGGAATCTAAACCCAATTTATATATATTTATATAATACACTCATTGTCGTATTTACGTTTATTTTCCAGAAGTAGCTTGGCCCTTTAAAGTAGCCTAAATATCTACTCTCTGACATGTCTTTAAGCATAGCTGAAAGCTTCCCTCGCATCCAAGGTGGGGAAAGATCACCTCCCGGAGGGTAGGAATTATATAGCCAACCAGGTTGTTCTCCACACGGTCTTCTCTGGAAATCATCATATTTCATTCCTGATGAATTTGTCATGATGGGCTAACTGAACTGCCTTTTCTCTCCCATGAACAGTTGTCATCTAGTTACAATTTTATTATATTATATGTTTAGTTTTATATATTTATAATTATAATATAGTCATATACAATACATTATCTGAATGATTAACAATATATTTCACTGTTTTCTTAAATATCTTGAATAATTTGAATAATATTTAATGCACAAATTTATTAAAATGTTAAAATATTTTATGCACAAATATTTTCTGATGTGACTGTATATGAATACTATGTAAGTTAAAACTCTGTTTACTTATCTAAGATTTGATCATGAAGAAATTCAGTTGCAAAATACTTAATGGAAATTTAAAAATGTAACTTTAAAAATATTGTTTTTCTAAAAGTTATTTCTCACAATCTATTAAATATAAATTATTTTGTAAATGTGTTCTAATTATGAGTTCTTTAACCTAGTATTTTTCCAAAAGTGTGGGTCGCAGCCCCCCTAAGAGTCCTCAAGCCCCTACAAGGGGGTCAAAGATTGTCACAAAACTGTAAAAAATAACAGTATTTTATGTCTGTTTATATAATTAATTTTGAATTATTTATTTAACCAATGCCTAACTATGAATATAAATAAAAATGTATGGATTTGATATTTGTAAAATAATAAAATATATACAGGTTAGGAACCGTGGATGATAGGGAGTTATAAAATATTTTTATATAATAAGTGGGTCGCGCTGTGACAAAAAATTAAAAACTAATCAACATAACAGTCATGAAAAAATTCAGTAACAAATTAAGTCTTATATATCACGGAGCATATTGATTTTGTCTATATGTTATATATTAGTTTGTGATATTTTGAAGACCCTCTCCTCCCCTCCCGCCCCCCATTCTTGAACGGGTTGCATAGTATTGGAATGATTTCTTATTAGTCATTTTAAAATTAATAGATACTTATAATTATATTTGTACTTTTCAGAAATGGGAATCTGATGATTACAGATTGGTTAGATTTACGAATGCACCCAAGCAAGTAAACCCCAATTGGGCAATAAATCTAATAGCTGAAGTTCCACCTAAAGAAGTCACGGAAAGAGTAGTATGGTGTGATGGAGGCAGTGGCCCAGAAGGACATCCACGTATCTATATTAACTTGGTATGTTTAGATTTATATTTATTTTTCCTTACATTTACTATTTCATATCACATTATTGTGTTTTTAATATAGTTTATTATAATTGTAATTATTCATATCGGTCTTACTTACATGTTAAATTTGAGGAAGCCCGAACAGCTCACACAGTAGTCCACATAATTTTTTTAAGTTTTTTTAAAACAAATTAAAAATTGCTATTATAATTTTTAAGTGTCTTTTTACAGGATAAGCCAGGTGATCACTCTTGTGGATATTGTGGCTTGCGATTTGTAAAAAAAGGTCAACATTAAAGCATCATCGAGGAAAACTGGAATTGATTAGCAAGTTTGTAGCTTGAAAGTACCTAACAACAAGTTGTCTTTATAACATGTATAAATATGTTATTTAAAAAATAAATGGCTTGTAGCAAGTTTTAGTTACATAAATTAAAAAAAGTCTTAGATTATTTATACTTAGTAAAAATTACAAGGAAAGTAAGTTTATGGGGAGAGGACTTTCTATTATATGAAATTATTGATTCATTCCAAGAGGTAATTTTTTTATGCAACTGTGAATGGCACACAAGTTGACGGCCCACTTGATGGATAGTGGTAATCGTTGCCTATAGACATGATCAATATTATGAACACGACAAAGTATACTGTTTCACTTATGATACCCCCATGCGTTGCTGATTCCTGAGGACTAAGGTGTTATGCCTCTGCACCCTGTAAATGTGTGTTACTGCTATATTGTTCATAATTATATACTTATATAAAAAAAAGTATACATTTACTTGAATGACAAATGTGCACGATGTTAATCGATCATGCCCCATGCATGCTTTTTAATAACCATGTAATTTTAAATATTGTACATTTAAATAATTACACATAATGTTAATACAAATTCAAAAGTTGAGTTTCCGTAATCTTTCAACAAATAACAATATTTCGAATTTTTAGATTTATAATAAATGAAGATTTAAAAGTGCATAAACAAGTCTGTTTAAATAAGGATGATTTAAATATATTTAAGTCGACCGATGGACTAATTTTACAATATTTCATAATACATAACAGATAAATAAGGGAAGAAGAAGGAATTATTAGTAATTGGGCTTTATAATCCCATTGCTAGTAATATACCCAAATCAGGTCGACCTCTACGCTGTTCGCCCTTGGAAACCATCGTAATTGATTTATTGTTGAATTCGTTATTCGAACTAACCTGCTTCATCCTCATCTATTATCCTTCATTGGTGCCCCGCCAATTAATACCAATAACACAGGCGGAGTTAGCATTATATTATCATTCATAAAAAAAACCATTACTAGAAAGGGAAGGGATTGTTAGTAATGCGACTACCAGTTTCTTGGCACGGTCCAAATTCGAGCTCCCCATTTTTGATTATAAAGTACGATATACTAAGTCTGCCCGCCCCCATTCGTTTTTAATATAACGTAAGGTTAACGTAAATTATTATTATGGTACATATATTATTTCAAATCTGCTTACCCAAATTATCATCGAAAGAAAACAAATCTATTTACAGATTATTTTATTTACGCAATACATTTGTACATAGATAAATTATTGTATATATACACTTACTCAAAATGTAATCAAAAAATAAAAACGTATTTATAGTTATCTAAATAAAATCTGCACATTATATAGGTACAGTATTTTATTTCAAATATTTTGCAACTCACGTGGACAAAATTTTAAAAAAGAAAAAACATCGAGACAGCATAGACTTCGACGAGAAAACATATAATAGCCGGTTTTAATATCATATTGATGTAAAAATTGATGTTGGAAAAAAGTTTACTATTTACAAATGTCGGAAGGTAGTTAAGAAAATGTCAAGTAAATTTAATTATCTTTAAACATTTTTGAATAATCATTTTCATTGATCTATTTAATTTAACGGATTCCTTATTGACCGGTTTATAAAATTAATATTATAACTAATTGCCATACTAAAAATCTATCACGCGAATGACTTCGTCAGAATAACTATATGGGCGGGGAGAGATTGTAATTTTGTCAAACAGCCTCATTCATTAGGTCGATCTCTACGTGGTTCCCCCTGGAAACCATCATGGTTAATTATTGCTGAATTTTTTACGATAGACCAATTGATCTTTTTCCATTCTCACTTCTTATTTGGTGGTTTGCTTGCCTATAGGCACAGATAACGGCTCGGACGGGGTTAACATTTCATCTTCATCTAATACTGGTTAGATGCGAGTTGAACTCACGCGCCGTAGGTTCGATACATAAATATATATGGCATAATATAACTTTTATTCCATTTTTAATACGAAATAAACATCTAATAATAATTATTATTGAAACTACGATTCGTAATTAAACATTTTTGGTCATAATTGCGGTAAAAATAACCGCATAACTAAATTTGTTTTATTTATGCAATATGGAAAGATGCAGAAAGTTGTATTCTTGGATACTGCGAAAATGATGCGCCGATTTTTCTCCTTGGGACCTGGAACTCCGGCGACTCTACTTCTGCTGGAGTTTACTTTGCTATCTCCCTTTCTTAAGAGATGAAGTGAATTTTCGCATAATAAAAAATTATGCTACATATAAATTTGCTTCTAATTTAATCCGAAAAGTTTTGAATGTACGCCTCTAAGCTTTGGGGCCTCTATGGTTTTATACTTCAATAGTATTTAAAAAATAGTTGGCTATCACTTCATACTGAAATATCCACCTAATACAGGAAATATTTAATCAATTGACACATTGAAAAGGCATACTTTTTCGATCATTGCAGATGAACATTGTTCATAAATTATGATATAAATGAAAAATTAAGAGCTACCTAGGAGAATTTATCTCTATCATCATCTTTGTTTATGTGCACTTTCTATATAACTCTATTCCATTACTTGATTTCCCCATTGGCATATTTAATATTACAGGGGGTCCTAGTCCTTTAAAGAAGGCACAGTATGTACTTTCAGATATATCTTTGCGTGTGGTTAAAAGCTCAATTTGCGTCCCGGAGTGGTTCGGTACGATCGCATCATTAAATACGTCTATGGATTTCCCTGATTTATTATGGAAAATTCTTCAGAACATCGTGCAGCAGTAGATATATTCTTTACATAAGTAAGTATGTTACAGTGCAGTATGTTTGGTATTTTTTTTTTTTATATTTTACTTTAACATTTTTTTAATTAGAATTTTTATCATTTCTTAATTCATTTCTAATCTCAATATTGGATTGCAAAAGTTCTTTCAGTTTTTCATTAATATCATCAGTTTTTTGTTCCAAGAAGTCCAATGCCAAATTTAATTCATCTAGTTTTGAATCCAGCGTATAATATTCTGTAAAATCAACAAATACACTTAATCAGAAGAACAGATCAAAAAATAATGTAGAATTACGGCTCGTCTTTCTATATACAAAAATAGAGTACGTATTTCATTAGTTTATATATTATAATAAGCATTTGTCATAAAGCCTATTTTCGATGTGACGAGAAGACAAACAGAGGATGTCGCTTAATATATTTTTTATAAAAAAAATAAATACCTAAGTAACAAATTATTTATATATAATACTAGCGACCCATCGACTTCGCACGGATGGATATTTTTACAACATTTTACATTTTTATTTGTACCTACCTAGCTACCTATTTCATAGATGTGCCCACCCCCACGTAGGTATGATTAACATGTACAACGCGACAGCGTTATTTTTTCTATTTCTATAAATTATTAAATTTGTAATATCTATTGAATGGAATAGCCGATTTGAACAATATGTTTAAAAATATAAACACGAAGCAATAATTATCGCTGAAAATTTGCTTTAATCGAAGCACATCTAAACGAAATGACCGCATGAATGACATAACAACATGCTTTTACTGTCAACATTTAAAAGTTTTAATTTGACAGCACAATCCCTATCTTAAAAAAGTTTGAATTTGACACAAAAATCCCCATTAACAAAATGATCCGCCATTTATTAAATTCATTTGTTACACTGGCGGTGCACTAGTGAAAAGTGACAGGTGAGAATAAAATAGGTGTTAGCCCATCGTGACGAATTGTTCACGATGGTTTCCAGGGGGAACCACGTGAAGGTCGACCTGATAGGGTTTATTGCTAGCATAGGTTCATTAGACTCCATTACTAACAATCCCTTTCTCCCCACGTGTGTATGTGGTGATGATACACATACAAAATCTAAAACTATAGATTTGGCAGTATATACCGAAAATTTAATGGCTAGCTTTCAGTCATGTGGGCCTAAAACCTTAGAATACGATTTTCAAAACACCGTAATTGCAGCACAGATCCTGCTATTAATTTTACTGTCACATTTGGTAATTTGGTTGGCATTGGTGCTCCCAAAATAGCGAAACTTGTTCACCTGCTTCAAGACGTTTGCCAACCAACCAAGTTTAATGGTCAGTATCTCGTGACCATCTACATACTAGTTCGACATTGAACATTCAAGACGTACTTGCAATAAGATTGGTGTCTCTGTTATGAATGAAATTCCTGCCGAGACAGTCAAAAGAACTTCCTTTACTATCACTGCAAAAACAAGGCGAATATTGTGGCTTTCTCGAAACGTCAGCAATAAAGAAGTAGGTATTTAGGTACTATATACCTGTAAAAGTTTTTTCATTGCTTTAAGCCCCGATTGTGTATTTAAAAATAGGTATTCGTGCTTTCTCTCACATTTGTAGAACAATGTATAGAAATCGTCACCGCCATAATTTTGCGGCTTTCCTACCATAAGCTTAACACAAATCGCCCGTTTATTTTGCTACTGTTTGATAGCAATGAGAACGTCGTACCTTGTTAGAGCTCGTCTCGTTTAAATTGTAAAATATTAATAGAACAAGTAATGCTGATTTTGTTCGAATTATCGAAATTAAAACAACAAACTGTCACTATTATTCAAAATGTCATCCTAACATTATCTAACACGATTGAATTTAAGCGTTTAAGAAATCCACAATTTAAAAAACGAAAATTATATACTCGCAACACTTCCGAGTGTTGCGAGTATACAAAATACCCGAGCAATCAAGAACTAAGCACACTAATCACGGAAACTTTCAATAAGGTCAGTTGTAAAGCGAATACCGAAAAGTAAGATATACTCGTATGGGAAATAGAGATACGTAGAGAGAACCGTTTGGAGAAAATGGATAAGAAGATAAAACCTACAGCAATTTCAGTAATAGTATCTTAGAGAAAGCTTTTAATATTAAAATTAAACAAACATTTTCCAGATAACATCTATGTTAGGAATGACTATCACAAAGGTAATTTTAAATAAGAGTCTTGAAACTCAAACTTGAAATTAAAGGACAGTAAAATACAAAACGAGAAAAGAGAACAATATCACCGCGTATTCTTCATTCTGGGTTTAAGTATTTAATACTAGAAACGGAACTTCAAGCAAAAACAATAATAAGCATACTTTACCTTACATAAAGATCCGATCACGTTCGGCTAGAAACAAAGCCAAACAATAACAATTAAACGACATCAAAAACCAGAACAACAACGCATATTATATGTACATAATATAAACCAATCACACGTTCCAACTTGTCTGGTTCTTGTGAGACATAAAACCACTATTCTCTAAAAAATTCTAAAATATGCACATACAATGTGAGATTTTTATCATCAACAAAATGCATCCTAGTACTAAGTAAGAGACTTTACTACTAGTACTAAGTAAGGCACCAGAGGTAGACTTTGTACAAAAGTCGTTCGCATGGGAGTTTTGGTTTGAAGGGTGGGATATGGCAGTGAATTTACAGAGTACAGAGGAATAACACCTGAGTCCTCAGGAATGGCAACGCATGGAGGGTATCATGGGCGAAACAGTATACTCTGTTATGTCCATGGTACTGCTCATGCTTATAGGCGACGGTTATCACTTTCTATCAGGTGGGCCGTCAGCTTGTTTGCCATCCTAAGTTGTATAAAACATGTCACTCCTGAGAATTAAAGCTGCGTTCACATACAGACGTCTGTTGTATGTACCAAATTTTAAAGAGAACTACATTTGTAGGCAAATATTAAAACATGAGCATTTACTTAGAAAATATATAATATCAAACGTAAAGGAATTGTGTTTGCATGGCTGTGTTTCGGTTTGAAGGGTGGGATATAGCGTGAATTTACAGGGTACAGAGAAATAACACCTAAGTCCTCAGAAATGGTAACGCATTGAGGGTATCATGGATGAAACAGTATACTCTGTTATGTCCATAATATTGCTCATATCTATAAACGACGGTTACCATTTTCCATTAGGTGGGCCGTCAACTTGTTTGCCATTCTAAGTTGCATAAAAAAAAACTTAATAAAATTTTATTATATTGTATTTTCTGAACAAGAAATGGTTGCAACATAATGAGTATGAAGATTATCTTCAATTACATGGAAGAAATAGCCAGTAAATATGGAGTAGGCTTTTTGATAAAGAAAAAGTTAAAATCCAACATTAACAAATTCACTGAACTGTCAAACCAAGTCGATCGAATCCATGTTTATGCACCAATAGAAAATGCTACAAAAGAAGAAATAGGTAACTTCTATTACAATTTAAGAAAAATGCAAGATCTATTAAATAAATGAGGAAAGAAAGAGGAATTGTTCGGTTTGATACCTGCTGCTGAATATCACCATCACACAACCTGCCACAAATTAAAGTTTCATCCTGAACCTCTTATGCTGAAAAACTGCCACTCATCCAGATGAGTGCAAGTCTTCCACTGCACATTTTTCAAAGCAATTTCTTCTATGCATAACAGATCATTTTTAAAGTAAAAAAAAGCAGTGCTAAAGAACAAAATTAACAATGTTCATGATATACATAGATATACATAGCAAAATGTATTAAATATAAAACAGATGTGGGTTAGCCATGTTTCTCGATATAAAGACTAAAGGTAGATTATTCTATCAAGAAAATTGTTGGGATAAGACAGAAGTGTTGGAAGGCCAAAACAAAAATGGGTCCATGACATTAAAAAATAGCTAATAAAATTTGCCTGTACCCAATATGGGCCAAATATCCAAGTTATTACCTAAAAAACTAACAGATATTCCCTAGTATTAACCACTGTGATTACCACTAGAGGTAAGTAATTAAAACAAATTGAAACTATTATATATGGATATGAGAATAAAAAAGCTTTATTATTATTTACAGGAATTGGACACAATGCATGCAAAGTCTAGCTGCATATTAACAAATTTCAGAATATCATATTAATTTCATTGTCTGCATGAAATATTCTAATAATTTTATTATTGGAGCATTTTATTTAACGTCGACATCTCTAGTGATGTACAATTCCATGGCCACCTCGAAGATAAGGTGAAGCAGGCATCCAAAAAACTCGGTGTGCTCAATAGAGCGAAGCATTACTTCACACCAGATCAGTGATTAATACTCTACAAATCACAAATCCGGCCCCACATGGAGTATTGCCCTCACTTATGGGCAGGAACACCTAAATAGGAAGGAAATAGGAATACACCTAAAAAGGAATAGGACAGGAAACCAGCTTGAACCCCTTGACTCGTTGCAATGATGAGCTATAATAATTGTCGATGATCCCAGGCTCACAAGCGGTATCAAACCCTTAAGTCTTAGGAGAGATTTTGCCTCACTCTGTGTGTTCTACCACTTGTACAACAGATTGCGCTCAGAGGAATTGTTCAATATGATGCCCACAGACACTTTCTACCATCGTACGGCTTGCCATCGAAAGGGTGTTCATCCTTATGTCCTACAGCCTAAATGGTCACATACTGCACGGTTTCAGAGATGTTTCCTCCCACGAACACTTAGGTTGTGGAATGATACATGCAGAATGGAGTTCTTCAAAAGAGGGTAAAGATGTTTCTTCAGAGTTGGCAACACACGTGTAATACCTCTGGTATTGCAGGTGTTCGTAGGCTACGGTAACCACTTACCATCAGGTGGGCAATATGCTTGTTTGTCACCTCAGTGGTATAAAAAAAAATCAAACAATAAAAATAAACTATTGACATTATCACTTATACATTTTCTCCTAAAGTAACAAATATACTTAGGTATAAAAATCTACTAGTGCAACTACATCACATGATTGAAATATACATTTTAGGATACAACTATACATATTCTATGTATCGCCTGGCACTATTGTTGTTACCAATAGGTACATATATTACTTTCTATTTAAAATTGCAGCCTTGCTTTTGAACAAATTCAACAGACAATTTGAATGTATTATCATCCTACAGAAAAAATATTTGCTAGTTTATAACATAATCTTAAGCCAAATAGTACCTATAAAAATATTCTAACTTCATTTGTTCCTATTTTTGTTAAGGCTATATTACATCTATATATCTACATAATGATTTTTCTATAACATGTAAAATTTGTGTTTTAGTATTATCAAGAAGTAAAAGCTATCCGATAATTTGTATTAAGTACACACATTTTAGCAATATTAATCCATAAGTATTTTATTTCCAAAATTCAAGCCACAGCATTGCGTCAAATCACTTTTCACGGTATAACTTAGACTTACCTATTAAAATGTTCAAGTGCAAGGTACTTGAACATTTTAGGATAAATGTAATAGCTATACATTAATATTACATTTCAGAGGGGAAAAGATTTTTAGAAATGGGTTCGAACAGCCCTATTTTTAGCAATATATTCTACCTGATCAATTTTCACACCATTTTCCTGGAAACCATCCCATTTAATTCTTGAATTTCTCATGATGGGCTGATTTTCTATCATCCTTATCTATCAGCTTTTACTGATATAACTGTATCACAGCATATAACTATAGGACAAATTGGGCTATAGGTCCATTTTCTAACATTAAAAAAAATACATTTTATGTTATTTAATGTACCTTCGTTTAAATTTTCATCACTGTTTTGCTCTTGGGTCGTAGGTTCTATTTCCATATTATCTTCAGCGCTGTCTCCATTTGTTTTATTGTTCTCTTGACCAGCCATCTCGATTATTCAATAAATGTGAAACTAGAATAAAATTAAGGAAATAGTGCCTATTTAATATAATTATTAAAAACAAAAATAGGTAATTGGATAAATAAATAGGTTTTTTTGAAAATTGTGAAAGCCATATAAATATATTACAAAGAGAACAAACCTTTATTTATGGAAAGCTGACAGTATGAATTAGTAAGGAGTAAGTAAACAAAGATTTCTGTAATTCCTTTTTCTTAGGGAGTAAATTAACAATAAACTAATGAATAAATTTCTGACATTCAGAGATCATATACAGGTCTGCGATAGTTGGAACAATGACGTTTTTGTATACAACTATGTTACCGCAGCCAGGTAATATTCAGAAAAATTATGGCGGGTCATGGCAATTTTGAATAGGTGCCATGACAGAATCTTGGTATCATTTAAAAAAACAGCGCTTCACTTATAAACACATTTCTTATTAATATTAAAATAACGGTTATATATTTTTTTATAAATCACATAGTAACAAACTAAAATAAATTTGTACTCAGTGTGATATAATACAAAAAACATGCGATGTTTTTAATATAATTTTTAATAGATTTCAGCAAGTGAGTAAACAATAAAATGAATATAGTTAACTTTGCCTGTATAGATAATTAATTAATTAATTTAATCATTCATCTATATGAAAGCGTAAAAATTTACTCCGCTACTATTAACGGAGCCAATTCATACGCTATATTACCAATTTTGATGAACATATAAAATTTATTGAAATACATTAGTGCTGGTTCTACCTTGGTTCTTACTATTTATAGATATGAACTGAAATTGTATTATGAGTAATAGTGCAATACGAAGACGAATAGTACTTAAAACTACATATTAATAATTAATTAATTATATTTGTAGTGTGTCGTTTCCCGTTAAAATGCAACTTTTTAATAGAATATTGATAAGGTAGAGGGGGAAAAAATGTTGGGACACTTGATATGACACGACGAAGTTATGAACATTACAATAGAAGGTGGATAGAAGGAAGGAGCGTAGAGGGAGACCAAGGCATAGTTATATCAGGAGGATCAAAGAAGGAGTTGGCGTCGTGTCGTATCAAGAGGTGAAGAGGCTCGCTGAAAATCGTAATAGCAGGAGCTCCACCAACAAGAGCGCAGCTCTTAAATAGGATAGATAGATAGATTAATAAGGTTCGGAAAACGTGTTGGCTGCTTTTCAAAGCCAATAATGAACGCAATATTTCTGTTTTAACTTTTATTACCACAACACGTTTACAGCGACTAACCAGTATAGCAAACATTAGGCGAAAGGGAAGAGACAGAGGCCACAGACAATTGCATATTCTAATTTGTCATTATTTATTAGTTTTTTATAGTGTTGTTTTTTTAATACATGTACAATCCTCTATTTATGTTTGCTTTACAGCCCTTCTTTTTCTACAACACATTATAATTATATGCAAATATAATTATAACTATAAACAGGGTTATTATATCTCCATATTCAAATGTACAATCATATGCATATAAAAAAAATCTGTACAAAATCTTAAAAATACAAAACTGGTTGCATATCAAACAAATATTTTTATTTAGTAGAAGTAACATAACCCTGAGCGAATTTCGATGCCTGCTTAATTAATTGTCAGCAGTACACCATATGCAAACATCACCAATCGCCACAAATAATAGAGCGAAATCAAGTGACTCTTATAGAGATGGGCAATCCACCTGGGTGGGTTTAAAGTCTGGTGGGTAAAAACCGGGTGTTTTGGGTTTATTGGGTTTAAACCCCATAAACACCCAAATTTTTGGGTGTTTATGATTTTGTACTTCATCATCGTCATCTCAGCCGCAAGACGTCCACTATACTGGACATAGACAATATTATTATGCAGCCTACAGAATAAAAAACTTTTAATTTGATTTTGAGTTTATTAAGAAAGAGATGAAAGTAAAATGTAAAACTACAGTCAATCACTGTCAGATTCAGAGTTATTACAAGCGATGAATTGTATAGGTTCGATAGGCTCTATTTCGTCTAAACTGTTATGTTCATTTACTTGCTCAATGAAAGCTTCTAAGGTATTTTCTTCATTAAACTGAATGTCCTCGCATTCAGCTTTATGTTTAAGATTCCAGTTATAACAAATGAATGAAATTTTTTCAGTTCTTTCAGTTGTAAGTCGATTTCTTTTGTTATTATGTATGTAGCCTTGGATACTAAAGGAACGCTCAGTGGCTGCCGAAGTACAGGGAGCTGATAGAATACGAATCGCTACTTTGCTTAACTCAGTGGAACCACAAATACCTTTCCACCATATTAGGGGCTCAATGCTATCTAATGAGCTCCATACAAATCCTCTGGCCCAAAAGTTTTCTTTAGCTTTATAACACGCCAAATCTGCCATTACATTTGACAAACTTAAGTGTTGGCTTAAATTGTAGATAAACTCCATACCCTTAAGTTCTTCCTCTTGAGTAAGTTCGACTCCTAGAGTCCTGGGGTCTAGAATATATGCTGCAAAATGTATTGGCCTCATTGCCATATTGCATCTTGAAGATACTGATGTTAGAATCTGCTGTTTGCTTTCTTCGCTCAATGTCGAAATCTCATTTAATGCAAAACGTATCTTAGCTTGTACATCTCTAAATGTAATGTATGTGCGATGCAAACGATTCTGGTCGCTCTCTAAGTAAAATATGCTTTCAGTGACTGGTTCCAAAATACTTATACATTCCCCTGTCTTCGTCCAGAAATCATCACTTAGAATTAAATCTTTAATATCTCTTGAAATTACCACATCTTCTCTAACTGTTAATATTTGCAAAGCTATCTTATTTGCTTTCAAACTTTTTAACGAAGTAACATGACTTCCCCATCTTGTAGCACAAGGCAATTTTAGTGTTTGTGTAGAATCTTCACCCTGCCTTGATTTTATCAACAAGGAACTTAATCGTTGACTCCTTTTAACAGTTTTTATTATATTTATGGCTTGCATAATAAACACAGTTACTTCTTGTATCTTTACAATATCTTGGCACAACAAGTTAAGGATATGTGCACAGCAACCGAGAGGAACAACATGTGGATATTTGAGTTTTGTTAATTCGAATGCCTTTTGTATATTTCTAGCGTTATCGCCAATAAGTACAAGAAACTTATTTGCTCCATACACTTTCATTACTTTTTCAACTTCTTGGCTAAGGTATTCACTAGTGTGAGGATTACTTTCTGTATTCAAACTTTTAACGTATACAGGTTGAGGTTTTGATATAAGAAAGTTTATTATTCCTTCATTTCTTAAATTAGACCAGCCATCGCACTGAAGGTGTAAGTAACTACAAGCATTTAGTTCCTCATTTAACTCAAAACGCATTTCTCTATATATTTTATCTAAGTATTTTGTCGCTAAAGCTTTACGTGAAGGTATTTTAAATTTTGGTTGCAATTTTTCGAAAAATTGTATCCATAAAGGATGTTGCACCATCGATAATGGCGTCCCTGTTACAAATATAGCTCTCGCTAATTCTGTTTTTATATGATCATCGGTGTCTTGAAACTCAGCATTTATTGTAGTGTTAGCAGACGACGAGGGGCTTATAAAAGAATCATTTGTCTCTATCTCTGACAGTCCAGACATTTTGGTTTTGGACGAGCTATCTTTTATAAGTTTCATAGAGTCTTTTAATGTTTCTGGAGATTTTGGACAAGTGATAAGATGTTGAAGCATTTTGGCAGCATTACTGAATTTGTAGACCTTATTACAAAGCTTGCAAGAAACAGACTTGTTTGGTAAAGTACGGTAGTGCTCCCATATGCGTAAATCTTTAGGTCTCCCCATTGAACCTAAAAAAATGAACGATGATTAGTTGGTCTGACGAAAATTCAACAATAGAGTGCCTATTTTTTTACAATGATTATTTCTTGTTATTTACAATAAATTTATTAAAAAAATAATAAAATAAATACAAAAAACCTTTGTAAAATTACATCTCCTCGGAGGATTAAACGCAGACGCTAGTTTATTATCGTATTGTTCTGTATTTTTCTCAGCAACTTCTTTAATTCGATTAGGTACTTACGCATATTATGTTAAAAATAAATATCTAGTACACATCTTAGGCTATCCACCATTATTATCCAATGACGACTCTCAGCTAACTATGCACTATCATCCAAAATAAACGTGTATGGAAAATTTTATCCCAGTCGGTTGAGGATTGAGGATAATTGCATCAACATACGAACATACCTACATACTTTTATTTACATAACGCAAGCTAAATAAAAGCTTGTAATAATACATCTAATTTTAAGTTAAAATTGTTAAGTGATCATGATATAATTGTATCATTCAAAAATCCACTTACCTTTAATTATTTCTTGTTAAGTATAAATATTATTTCAAATCTGCTCCCTTAATATGCACTTTTTTACTGCTTTTCCTACCTAACACGTTACCAGGAAGTCACGTTACCAGAGTCAGAGTAATAGTGAACACGTTTGACAGTGATTGTCGTCGCCTCATATTCAGCGTCGACGAATAGGGAATCCCCAGTCATAATGTATTGCATGCGTGGCGGTCTTACTTCAAATCCATAAACAAAGAGATAATTACAGAACTCGATACTAGATGGCGCTGTTTTTGTTTGAAGAAAGTTTGCGGGCTAAAATACATAGAATTTCATCAATGACTTCCACAAAGAACAACATTTCTGTTTTTTCTAAGTCCGTATCTCTTCCGTATATTTCATAAGATATAAGCTTGGGCTACATTGTTATGCAACGTGATTTTGTCGCTGTCTTGCTAGCAGGGTTGACAGATATACGATTTAAATCGTACTCATACTATTATTTGTCTATTTTTTAATGTACGATCGTAAAGATTATGATCGTAATTCGCACAAAAACATACGACTTTTTGGTTACCTGGCAACATTTTTATTATGAAACGAACATGCTCACATCATCAGTCACATGCAACAATTTATTGGGGATTTCCCCTTCACATCTGGCAGTCCTGCTTGCTAGAATATAGGTAAGTCAGCCACAGTTACTGACGATCGATATTTAAAGGGTATTGTTTTTGTGCTAAATATTTCATAAAAACGTTATTTAATACTTTGTGGATTATTAATTTAGTTGATAATCACTGGAAGTAAAATGGATGCTAATTTGAGAGATCAAGATCTTCGTATAAAACAGTTAATAAAAGAAAATCTACGTAAGTACTCTTTTTATACCTAGGTAGGTAAGGTATAATAAACACAAAAGGTACTTAGATCGCGTGTGTTCGAAGCATTTATTCTAATAAATTTAATTTAAAATTGTAGAAAGAAAAAAATGTCTGCCAAGCCGTAGCCGAAGCCGATCTCCAAATATATTTGGCGATAGTGAGACCCAGTGTCCAGATGATTTACCCAGCGTCGTCGCAACAAAGAAAAAAACGAGGATAAAGTAAAAGAAAATTTACTGAAAGAAGAAACAAACTGTTCTAAATGCTTAATTTATGGAGAAGAGGATAAAAGAAATGAGTATTTCGGACTGTTAGTGGCTCAAGAATTTAAATATATACGGCCATGTGTGCGAACGAGGTGTTATGAAGAAATTTTAAAGTATCTACGGGAAGCAAAAGGCCAACATGTTGATCAACTGCAACATGAAAACACTGAAAATTAATTACTTTCATTTTATTATATATAGATTTTTAAAATTTCCTGAAATATTATTAGTTAACGTTTTATTTAATATTGTAGAATTGATCAATACAATTTATAAAAATAATTTATTGGTATTACTTACATATTTTCAAAAAAATACGTAAAAACCTATTTTTTTGGGTGATTATGGGAGTTTATGGGTGTTTATTGGGTTTTTACCAAAGCACCGGGTTTAAACCCGGTGCTTTGCCCATCTGTAGACTCTTATGTTTGTGGCCTAATGAATTCAGTAAAACGGGGTGAGTAGGAAAAAATTGAGGTGTTTTAATTTTTTTAATTTAGACTTAACTGCACTATTATACCGGTCTCGGTCCGCACTTTGTCTGGTAAAATCTAATCAAAAACAAAATAAAAAAACATGTCAAGTCTCAAGCAACATAGTTCTTTAACTACGAACAATGTAAGAACTAATGTAAAATTAACCAAGTCAATTACTGTAGTTAGTGTCTAAGGAAGCATTTAAGATTATACAGTGTGTTGGTGTTCATTTTGAGATATTAGCTAATATTTTTATAGTGGAAGGAAACAGGTAAAAAAATATAAAGGTATGATAAAATTTAATATAAGAGCAAATAATAAATTAAAACAAAAAATACATTAATATATATACATCATAATCTGAAGCCAAATATGTGACCTTCTGTGATGTTTTGGATTAAGATAAAGCATTTAATAGTCGTATGTAACAATTATTAAGACGTTCTTCTAAAATATGGTATCAAACTGGTACCAAACGGAGTTACTTACTGTCAACCAGACTATTTATTTTGAATATGAGAAAATGTCTGCAAAAGTTGTGCAGCGTGAATGTGAGAGTGCGAATAGATGATCTGGTTTTGATTAAATTGCTTTATGCACATAATGCAGTCCTTGTTGCTTCTTCTGTGATACTGCTTTTTGTACTTTATGAGTATTATATGTTAAAAACTCCTTATTACTGTTTTTTAAATGAATGTTCTTATGCCGTGCATTATCATTGTATTATCAAAGTATATATCTACTTAATGTCTGTAAAGAAAAAATCTTTGCCTAACGACAATAGTGCTCTTCTTTGATTTGGAATATGTGGGTAACAAATAGTTCCAATTACTCTTAAGTGAGTGATCCTTAGCTTATCGCCGTATCATGATTCGTGTTTTGATTTACCATTATGTCCAGGTCCGATTCTGTTCAAGATACACATCTCAACACTGTCTAGGGATATTTCATGTAAAGTTCTTAAATTCTAAAAATACTAGCCTTTTTTTGAAGATATCTTATTTTATAGGTCTTTTTTAACGATTCTAAATTTGAATTTGAAAAAAAAAATTATAATCAATTGATTTGCGCGGCATTACTAAGGTGAAATTCGAATGTTTCAATTTAACTATCATAGTTTTTGGAAATCTTTTTTGTCAAATTAATGTTTTAAAGCAAGTTAGTAATTGATTCGGAATTTATGCGACTATTTTCATCATGCAGTGGCACCATTTAACAAGAGAGATGTTACAAACAGTAGGCATCCTCCAAACGGGGCCTACTCAACGGACGGATGGTTGCTGAGGCGATTGGAACAAAACAAAATGTGATATCAAGTTTATGATCACGTTATCGTGCTACTGGTGAAGTGATTAAAAAACACCCTGGCAGGAGGTGCATTACCACTTACCGGCAAGATCGATTTTTGCAAGTTGCCGCGAGAATGCAACCAAATTTTTACCAGAGGGACACTTTCTACAAAAGGCGTTTGCTTGGGTACCTCTGTTCCATTCGTGTTTCAAACGTAAAGGAATTGTGTTTGCATGGCTGTGTTTCGGTTTGAAGGGTGGGATATAGCGTGAATTTACAGGGTACAGAGAAATAACACCTAAGTCCTCAGGAATGGCAACGCATAGGGGGTGTCATGGGCGAAACAGTATACTCTGTTATGTCCATGGTACTGCTCATGTCTATAGACGACGGTTACCACTTTCCATCAGGTGGGCCGTCAGCTTGTTTGCCATTCTCAGTTATATAAAAAAAAATGTTACGGTCATGCAGTTAATTCAAAGGCTCCAGTCAGAGCACTAGTTGCTTGTGATTGACCAAACTGTGAGGAGAAGACTGCATGAAGTTAACCGGCATGCTCGCAGACCGCTTCGTACTCCAGCGCTGCGCCGAAGAAATCATGGACGAAAATTATAGTAGGCCCGTGAACATTTGCTCTGGTAGTGGTCTGTAGTACTGTTAATCGATGAATCCCGACTCGGTTTCCATACTGATTCACGAAGAGTACGTGTATGGTGACGTGTGAAATGTCGTGAGAGCCGTTTGCGACACCCTTAGGAAGTCGATCCTTACCATGGCGGGACGATAATAGTTTGGACGGGAATTCGTGTCGGTGGCAGTACAGACCTCGTTTGGATCAGAAACATCATGACCGCTGAAAAATACCGTAACCAGGTGCTAATACCAATCGTCCATCCTCATCGACTACAAATGGGCCAAGAATTCACACTCATGCAAACAACGCCCGCCCGCACACAGCGCGAGGCGTGACCAGCTAGCGCAGGAGGACGATGTGTCGGTTTTAAGTTGGCCCGCGCAATCACCAGACCTAAAACTCATAGAGCACGCTTAGGGCATACTCCAAAGAAGGGCTCTGAAGGATTTTCCCGCAAACATTGCAACTGAAGAGCAACATTTTTTGCATCTAAGCAGGACCTGAGACAATATTCCACAACAAGACTTTGATCACTTGATTCAAAGCATGAAAAACCGCTGCACAACCGTTATTAATGTCATGGGTGGTTTTACTGACTTCTAATATTTGTATCATTTTAAAAAACTTGAGTACTTAGCTTTATTTTTCTTTTTTCTTATAAAAAAACATTCATCTTTAATTTTACCATTTTTAAATTTTTTGTCTTTACTTAAATAAAATTTAAATTATGCAAAAATATGACTATTTTTTATTTTGTAGTGTAGTTTGTTAAATGGGATTTTCAAAATTATATACATGTTGCATGTTATATATTTTTTTTATTTTAGTAAATTGAGGTAATTCAAAATATCCCTAGACGATGTTGATGTGTGCATATACCGCTGTTTAAATCAATTTAGCCCTTTGTTGTATTCATTGTTGAAGTCTCCTCCATTGTTGTTTCAGGCATCCTATTTTCAAACGGTAAAGATCGACTTGTACATCTCAAGTGCCAATCAGTTTCTTTGCATCATTTATCTTCAGGACGCATTCGAATGGAGTTAACTCCAAGATATTGTCTTTTACGATATCATGAGTGGCAAGAGCAGAATAAACATTTTTGCTTATGGCAGGTACATACCATATATCCTTTAAGATAATTTGTTCAAATCGTCCATCTACCTCAGTTTCTGCACGGATTGTATCAATCCCCATGGCTTGGATACTCTGCCCGTTAGCGCCGGTAACAATGAGCAAATTTTTAAAATAAATGAAGTTCTGTAAAAGATCTTCTCTGTTGGTTATGTGACTAGTTGCCTCATTGTCAACGAACCAATCTATACGATTTTTAGACATCATTCCTAAAGTCCTCTTCAATTGTTAGAACTGTCAACTTCATATTCACAGCGGTCGACTTCTTAGATGGTCTGCCATCTGAAATCCATTTCTTACATTTTCTTACAAAATTTCGTGTCTTTTCGCAGTAATTACATTTATGAAAGCTATCTTTCTTTTTCTCTTCTGTTTTTGTATATAATGCTTTAGAAGTATCTGGTATCTTCTTTTATTTTGTTAATTAGGATTTTTTCGTGGGCTCATAAGGTTAGGCTCAATAGGTTGTTATCAATGTGATCGGTCTTCGAAATTAAGAACCAGCTTGATTTAAAACCAAAATATTTAGAAAGAGGGGTATGTAGAATTTGATACATCAACAAAATTTTCTGCAAATCATTTCACAGTTTCAGAGCCGAATTAAATTCGTGCCATATTCCCTTTAGCGATGAAATATGGATGGCCATGTCATAAGTTGGTTTTTTCTAATATCCGCAAAATTTTTGACATAATTCGTACGATTTGTCTATTATAATAATAGTAATAATAATAATAATTCTTTATTATAGATTACAAAAATCCATTTTTGTTAGTAACAATTGACTTAAATTATGTTAGTAGAAAAAAATTACAAAAATCATTTTATGTATTTTATATTTAAAATTTTTTGAATTTATGTTTCCAATGTGTACCTTTGACGTTGATTAATTATATTAGGTAATTAATAAGAATGAAAGTATAATTCGCCAGAATTTTAGGCTAATAAACTGAAAATCTTACATAATTGTTTGATATATAAAATCTATGACAATTGATAACTAAAACATTCTTCTAATATTTTATGGCATCACGACACGACGTTTCTACAATTGACTTATCTATTTTATATGAGTACATTTTCAATTGATTGTGTGCTAGCTTCTGTGATACTTATACACTCTTAGAAATTATAGAACTTAAAGAAATTAAAGGAAACAGAAAATGTAACGCAAATTTAAATTAGAATATTACTACCTATATTTGTAGTAAAATAATTGGTTTCTTAATAGTGGAGAACAGAAAGCGATATTAAATATTAAAATACGTATAATAAGCAGAATAAAATGTTACAATCAACAAGATGCTTAGCAACAACATCATTATCGATAGACACAGATAATTAGGTCGTATATCTATAACTCATACTCCTAACACTTAACAGAACATTAACAAAATAAGTTGCTAGGTAGCGCATAGATAAAGAAGAGCGTTATAGTCGTCAGACAGAAACCTTTTCTTAATATTTGTTTTGAAAAAAGCATATTTTTATTAGACACTTTTTCATTCTAGAGTGCGTCATTACAGGATATCTTAAAGTCCTGAATACTGATGGAAAAAATCAACTAGCTGACTGAAAAAGAAATTCGAATATAGTTCTTTTTCAGTTGTCTAAAATTTTTATCGAATATACGTTGATACGGAAATAATTCTTTATTGTATTATTTCGTAAAATCACAGGTTATGGGCTAGTATTTACGTTTCTGTCCGTAAAATAAATAAAATTTAGTAAGAAATAAAATATATATTAAATAGGTAAAAAGTAAAAGTAAAAAGAAAAATTTCAATTAGAGAATGGCCGTCGCAACAGCAGAAGAAATCTACCAAGTCACTATTTTAGATGATGTAACATCATTTCAGTTATGGAAATTCGAATTAAGGATTCTGCTAGAAGCGAAAGAATTGATACAATATATATACAGCGTAAATATAAAACTAGAAAGCGAACAATCAAATAAAGATACTTTGACTAAGCATATCATCCTTTAAACGGTATCTAAAAAATATAAAACAACTATTTGTACAACTGCTTATGAAATGTATAAAGTATTAAGCGATTTATTCGAAGGATCGGAAGAACGAAAAAAGATGAGTTTGTTACAAGATTTCTACATTTATAAATTTGAAAATGATATGACAATGGATGAAAATTTTTCAAGGCTCGAAAATTTGGTACATAGATTAAAACAACTAAAAATGCCCTTTGATGACGCGTTAGTAGAATCCAAAATATTAAACATTTCGAATATTGACTCATACCAACCATTTGTAACTGCGTGGGAAAGTACTCCTAAAGAAGAAAGAATATTAAAGAATTTAAGATTGAGATTAGTAAAAGAAGAAAGAAGGAGAGTGTGCAATCAGTGACCCTAGATGCAGGAAATAAAGGTAGAATGCCGAAAAAAGAAGGTAATAATAGTCAGAAAATAACCTCACATTCTCCTAATAGGTGTTTTAAATGTAATAAATTTGGTCATATAGCTAAATTTTGTAGAAATTCTTTATACTGTAAAATTTGTAAGAAAACTAACCACAAAGAGGCAGAGAAAATAATTTTAGAAGAAAGGGGACAAAGAGAGGCTGAGGAAACAATAATAACATTAAAAAGAACTAAAAAATTACCAGAAAAATATAAGGATTATGTTTTGCTTACTTATGAAGAAGCGTTGAAAGTTCTGAAAAAGAACAATGGGAAAAGGCTATAGAAAGTGAATTGAATTCTTTAGAAGAAAATAATGTTTGGAAAATAGTAGATAAAACGGAGACGAAAGGACATAAAATACTTTCTAATAAATGGATGTTCAGAATTAAAAAAAAAAACGGAAAACATAAAGCCAGACTAGTAGTTAACAGAGGAAATGAACAACAAGAGGTAGATTATGATGATATATTTAGTCCAATTGCATCTCAAAATGCTATTAAATCTTTGTTCGCTAAAGCCGTAGCCAAGAACTACAAATTAATGACGTTCGATGTAAAAACAGCGTTTCTTAATGGCAATTTAAGGGAAGACTGTTGGTATTTAGCTTGAGATATCAGCTAATATTTCTGTAATAGAAGGGAATAGGATAAACACAATATAAAAGTACGATAAAATTTAATAAAAGAGCAAATACAGAAAAGCAACGATTGTTTCTAAACAGTGTGTCAACTAAATTTAAAAACATAACTTTTTAAATTACAACCGGCCAGTAGTTTATAGCTGTATGAAAATAAACCTATTACTAACACTCCTCCTTAATTTCATACAATAAACACTCACACAGACATACATACATACCATGTACACAAGCACAATATCAAATCTACCAATATCACGATTTGACTCCCATACCATTCACACAGTACTCAAACTTTCCTTTTAATAGAGATTTAGTTAGAGCATCCGCCAACATATGGGAGGTGTCTATATACCTTAAATTCACCTCACCAAGTTCTACAGCTTCTCTAATAAAGAGGTATCTCACGTCTATATGCTTTGTACGTTGATGATGAACTGGGTTCTTTGCGATAGCTATGGCCGATTGACTATCACTGAAAATAAGGATTGGTTCCTCTTTGGTACTAAAAATTTCAGCGAGAAACCTGCGCAGAAACACTGCCTCTTTTGAAGCTTCCGACAATGACACACACTCTGCCTCGGCTGTTGATAGTGCAATTGTGCGTTGCTTCTTTGTTTCCCAACAAATAGCTCCTCCTTGGTTCATATAAACAAATCCAAAGTACGACTTGCGATATTCATCTCCAGCGTGATCAGCATCAACATACCCTTGAATAACTGGTAAAGTCATTCCTTTGTTATATTGAATGCCATAGCTCTTTGTTCCTTTTAAATTACGCAACACTCTCTTTGATGCGAGCCAGTGTTCTTCAGTATAACAAGTATTAAATTGACTGATAGAACAGACTGTGTGCGATATATCCGGCCTTGTATACACTGCTAGATACAATAAAGAGCCTACTAGTTCTTGATACGGAATCCTGTCATCCGGTTTGTGATCAGACCCTGGTCTAGTCAGCCTCTGGCCTGGTACAGAGGGAGTTGCGGCCACTTTGCAAGCTTCCATCTTAAAGCGTTTAAGCAATTTATCTACATACTGCTCCTGGTCCAGTTTAATATCTTTATGATCTTGGGTGATACGAATGCCTAATATAAACTCGGCTTTCCCAAGATCCTTCATATAAAATTTAGACATCAAGTCCTTCTTTACTTGACACAACTCTGTAGCGTTGTTCCAGAAGATCAGAATGTCATCCACATAAATAGCAATAATAATCTTATTATCACCTTTAGATCTCGTGTAGATACAGGGCTCCTTCTTCGATCTCTTGAAGTTAAGTTTCATTAGCTCCGAATGTAGTTTTTGATTCCAAGCTCTTGGTGCTTGCTTCAATCCATAGAGAGATTTTTTCAGTAGACAAACATGGTCCTCTTTACCTTTCTCTTCAAACCCTGCCGGTTGTCTCATATAGACTGTTTCAGTTAGATCGTCATTGAGGAATGCTGTTTTGACATCCATCTGATCCACATTTAATTTATCCACTGTTCTCGCGGCTAATGCAAGAAGTGTCCTCAGTGAACTGTGTCTCACGACAGGTGAAAAAGTTTCGAAATAGTCTATTCCTTTTCTTTGGCTAAAGCCTCTTGCCACTAGTCGAGCTTTATATCTGATTTTATTCCCCCCTTCATTTTTTATTCTAAATAACCATTTAGAATCGACAATTTGTTGCAATTACTAGGTGGCTTTACGAGAGTCCACGAGCCAGTTTTCATGAAAATTCCTAATGGAGTACAATATGATTCAAAAAATAAAGTTTGTAAGTTATTGAAGTCTTTATACGGACTTAGTCTCCTAAAAGATGGTATGAAAAGTTCAACGAAAAAATAAAGGAATTAGGATTTAATCAATAAAAAAATGAGTCATGTATATATAAAACCAAGATGCATCAATTTTATTAGCTATTTATGTTGATGATGGAATAGTTATTGGTAAAACAGAAGATATAACATATTTGCTACGTAAATTGAATGAGAAATTTGAGATTACGTCTTGTACTGAATCGTCTTTGTATGGAGTTAAAAGTAAATGAAGTAGGTTGGCATTTGACTCAAACTCAATATACAAATACACTTTTTAAAAATGTTTAATATGGATAAATGTTAACCAGCTCCCACACCCGTAGGAGAGGGTGAAATAGAGTTAGATGGAGAAATAGAGTATTATGTAGAAGAAAAATCAAATTATCCTTACAGAGAAGCCATAGGAAGTCTCCTGTATTTATCGACCAGAACTCTGCCGGATATAGCATTTCCTGTTAGTAAAGCTAGTAGGTGTATGGAGAATCCTGAAAAGAAGGATATAATTGCCATAAAAATAATTTTAAGATATCTTTGTGGTACTTTAGAATAAGGTTTGTGCTACAAATTCGGTTCAGATGTAAAGCTTACCGCTTTCTGTGATTCAAATTATGCGAGTGATCTTAAAACAAGGCGTAGTACAACGGGCTATGTTCTAATGATATCAGGTTGTCCTATTTCATGGTGCTCCGGAAGACAGCCAATTGTATCGTTGTCTTCCACAGAAGCAGAATTTATATCTGCAGCTGAATGTTGTAAGGAGGCTATGTTTATAAAATCTCTTCTTAAAGATCTTAATATGGATATAAAACTTTCATTTCATATTGACAATCAGAGCGCTATTGCATTAATTAACAATGGTGTGTTTAATAAGAGGTCCAAGCACACAAACGTTCGTTATCATTATATATACGAGTTGTATCAAAATAATGAATTTAGCATTACCTATTGTCCAACAGAAATACAAATTGCAGATATATTTACAAAAGCATTGAATAAAATAAAATTTAACAAACATAAAAGTTCATTGATTTCAAGTATTTGCTAAATTTGTTATTTAATATTATTTTTGTCGTTATAGTAATGTATGTCATGTGAAAAGTGTGAGATTTATTTTAATAGTAAAATGTATGTTTATTTGTTATAATTTTCACGTAAACGTAAAAATTAGGAGAGGGTGAAAAAGAAATTCGAATATAGTTCTTCTTTTGTTTTTTCAATTATCTAAAATTTGTATCGAATATACGTTGATACAGAAATAATTCTTTATTGTATTATTTAGTAAAATCACACTGGCTTCTTGTCGAAGCCTCTCTTTAAGGCAATATTGATGCAATTTTGCAAACAAGTGGAATTAAAAGAGACCAGATGATAAAAAGAAGTCTTTGTCTAACGACAATAGTTCTCTCTTGTTTATTTGTTACCTAGCAACTTGTTCTGTTAAAACAAATTTTACTACAAATGTACGTACTAATATTCTATTTTAAATCTACGTTACATTTTCTGTTCGAAAGGTTCGCTGTAATATCAAATTAAATTTGAAAGTTTAGAGACATGGTGTCACAGAACGGTTCTATTGCTTTAAAGGTAAAAATGTTTACTAAAATATCATTTGTGCCACATAAGAGGCAAGGTTAATAAATTAAGTTTTTAGTATATTTAATAAATAGATAAATATACTTAAGTCAAAATTATTACAAATTTTGTTTCTAATGGTACATAAAATAGTTCTAAAAGTATTAGACAACTAACAAATACTTTCTTTTAGATATTGACTTACCGCTTTTCTCTATTTTTATACTGTGTCTGTGGTCTTCCTATTTTACCACAGACATATAGTAATGATGTCTGTGCATTTTACAAATATTGTCTATTGTTTATGATCTGTGGTGCGAATGAAGATAATTTTATACAATTTTATTTATTCTGAAACGCAAACGTGAAATCTTTTTTTATTAATCTTATAACTTTAGCAATATTATAGATTTTATGCGCAATCATATAAATATTATTAAACTGTTTGTTATAATTTTCAATTCTGTGGGAATTTTATAATTTTGGTAAGTTATATCTTATTATTACATTTTGCAATATCGTGATAATTAGTATATTTTTGTATCTGATATCTAATTTGATTCTTTGTTTAAAATTGGAAGTCAAGTATAAATATGTATTCTTTAAATGTAAGAATTATTCTTAATAGCTAATTGACTGTTAATATCTATATTGATGAATAGATGACTCATAAAACCATTGTCGAGTATCGATAGTTACAGTGCCTTTTACTATTAAAGTGACAAGAAATTCGACGACATCTACTTAAAGCAAGAACTATTTAAAATTTAATGTACGTAATTATTTAAAAGTTTATTAATAAAATCTTATTCTATCTTTGTTCTTAATATGCAACAGACTTAGAGAAGACTTGAATTTGACAAGAGTAGTGTTAAAATTTGTAAATTTGTATTTTGGGTAAAATAATTCACCCTTATAATCTCAGTCTAGTATAGTGGAATGGAAATATGAAAGAGTGAAATAATAAAGAAAAAAACCTAGTTTGTTTTGTTTCCAAGTCTATTTTTTTTTTATTATTTTAAACATTCTTTCATTTCCTGCATTACATTATTTATATATTTATACATGTGAGCAGTATTTATATATTTTTATGTATTTGTGTAAAAAATGAGTAGGGATATATATTTACATTATTATATGTAGTATATGTCTATATTTAGAAATAATATAATTTTCATTATGCTCCAATCAAACTGTTTATAATTACTCCTCTTCATCCAAAGGTTTCCTGGAAGAAATTGCTTTTAGTGATAAGGTTGCCCATTGTTTACTCACTTTGATTATTTCATGTAATTGTTTGTATGTATAATAAGTTTACTATTGTTATCTTTTGGAGGAAACAATAAAGAGTATTTATCTAACTATTTATTAATTGTTAAGCAATAAAAAAGTATTTAATGTTGAGAATATGCTGATATAATTTTTTGGTGAGCGTGAAAAAGTAGTAAAATAAGTCTTAAAAACATTTCTAAAAACAAACTTTTGTAACCTTCATTATCAGCTGTAGACATGTCACAAGGTTATAGTTTTGTCAAGACAAATCAAATGAATACAAACATTGTGGATTTATCAATCATACTTAACAAATTCTTATTGCCATCTTTCATCTTCAGACCAGTTAGTTAGATAGCCCATGCATTATCACCGAATTTACATAAGTATGTCAAATTTTAGTATAATCAGACACCAATAAGTAGTGTAAAAATGGCTTCAAATTTTGAACAGAAACACTTACAAGCAAGTTAAATAAATCTTGTAAAAATATAATTGAAAATAAAAAAAGATAATGATGTGAACAGAATTTTCACACATGTATAGTGAATATACATGCATGTATGTATTTTTCATTTTATCAGTTTTGTTATCAGTATTCAAAAAGTATTGTTGTCACTGTGGCCAGATTTGCACTTAAAGTTCTAATGCCTCTTTAATTTTAGGTCCCAGTTGAGAAACTACAGTTAATACAGCATGCAAACATGATTTCCATTCTATTCCCTTCTATTTCATTACATTCTTTGTGAATTTTTGTTAATTAAAAAATAGATAATGTAACTTTAATCTTACAAAAATCAATATTAATAATCATTTGTAATTATTTGATATATGTTTCCAATATTTGTCAACATATTACTTAGATAATTTTTATTAGTCACTGTTGTCAGTGTCCTATACACTATCTGTTCACCATATAGTTGAATAACTGTTAATACATTTTTTTAACTCAATACTCTAAATGTAAGGTAGAAGTATGGATAGCTCACAATGATATCATAAATCTTAGACTAAGCAGTATCTTTTTCTGCTGACCAGATCAATCCAAATCTCCAAATAAAATCTTAAGATTCCAAAGAAAAAGAGGAAAATAATAATATGGTTTCATACCATAAGGATAATTAGAAGAACAACTATTTTAAAAATATAATTTACAGAACTCCCTAACTCATGAGTCTCATGGGTTAAGCTTGTATCTATGTTTTGTATATAGAGTTTGTGCTAAATATTAAAGAACAATAAATAATAGGGATTGAATGATATTTTTAGTAGCAAGATAATTTTATTAAGGTGACAATTCAGTAACAGACAGGTACAATAAAAAAACTAACTACCAAGAAATATTTACACTATAACACTGGGATACCTTTTAATTTTTAGATCAAAATTGCTTTACTACAAATTTAACTAAATTTGTAGTAAAAATTAAATTGTTAAACCAATTTTCATAAAATTTCCATGGGACCAATCAAATATATATATATATATATATTGAGCTAAAAATGGAGAGGGCAACATTAGGACACGGAAAATTTGAAAAAAAAATTATACATACATTAGGTGATAACATTTTTTATAAGTCCATTATTCCACATTCTACGATGTGGGCATGTCCTATATATAATATAATAATATAATGACAATTAAATACATTTTATATGTGCCTTGAGTATGTATATAATATATAGCATCGAGTGTAAAAACGGGTAAAATTTTAATTAACTAAGGGTCTCACTGGGTTTCCATATAAAATCTGCACTGGTGTCTTTGTTAGTATTGGTGCTGTAAAACCAAAATAAATAATTACAATACAGTATGACTTAAGATTTGCTGTGCCGTGATTTCTCTTTTGCTGTGTGGTGCCGGCATAGAATAGACCACCCCTTCCTTTCCCGTGGCTGTCACAAGAGACGACATAAGGGAGGGCGACGGATGGGCAGCAGCGTCCCTCTCAAAACATTTCTAAAAGCCTAACTACGGATGCTAATCCAAGCATAGCAACTACTGGCAAAACTTCCCTTATGGGGAAGGTTTATGTTCAGCAGTGAACAGTTAAGAACTGATATGATGATGATGACTCACCATAGTTATTATTCAACAAGAATAAAGTTGTTAGATTAAACGTAGCGCTCACCTTGACTATATTATGAAGATGAATTTATAAAATTTTTGGTGAAATAAGTGTGGGGCCACAGCAGTACTTAAATTCCTTCCCTTGGAAAAAGAGTAAACAAATACAGTCGAAGATACAAAATACTTATGTTTTTTAATTTGTTGAGAAATTATCAACAATTATATTGTTATTGATATAAACATTTTGTATATTTTCAGCAAGATGACATCTGGACCTTACAACTACTCATATATTTTTAAATATATTATAATTGGTGATATGGGAGTAGGGAAATCATGTTTATTGCATCAGTTCACTGATAAAAAATGTAAGTACCTAGGTAATTAATTGTATTCGTTTGTATTACCTGTAAGTAGATACAGAGGCACATAGCATTACATCTTAAAAGATTTGATCATGTATGCAGTAGATCACAATCATAGATCGTTACTAACGCAATTTGTCACGCACTATTCCTCAATCGCAGTTCTATACACATGCTATTTATCACATGCTCCGTTTGCGTAAATGCAAGTCGTTTCTTTTTTTTTTTTTATTAAACTACGACTGCGTAAGGCATTTCAATCTACATATACCTTTAATAGACTTCTATTTAAGTTTGTTGTCTTCACAATAAAATTATGTAAAACCAACAATATTTTTTTTAAATACCTGTCTAAAAAAAACTACCGTAATTAACAAAACAAATGTTCGTTGAAAATGATCGATATCAATAACATGACACAAAATGCGTATATGACACAATACGACGTGCTACGATTATGACAGTGTTTATATGACGAGCTGCGATTATGACAAACTATGTGTATGGCGAGCAATCGTCAGATTCTTCTTGCTAATGTTCTAATGAGTATGCGATCAGGATCAAATTTGTGTGTGACATTGGACATTAAATCCCTCATATCGTTTGATGTTTGTGGCTAGGTTACGCTGTTCTAAACTGTTTTTCATAATTCACTTTGCAATATTTGGTGATTTCATATTAATTTTACGACGATTAAATACTGCTTAATGCAAGCGAAATTTTGTGAATATATGGTAGACACGATATCTCGAATTTAAATAACAATATTTTGTACCTATCTGTGAAACATCCACATAGTTATTCGGTGTGTTCATGTTTTTGTGGAACAAAATGTAATGTTTTAATTTCGCTTTTTAAGCGTTTCTACTTCATAATACGTCAATTGCAACAATAAATTACATTGTATTAAGAAAAAATATTATTTATAACGTCATCTATAGGAGACGAGAGATATCTGTTACAATAAACATTTTGTGAAGTAGATAAATATAATACTAGATTATGTTGTAAACAAATGTATATAGAAGGAGGTCTCCTGGAACTCAGTATGAGAGTTTTGGAGCGTAATTGGTGTTCGCTATTTCACGAGCCGATTTCAAGCTCTCACGTGTGTGACATGACGACTGAAGGACATAATTTTAATAAAAGTCATCTATAAAAACTTTTTTAAAAATAATTCTTATTACAGTTATGGCTGATTGCCCTCATACCATTGGAGTAGAATTTGGGACGCGGATAATTGAAGTTGCAGGCCAAAAAATTAAATTACAAATATGGGATACAGCTGGTCAAGAAAGATTTCGAGCCGTGACACGTTCTTATTATCGTGGAGCAGCTGGCGCACTTATGGTGTATGATATAACAAGAAGGTACATTTGAATTTTGTTATTTATAATCTACTTATAGAATTAAACTATACCATAATAAATACATAAGGTTGACACGCAGGGCCAGTGAGACAAAATTGTTTACAATGCCATCTAGCATAAATTTTTTTTCACAAAACATTTAAGTGTAATACTTAAGTGTAATTGTCATTTTGTAAAATTAGATAGCGCTAGATGGTGTTGTTATTTATTTTATAGTTTTTTTTAATGAATTGCATGTCTGTTATTCAAAATTTTAATAATATATATATATATATATATTACTGCAGTATTTTTAATTATTTAATATTTCATTGTGTATTCATGTTACAGTAAGTCAAACACAAATTTTAAATTATTTAAACACTACTCGTTTAAATAATTTTACCCCGCAAAAAAAAAATCCACCATATTTTGATTTAAAAATCTAATTACTGAACCGAATAAATAAAAAAATAGTTAATTTCAATAAATTGATGAAATTTCCATGGGAACAGTCAGAAATTCCAAATTTTTTTATAAATGACTGAGTTCTGAAATAATAAACATAAAAAAAAATACAACAGTCTGTTAACTAAACAATTCTTTTTTTGTGCCTAACTTTCTAGGATTTTTTGTCAAATAGATCTGTCTGTAACACCTGTTTGCCTTATATCCAAATTTTATTGAAGTATTTCTTAGTTCTAGCATGTACTGGTTTCGAAAATTCCGGTTTTTAGGCTATTCTTAATTTGGTTCTCTATATTAAAATCTTATTGTTTTATCTATTAGCCTTATAGCATTTTGTCGCGATTTGAATAAGTTGTTAATATTGTGGTTTTGTTTTCACTGTTTCCAGACAACTCATATGCATACTTGGCAATAAGTTATAGTTGCACGCCACTTTTTAACGATTATTAAAAATTTTTTGTTCTAATTTAATTATCTATCTGTAAAAGATAATTTCTTTACCTAAGATATTTAGGATTCTCAATCTATGTGGCAGAATCTTAAAACACGTATCTATATATGTATATAACAATCTTCAAAAATTTAACTTTATTTGAATAAACATTATTTCTCTTTCTTTCAACACGATGTTTGTATGTGATACATCACTTTCATGAGAAGAGCTTGGGAAATTTCAGTTTTGATGTTTTCATAGCACGACCAGACTTTATATTACGATAGACTACACAGCATACAAAACCTTACAAACTATTAAAAATTAAAAAGTCTAATAAGTAATCTAAAAAAAGTCTAAAACTATCTGGTAAAAGTAATTTTACCAGAGGGACACTTTGTACAAAAGTCGTTTGCTTGGGTACCTCTGTCCCATTCGTGTTTCAACCGTAAAGCAGTTGTGTTTGCATGGCTGTGTTTCGCTTTGAAGGGTGGAATATGGCGTGAATTTGCAGGGTACAGAGGAATAACACCTGAGTCCTCAGGAATGGCAACGCATGGAGGGTATCATGGGCGAAATAGTATACTCTGTTATGTTCATGGTACTGCTCATGTCTATAAGCAACTGTTACCACTTTCCATCAGATGGGCCGTCAGCTTGTTTGCCATTCTAAGTTGTATAAAAATAAATTATAATAATAAATTACCTTTCCGCAGGGTTTAAAAAGTAGCATTTTATTAGTTGTACTTCATTATTTTCTTAATATTATATGTATTTACTTTTCAGATCCACTTATAACCATTTAAGCAGTTGGCTGACAGATACTCGCAATTTGACTAATCCAAGTACTGTGATATTCTTAATTGGTAATAAATCAGATTTAGATGGTCAAAGGGATGTTACATACGAGGAAGCCAAACAATTTGCTGATGAAAATGGCTTAATGTTTGTTGAAGCAAGTGCCAAAACGTTAGTATTGAAAAATAGTATTAAACGTATTTTTTACTTGGAATAGCAAAAATAAGTGTGGTAGCAAGTAGCAAAATAGTAAAGTAATAAAGAAAAAAATCAAATGAAAATTAATGATTGATGATGCATCAGACAAATGAGCAAAATGATCGCGGAATGTATTATAACAATTTGTAGAATAATACAATATTTTTCCATAATATAAAATACCTTGTGTTGCCCATTGGATTCCTCATGCAAGTGAACATAGAGGAAATTTCAATAAATAGGAACTGCTGGCCTACATTTAGAAAATGGTGATTGTAATCTATTGTTGTTAATTTAAGGGGCCAAAACGTGGAGGAAGCTTTTCTGGAAACTGCGAAGAAAATTTATCAGAGCATCCAAGATGGGCGGTTGGATCTGAACGCAGCGGAGTCTGGAGTGCAGCACAAGCCGGCGTCGCCGGGCCGCCCGCTCGCCGCGCAGCCGCCCGCGCGCGACAACTGCGCCTGCTAACCGCCGCCGCCACTCGCACCACTCACTTAATGTTCTCTTAGTATAACTATAGGTAATCTAAAATGTATTATCTTTTTTTTTTCAAGTTTGTATTTATAAATAGTGTACATTCCACGGCTATCAAAAATTCAATGGGATAAGGTTAAAATAATTATATAAAATATAATGGACAAGGAAGTGATGCGATCGAGACGCTTTTTTCCTGTATTGGTTTCTATGTTACTTGTTAGAACTCGAAACAAACTTCCAGATGTATAATCAGAGATTGAAAAGTGGCACAGTATATAAGAACGTATACAACCAATTTTGTTAAGATTAAAGTCTGTTTTTATATTAAATTTTAAGATTTTGTTTTCTAATAACAATATCTCATGTTTCAATTTAAAACACAAACCAATTTGATGATTTCAATTGTGTTGTGTGTCGATAAATATGCAAGTGCATGTCACCAAATTATTTGATGTTATAAAAATTGATTATTGATAGCAAACCCCACTTTCATACTGAACCTTTTTGGAATTGCCCAGAATCATTCCAGGCCAAAAAATAAACACGCAAAGTACATACAGTTAGCATCTAAATTTATATTTGTGAATTGTTTCCTGAATTATACAAGCTTTTACATAATATCGATTTGTCTTGAATGAACTGTGGTTTATGATGGGTTGTTATTATGTAAATATATAAAATAAATTAACAAATTATACGAAGTAACATAATAGAGCTTAAAAATTTATATTTTGGATTATAGCTTCGGTGAATGTGTCATTGTAATATCGCGGTATTTGGCGACAGATTTAATAGATAAAGTCTCAGAGTCAAGAGCAAAGCATGTTCGATTTTTATTTAAAATATAATTATGTTTTGCTCTCTAATCGATCGGTGTGAACAAACTACGCGAAACAAACCGTCCTTTAATAATATCACAATGTAAGGCTCATATGTCGCCAGGCAACATTTTCTACTATTTTGTCACATATTATACTGAAGCCTAGACTTCTCAGTTTAAACACAAATTGTTTTTTATTGGTTCCATTATTACAAGAACTTTATTTAGCAATTACAAAAGTATTACTAGTAGAGTCAAAATTAAGTAGTTAAAGTCCGTAGAATAAAAGAGCAAGTGTAAAGGCAACTAGACACGCTTCACTAACTGTGTATAAGCATACAGTCTTTAAATTTAAGTGCATCTTTATAGAATTTTTGTATGATAGTATTTAAATAATAAATAACAGAGTTATTGTTCTACAGCGATGTTTAATTGCTAATATCTCTTAACTGATACAAACAAAATTTTATCAATTCTTAGAAAACATTCTAATTCTAAATTTATTCCAATTACGATAAAACCAAAAAGTAGTTATTAATTCTTTATATATTCATTTAAATACTGTCTATGTAACACATGATATAGAAGTTTAGAAAAAAACACTACTATTTTATAAATGTTTTTTTAATGGATGATAATGGAATGGTAACCCCACCCGTGCTATTGTTATACACCGGCGGGGCACCAGTGAAGTATGATAGATGAGGATGAAGTAGGTCAGTTAGCCCATCGTGACGAATTCAACAAGAATTGTTCTCGATGATTGCCAGGGGGAACCACGTGGAGGTCGACCTAATAAGGCATATTGCTAGCAATGGGGCTGTCAAACTCCATTGCTAACAATCCCTTTCCCCCCATTTTATAAATGTTAGAAGATATTAGTGACTAACCATCGATATAACTGTCACTTACATAATAAAAAAATTGCTAATGTAAGGTGTAGGTGGCCCATATATTAGTAACTATTTTTTAACTTACTGTTATTACCTATATTAACATTTAAGATCACTTCTTCAAAAAGTTAGATTAATTATTCAATATTTTTTAATTTATGGTTAATTTTCTTTTTTCCATACATGTTTAAGTATTAACATCTATATAGAGACATATTTATTCCGTTACAATAGTAACTATGTTACTATTGTTACAGTATTTGTAGGGAAAGTTAATACTTTATAATTATTTTTATTATACCTTCAAAATGTGCGGTGCTACTGAGAGTTGTCACACCATGGAGTTGGGGCGTAGTAGTAAGTTCTGTACGCTCTTCCGTGTACGATGTAGGTATACATTACAGGATTTCATATCTTAAATATCAAACTTCCGTTTCGCGATGTTAGTTCACGCTAAGCTCCGAAACGGCTCAACTAATTTGAATGAAATTTTGTAAATATATATTATATATTCCAACTTAAGAAATTAGATTCAGTAGGCGGCGGGAGAACTATTCGGAATATTGATTAAATTTTACAAAATGCATAAAGTATTTTACACCCCTTGATTTTATTAAGAGTATACCATATACATTTGTGACAGAGTAAAAAAAAATATTTTGTTTATTTATAAATATTAATGTGTCCCTATTTATCATGTAATTGTTTAGGATATGCAAAGTTGTTGGGCCCCTTGTTATTCCATACTATATATCTATGTTGTTTTTGTTTAGAATAAAATAAAAAGTATGAAACTTCTGGAACGTTACCACTCTCCATTTTCTTCTTACACTAAATTATCCATACAATTTTTTTTACTGATGCCCATCCCGCACGCTTTATTGACAGGCTATATTTACAAAATATCACTTTGAATGACAACAATAAAACAAATTTATAATAAGACATTTCTTTTTATTTTATTATACATAAACTTTATTGTAAAATGCACGTATAAAATGCTTATTAAAGCAATTATAGCTAGTTCTATATAGTTACATATTTATCATGACATTTACAATCTGATTACGGTAAGAAAAAGCTCAGCCAAAGAAACTTCAATGTTCTTTCATTTTTGATCTGATTATTTTGGTTGAATATATGCAGAAAGAATTAAAGTAATTAGTGTAAATTTCACATTTCATTAAATAATATTATATTAAGTAATATAAATTATATCGTAGTTTATATTTCTATGTTACACCTCTTACTGATAATTACCAGTAATAATATAAACAAATATTTTCGATATTTGACAGTAATGGACGAAGCCATTTATTATTGTTACTTATTAGTTAGAGGTACAGTGTTTACGTGGTAAATAAACGTTTGTACAGAATACTAAAATTGTTTTTGTTTAGTCATAATGAACATAGTTTTTTAAAAAATAAACAGATACATAACTTTTTCCCCTAATTTCTTAACTAATTTTTTATCACATTAATAGAATAAATAACAAATATCATAACAATAAATGTCCAGATAGCACTAACAGTTCAAAACAATAATTAAGTAGTCACGTTAACGGCTCACGTGAAACTGGCGTTCTACTATGTAGCTCAGGCATTGCAAATTAAAAGAAAAGATACTAAGACATATTAAAATTATTTGTATTTGTGATAAAATTTTCAAACTTTATATGATGTCTGAAGATTGAAAAAGTACATTTTAATGGCATCGACGTATTTACAAAGGAATGAGAGTGAGAAATTTTTATCCTAACCTACCCTGTTATGGACAATAGCATACACATCTAGATGATTTCATGAATATTCCAAGGATACAAATATTTGACCATCACCTTTTTTATTTAAAAAAAAAGAATATATAATTTAGGTACTGTTTATAACTTCGCTTTGGTATTTTGGAGCAGAATATCATGCATATCTTGAAGAGATTGTTCCAAAGCAGCTCGATATTTATCACATGCCGTTTCAGGATTGGACACAAATGCGGACGTTGCAAAATTAATGTCGTTATCGCGTGGATTATAACATGTAGCGTAACCATCGGGTACAAGAGGTCCGTAACACATAAATCCGTCACACTTACAAGCAACCTGTGGAAAATATGATTATATGTTGTAATATATACGCGAGTCTCCACATATTCTCTTTACATCCAGCTCGTTTCTTTTTACCTGTAGTTACCTTTTTTTATGCAACTTAAAGCTGAAGGCCCACCTGATAGAATGTGGTGACAGTCACCTATAGACATCAACAGTATCGTGGACATAACAGTGTATAGGGTGGCCAATGATACTCTTCATGCGTTAACATTCGTGAGAATAGGTGTAGTGCCTCTGCACCCTGATATTTCATTGCCATATCCTACCCTTCAAACATGTTAAATAGTTCGACAACATTGTATTGACAGTATTAAAATCAGTTTTATATCAATATTAAACGAGACTAGGTGTACATATAATTTAATAGAACATCGTCAACAGATTCTACGTTTTATTGGCAGAATAACATGATAAAAATACTCGCCTGGCTTGTAGAAATTCTCATGTGAGCACTTCTAACAAATCCTGCATCTGAATACAGTTCAGGTATATCAATACCATTTTCTTTTGCTATAAGTTTTAGTCCTAGCAAATGTCTATCTACACCAAAACCTTGAAGTGCCTGAAAGTAACATATACATTGATGAATACATAATTAGACATTTTATATAAATTTTAACATGAAAATAGATCATCGTTGGACTCTGGTATTTTTTTTTTCCAAAAGATTACAATAGAATGATAGCCCTGCCTGCACTAACTGTATACGCTGACGGGACACCAGTAATGGATGATAGGTGACATGAAAAGGCAGGTCAGTTAGCTCATCGTGATGAATACACCTGGAATTCAGTACAATGGTTTCCAGAGGGAATCACGTGGAGGTCGACCTGACTGAAATGGGATTGGTAGTTCACATTACTAACAATCCCTTCCTGGACTCTGGTTATATAGATATAGAGGCGTATCTATAAGAAATTAATTTTATAAATTTAATCGTGGACAAAAAATTTTACTTATCTAATTAGGGACCTTTTCGTGTGTGTGTGTAATCCAAATTAAAAGCGTGATGGTAATACTAAGTACCTACCAGGTCACTCAGAAAGTATTGCGAGTAAAAGTTTTTATGTATGTGAGATTGGCCCGTTATAATTTATTTAAAAATATTACTTATAAATAAAAATAGGTACGTTCTAAATTCAAAACTTCCCTCCACATTTTTTTGCGAGTTAATTAAAATTACTGTGTCTCATTGAAAATGGATTTACGTCGAGAACATTTTCGCGCTATGATTTTTTACGATTTTAAGTGTCGCCTGAAACTGGACGAATCGTACGATAGACTTCAAATGGCATTCATGGATGAAGGCCCTTCTAAGGCAACCGTGTACCGTTAAAATAATGAATTTAAGCACGGTCGACTAACTTTGGGGGATGAAGAAAGAAATGGTCGCCCTTTGACGGCTGTTACGAAAGAAAACGTGCTAGCAGTGAAAAATTTGATTCAAGACAATAGACGAGTTATATACCTAGAGATTCAGGCTCAGCAGGCTCATCTCGGCGTGTTTACAACATCGTTACCGGTGATAAATCCTGGATTTATTAATATGATCCACAGAAACAAAGCACCAATCGACGGTTTCGGTGTTTCAAAACGAATCAACGCCTATCAAAATAAAGCGACCTAGAAACGGGGAAAAGATTTTGATTGCGAGCTTTTTCAATTTGACGGGCTACTTGGTGTCAATTCCTTTACAAAACCAAAGAAGTATTAACGCCGAATAGTATACTACCAAATGCTTGGCAGAAGTTTTCCCTGTTGTGAACAACAAGCGACCAAACACGGCTCCGCGGACTACTGCTCCACCACGATAATGCGCCCGCCCACACCGCAATTAAAACGAGGGACTTCCTAGACAGCACACCGGTAAAACTCCTGGGTCACCCTCCTTACAGCCCTGACCTAGCATCGTGTGACTTTTTATTCCCAAAAGTAAAAAATCAGTTCAAAGAGATACAATTTTCGTTGCCCGATGATGCGCTCTCAGCGTTCGAGTAGGCTGTAAACGAGGTGTCTGCGGCGGACTGGAAAAAATGTTTCGAAAACTGGTTCAGACGCATGAAACTTTGTATAGAGGCTGGTGGAGAGTACTTTAAAAAGATGTAATAAATAGTACATTACTGCAGCGGCCGGCAAGAGAGGCATTGATGGACGAACGTGTGAATGTGGGCCGAGGGGAACCCGAGGCACACATACGTGAGTCCATCAATGCCTAGTTGCGGCCAAGGCTTGTATAGTACTTTTCTCAAATAATGCGCGGAAATTATTCAAATTCACGTTATGTTTCATTAAAATTATGCATTAAAATGCACAATTTTAATGCTAAAGCATTGAATAGATGACCCAAACCGTTGTAGGCTTCACTTTCTTGGCGAGTTCGCCGAAATAAGCCAGAAAAACATTTTCGGATAAGGATTTCGATTTTCTTTCATTCTTCCATTGAACAAAATTTTCATAGATTTTCAAATATTTTTCTTTAGATTTTGGCGGCAACAAGTTTTCTACTACGGCTCTTGCTGCCTCTTGAATTTCAGGTAAAATAATTTCATTATACTCATTCTCTTCACTTGAACTCATTTTGTCAAATACAAAAGTATTTAAAACCAATGACGAAGTTGACGAACAACTAATAACAATAGTTTTTTACGCGCCAAAATATTTTTTTTTCACTAAACAGCTATCTATGTGCAAGCCAGTTCGAAATTTAAATTAAACCTTTAATAAGTTACCTCTTTGATCGCCAAGTTGCGGAGTAGAAGATCGTTCTATTTTTAAATTACACGACAAATATGATTTTACATAGTAATTTATTTGGCCGCTAAACACGACAGATATGGATTTTCATACAATTATTGCCGGCCGCTGCTCGACCAGTACCGCAAGTTCGATTTATCTCGAAGAAGGTTGTCAAAATAATGCTCAAATTTCCAAGCATGTTTAAGAAAAATATATTTACCTATAGAACATTTTTTTTAGTGTCGCAAAACTTTCTAAGTGTACGTATATATATATATGAATACTTAAATACATCTGTAGCGTATTTACCTGCACTGTATAATCTTTGTGGCCTTGAATAGCTTTCTGTAAAGCAGCGAACTTCTGCTTGGGCGTGCTTTGTGAATCCAGCATAGTTTTAGCGAATTCGACAGATTCTATTGAACACGATCTTATCGTTTCAGTTCGGCCTCCAATGTACATTCTAGTCGCTGCCGACTCGTAATGAGCTCCAGGAGTTTTGTGGAGCCTGATAACATCAATATATATAATTAGAAATATAAAATATTGACTTTGTGTTAGCTATATCAATATTTTTTGTAATACGGCCTACCTGATGGAAAGTGGTAACGGTCGCCACGGACAAAACAGAGTTTACTGTTTCGCCCATGATACCCCCCATGCGTTGCCATTCCTGAGGACTCAGGTGTTATTCCTCTGTACCCTGTAAATTCACTGTCACATCCTACTCTTCAAACCGAAACACAAACTCGTGCCTCCTCGCACGGTGAGGTCTCCGGACCATCAGCTACTTCATTAAATGGCATGACACGTGACGGACGGGCTTTTATTTCCCAGTAATTTTAGCCGTTATCTGTTTACTGTCTGTACAAGAAAAGACATTCATGAAACTATACAAAAGATACTACCTAACTGACATAAATGTTTCGAAAATTTTATGGGTATGGAGAAGATTTTTTTGTTTAGACATTATGTTTACCTTAAATATCCGTAATATAAAATATTTAGGTTTTGTGAATCGATGTAACTGTAAAGCATATGAATAACACATAATCAATAATGCACTTACCTATAAAACGCATACTGCATAGCCATTTGTAAATAACTATCGGGGCTTAATTTTTGCGACTTAATAAAATTTTTACCGTACTTGTCATAGGTAAAACAATTCAATTCCAAGTTAGAAACCAATCTGCAATTATAAAATTATACGACAATGTTACGAAAATAAAGACATCGACGATAATTTAATAGATTTAGAAACAAACCTGTCTAAACTTTCATTGGCAGTTCTAATTAATGCAGATACTTCGTTTGTTACATTGAATTTTAGTGGCACGGGTGGCTTAGGACTCGCCGATACTGATTTACCTTCTTTGCCTTGGTCGCTAAAATTTAAAATCATAAAGAAGTTCATATGTTTGATATATTAAAACAAAAGAAAATAAAAAATTGAAAAAATAAATAAAATAAAATATCGTACATGTAGTTAATAATGAAGTCCGTTAAAACAGCAATAGGCTGTCCCTCGGCTGGTGAATGTTCGTATGTTAGACCAGTTACACCATCAGCGCCGACAATGAACTATAATGTAAATAATTTCTAAATTGTAATGATATGCATAATAATTTAAAAAGGTTGAAATTTGTTAAATAGTTGTGACTAGCGGCCCGTCCCAGCTTCGCACAGGTGGACATTTTTACAACATTTTACATTTTTATCTGATCCTACCTAGCTACCAATTTCAAAGATGTGTCCGTCCCCACCTGACCCTCTCCCGCACCGCTACAAATGCCTGGCTGGCTAGCCACGCGGCTGACACGGCGCGCGCGGCGGTGGGCGCCTTTTCTATATCTGACTTTTTAACATAATATCTTTCGAATAGAATATATCTACAATTTGAAAAAATCAAAAACTAATCTGCAGGTATTGAAACAATTTTGAATACAAAATAATTTATTTGGATAAGGATTAATAAATAGGTATGAATAACATGTACAACGCGACAGCGTTATTTTTTCTATTTATATGACTTATTAAATTCTGGAATGGAATGGAATAGCCGATTTCAACAATTCAAAAAATAATCTACATACAATTGAAACAGTTTTGAAAACAATATGATTTATTTGAATAAGGATTTAAACAGAAGTATGAATAACATGGTGTAATTTTGGTCGATATTTCTATCAACTTTTAAAATGTAAAAAGTGGTTATTGTGACATAACGATAATAGTTGGACATATCACGAAGTTTTTTGTAGTTATTGATATTTTCTTCAATATTGTAGAACATACTTTTGTTCTATCATTAAAGACATTTTATAGCATTTTCTTACACCTTGAGTTACGTTACTAAAGTTTTAGTTAGGATCCCTAATCTTTTCTAGCAATAAATATAGCCTGTTACTCAGGGTGAATGTAGATTTTTAATGGTGATAAATTTTTTGAAATCGGCAATTTATTTTTTGAGTTTACAAACATACATACAAACAAAAATACAAATCTTTCCTTTTTATAATATTAGTGTAGATTAGTGATTTTATGTATGTTTGTTTGTAATGGATAAACTCAAACTACTTGACAGATATTTTTCACTAGTCGAAAGATACTTTATTAGTCAGTATTTTATTATTTATTAGTTATTATATATTATTTTTAAGAAAGTGAAGAAGGGACGGATCGCTAGTTAGTAATAGTTAAATTTATTTAGAACTACTAGCACTAGGACGAAAGTAGCATATGTTAATTTAGATTTTTTATATGTGTACATAATATTTATAAACTGCCAAATTATATCAAACATTTAAAAACTTGAACATTGTAATTATAAAAAAGTAACACTTTAATGAACACTAATTAGACATCCTTGGTTTCTTTGGTTCTTGAATTTTAATGATTAATATTTTCCTACAGGTATATAGGAGTAGATGGATGTGTCGTAATAAAATAATATAAGTAATGTTTTATGCCCCTTGTTTATCGATTTCTTAAACTTTGCATTAAATCATTATTTACTTAGCATGTGGTAACCCATATATGATAATTCATAATGTATGACAATTGAATACTTTGAGGCAATTGGGCATAATGAAAAGTATATACACTATACTTAATTTTCATATAATAATTAACATTTTTGTTTTCCCAAAGGTTTACAGCGGACGATAGTTTTAAGCCCGCATTTTGTACCATATATTTTTATAATTGTTGTCAATAAGGAATAAATAAATCATAATGTTTTAAGACATATAAATGCACCTGTACAGTCTTGTCGAACCAGCGATTGCTGCCATTGGAGCGCGAGCCGCCCCCATGTATGGTCTGTGCGGCAGCTATGTTCTGTCGAGCGTTCTTATCCTTGTTATCCCATAGGCCAACAGCAGAGTCTAAGCATAATACCACTATACTCTTTTCTATGTCTGCTAATGATTCTCTGTTCACTTGATCTGAAATAATAACCAAGAATTTTATTGGATTAAGAGAACATACAGAGTATTAGGTGACAGGTTCATGCTGAAACGAGTAACGTCAGACAAAGAACATTGCTAGCATAATTTTTTTTTTCGTGAATTGCAATTTATTTGTTTGTAATGACTCATTACGCTTAAAATAAATGTTTTTGATGATTTCAAAGGGCAGAGAATCATGTCCTATTTATCTATCATTAAATAATTTAAATGATTACACTTATTATTATTATCATTAATTGGTGATCGAATAAAAGATATTTTGCGTTACAATTGCATATTATGTTCATTGTATGAATATTGTATATTTAATTTAGAATATGAAAATTGATAAAGTAACGCTTATCTATAAGCATTCTGTATCTATACATTTTGAGTGATAATATTGATACAAATATAATGGATAGGTCGTTCATAGATCAGTAAGGAGTAAAACAGAGCATATTTATTTCATACTTTTGTCAATGTCATACATCATAATGCTGTAGCACTACACACACACACTATAAATGAGACAAACCTCACGATATCTCTTACTACCTTTCGTAAGAAGTTGATAAGCTTTTGCCCATGCATCCCTGTTTTCGGATGTAAGCACGCCTATAGCGTTATCAGTGGGAGTTTTTGATAGTTCTATAACTTGTTTTAACTGCTGGACGATTTGGTCCTCACTTAATACTACATTGTCTGCCCCCCAAAGGTCCACATGGAATATCTGAAAATAATATACATATGTACTTACAAATATAAATCAATCACTCATTAAATCATATTTATCCATTAAAAATACAAACTTACAATAAAAAAAAAAACAAGTAGTGTGATAGCTATGCAATTAATATTTTTTTCAATACATAAAATTTACTATCAGAGGTAATGAAACAGCTCTGTCCTACTCATGTTTATCCTATCAAGCAGTTGTGCTTTATTAGCTCTGTTTAGGATGAAAGATATCGACTGAATAGATTTCGACACTGAAATTACAGAATACGAAGCATACTCGTATATGCAGGAATGTATTAAATGCGTATCAATAATATTTATTGTGATGTCCATAAGACGGTCAGCTTGTTGCCAATTGCAAGTGGCGTAAATAATAATAATAATAATAATACTTTATTATGCAGACTACAATGCGGTCCAAATTTGTTAGTAACAATTTTCTTACAAACTATGTTAGTAAAAAAAGAAAAACAAATTGATTTAATTAAGCATTTCACCCAGATGTGACCCGGTCGACTAGATCAGCATCTGAATGAAATGCCCAATTATAGGCGAGTTATATTTCTCGCTATTATTTTTAGAATGCTGTTGGTGCTTGTCCTAACCCTGTTTAGCAATGATGCAGTCCTCTTTCTCCTTACAGCGTAGTAGTCATCTACGCGAGATTGAGCAAACATGCTAGAAGCGCTACAAAAGCGAGGTAGCCCCAACAGCACTCCAAAACTATTATTGTACTGGATTCGTAGGGCACTGAGTGAGGCCTGTGTGCAGTTAACCCACAGACTGCTCGTGTAGAATGTTTGGCAGTATGCTTTGAAGAGTGTGATTTTTACTTCTTCACTACAACGGGCAAACCTGCGAGCCAACATGTTACATCTAACAGCCAATGCCCTACGCTCCCTTTCGACATCAGTTTGATCTTTAAGGTCATCAGTAACATAGTGCCCTAGGTATTTAAATTTATGCACTCTTTTTATATTTGCTCCGTGTAATTGGATATCGGGCACGTGCGTAGGACATTTACCATTGGCCTTAAATATCAAATACTCTGTCTTGTTTACATTGTATTTTAGCCCACGACTCGCTGAGTACGTCTCACACATATACATAAGCTGTCTTAGGGCTCTAATCGTTGGAGTCAGCAGCACCATGTCATCAGCATAGCTAATGTTGTTGACACAGACATTATCTACGTGACATCCAACACGGCTACTGCTGAGTCCAACAATCAGATCATTTATGTACAAATTGAAGAGCTTGGGCGAGGTTAAACCACCTTGCCTCACTCCGCATTCCAGCTTATACTCCTCGGAAAGCGCATTTCCCCACCGAACGTTGTTTATCTGATTGGTATACCAATACTTCAATATATTAATAAGTCTACTACATACGTTATTGTCTTTAAGCTTTTCCCAGAGGATATCATAAGATACAAGATCAAAGGCCTTGGAAAGATCCAGAAAACATGCAAATACCGGCGTTTGTCTGCTTGTATAGTACTGCACAGTATGCTTAAGACTCAGAACTGCCAATTCGGTAGATAGCCCAGGACGGAAACCGAACTGAGCATCATGTAAATGTAGATGTTTGTTCAAATATGAGTCAAGCAAACTATCCAACACCTTAGATACAACAGTTGCCAGTGAAATAGGTCTATAATTGTTACAGTCAGAGATATCACCAGTTTTATTTTTTAAAATTGGCACAACCACCGTTTTAATTAATTTGATGGGTAAATACGCATGACTTAAGCAAAAGGAAAAGAACATTGATAAAACTCGCGGAAGATGCACTCCGGCATACTTGAGATGTTATATCCGGGAGACCTACCCCGCTTCATCATTCGAATGGCATTTGCCACTTCAGCGCTAGAAAAACGAAGCAGATCCTCACTTCCATCGCATTCAGCGTATATTGTTGATTGCGCTGGTCCCAATGGCGAAACAACTGTAAATTGTTTTTTAAACATATTTGCTATCATCTCAGGTGTGCTACAGTCCGCGACACGAGCAGGCAGACCAGGCCTTATATTGATGTTATTTGTTGATTTCCAGAATCCAGTAAAAAACACGCTAGTTAAAACGAGGCTTGAGACTCTAATAATGATAGTTCAGATCGTTGTGATATATATATTTTACAAATATATACAAATAGAGAAGTCTTACGTGATTGTTGTGTATGACAGTAACGTATTTGCTATCATTGAAAGATAATTTGTCTGTCTTATCTCCAGGTATTCTACAAGTACCAAAAATCTTCTTATACTGTAACATGTCTAGTGGATTTTTACCCATCATTTCAGTTGGAATTTTGTCACTAAAAAATAAAAATACCTATTATATTAAACAAACTTCTTTAAAAAAATTAAACAGACTTAAAAAATAGATCAAAATTGTTAGATTTGTATAATTTGACAGTTGCTTACAAGTGTTTAAGGAATGGCCTTTAACCCTTAAAAATATTTAAGTATTTCATTTCTCTATTAATTTAAGCTATAGGTACATATAATTATTGATCTCGTTCTCTTTAGGGTTGTCACAAACTTCAAATACATTTTGTCTTTTAAATTAAAAATCTAATATCAGATCGTTTTTCGCATTTGTTATTTTCATCTTTCTTTTTAAGTCGGTTTAATTAAAAAAAGTGATTATTTTTGTATTTGTAGTGTAAATAATACGTAAGCAGTGAGTTGAAAACTACTTCACATAATACAATCAAACTTTTATTATATCATAGCAGGACTGTAAGTTAGTTTACAAATTAATTAACTTCAGTATAAATTTTAGTTTGTATATTGACTTTTGTTTTTAGTCATAATATTATTCATATCTAAAAACAACTTTTAATCCTGAGTAATAGGATAACCCACTCGCCAGTAGAATTTCATTAAATCATAATATACGAATTTGGTTAACCGATACAAAGTTCTATAGCTTCCAACATCACCTCAATAGCTTGAAATGTTGACTCCCAGACACAATCAGCCAAATAACTTGAAAAAGCCTAAGAAACGGTCTATAAGTTCTTATAATTTTTAAGCGCTTATAATATTAAACGTTAAGGAGTTAAACCTTCCATCATAAACTCATATGAATAGCTTAAGGAAGTATAACAACTGACTCTATCTCCTAACCAAGGAGAGGAGGAATTGTGCCATTCCCTCAAGTAATCATCCAAAAAACAACGAAAAAAATTTTTGAAAATTATGTTCGTCTTTAAAATGAAGTTCAAAATAATTTTTTTTTCATCATTTATCAAATCATCGTACTCTATACGAAGATATGGTGCAGAATTATCGTCGATCAAAGCAAAAAAGTCCATTTTAAGTTTGACAATCAATTACTAGGAAACTAATGATCATACAGAAAATTAATGTAGAGTTTTGGAAACTACAAAATATTCTCTATGATATGCAATGAGTGGGTTTTGATTTTTTATGGGAAATTTTTTTTTCGAATGTTGACTGAAAAAAAGTTATAAATTCGTTAATTTAAGGATATTCGGAAAATTTCGTGACATCAAGATATAATGCATGAACGAATGATATCGTTGGTAATTTTTTAACATCAAAGTGTACATTAATATCTCTCAAAGTTGCAAAACTCTGCGATTTTGTTTTCTTAGTGCCCTGAAGGTTTAAATTTATCGTTTCTGTCAAAAATCTGCCAAAACAAACATTTTTTTTTTAATTTTTATTAATTTTTAGGGTGGTTTTGAAAAAAAAACTGTTTTGCTAATTAAGAATTTTTAGTTATTGGTCGTATTCCAATAACCGGGGCTATCACGGCGGGAGACGCGCTCTCGGTACTTAATTTGTCAGTTATAACATGATTACAAAAGATTCGTTTTTTTTTTGTTTTGTTTTTTATGGCTGTGTGTATATGTAAATGTGATATGTAATAAATACTTCTTTATAAATAATGTTATTTACAAAAATTAAACAATAATAAATACCTGTCTATTAGAGATTTATATTCAAGTGCTGCTAGTAAGGTTTTTGCTGCATATTTCAGTTGTTCGTTTTGAGTGTTAAATTTACGGAATGGAAACACTAAGCCAGGACTAGAATATACCACAACTGGATCACGATATCCAAGATAAGCTGTCAGTAACCACCACTCTTCAAGCCAGTTTAAATGTTCTTGTGCTCTTTTTTCCAGCAATGCCTGCAAGAATGTGTACATAAGGTAGGTACTAAATATATTCACTTCTGGTCCCCTAGACGAGATACAAACGAATTTATCGATAGAGTCGCTTTCGGCAGCAGTCACATGAAAAAGAAGGCAGCGCTCATTGCTGTCTCATTCTATCTCATGAAGTTGTTAGCGATAACCATTCAATAAATAGATTCGATTGCATTTTTAGACAAAATAGAAGGCTACGTTCCAACCATCAATTGATGTATTAGTTTTAATATGGTTTATGGATATTTTTATGATAATTATGAATATTTTGAGAAGTTTTTGATTTCTAATGACTTAGGCATGTCACTGAAAGATTTATATTATTCAATTATTTTTTAAAAAAGATAACATATCTTCTAAATCAACATAAACATAACATGAATTTGGCCTAATTTAAGATTGAATATACATATATATCTTGACTTGTAATATTCTTGAAAACAATCAGGATCACTTAATTTTGTTTCTGCTCTACTATGTTCTTGATTCGAAATAGCATTTTCGCTTTAAATATACATAGTTTGCTCTGTTATGTCCCCCCTTTTGTAATCCCTTTCCATAGTATGGGCCGCCAGCTTGTTTGCCATTCAAAGTTGCATAAAAAAAATATTAAGTACTACATTGTGATACAATCTACTATTGCACTGAATATTTATAAAACTTATTATAGATGAATATAAATTTAAAGATAAAACCTGGTAAAATATCTTGAATTTCATTTCTTTTTCTATACACAATAAATAGCACTTAGATTGTTATTTTTTTTTTTTGTAATATATAACTTAAGATTGTACAATTTAACTGCAATAACAAATTGATCAATTAATTGCTTGACTATGCTAATAACTATGCTATGGACTTTGCCAATTTAAGAATTTTACAAGGTTTATGGAAAAATTTCAAATTGTTACCTGTAATTTTTGCCCAACACCTCCTTCTGCACCAAAAGACTGAATAAGACGTGACGTAATAGCAAATTCCTCATCCTTTAAATGTGGCTTCACAGTTTTCAAATATTTGTTCAATGTATCAGAAAGTTTGGGTACTGGAAGTCTTGGTAAATTTTGGGCATTGGCAGCAGGTTTGGCAGATGAATAGTGAGAAGATAGTTGGAAGGAACTAACATAAGGCTCCATAAAAAAGCTCCTTGGTCCACACTGAAACATTATTTTTATATGTAATATTACAATTTTAATGTAAATAAATATTAAACATTATGATAATTGTGAAAACTTTGAACTGATATTAGTATTTAAATTGATTTAATAAAGTAATTACAATCAATTTAAAATTCTTTGAAGAGATGTTTAGGAGTTCTTTCAGACCACAGAAATTATAACCCAATTGATGCAAAGTACAAGCACATATTTCTCAGCTATACAATTTGACACATTTATACTAGTTGACACAGAAAAAAATAACAATTTCAATTATATAACATATTATAGTGGTAATTAAGGATACTAGTAGTTAGAGGTGATGTAGGCATATATAATCATAATACATACTAACTGCTCCCATAACTTCGCGGAATGATTATTTTTTTAATGAATTATTTAGATATCCATTACAATGTATTAATTTATTTTATAAAAAAAAAGTGTTTGATACTAACACCACTTACGAGATTATTATATTAATAAACATAATATTATATAACATTTACTTATTAAGTTTTACCATAAAAATAAGGAAATTTATTCTTATGATTCTACTTTGCCAAAAGTTGGATCACAATTATAAAATGTGAAAGTGAATGATAGTATATGTAACCATATTCTGCTTGATATAATGTGTGTAAATTGAAATCCACTCAGCTATTTTCAGGTGATGCCATAGAATATTCAGATAAGACAATTTTTACAATACATAAATTAGGTTTCTTTACCTAAAAGCCTAGCTGTTCTAGCTTCATAAAAAAAAATCAATCTGCAGACTTTATTTCATTAATTTATTATAGTGCTTATAAATTTAAAAATGTGCAATTGCAATATTCACTAATAGTAAAACCCTAACCATGTGCTGCCAAATTGAAATATCTCATTGTTGATTAGCTAAATCAGCCTGCAATTCTTAGGTATTTAAAAAACAAAGACTTGAATTTAACAACACATTTTCATATTATTTTTAATATATTAACTAACTTACTATTTTATTTATCCCACGGAGCATTTTGATATTCTGCAACAAAAATTAATACACAGAAATAAAAAATTATACAAAACAAAAAGCACAAGAGCAGTTTTTGGTAGGATCTTTCTAGTAAAATGTAAAGTCATTATTTTTGCCAATAAAATTTAAACTAATGTAAATATGTCCAATTGTAAATTACAATGCACAAGTCAAAGAAAAATACATCAGTACCATATCTACCTAAGATATTGCATATTCATTTAGCTGTGGCTTTGACCTATGGAGAATTATCAAAAAGGTTCTATTAATAAATAATTTAAAATATAATTCATGTAAAATATTTCTATTTTAAATTACAGTTCATTGGATCACAATACTTTTTATAATCCCTTATTATTTTTAAAATAATTTATAAGTCTAATAGTAATAAATGGATCAGTGTATACCTTTAGGCTCTTCATGAATAGAAGTTCTTAATATTTTAGGAATAAGTAACACACATTAATGTAATCAACAAAGGTAAAACTAATTACTTCCTTTTCATTGAATTACTCTGATATAAAATAAAATATTCTTTAAAGTAAAATGTGTAAATTAAGTAAATGCTTGTAACTCCTAAGTATATATTTACATTAATTAGAGATAAAATTCTTGATACCTGTTATACAAACTTTAAAAATAAATATAACTAATAGTTTAGAAAAAAAAAATATTGAAGACTTAATAGAAGAAAAAGTTACCTAAGTAGATTATACTCGAAATAATTTGGACATTAGTATACACTTCGTTATCGCAAATGGACTTCGGTACTTACTTTTGTGCTATTGTTAGACATTAGCAGTTTTGTTATTCAAGTTCAGCGATTATAAGTGTAAAAACAAAAGGGAAAGTATTTTTATATATCAGGAAGCACGTAGATAGGAAAAGGACCCCACTAACCTTTAGAATATAAACTTTATAAAAAATAACCGGTTACGGACTATCACAGAGTAACTTTCGATACTGATAATGTCGTTTCTTTTTGCAAATCGCGATCGTTGTTGATGTTCTTGTTCTTCGCTTCTATTACGAACTACCTACGTACCTATCTATTTTAATCACAATTTAAATTAATTTTGAAATTGATTGAATTGAATTTAGCAATACATGTCATTATACTTCTTGCTTATTGCCATTTCCTGACATAAGTATGTAAACATTAAAACTGACAATTCACCTTCTACTGTCACTCATAGAATTACTCCATAGATTAAGTATAGGCTCTACACATAGATCAAGAACGATATTAAGGATTATAACAATAAAGCACATTATATAGCTAACAGTAGTCTATGGGGGAGGATTATGTCCAGCAGTGGATGGATAATGACTGAAAGAATGATGATAGCTAATAGTAAAAGAGAAAAATAATTTCTTAAAGTGAAATAGTCAAGGTTATTTATACAAGCTCGAAGCGGCTTTTGTAAAAACAAGATACACATATTTTAACGTTTTGAAGTAGAATTAGTTTTTATTGATTATTATTATTAGTTAGAATTATGTTATACTAGGATATAACATAAATTACAAAAAAATAAATCGAAGGAATAAATTCGTAAAAGTGCCCATTTTTCACTTTACAAGATTTAGAAGAAAAAATGCGTATTAATTTTTTCTATTTTTGCAATTTAAATTTTTTATGTAACTTAGAATGGCAAACAAGCTGACGCCCCATATAATGGAAAGTGGTAAACATCGTCAATAGAAATGAACAATAGCATTCCTTCTTCTTAAGTATATTGATATTCATGACATATGATGATGATCATAATAGAGTTACCCTGGTAACTTCTATTCTTCTGTGCATAACTTCAAATTTAAATAATTATTTATATATATAATTATTATAATTCTTAGCACTACCTACGAGCATATTAGTTTTTATAAATTTTATTTTTAAATTACCAATCTGTATAAATTCTTAATCTAAGTGTATTAAACAATAGACCTACAGGTACTATACTTAATCTAAGTAATAGACCTATCTCATGCATATTGACTAAAATAGTAGTATGTACCCACCATGAGATATTTATATAGATGTAATAAATAAAATACATAAGCAGTAAATAAAGATCAGTGTAGATTTTTTTATTATAATCAAAAGTAACATACTGAAGTTTTGATGTCTTCATGAGATTTACATATGTTTTAGGCATTTTTAACTTAGTAATTAATAAAACATTTGCGTAGTATTATTATTAGTATTATCTTTTTCTACTTCCATAGTTATTATTTTTTAATGTTTATTATTAATTATAATGGGTCATTCTACTTCTTTTTATTATTAAATAGAGATATTTGTTCTGACAGCATCTAAACTAATTCGGTATTACTATAAAAGTTTGAACACTAAATAGTGTTCAAACTTTTATAATAATCTAATCTCTGATTCTAAATAGTGTTTAGCAAATTTCTAAGTAAATTTATTTAATATTATTAGTTGATGTAATAATGTTTATTTGTAAATGTATGTGTTATATCTATAAAGTATTATAATAAAATTTATTACTTCAAATACTGTCTTATTAAGGTCTAATTTTGTCTTTGTTTGAACTATATAGATTTTAGACGCCTTTTGCAGTAAGACTTCTAAACATATATTTAACACCAATTTATTGCAATCTTTACTTTTTTGTATTAATCCCGATTGATATTTGTCTTAATTTAATGTCACCATAACAGAAATTCCTTTTTACTTAATTCAATGAAAAAGAGTAGATGCCAAGTCATACTGAATAATATAGATTTAACATATTATTTCATTTATTACATGTGCCTATCTTATTTTAGATTTAGTAACTACCAGTTAGTTAAATAAGCAAAGAAAGTGATAATAAACATTTTCATTGAATAAATGACCATAAGCGTGTGAATCGTAAATAATCGAAAGTTATGCGTATATGTTGACATCATTTGTAAATAAAGCATCATTATCAGCCGCTTTTGTAATTAAGGACTCTGCTCCAAACATTTCATTAGTAGGTCCATCAGCTGGATTCCTGAAATACAAAAAAGAGGTATGTTTAAACAGTAGGAATAATATGGCTGTATGGCCCCGGCTTAGAATAGGCCACCCCTTCCTCTCTCGTGGATGTCGTAAAAGCCAACCAAGATTTCGCACCATTTTATATATTTTTTCGTGTTCATTATCAAATTACAATATTGAATGATGTGAAAGAAAATAGGATTGCATTGATCGCCTTGCAGAAAGTGAGTATAAAGCCGTCGGTCATATTCCAGACAATTTAAAAGCTTGGTATCAGCCGTATGTTCGTATATCGTACTATCAACATATACAACAACACTTCCTCTGTCGAAGACCAGAAAAGATTGGAGCCAGAATTTGTCGAAACCCCATTAGGAAGCAAAAAATCTTATTGCGAGAAATGATGATTCCCATTAGGACTCTGTCGCGTATTATAAAACAAGACCTGAAGCTCGGCGCTTATCATCGATATACAGGACATGCCCTAAATCAATCTTTACATTTAAAAAGAGTGGATCGATCAAAACGCCTTCTGTTGCGATATGCAGGTGAAAGCCACAGAAATATAAAGGTTAACATGACCACTTAAGTAGGTCGTGTACTAAACTGTATAAATTACCATAGTTTTTAACAATCCCACAGGAACTCTTTAATTTTCCGTGATTAAAAGTATCTCAAACGTTGACCATGGATGTCACAGGTGCTCTATTTCGCTTCTAACGTCCGCCTGACTCGGTTTTTAACATTTTTTTTTTCTATGTACAGACATTCTACTTCTACAGTTTTATTATATATATAGATATACAGAGAACAGAAGGAGTGTGTCAGAGCAGTTATTAGGTATCATGTTCACAAAAGTATTGCTATTACAGAGTATCTATTCCAAAAATTTGATAGCAATAACTAAATATTAACGTAAAATGTTTAACTAACCTATTGTTGGAGCTGTTAATATCCATTTCTCCAGAAAAACTATCAGAGTCGTCATTCAATGATATTTGTGAATCTGCAATGTAAAAAATGCATTTATATAACAGAAATAGTAATATACATGTTATTTCGTTGACAACGCGCACGTGACATCCCTAGCACGTGACATCGCTTGTTATAAACGTCCATTACTTGCCATCTTGGTGGTATAAAAAAAATATTGCAATTGCAATACATTTAATATAAGTGAAATTTACTAATGATTATTTTTGTGATCACTTCTACCTATTTCAGCCATGAATGAAGTAATAGTGCAAATTTGTGTATTGTTATGTTTCGGCATAAAAAAAAAAACAGCCAAGTAGAAGTGATGTACTGTAGTATAGTACTGACTTTCCTTTATGAATGAGGCAATATTGTCAAAATATTTTTTTCCGTAAATTCTAAATGAAGCTTATTTAATAATAAAGGATAAAAATGTAGCTGTAATCCTGCTCGCGCTACTGGTACACAATGGCGGGGTACCAGTGAATGATAGATGAGAGTGAAATCAGTTCAATTGGTCAATCATGATGAATTCATCAGAAATTAATCACGATGGTTTCCAGGTATCGATATATACCGGATGTAGTGAGCCGGTGCGTAGTGAGGTACTCGGCAGACAGGTAGGGCGGCAGGTCATCGGCCGAGTCACCGCCGCCGCCGCCCGCCGCGCCGCCCGCAACCCCCGCTCCGACCCCGCCACCATTTTCCGCGCCCAAAGTTTCCACTACAGACAACCATTGTCCATTGTGGCATCGGAATCTTTCCACCTATAAACATTTATAATTCAATTAGTATCAATTTCAAGTAAAATATTGGAGTTAAATTTAGTTGGAACCAAAACGGGCGTTCCGCGTCTACTGAGAGCAAAAAATAAGTACCTACTTACATCGCGGTTGGGTTATCTAAGAGTATTAAAAAACGGTCAGGTACGAGTTGAACTCACACGCCAAAGCTTGCGTACGTTAATATGTAAATATGAAATAAAACGACATTAATTCCATTTTTCATACTTAGTTTGTCTATTACACTTAATAGTTATAATTGTTGATACTATGATTTGTAATTTCTTATTTTGGGTCATAACTATACTACATAACTAAGTTAAAAAGCTCCCAAAATAATTGGGAGCATTTTTTAACAATTTATCAAAAATTATACTAATTAGAAACATCGTTTTATTTTTCCTAAAACATTCACATATACCTTTATAAACTGTAATTGATGATTGTTTTTGTCACACATTTTTAATCAGAACTAAAAACTGCGCATCATAAAAAGAAATTAAAATCAGTTTTTAAATGTATAAATAAGGCCCTTTTACATGATATGATTTATACGATAATTTTAAAAATTTGAGTACCATTTCTGGACCCTGATTTTCACTGCAATGTGTACGAGCTAAAGTTGTATAAAATTATTCCAAATTTCAAATCGATAGCATTAGTGTTGTCGTTGAGATAAGGCACTGTTACAGACTAATAAAGTCGCACCATAACGGTACCCTTATGCCTTTATATTATACCATTTGTAGGTAGTTAAATAATTTGCTCAAATCAGCGAATCATTTAAATTCCGATAAATGTAATCTTTTGTTTTGTTTCATAAATCTATACACAGGTAAGAAACTAATTTGTACAAACATAAATTACACACGTACATACCTTTATTCTTGCAGCCCACTCATTTTGCATTTGTGAAATAATGTCCAGGCAGGAGTCACACATTTTTCTAATTTCTACATTTTTATCTTGCATTAGGTCTATTAGGTACGCTGGAGCTTCTGTAAAGTATAAGTTTTGTTTACATACATACATATTTGTCACGCCTGTATTGCCGACTAAAGTTTTGTTCAAAACTTATTAGACTTCTAAATAGACAATACAAAAAATTAAAATTTTACATTTTTTTATTACCATATTTTTTCGAGTTGCTAGTAAAATGACGACGATTTGTTTGTAAAAATAAATACACCTATCCCCCGATTTACACGGTACTTGTTTTACACGTTTTCGCTTTTACACGGTTTTCCAAATAAGTTTTTTTTTTGTTTTTATCGCACTCTACTAAATGCTACTGTGTTTGAACACGTGCGCTGTGTACACATCTCACGGGGAATCCCGAGCTTACGTGCTGACTTGCTGCACATGCACACTGTGTCTGTATTTCTTCGCATAAAATTAAAGTTTTATCTACGGAAAATTGTATTTGAGTGAAAGTTTCACAGTGTCAGAAAGATTTAATTTTTCATATTCGTAAATTACAAGTGAGTGCATAATTAAGATTTTTATAAATTAACATAAATTAAAAAAAATTATAGGCTTATAATGTCGAAAGAAGTTAAAAGAAAAGTTATTTCTTTAGAAACTAAAATCGAAATTTTGGATCGCTTACGAAAGGGAGATAGAGTAGTAGATGTTGCAAAATCATATAACATGAACGAAGCTACAATAAGAACTATTAGAACAAATGAAAATTTTTATTTTTATTTCTGTGTACACCTAAAAATATTGAAAAAAATCACAACTGTTAAATAGTAAAATTATGCATTTTCTGCAAGCTTTTCGATTTACACGGTTTTGACTTGAAAATTTTTAATTTTCGATTTACACGTTTTTCTCAGGAAAGTATCTATCTATGTAAATTGGGGGATAGGTGTACTGACTAATATTATTAATGTGAAAGTGGTTGTTACTTCTAAGCACTTTAATGGCTTAACCAATAGTCATCAAATTTGGTATACGCATACTACATGGGATAAAGAAGCGCTCGATCAATATACTCTGATCACAGGAACGTAATTTAAAATATATCATCCTTCCTTTAAAAAAAAAAAAACACGACATAAATTTGTGTATATAGGTAGGCGACTAGTAAATATATTCTACAGTAAATAAACTTATCTAAAAATACAAAAATATGTTACGCGAATGATGTGACGAGCAGAGCTAGTTTAAACAAAGTGGTGAGTATAGCGTTCAGTGGAAAGCGAGCGGGTGAAGTTGTGTTACCTGTGCGCGTGAGCAGGTAGTCGGCGGCGCGTGGGTGCGACAGCATCTGGCGGAAGGCGAACACGGTCTGCAGCACGTGGTCGTCGTCGGCCTGGCGCTGGCGCAGCAGCGCCACGAGCGCACGGCCCGCGCCGGCGCGCAGAAGCGCACTGGCGCAGCGCTCTTCCGCGCCCAGCGTACCGCACGCCACCACACCCTCCAGCACCAGCTCTGCCGACCACGACCTCTCCTCTGCGCCCTCTGTACACATTCCACATCGTTCAGTGATCTAGCTACCGGATGCACGACATACAAGCTTGTGCATTTTACAATATTTTCAAATGGTAACATTGTAAGCGTTATAAGCTATCCATTGTCCATTGCTGGACAGTTATATTAAATTGTAATAAAATACCCAAAAGATAACTATAAAAGTTTATTGGTTAAGAACTCTTTTACAATGTAATAAGTTTCTTTTTTATATAATATATCACTGAGTAAATATGCATATTCACTAACACTATTGCATGAATATGCACTATAATTTATTTGTATACACATATTAAACATTTTTTTTACAAAATTATGCAATGAATATGCCTGTTTGTATATCTGTATGAAAACGTACAAATAAATAAATACAAAAATGTTTGTAAACACATTCGGACAGTGAATAAAATTTTTTCATAAAATTGTCGAAGAATAACATGCCAGCTGAGCGAGGCTTTCGCACGAAGATTTGTCTCTTTATTACTCTATGTAATTGAGATCGATAGTACCTACTGTAAAATCTATGGTAGTAATAAGCATGTAAGTATGAAATGGTCCCCCAAAAACAACGTGGCTGATTATATGCCACGATGGGTAAGTAGCTATTATATGCCTATTAAGTATTTATACAGAATGTGCATATACAAAAGAATTTCAAAAGTCTCTTACGGAAAAGTCATTGAAATAAAGTATCAAGATAAAACATATACATAAACATTCATATATAATTTTAATTAAATATAAGACCTTCAATTAAATACGACTGTGAAAAACATAAGCGCAAAAAATCCAACTTAGTTTTTGGGTGATGTCGACAGTCAAAAATAAAAAAAAATAGTTTTTGGGTGATGTCGAAAAAAAGGTAAACACATGAGGGTTACCATAGATATAAGAGTATATTTTGTAATTCATGCCTATGGACAAAAGTTGCCATATCACTCCAACTTGCATAAAAAATCGTACCTGGATCTAGTATCTTCATAATGCACGGTATCAGGTTATATCTTTCTACAACAGCATAAACATCTATGTTGTTGTCAGCATGCAATATATTGCTGAGTGTTCCGATGCATTCGATAACAAATTCCTCAGGCACGTCACCGCTCGTGACTGCTGCAGCGATATCTCCTACGAATTCCTGTAATTTAAAATTGAGCGAATGAATGAGTAAACTTCATTGGGATTTTACAACATAGAGAATAAAGCAAGACAAGTAATAACTAAACGATATAATTGTACAGTAAAGCGGTCAATAACAACAGACAAGACAATTACAAATTTAACAAGATAATAAAGTCGCTATTAATGTATAAATTATTTTATGACATAAATTTCATATAAATTTGTAAGACTGCGGGAGCAGCATAAATTACATTTATCTAATGGTAGATTCAACCATTTATAGGATTATTGATTGTTGTTAAAAAAACTTTCAAATAGTGATATTAATTCTTAGATCATTGATATACGAAATGTTTTTTGCTTTTTAATGTTAGTATTGCGTTTTATTAGTTTAATAGCGTGAGGAGTTTATAAAAACAAAATTTGTTTTTTTTTTTTGGCTCAATTTCTCGGCCGATTATGAAATTTGCTAGAGATATCTTACAGTAGAATTGCAGAAGTGTGAATAATTAAAATATGACGCGTGTAAAAATGCGCATATTCTATAGCTTATTACTGTATACTTACGACAAACAATGGTTTATTTTGAGAGTGATTTGATAAGTTGCGCACAAGTGTCATAAGCATCGCGTTCTTGTACCGAAAGGCACGCGCGAGCAGTTCTCGCAGCCGGCCCTCGGCGGCCATCTGGTGAGCGGCGCGGTCGCACCACGCAAGGTTCACGCAGAGCGCAAGCAGAACGTCCGTGGTGCTCGCTGTGCTGGTGCCAAATGCATCGCTATTTACGTTCAACAGCAGCATATCAGTTAGCTACAGAAAACATATAAATCTTTAAACTTTTGTACTGGGACAGTAATTATGAAGGCGTTATTAACTACATTTAAATATCATGATAACCCGTATTTTTTTTGTGCACAGATCTGCTCGTACTCAAACCACCTGGTTATCACGCTTTCTTTCCTTAGTGTCCGTGTTATCACATCTTAGAGAGTAGAAACAGGGACAAGTTGTATTCTTACTTAGTCATCACATGGATCATGTTTACCTAATCAGTTCTGGTCATCACACCATCACATCAGCCGTTATTTGCACACTGTTGAACATAGGCCTTATTCATAGACTGCTGAAAGAATGATATTGAACCAGATGGCAGATGGATACTGGTGCATTCACTGACTCCCTTTAATGCAATTGATGTTGTCACTCCATCTAGTGGGGGGCGGGTTATCCTACATTGTGTTTGCCCGTATGAGGTCACCACTCAAGAATCTCCCTTCTCCAAAATGTATTACATGTTAAAACACATAGGAATAAAAAGTATTTGATATGGTGTATACTTGAAAATCGGTCGAATAGAACATTGAAGAGAATTGAATACTTTGGGAGTAGATTTTTTCAGCTCAAATACACTGAAATAGTCAATTATATATTTATGCAAAAGAAGCTCAAATTTTCGTAATCAGTGACGTATTATTGAGAGTTAGATATTATTATTAGGAATAAATATATTCCTTACCAATTTGACACAATCAGACTGAGTAAACAATAATTTGACTCGATCATCCATGCTCAAATGGTACAAAATTTTCATTGCTAAATTAATATGTTTATCGTCACCTGAAATCATTAAAAATACTTATTATATGTATAATAAAGTTATGTACCACAGCATATAGAAATTGTGTTAATAAGTACATATCTATCAACCTCACAGAGTATAAGTACATTTTATCCTTAAACAATTTCATGTTTGTAAAAGGGATTTTTATACTTGGATGTGTATCTTCCTCCTTCAATTGTCTGTAACTATCCGAACAGCATTAGTTCAATTTAATATTTATTTTTAGATTTAAAAACGAAGTGACTTAGTTTCGTTCTCATTTTATGAAACACCTTAAGAACTCATTGATATACTAAAGCTACACACAGGTCTTTTCTCACAAAAAGAGTATATCGGCATTTTGTTACCATACTGATATTTTTTTTGCATTGTTGTATCTATTTATTCCATACTTTCCTAGTCGCCTCTTAGGATATACCTACAGGGAATAAAAGGACTGAAAAAATATTATATAGTGACAAAATTCCGTCACAAACAACACCTAGCCAATGACCCAAGATGCGGGTTTGCAAATATAAATCAGCCACTCACATGAAAGACAAATAAAAACTAGAAATTATTTAGAAGAGGCATTAATAAAGTGGGTCAAGAAAAGAAAAAATACACTTACTTGTGAATTGAATAAATTTTGGCAATAGACCAATTTTTATCATTTTATTGCGCAATTTAGTGTCAAACGTAAGATTAAATAATAGCTTTAACGTAACATTGACTAGATCTGCATTTGGTGAATCCAATAAAGGTGCAATTTTCTCAACAATTCCTCTTGATGCCATACTATTTTTATTTTCTACGAAAATAGACAATTTTTGCAAAAAAGAAACAATAAGTATTAGTAAATCCATATTTGAATGCCTCTCCATAGCTCCAATAAGTAATCCAACAATATCTTTCTTATGCATTTTCTCTTCAACTTTTACATTCTCAGCTATATTGAGTAACATATAAAAAGCTACTCTCAATAATTGCTCTTGCCGTTTGGATAATGTCTTGAGTTTTCTTTTTAATTGCTCTTCATCATTTTTAGATAAACATTCATCAGATGCATTACATAAATCTTCATGGTAACTGGAGACTAAGGATCGAGACTTTTGTAAATTTACATCGGCTACGGCCCATGTGCCCGATTTCGGTCGCCGTTTAGGTTCAGGAATTCGGCTCTTTGGGAGTTCACTCTAAAGTTGTGAAAAGTATAACATTATTTATAAGGTAACTTAATTTCAATAAAAATCTCAGATCTTCCCTTTAGACTGATGATACACATTACATAAATACTTTAAATTTTTTTAGAAACTATACATAATAGTAGGAATTTTACTATCAATACTGTATCAATATATTATATTTTACCTTATCTGGAGTAAGCAACTGTTTCTTGCCTTCAACCTTCTCTTTCCACTGATCATAACGTTTGAGTTCATAATCTATTACATCCATACACAAAGACCCTATCTTATATTGAATTATAACCTGATGAAATTCATTGTAAGTAGAGAAGCAGAAAAAAGTATAAACTATATTTGTACTCAATTCAATACTTCTCTTCCATTCCTCTCGGAGAACTCTGGAGAGAGCACTCAGAAGAGCTTCTATAAGTAATAATAACAATTAATTTACTATACATATAATTTATACAATTTAGAGATAAGGATGAGAATTATGTAGATAAATAAACAGATGTTCTTTAATAATTATTTTACACATAATACAAAATAGATTCAACAGTTATGCTGGAACTGTGTACAAAGTTATAAATAAACAGATTTATATTTGTAACTAGCGACCTGGCTTCACACAGGTAGATAGAATTTTTCAAAATAGTATATAGCAAATGTTAGTTGCTGATAATGTAACTTTCTATAGGAGAAAGAAGTTTTAAAATTGATTGAGTAGTTCTTGAGTTTATCCATTACAAATAAACAATCCAATCTTCACTCTTTTAAATATTATCATTTTCATCATATTTGTCTATAAATTAGGCTGTATGTACATCATATGATGATAATATTTTCTAAGTTCCTATTTTGCAATATTTTACTGAAAATATTTACATATAGTTTGCTAAATATATGTAACCAAAATATCTATCAGTATTACATAAATATTTATAAGTTATTTAGTAGTTTTTACTTTTAATTTTGTCTGGGTGACTAGGATAAAGTAAAAAAATGAAGTACCATTTCATAGGAATGGATTAAGCTGTTAAGGGGCTTAAAGATAATAAACACCATTTTTACATTTATTAATAGTATAAATGTCAAACTAAAGATTTCATCACAAATACAAAATATTAACATAAATTCTTACCATTTCTGGCTAATTCAATTAAATTGTCAGGGTTCCTGGCCAGTTGCAAGATTAATGCTGATCCTTTTATTTTTTCTGGGATGTCATCGTAAAGTAATTCCACATAATCATCCACACAATTTAATACAGCCACAGGTACACTTTCAACTGGACTCATGTTTACTGAAAGAGGCAATTTTTATACCTAAAACAAAAAATTCATAGGTACAAGTACCTTATTTTGCTCTTCTTGTTCAGATTTCAAACATATCATACAATTAAATTATTTATATTTATAATAAGTTTACTATTGTAATCTTTTGAAGAAAACAATATATATGGGTATCTATATATATAATTATTTATAATTTATGTAAATATTTATTTAAATTTCTATCTATCAATATATAAGTTTACTATTTAAACACATGAAAAAACATGGCAATGAAAAATATTTTGTAGAAACATTACATTTAAAATATTAGAATTTATAAATTTATTTAGTTTAAAGTATGCAGTGTTAAAAATGGAATCAACACAAACACACAATGTAACACAAAAAATATGTATGAATAATTAAAAAACAATGTTCAATATAGCCATTATAAATATAAAATTATATTACACTTAAATTGATTTGAAAGTCACTACTATATTTCTAAACAGATAACAACATTCTGAATCCAAGGGCAGACAAAAACATTCTGAATCACAAACAAGTAACAATTTGAAAGAGCTTGCAGTAGTAATAAAGACATATATTTAAATATTTATTTTTACTTCTATTCTAGCTAGAATAGAAGTAAAAATAAAGTAAAAATAAAAATCTTTTTGGAAGTTGTTTAAATTTTTAAATATTAATTCATCAGCATTCTGTCAAAAATTTAAAAGCAATGTATGAGTATACAGTCACTCCTACATTCTAAGATACTTTCACTTCTTGTGAAGTCTTGTGAGAAGCTTGTGACTTTTACTAAGTACATTAAAATAAATTTATAACATAACTTTGATCTAACAAAACCTAAGGGTATCCAATGATCAAAGTATTAACATCTCAAAATGAAAAACATTGTTAATGATTATTCCTTGTTGGTAGAGACTACAAAAAAAATTGGTTTAGACCTCCTTATTTAAATCAGGATTTTTCACATCTTAAAAATTTGTCTAAAATTGTTAAATAAAGAGTCTTAAAAAATTTGGTTTATATAATTGCATATGTTTCGCTCTCCTATTATAGGGTGATGGTAAAATGTTTTGATATGGCCCTAGGTCACTAATTTTCGATTTGACATTCTATGATCAATTATGTACTAAGTAGTAATCATTTGATCATAGAAAGTTAATAATAAATAATACGAATTAAGTCGCTTCGTGACACAGCTTTAAGAATTAATTTATTTATGTAGGTCTTCATAGGTTTACTATTTTTATGTTGTAGCTAAAAAAATATATATATATGTAATCATAAATTGCATTACGCATTTATGTTTTAAATAAGAGCAAGCAAAAGATAAAAGGAAATATACCGAATGACACAATTGTCTAGTTAAAACTTGAACTTTCTTGATATTTATAATTTATTATTATTGGTCTCGTAAGCGACAAGAAAATCAAAACATTAAATTGATTTCTATATGTATCGATTATAATGACAAAACAACAAATGTCATGTTTATGTCGTTTTTTTAGTATATTTGTTCCGTTGTGGAACAGGCTAAGGTCAGAGACCATGGTGCCTAGTCTTCAATATGATAATTTGTCTAGGATCGTTTACAATTTGTATTTTGTATATCAATATTACTGTCAACTAGAATATTTCTAAGACCAAGAATAACATATTTTTGACTTATATAGGCGGTTTAAATGGTGGATGTGTTTTTTATAATTGGTGCCCCCTCCCTCCCGCGGAATCTTCGCCACGAACCCCCGCAGATCGCACACACAATTCCCGTTGACGGGCACGAAGACCCACCTCGACACATCGTCCGCGTGCGATCAAGGCCTTAGAAAAATGGCAAGCGAATTTGTCGATGGAATCGACATCGCAAGCGAGTCCGTGAAATAGAATGAAATAGCAACGCCAGGCGACTCATTCCAACCTACGGAATCCATCGACGGATTCGCTTGCCACTTGTCTAGAGACCCAGGTTTACACCCGAGCGCATTCCTACGACCTCGAGTCCCCACCCATCACAACGTACCGATCCTTCGCCGTCTCTCGAAGGGGGTCGAAGTGCGGTGGCCTAAGCCGAGGTCCGAGTCACTCTGGCGCCCTTGGGTCCACGCCACAGTCCGTTAGAAAGAGTTGAAGCCTATCATCACTTCCCTCTCGCGGGCTTGGAGTGCCGTCTGCACTCACCCTTGCGTATGCGTTCGGTGAAGCTGTAAAGGCCATCTGCGACCAACAGCATAAACAGTTAGAAAACAAATGGTATTGAATTGAGAGAGATTGGTTTAAAAAAATATTGTTTTATTAATCATTTTCAGACGATTTAAAAGAAGTTTTTAAAGTTTCATTTTACGCTGATATTGTTTTGTGCTTTTACTTTTTTTATATACAACTTATAATGTTAAATAAGCTGAAGGCCACCTGATAAAAAGCGGTAACCGTCACCTATAGACTTCAACAGTACCGTGGACATAACAGAGTATACTGTGTCGCCCATGATATTGCCATTTCGGAGAATTGTTCCATTCTTTCTATTTTAGTTCTTGTTCTTGTTCTTGACCAACTGATTCTCATTCAATAAAAGTAAAACATAAAAGCATAGGTAAGCAAAACAAGACAAAAAAATTCCTGATCTTACTTAGACTTTCGTGTTTTCGTTTGGAATCTCGTTCTAATTATTACTGTTATTGTGTATCATTATGTCTGGGTTATATCTATCAGAACCTAGGTGCTAATTTTTTCGAATGCATACTGATGATAATATTCATAATATTTGTTCATAACATGTTATGGCATTTTCTGCGGTGTGTACCGAGTAAAGATTAAAGAGAAAGTACCAGGTCACTCAGAAAGTATTGCGAGAAAAAGTTTTTATGTATGTGAAACTGGCCAGTTATAATTTATTTAAAAATAATTTATTTAAAAGTAATTTATTTAAAAATATGATTACTTATAAGTAAAAATAGGTACGTTCTAAATTTAAAACTTTTCTCCACATCTTTTGCGAGCTAATTAAAATTACCGTGTCTCATTGAAAAATGGATTTGTGTCGAGAACATTTTCGCGCTATATTCTTTTACGATTTTAAGTGTCGCCTGAAACCGGACGAATCGTACGATAGACTTCAAATGACATTCATGGATGAAGGTCCTTCTAAGGCAACCATGTATTATTGGTTTAATGAATTTAAATGCGGTCGACTAACTTTGGGGGATGAAGAAAGAAGTGGTTGCCCTTTGACGGCTGTTACGGAAGACAACGTGCTAGCAGTGAAAAATTTGATCCAAGACAATAGACGAGTTACATACCAAGAGATTCAGCATATACTGTAAATTGGCTCAGGAAGCCTTCACGAGCCACACGTCCATCTACAGGTGCGGAGGATAGTTTCACGTTGGGTGCCGCACAACCTCATCGATATTCAGAAGCAGGCAAAGGTGGAATGGTGCCATGATATGATAGACAAATTTCAGGCAGGCTCGTCTCGGCGTGTTTATGACATCGTTACAGGTGATGAATCCTGGATTTATCAATACGATCCAAAAATAAAGCGCCAGTCGACGGTTTGGGTGTTTCAATACGAATCAACGCCAACAAAAGTAAAGTAACCTAGAAGCGGAGGGAATGTTTTGATCACGAGCTTTTTCAATTTGACTGGCTACTTGGTGTCAATTCCATTACGAAATCAAAGAAACATTAAAGCCGAATGATATACTATCAAATGCTTGGCAAAAGTTTTCTCTGTTATGAGTAACAAGCGACCAAACACAGGGCTCCGCGTGCTACTGCTCCACCACGATAATGCGCCCGCCCAGACCGCAATCAAAACGAGGGACTTCCTAGACAGCATACCGGTCAAACTCCTGGGTCACTCTCCTTACAGCCCTGACCTAGCACCGTGTGATTTCTTCTTATTCCCAAAATAAAATGAGCTCAAATGGATACAATTTTCGTAGCCGGATGATGCGCTCTCAGCGTTTGAGTAGGCTGTAAACGAGGTGTCTGCGGCGGGCTAAAAAAAGTGTTTCGAAAACTGGTTCAGACGCATGAAACTTTGTATAAAGACTGGTGGAGAGTACTTTGAAAAGATGTAATAAAATATATTTACCTATAGAACATTTTTTTTTAGTGTCGCAAAACTTTCCGAGTGTTCCACGTATGTCTAGAGTTTTCTTTAATTTCCTTTTGTATTAAATGTAATCTTTGTTAAATGTTGAGTAAATCTGAAAATTCATTAGAAAATTAGATTCAATTATTCTTTTTGCATATGTTTTTATATACTTAGTGATTAATATCTGTGACAGGCTAGCAAGTCTCTGTTTCTGTCTCCTTTTTCATCTTTGGCAAAGTTTATCGTCATTAGCGATGTTAACTATCCGGAATTTAAGTAACTTAACAAGCTAGTTATTTATAGTGTAATAGCTGGCAATTACTTAGCTATATGTATATTTATCTATTGTATGAAAGACTCATTATAATCAACCCAGTAGTGTTATGCTAAGCCTTAGGTCGTGTGGTCTCAGTATAGAATAGGCCACCCCTTCCTTTCCCGTGGATATCGTAAGAAGCGACTAAGGGAGGACGTGGGAAGGCGTCCCTCTTAAAACATCTCTAAAGCCTAACTGCGGTGGCTAACCCGTCTGCTAAGCGTGGCAACTACTGGCAAAATCCCCTAATGAGGACGCTTATGTTTATCAATAGACAGTTAAAGGCTGATATGATAAAGTGTTAACTATTTAGTTGAATGACTCTGCCTTTTTTTTGTCGAGGGGAAATGCTTTATGCAGACCCACATACCTCGGGGGAGATATGTGGGTACTGCCGGACTCTTACCACCTAAAAACCCCCAGTGTTCCTTGTCCACCTATTGCCGGAGCCGCGGGGAACCCGCTTGAAGTCGTCTGAGACTCCGAAGACGACGGCCCGCTCCTGAGCAGGCCTCCTCTCTTTACTAGGGCGGGAAGATATTAAACCCGCTCTACATCAGAAGAGGGCGCGCGGGAACATGCGCGCGCTGCTCTCAAGGTCTAGGTGGTGTTGGGGAGATAGCCACCCCTGACCGTAGCGGAGTGGGAGTGAGTGGGACGGTATTGGGGTCCCGTCTCCTTCTACGCCTTACCCTTCTGTAGCGTATCAGTGCAGTAGAAGGGTCGATTTCGCGATCCCTCTTTGCTGCTTCTTTCCTTGTCATGACAGCCTCGCAGAACTGCAAGACCGCAGACCAAGACTCCTCGCTGCTCATCATTCCCAACAGCCGCGACCAAGTCTTGGCGTTCTTGGTGCTGGACAATCCTCAAGTACATGCTGGGCTGTATCCTGGTTTCAGACATCACACTCATGGCACCCGGGCGATTCTCCTCTCCTGGCGATGTTGCACAGGTACCTACCGAAACATCCATGTCCGGTAAGCACCTGAGTTAGACGAAAAGTGATCGGGCCTGTCAGTTTCTTTTAAGAGCTCGTTTTACCTGGCGCCTCTTAGTGATCACGTCGGCGGGAGATGTTTTCTCACCGCAATTTCTTCGCGCCACGCGCCAGTTATACAGAGACGCACAAGACTTCGCCTCCAGGTCCCAGGGAGGGGAATCCGCCAAAAGACAAGCCGGTTCCGCTGAAACGGTGCGGTATCCTCTGACAGCCCGTATCGCCATGGCTCTCTGAGGGCGACGCAAGTTAGCGATGTTATCACGGTTGAGAGTGCCAGCCCAGATGGGAGCACCATATAGGGCCATAGACTGGATCACTCCAAGATAGAACCGTTAGGTCGTTAGGTCCTCTCTAATCTGGGAGGAGCCGGCTGAGACCATTCACGGCTGCCATTCAGCGGGGAGCCAGGTTTCTAAAATGAGCGCGGAAACTCCAGCGCCCGTCGAGAGTCAAGCCTAAGTAGCGGATAGTGGACTTGACAGGAATTCTCGTTCCGCCAACCATTATGTAGGACCCCTCCGGTGGTGCCTGATGCGGATCATGGAAGCATATTGCTTCTGACTTCTCCAGTGTGAATGAGTCTGCCTAGCTAGTTTACTTTAATTTCGACCTTCAAGGCAGTAATATATAAGATAGATGATGCATTTTTTTTTCTTTTTAACTTTTCTTATTTGACGAATTACCTTCTAGTCATTATTACATTAGGTATATCCATAAGTAAATCTAGAGGAAAACTTTGTATAAAAATTGTTTGCTTGGGTACATCTGTTCCATTTGTGTTTCTACCGTGAAGTAGTTGTGTTTGCATGGTTGTATTTTGGTTTAAAGAATGGGATGTGTCAGTGAATTTACACGCTACAGAGGAATAACACCTGATTATTTAGGAATGGCAACGCATGGGGGTATCATAGGAGAAAAGTGACAATGACCGTTACCACTACTACGCACGACTAGAGACCGACTTTCTAAGATCATACCAAATTTCCTCATTCATTTGTATAATATTCTTGAAAAAATTGTGTTAGGAGTATGAGTTGTAGATATACGAGCTAATTATCTGTGTCTATCGATGAGGATGTCGTTGCTAAGCATCTTGTTGATTGTAACATTTTATTCTGCTTATTATACGTATTTAATATTTAATATCGCTTCTTGTTCTCTACTTTATTATATAAATAAATTGTGTATCTCTTCACTTTCATCTATCATTTTTCGCTTACGCGTTATCTTTTATGCTTAATTTTTCTAAATTCTAAAAGTTCTCTACACTATTTGAACAAGTCAGAGCATTAACTGGTTCTGTTGCTCTTCAAACCAATCGCGAGTCCTTGTGCTGGCCTCTTGTATCGGTTGGCATTAGTTCTCAACGTCAACTGCTTTGTTTCATTTCTTATTCCGCCCGTTACGAAAGTTAGATCTGCTATCAATAGCTAAAAGCTGTTAGCCGTAGCTAGCAGGTAAATGGCAGATAAATTAGCTGCGGCTGTTAGTATGGTTATTATATAGCTGAGTATCGATATTAGTGAAGCAGAGCAGTGCAGAAGCAGTGAGATTTGGTATTAAATAAAAGAATAGGCTTCTTATAGTGCAACGTAATTATTAGGTTATAGATAATTTCAGTGAGTACAACAGAAGGCCATTACAAACACAGTATTACCATAGACAGTAAATCAAAAGGAACTAACATAGTGCTAATAGTTTTTAAATAAAGTGCTACTACATTTACAAGTTATCAGTATTGCTATCCATTGTAGGGGTGTCTACTTAAAAAATATATCGATATTTTTATTCAATGTAAAACATCGGAATGATGTTTTTTCACTATCAAATACTTTCCATAAAAGTTTAATTAATATTTCTTTTTTCCAGCGAAACGCGCAAAGTTTATAGTACTTGTTTGTAGTACGTAAACAGTGCTATATAACATACCAAATAACTACTTACTTCATTATAATGAAATCAAAAATGTTTTATAATATAAGAGCTCGTTATATCTTCAATATAAAATACTGTGACAAACAAGTAGAGCGTTCATAAACATGATAGGAATATAATATTACATACCTTTTGCCAATTTCAAATTAGCAACAAGATGATGCATCAACTCATTTAGTTAACAACAAGACAAACAACAAACTAATAATTGAATGCCACCATTCACTGGATAGGATATCTTCCAATAACCGAGTTATCCTCCAATGGATAAGAGGGCACAGTGGATCTTATGATAACGATGCCGCAGACGAACTAGCTAGAAGAGGCTCAGGAACGAAGGTGGTAGGCCCGTATCCACTTCTTCCTCTTCCATTCTCACAACTTCGAATGTGGATTCGTCAAAGATCCGCTGACATACAAAACCAAAGATGGATACAGGCTACTGATTGCAGACAATCAAAATTAGCCGTACTTATGTTGAATCAACGACTATCAAAACGTTTATTACATCTAGACAGAAAAAATCTCAAAATAATGATAGGGACAATAACGGGCCATTGTCCATTAAACAAACATCTATACACAATAGGAGCCACAGACAGCCCTCTATGTCAAGGCTGTTTCGACGCCGAAGAAACGGCTGCTCACGTAATCCTGGAATGTGAGGCTATGGCCCATCAAAGAAATCCTCGGAACGGTGAGGCCGCTCCGTGAGGCCTGTGAAGAACCCAGGAAGCTTCTGCGCTTCTGGGCGGAGCTAGGTTAGCTGCACTAGCCACGACTCATATGCACAATGGCCCAAATGAGAGGCTAAGCGCGGAAAATGGAGTTTTTTTCATATTTACATTCACATTCTCATTTAGTTAAGTATTTAAAGTATTTAATTACAGTAACAAATAAAAGTTTTACATAAACTTGTCTAAACAATCAAAACAATGATTTAATTGCGTTACTGGAAAATAGCATAAAGAAATAAATTAGGTAATTAAACAAAATGTATAATAATAATTAATGTGTGAATGATCTGTGATTAAGATAGTAATATCTTAATGAACCTTATTTAAAATTCAAGTCATCAAGTAGTGTTACAATTGTTTAGTTTTTCAATAGATTCGACAAAAGAATAAAAAAGGATTTACATCGATGTTTCCATAAATAAATATATCAATAAATCTAATATATTAAACATTTGTCAAAATATCGAATCAATCCGATGTATCGTATGGAAAACATCGATATATCGCTGTTAATTGAATATCCCTAATCCATCGCTAAACATCACATTTTGAATCTGTGACCTTATACAAAACAGTGACTAATTTCAGATCTATAATTTTTTATCATATTCAATCACTTTTTAACATAATTTAAAGAATAAAATGAGTTTTCTTTGATTATTGTTTCCGTCGTTTGAGCTCAGTGATAATGATACAATTGGTTAAATTATAAATAATTCACAATTCAATATTATTTCTTGTCAGATTTCTTTCTTTAAGAGTGTTATCACAAACGACAATGAGTTATATTTTTGGTGTTTTTATGGAAAGCATATCGCAAATAGTAAGCTGTTTAATATCTATTTACTCGACCACCATAAATAAGCATATGTATTATTAATGTGCATTTCTTTATATGTATCGTCTATCATCACTTATCTGTTATGCTAGAAATACTTTATTGTGTGTGAAATTCTCTTGAAATGTAATGCGTATTGTATTTGATTACTTAAAACTAGATACCACAATACTACACCTGCTTGCTTACCTATTCAATATCTTAGATCCTTTATGTTTCATTGATTAGATATTTAATGTGTTATACAGTAATTAATAATATGCAATTAATATTTCATGCAATAAGTTTGTTTTGTAAGTGATTACACATAGCTAGATGTGACATATAAGAGATCTTTAGGTACATCACAATGTGTTGGTATAAATGTGGTAATGTTTGGTATGTTAATTTTATCCATGAATTTTTATATATTAATAAAAAAGTAAATAGTGATTTACATTACAATTAGTATTAAAACAAGTTTGTATGCACATTATAGAATCAATTATAGTGGTACCTTAACATACAAGTTTAATTAGTTCCGTAATCTTACTAATATGTCAAATTGCTCATGTGTTGAAGCAATTTTCCCTATTTAACTTGCCATTAATCCATTCTAGCTCCCAAACAGCCACCTCAGTTGTTTTTGTCAAGTGTTTTTGTATAAGGAAAACATATTTACAAGACTAAACATTTATTATAACTCACACACACCTTGCTCATGTTTTTCTATGATTTCACACTTTAATTCAATGGACATCATCTTCGTACTTCATGGTTATAAGAATAAATGTGGTAATGTTTTGTAAATGTACAAAAAGCAAAAAATATGAACTCAATTTATCAAAAATGCTTTGACAATAAGGGAAACAAGCACACAGATTTAGATCTAATATAACATGTTGACGTTGAGTGCAGCAGTGTAGTGTGTGGTTCCTCATATCTCAAATCTTGCTCTCATCTCAAAGTAAAATACCAAATATCTGAATTTTTTTACTAATATGTAAAAAAAGAAAATGAGTTTGGTACCTTAGGGCACCATAATGGTTCAATCAGCCACCATGGACTTTTCTATATTTATTCAATTTCTGATCAAACTAATATAGGGTTCTGGGTAGTACTCCCAGATCATTTTTGCTTGCTTTCTCAGAATACAAGGTATATAGCATTTAGACAAGCAATTGATGTCATTATATGGCACTTTTTATATACATAGTATTTCACATGCAGAAGGATATAGTCTATGATTTTATTTTAGTTATGCAAATGAAATCACAGATGTTTATGTTTGTTTTTACCTCTATTAAAAATATTCTATGGGAAATAATGAATTCAAATATAAAGATAACATTTAATTAAACTGATAGCTTATCAATCTTTATCTATCATTACTAGTTTAATTTATTTAAAAGTAGTTCACAAATTATGATATATAGAAAGAGTATCTTTATAATGTCTATATTTTTTCTGAACCCATTAGAACTTTCTAACAAGTAAAGATGAATATATTTTATACATAATTTTAGTCTAATATTTTGTGGTAGATATTTGAAATAGAATTGTTCTTTCTATTATTATTCTAATCTAGATAATAACTTAATATCACTAGATATACCCAACACTATTAAATCCCAAACTAATTAAAGCTAGATGGTTTTTCTTTAATAAGTGATAATGGAATGGTAACCCCACTTATATATTAGCGGGTGCCAGTGAGGAATAATGAAAACAGGTCAGATAGCCCGTCATAATGAATTCTACTAGAATTAACCACAATTATTTCCAGGGAGAATCATGTGGATTTCCATTACTAACAATTCCTTTCCCCTCAAGCTAAATGGTTGCTAGACTGCAGATATATCTACTTTTTTGTAAATATTTATAATATTAAGGCTAAGGGATTGTTAGCAATAAGTAATGTCAGGTCAATCTAGATGCAGTCTTTCTTGGAAATAATTTTGATTAATTTGCCTCAATATAGTGACTGATTGGACTTTATTCCCACCTAGCTTTGACTGATATCCACTCAATGTAAAAGAATAATGCAGGTGTGATCACAATTTTATTGCTATCCATTTAAAAAAAGTATATTTTTGTATAATGTGGGAATCAAACCTAACTGTTAATGGCTGTTAACTATTAACTTAGGCTGTAAATTATTAATGGTTTTACATTTTTTGTATATTACAGTACTGAAATTTGTCTGATTTGTCATAGTATTACTGTACATTTAATAGTAAGGTAATGAGAAGTATAATAATATTTTTTTCTCATATAGTGACTATTTACATATTTATATGAATGTAATGCTCATAAAAGTTAATGTATAAAAATAATGTTTATAAAAAGAAGGAAAGAATTTTATGTACAAGATATGTATAAGTATATAATAAATTTTTGACAGTTTATTTTTATCTTTTTAGGTATAATTTTAAAATATGAACTGATTTATTATATTCAACATGACTGATACTGCACCAACAATTACGACACCCATTTCCTTATCAACATATCATCAACTCAGCATAACAGGTAATTCAATACTAATTTATGTCTTTCCAATTTTTTCATAATCTTAGAATTTGTGTTTTATTGTGTATGTTTTCTTATTTTAGTTGAATCAGCAAACATAAAAAATTCTGGTATATTCAAGCCAAATCCATATTTACAAGTAATAATAGATGACAAGATTTCAAGAAAAACTGAAGTCATAAAAAATACATCTCATCCTAAATGGAAAGAAGATTTTACGTTACTGGTGACACCCTTGTCACAAATTTTGTTTCGACTGGCTGACCACCACAGTTTTAGAAAAGATAATATAATTGGTGAAAAAAGAATAAGCTTGACTAAAATACTACTTAGCTTCAATGGAAAGTGTGAAAATGTTGAGCTTACAATTGGTAAGTAAATTGCTGTAGTAAATAACACAATAAAGACATATGTGCATCTTCATTATAAATACAGTAAAATAAATTATTGTATATATGTAAAAAAAAAAAAAAACAAAATATATTTTTACTTTGAAGTCATTTATATCAGTGACTTTCAAAAATTTTTTGTAAAAATGTTTATTAGCAAGTTATGCAAGGTTATGTTCTGTTTTTATATGTATCCATACATTATAGAATTACACTGTAACAAACAAATGTACAAATATAAACTCACTGTTTATTTTTTTTCTTTTAGATTTAATGAAAAATGTTACTCAAGAGAGTACATCAAATGCAACTACTGAAACAAAGGCAGCGGATTTAGTTATCCTCCTTGATGGATTGAGAATAGATCCAGCTGTATTGAATCAGTCACAAGAGGTTACTAGTGAGGCGTCCAGTTATCGTAATCTAATTAATGATGGGGTACGCGCTAAGATACGATCTCGGAACAATCCAGAAGCTTCAAGATCTATACGCATGCAAACGTTAAGAGTAAGTTAATGTCAAGTGAATAATTTAAGGTTTTTGTGTGTATTTCGTTTGAAATTGTTTGGTTGAGTTCATCATCATCATCATCTTTTTAGCTGTTGTCTGTCCTCTGCGGAACATAAGCCTCCATAAATCCCTATAGATTGCTATAAGTAATGCTCCCGTTCCTTACAGCGGTTTACCGTCCCTATCGTTATCATATTAGCCGTTAATTATCCACTGCTGAACACGGGTCTCCCCCATAAAGGGGAGTTTTACCAGAAGTTGCCACGCTTGGCAGATAAGTTGACAACCGCAACTGGGCTTTTGGTGATGTTTTAAGACGCTACTGTTCATCCCTCAATCATTACCATCACATTATTTGACTTATTGATGAAAAATGACATTGTTCATTTCTGTAATAACATTGATAATTGTATTATGGATACACATTTCTTTGACTTTTTGTATATTTAAATGGAATTATCATATAGATCATGGTGCATATATAGATCATTTTTATAATTTGAAAATAGTAAATAGATAATCATGCAATGAGTTTATCAAAAATAGGATACTTAAATGAAATATATTCTTCAATCAGCCGCCGCCAGGTCCACCACCTTTAAGCAATGGGGCAGTGCATGGTGGTGGAGCACAGATCTCAGAATTTATAGCGGCATCAACGACAATGGAGAGCGGCCCCGGACCCTCACACCAAGAGCAGCCGCAAGCAACGCCCGAGTTGGTGCCGCATCCTCCACCTGCAGCCTCCACTAGTGTAGTAGAGGAACCTTTACCACACGGATGGGAGATGAGATATGACGTTTATGGACGAAGGTGACCCCCAGCTTCTATTTCATAAATTATATATATATATATAAGCCCTTTTACTCCGAATTCTCTATAACCCTAGTAAGACATATTTTCATTTAGTTTATTTCATAAATTAATCATTGTATATGTCAACTGGCAGTCTTTAAATGGGTGTTTTGATTAAAATTTTTAAAAGGCTATCAGCAGCAAACAATAACCAACTTCTGGATCGAGGAGTACATGAACGGTTTTTTACTTTATGTAATGTATTTAAGAAAGCATTATAAAGGGTCGATTTCTTACATTTATCATACTTCCGTAGGTGTGCAAGTTCTCAGTACGCCATATAAGAGACGACTGAAACTTATGTGCATTGTGTGAATTTCATAATAATGTGATCTTTGCAGGTATTATGTAGACCACAACACGAGGTCAACGTCGTGGGAACGACCGCAGCCACTGCCACCCGGCTGGGAGGTGCGGCGCGACGGGCGCGGCCGCGTGTACTACGTGGACCACAACACGCGCACGACCACGTGGCAGCGGCCCGACACAGAGCGACTCGCTCGCTTCCAACACTGGCGCGGCGAGCGGCGCCACGTGGTCGCACAGGGCAACCAACGGTTCCTCTACCCGCCGCCCCACCAGCGGTACCAGCCGGAAACAGAACATGACATTCCAGGTTCGGACCATTTTATAACATTTATTGTCCACTAACAAAATCTCGCAACTTTTCTTGTATAAATTAAGACTAGTATCCTATGTATATGGATATGTTCCTGTTGGATGAAAGTCATGTGTAACTGCCAGGATTTTCATGGTGTACCATACTATATTAATTAAGGTTTTATATCATCCAGTAGGTACTACCCTACTTCGCAAATGTAACATTTTTTGTGGACTATTGGACAAAACGTTTACTATTAATATTTTATTATGTCTTATCGGCTTTAAGTAATCTTATCTTAGTAATTCTATTTACCTACATGTATATATTATGTATAAATAATAATTTGTTCATGGATCATCATATCATTTCTAGAGATTTCTTTAAAATGTTTTGTATATTGTACTAATATAAATATCTTAAAATCGAAATATATAATACATACCTAATATTACCTACAACATTTTGATCATTATAAAAATTGCCATTTTTTTTTTATTAAGAATTAAGAAATTCATGCTTCTAAATATGTTTTAAATGTGAAAGTGTGTAAAGAAGTTTGTTGAATTCAAGTACAATTCAAAGACTGATTTAAACTGAATGAAATGTATGCGGGTAGACTGTGTCCCGAACTAAATACAAGCAATACATTTTATTAAAATTTTAATATATAAAAATTTATGCATATGTCAACTAGTAAAGCTTGGGGGGAAGTGATAGTTAGTAATGGTGTTTAACAGCCCTATTACCAATACACACTATCAGGTCAACCTCCACGTGGTTCCCCCTGGAAAACATCGTGAATAATACTTGTGGAATTCTTCACGATGCGTCAGGCGGGGTTACCATTCCATCATCACATATTTAAATTAGTACAGCTATAGAGATGAAAATTGTTATTTTCACACTTTGCATGAAGGTTAAAGCCTTTAAAATAAAAAAATAAAATAAAAATCTCGATTAATTTGTTACTGTAATTCGCTATTAGACAGTCGTAGCAATAAAATAGGAAATATATATTTTGATGTTAGCTTCTAAGTAAACAATAATCATACAGTATGTTTTTTGAATTAAAAAACAATATTAATATTTTTGGAAAATTAATCTGATTTTTTTTATCTGTGGTTGACAAAGAGCGGCCATGATTGATCATCGTATGACGTCATAATTCAATAAACAAAACGTCGTCGAGTCAAGTCGTTGTGTAATCTCAAGTCATTTGTTCTATAATTTGCTGAGAAAAAGTAAAGAAAAATCGCTCAAATATTTCAATTTGTGCTGTCTAAAGAGTTTCACGAAATGGAGCTAGGCTGTATTAAAACGGATAGTGCAAATCTGTCCGGAATCGATTCGTTTATGATCGCAAATTTCTTTGCCTGTAATCCTGATTTTTGTTCTGCCGACTTTCGAACCCATTATACTGTATTGGATTGATATTCTTCTATAGACTAAGAAGTTAGGTTTGGTTTAATTTATTTTTTTAAAATCAAACATATTGATTTACGAGGTCTGTCCGGAAAGTTCGTATAAAAGTGTTCTGGAATGCGAGAAAGAGGAGTGGGGAGGCCAGGTAAGCGCAGGACCCCTTCCTCATGTCCCTAACAATGCTTCAGTTCTGGTCTGACCGCCGTGCGGTGCGAAATTTGTCACGCCATCTGTGATTACCTCTTAACGAAACCTTCAATGGAGCCTGTTGAAGAGCAGCGCGTCGTATAATTTCTCTCGAAACTCGAGAAAAAAATTTTTGCCGATCTAATTCGATAAAATCCGGGGAACCACGAAATCATTTGTCAAGACAATGTTGATTGTTTTTAAATGTTCGGGGGATTGTCCATCAAGAATTCGTCCCTCCAGGCCAGACAGTTGATGGAAAATTCTACGTCGATGTGCTCAGTATTAAAACGTGTGGCACGAGTTCGTCCAGAATTGGCGCGAGAGGGGCGTTGGATTCTTTATGACAATGCCCCTGCCCAATCTTGTTGTCCGTGAGTTTTTGAGTAAAAATTCCATTACGGTGACCGAACACCCCCCTATTCGCGGGTTTTGGCCCCGTGTGACTTCTGCGACTTCTTGTTCCCAAAAACCAAATTGGTATACTGTATTTGGATAAATGAGATAAAAAAAGCTACGACGAGGCAGCTGAGAAACCTACAACCAGAGGACTTTCATAGTTCTCAAGTGGAAACGGCGTTGGCACAAGGCATTTGTCACAGGGGGAGTTTTGAAGGGGATAAAATTGATTTTTAATTGTAAAATCAAATTTTTAAAAAACTTTTATAATGATTTATTCTAAATACTTCATCAAAGTGATCCTCACAAAAGAATATCGCAGACCTATCAGACGTAAACTGTGGGTCTCGGCGTGTCAATTGTAACCATTGCTTTCGACGTTTTGGGCATTTAGGAACATGTATAAACAATTTGTTGGGATATTTAATTGTACTTCGCACCACACTTCACATAAGCACCGCACACGTTTTGTAGTTTTTCATTTTCACAATTCCAATTAAATCTCTATACTTATCATTCAAAACAGTGCGCCGTATTTTTTTTAATGGATGATAATGAAGTGGTAACCCCACCCGCGCTATCGGTACACACCGGCAGGGCATCAGTGAATATAGATGAGGATGAAGTAGGTCAGTAAGCCCATCGTGACTAATTCAACAAGAATTGTTCACGATGGTTTCCAGGGGAAACCACGTGGAGGTTGACCTAATAAGGCATATTGATAGCAATGGGGCTGTCAAACTCCATTGCTAACAATCCCTTTCCCCCTAGAGCGCCGTATTAGCGTTGTTTTGTTTATCGAAATATGACGTCATAGCTCGGAAATGTGAATTTCATAGCGCGAATTTCAAACCAAAAGATAAAAAATTCATGTTTTCTCTATTAAATAAAGCTTTTTTGAAAAAAAAAATAATTGTAGGGGTTAAACCCCCTACTAAGAAGTACAAAAATTATAAAATATATTTCAGAAAATTGGCAAGTAGCCAGTTCTATATAAATTTAATAATACTGTAGGTAGCAGCAGTAACGCAGTGGTAGCGGCGGGTGCTGCGGGCAGCGGCGCCGTTGTGAGCGTCTCAGCGACGACAGGTGGCGCGACAATCGCCAGTGGAGCGGGAGCGGGAGCGGCAGCGGGCGCGGCCGCGGGAGCGGGAACAAGCACGGGCGCGGGAGCGGGCGCGGGCGCGGGTGCGACGGCAGCGGGCGCAGGGGTCACGTTCGCAGAGGATGCGCTGGGCCCACTGCCGGCAGGCTGGGAGCGGCGCGTCCACGACGGCCGCGTCTACTTCCTCAATCACAAGAATCGCACCACACAGTGGGAGGATCCGCGGACGCAGGTACTATGCAATGTTATAATCGCGATTACTATTTACGAGTACTATGAAATTGCAATCTAAAGGAGACTGGTCATCTTTAAATATACGTATCTTACTAATACAATAAAATGGTATCTCGCTACTGTCTGTACATAGGAGATAAGATATAATTGTATACGTATTTTAAGAACAATAGATTTGTGGAATTTTTGTATGGTATCAGGCAAAAATTTCTGCTTCAAAGTGAATGCGGTTTTCGTAGTTATGTTCCTGAATGTCTATTTTACAATCTAATGTAAATATTATCTAGAAGTGATTACTTCCAAAATACACACGATCCAAAATACACTGAGGGTGTAATAATACGAAGTTATAAGTAAAAGTTAACATAAAGTCGCAGTCTTCATCTGTCTATTTTTTCGTTTACTCTTAAAACGTGTAAACGATTTTGATACGAATTTTATTGTTATTCAGATATTGTTTACGAATGCTTTGTATGTACATTTTCGTATAGGTGTAGTTACACATCTGTGAAATAAGAAGGCTAGTTTTTTTTTTTTTTATAAAAAAAGAATTATTTTCTTATGTTTAAAACCTGTGAAAGAAGCGTATGCTTGTCTAAGGCAATTGCACATGTTCGGTGCAAATTTACCTGTAGATGAAATCTATGAAGTATATTATGCCGCCAGATATCCGACTGAGCCTATTCTTAAAAGCAGGTGGTTTAATATCCGGTGGGGTAAATTATCTCTCATAAATGCGGTTTAGTTCTTGTATTAGTTTTTAAGGTGACAATTCGCGTGTCTTTTTTTTTATACAACTTAGAATGGCAAACAAGCTGACGGCCCACCTGATGGAAAGTGATAACCGTCACCTATAGACATGAGCAGTACCATGGACATAACAGAGTATATTGTTTCGCCCATGATACCCCCTATGCGTTGCCATTCCTGAGGACCCAGGTGTTATTCCTCCGTACCCGGTAAATTCACTGCCATATCCTACCCTTCAAACCGAAACACAGCCATGCAAACACAACTGCTTCACGGTAGAAACACAATCAAACAATCGACTTTTGTACAAAGTCTCCCTCTGTCTAATCGATGACTATTAACAAGAGACGATCGGCATGGTAACGGTGGATGTGCGTGACTGTGTGGTGGCAGGGCCAGGAGGTGGGCGCGCCGGAGGAGACGCTGCCGCTGCCGGCGGGCTGGGAGGTGCGCTTCACGGAGGAGGGCACGCGCTACTTCGTGGACCACAACACGCGCACCACCACGTTCCAGGACCCGCGGCCCGGCGCGCCCAAGGGCCCGCAAGGCGCCTACGGCGTACCGCGAGCCTACGAGCGCTCCTTCCGGTGGAAGCTTAGCCAGTTTCGGTACCTCTGCCAGAGCAACGCGCTGCCTAATCATATTAAGATCACCCTGTCCCGCCAGACGCTGTTCGATGACTCCTATCAGCAGGTTAGTTGCAAAATTTTAACGCAGATGTATTGAGGATTTTAAATTCGCAATTTTACACGTTTAACAGTCTCGGTGGCGGAATGTAAGGCATTTTGCTTTGTGCATTTAACGGGTTCGATTCTCGGTCGAGTCCGTTTAGAAAATGAACTTGTGAGAGTTATACATATTTCCAGTAATTCTAATTGTCTATAATGGGGGATCTCGTAATCACCTTAGAGAATTTGACAATTAGTATTACAATAAATACTTTTTGGCTAATATTCTCTAGTAAGAACATGGTTAATTTCATACTAATTACAATTATATATATTACAGATAATGAAGTTACCGCCATACGAATTGCGTAAACGACTGTACATAATATTCCGCGGAGAGGATGGATTGGATTACGGTGGCGTCAGTAGAGAATGGTTTTTCCTATTATCCCATGAAGTATTAAATCCAATGTACTGTCTCTTCGAGTATGCTAACAAGAACAACTACAGTCTACAAATTAATCCAGCTAGCTATGTAAATCCTGATCACCTATTATATTTTAAGTTCATAGGAAGATTCATAGCGATGGCACTTTATCATGGCAGATTCATTTACTCGGGATTCACAATGCCTTTTTACAAGAGAATGTTGAACAAAAAACTTACTATGAAGGATATTGAATCAATCGACCCCGAATTTTATAATTCGCTTGTTTGGATAAAAGAAAATAACATAGATGAATGTGGACTTGAAATGTGGTTTAGTGTTGATTTTGAAGTCTTGGGCCAAGTTATACACCATGAGTTAAAAGCTGGCGGTGACAAGGAACGCGTTACGGAAGTAGGTTTTTGCCACTTCTTTATACTATTTTATATATCTTAAGTATTTTGTTGTAAGTTTGTTATATTATTATCCTTAAAAAGTATTTCAATATAAATATTTATATATGAGAAATCATATTATCCTATTAATATAATAAATGCAAAAATTTATAAGAATGGATAGATGGTTGTTACTTTTTCAAAAACTACTAAACGAATATCAATGACACTTGTAACATGAGTAGATTATATCCTAATTTAGTATACAGGATACTTTATGTATAGATTGGCTACAGCTATTATAATATATTTACGTATATATATGTACAGAGAAAAATCTAAATAATAGGCATGAAAACAGATATTGAAATCCCTTCAATACTGTAGGTACACGTCTGCTATTTCCGAAAAAAAAAACTTCAGAAGTCAACTAAGAATTCACGAAAATTATTACACTTTTTCCCATTTACTTTGAAGTAGGCGCAAAAACGCTCGTCGGTGTCATTGCATTATTATGAAGTCATGTCTAAATGTTTTTAATAAAACTTTGTCATTATTTAGAATGTTTATAATAGTTTTTTTTAAATTACTTATTTATTGATTTTTAATACTGTTATCATGCTTATTAGCCATCTATAAAACTATGAATATACCCATGCTGTAGAATATATTAAGCAATTCAAAACCGACAAAAAATCTTCATTCAAAAAATTATAGCTTATGCTCTTCTCCATCTCAAATGTCATACATATTGATCGAGTTGTAAAAAAAGCAAATACAAATTCACACTTTCTTAGTAATACATATAAGATTTTTAACTTAATTTTTTTACTGTATAAATAAATTTAGACCATTAATTCACACATTAGTTTAAATATTGATTTATTTGCATTACAGGCCAATAAAGAACAATATTTACAATTAGTAACACAATGGCGCATGACCAGAGGAATAGAGGAACAGACTGCTGCATTTTTAGAAGGTTTTAATGAGGTAATCTTAATTTTTAATTCACAAGTTTTTCTTTAAAAAATGTTTTTATATTTATTTTCTTTTTAATTTTCTTATTAATTTCTTCAAGTTTTGAAATATTTTATCAAACTGTAAATTATATTCTGCAATTAAAATACAATTTATTACACTCATTTAGATATACCTGTTATAATTAGTTCATTATTTTATTAGGTAATAACCCTGGAGTGGCTTAAGTACTTCGATGAGCGCGAATTAGAGTTGATGTTGTGTGGAATGCAAGAGGTGGATGTGGATGACTGGCAGCGGAACACTATCTATCGACACTACACGCGGACCAGCAAGCAAGTTGTCTGGTTTTGGCAGGTATGCTTTTTATAAATTACATAGATACTGTTTATTGTTTCTTCCAAAAGATTACAGTAGTAAATAAACTAGCGGCCCGCCCCGGTTCGCACAGGTGGACATTTTTACAACATTTTACATTTTTATTTGATCCTACCTAGCTACCTATTTCATAGATATTTCTGCCCCCACCTGCCCCTCTCCCGCACCGCTAAAATAGGTATGAACAACATGTACAACGCGACAGCGTTATTTTTTCTATTTATATGACTTATTAAATTCGTAATATCTATTGAATGGAATAGCCGATTCCAATAATTCAAAAAGTAATTTACATAAATTGAAACAGTTTTGAAAACAATATGATTTATTTGGACAAGGATTTAAACAACATAAACATAATATAAATAACATGGTGTAATTTTGATCGGTATTTCTATCAACTTTTAAAATGTAAAAAATGAGAATTGTAACATAACGATAATAGTTGGACATATAGTACCGCGAAGTTTTTTGTAGTTATTGATATTTTCTTCAATATTGTAGAACATACTTTTGTTCCATCACCAGTTTATTAGTAGTAGTAATAGTTTTCGCAGCGCATGCTACGAAAGATATTTTATAGCATTTTTTTACACCTTGAATTACGTTATTAAAGTTTTAGTAAGGATCCTTAATCTTTTCTAGCAATAAATATAGCCTATGTTACTCAGGGTGAATGTAGCTTTCAAATGATAAAAGATATTTTGAAATCGGCAAAGTAGTTTTTGAGTTTATTCATTACAAACATACACACAAAAATTCAAATCTTTCCTCTTTATAATATTAGTGTAGACTGTAGATTAGATAGATACTGTTTATTGTTTCTTCCAAAAGATTACAATAGTAAACCTATTATAAATACAAACAATTACAAGAAATAATCACAGTGAGAAAACAATGAGTAACCTTATCGTTAAAAACGAACTTTTCCAGGCAACCTTTGAATGGAGAGAAGTAATTATAAAATATATTCAATTGATATTTTTATTTGACTTTATATCACTTTTAAATAGTTGTAGATTAGTATAAAAAATTGTTTTTCACAGAGCTGGTAAACAGCAACCTTTATTACTTACTTTCATGGTGATAAGTTTATCTAAACATTGTAGACTTCAAATATAATATGTTTAAGGCGAGACCCAAATGGGCTGTGCCAATTTTAGGATGCTTCAGCTATGTGCAAAGATAGGTCTGGAATTAGGTATGCAGCCTTTTTGAGGGGTCAGGCCTCTCCGCTACCTGGAAATTATGCCAATGTATAACATGTATTTGACATTTATTTGATCCCAATTCATCGAAAGTCGTTTAAAGTTGCTTATTATAGTCTTTATATTATGTAAATTAAATAAAATTAAGACTAAGATCTGCTTAACAGCTAATGTTACTATTTGTAGTATAATTACAAATTTATTACATTTGTTGTTTTTCTAATAATTACAGTTTGTTCGTCAAGTGGATAATGAAAAAAGAGCAAGGTTGCTTCAGTTTGTGACAGGCACGTGCAGAGTGCCCGTAGGAGGCTTTGCTGAACTGATGGGCTCAAATGGACCACAGCGTTTTTGTATTGAAAAGGTTTGTAGTAACTTTTTATATTAAAGTTTAATAAAAATTAGTTTTACGTAAATTTTGCTTGTTACAATTTTTAACACGCCGCACAATCATTACAGCGTCAACAGATTTTCGAGTTCTAGCAGTTGAGGGTTAGGTTGTCTCATGTTTAGAATCGGGGATGACCAAAAGTAAACACTAATAGTGAAACTTAAAGCAAGCTTCTTGTCATTACCTGTTGTGCTATAAATATAAACTGACGAATGCTATGTGCAATAAATAAGTTTCTTTAAGAATAATTAATATAAGATATATATATTAATTATATAAGTTTAAGATTGTGTTCCACAAAACAAAAAAAAAATGTAGTAAAACCAGTTATTTTAGTTTAAAAACTAAACTATTGAATCGATTTTGATAAAATTTGTATGGGACTAATCTGAAAGGTTTAGGTATAAAAAAATTCATATCGGTTTATCACTGGCAAAGTTCTGAGCTAATAAATATAAAAAAAACTGAATTTTGAACCTCCGTTTTAAAAGTTGATTAAAAATAGAATATTTTTGATTAACAATATTCTTTTTAGGTTGGCAAAGATACGTGGCTGCCGCGGTCACACACCTGTTTCAACAGACTCGATCTACCGCCTTATAAAAGTTATGAACAGTTATGCGAGAAATTAAATTATGCTATTGAAGAAACTGAAGGATTTGGACAAGAGTGAATATATTATACTATTTTTAGAATTAGACAAATAATGTAAATTATTAGCACATTAATATAATTGCACCACCTCAATTAGAGGCATTATTCACCAATGGAATTGGTGCTGTCCTTCAAGACCAACCAAATAATTGTATCAATATTTTCTCATTTAACTGTGCAGTACTCGCTCAGCAAAAACATACTTGTGATCATGTCTCCAAATGCGCTATTCACGTAATAATTAAATGGCGTTTGATGTCTTTTTACCATGGCACTAATATTATTGTTCTACTAGTAAAACACATGAAATGTTTATAGTCTCTTATATAGTGGAAGTATTTGCATATTTTATTTCATTTGACTTACTAGTAGGCAACTGATAGCGGCAATACAGTGACGAATTTACCCATGTGTTGTGTTGCAACTGTCATATTAGCTGCATATTAATAATAGTGAGTAGCAGTCAAGTGGCACGGGCTTATGTTAAAATCGCGCCTGCAGAAGTGTTATACAATAATATTATAATTATGTAGATATGTCTAGAATACTATTCAATTATATAAGAAATATTTTTTTTAAATTAGGTGGATTCTCCAGGTACTAGCGATTAATAAATTTGTTTTAGATAAATTATTAAAAATAAATTGTATTACCAATGATGTAATAATTCGGAAGGGTTTCTAATACATATGTAAGATGTAATTAATGATAATAGATGGCATGTATGAACATAAAAATATGCAAATAAATGATACTGGAATTAATTCTAAGGCGCCATTCCTTAAACCTAATTCTAAAATAAAAATTTCAATTAGATACATTTTGTTAAAAACCAATAACTAAAATGTATAAATTTAAAACTATTGTTAATATTTGTTTCGATTCATAGAGATGTTGCTGTTTGTCTGATGTTGACAATATTTTAAATAATCAAATTTAAAAAGACACTAAATGCCAATTAACATTTGATGATATAAAGACTTGTCTATTTATGTATAAGTAGGTGGTTATTAGATTTTATTGTAAATAATATGCTACATTATACATTGTATCAATTAATGATATCAATTTTTTTCAAACTAGTGTTAATATCCAATAATAGAGTCTCTGAATTTATTTTGCCTGAAAAAAAAAACTTATATTTCCAAAAACAAAAATTAACGTAAAAAAGAACAATGTATATCTGTAGTAACGATACATTGTACAAGCTATGCACATACCTATTATTACGTAATGTCGTTGGTTACATGCATATTTTACACACACATATATATATATATATATATATATATATATATATATATATATATATATGTTTGTGTGTGTGCGTGTGTGTGTATATAGTAATATATTTGTTAGGAACAAAAATTTGTGAGACCATATTATTGAATACTAACACTGGTGTTAAGAGACAGATTTCGTTAATCATCAGTGTATGTTTCGGCTATAAAATTCTGAAAATTTAATAAATTAACTTTTATTACAACATTCATTGTATTGATTGTATAAACTGCGACACATGTACCTGTTTGTTTGAAGAGTTCTTTAACTTCAAATAATTTACTCTCATATGTATTAAAGTGAATTGAAGTTTTTACTTTGACATAAGAATTGAAAATATGTTTTTTTTAAATAACTATATATATATATATATATATATATATATATATATATATATATATACATTTCGTTTATAAATCCTTATTATTAGCAAAAATTTCAAATTCTAAGTACCAGTATGTGTTCTGTTTATTTTTCCTTATATATTGTCAACCTCTTAAAAGACGTTTTAAATTTGTTAAAAAAAATTATGAGCTACCAAATATGGGATTGAATTCAACTCTTCAAACTTGTTCGTTTTTTTTATAAATAGATAGGTATTTATTTATGAGCTAATAACTGGAGGTTTCGCACTATATTTAACAAAGTTAATTTACGAAGTTTTAATAAATAAAAGTTATATGTTGTGTATTTCGTTTTATTAGTTATTAGCTTTTATCCACTACTTCATCCACGTGACCGAGATAAAAAGTAGTTTATGTTTTGGTTTATTCTTTAGTACCTGAACTTTGAGGCTACGAGAGGTAACAAACAAACAAGCGTACTTTCATATTTATACTCGTAACTAAGGATTTGCTGTGTCGTATATGATACAGATAAGAAATATGATTTATATAGCACCGGCGGTCTTTTTTGTATCATCATTACTATGCAATTAAAATTTGCTTGATTAAAGTTAGTTTTTATTGATTTATGTGGACTTTCAGAACTTTCAGTTAAATTAGATATTTTTTTTTTTATCATTTCTTGTATAAAATATTTTTGAATCTAATTGAATATTAATAATTCTTTATTTGGAACAAAAACATTGGTTACAATATTATTGAAAAACGATTATATCCGCAGAAGTATATAGTAATTTGACATGAAATTTAATTAAAATCCATCAGTCATTTATTAATCGTGATTAAATAACAAATATCCAAACATATACCAGAGGGAGACTTTGTACAAAAGTCGATTGCTTGGGTACTTATGTCCCATTCGTGTTTTAACCGTAAAGCAGTTGTGTTTGCATGGCTGTTTCAGTTTGAAGGGTGGGCATGAATTTACAGGGTACAGAGGAATAACATCCGAGTCCTCAGGAATGGCAACGTATGGGGGGGATCATGGGCGAAACAGTATACTCTGTTATGTCCATGGTACTGCTCATGTCTATAGGCGACGGCTACCACTTTTCATCAGGTGTAAAAAAATCTTTATATTCTTACACATTAAAAAGTAGGATTTATCATAGCATAACAAGCCACGCCACTACAGTGGTCAAGCACCTTATAGGGAAACAAAAACACTAATTTTGTTGTTTTATCTCTTTTTTAATTGATTACACCTAGATAATTATAAACAAAAACCGCTTGTTGTGCTTTTATCTCATGTCGGAAAAAACGATAGGAATTTACAAAATTTCATTAAAATCGGTTAAGATACATATGTAAGTGGGCATGATTATAGACAAAAACTTATTTATATGGAAACCTGCGTGCTAATTCAACTCGGACCGGTTTTATTACTTTATCACTTCATCAATTAAGTAGATAAAGTAATAATCGAAGTAAACAAGGAAATAAGTTACTTAAGAAAAAAAAAAAAACAATGTAATAAAATCAAAGATATTTATAAATAGATATTAAAATGAAATACAAGATATTCCAGGCATAAAAAATAAGTGGTGTTCATAATTATTGCTCCTTCATGTAAATTATGCAGTAAATAAACTTTTATGATAATTTCAATTTTGCAAACTGTTTAGCTGCATTTATTGCATCGTTTAACGAATTAGGATTATTTCCAGAAGCTTGAGCTGATTCTGACTTACCGCCACCTTTCCCACCAATAATATTCACTACAGATTGAACCCATTCGGATGCCAGCAAACCTTTTTCGACAGCATTTTTGGGTACTGCAGTAAGGCAAAATATTTTATTAGTATCATTATCAACGGAAAAGAACATAGCAGAAGTAGATGGGCATAATTGTTTCACTTGCTTCAAAGCGGCATCCAGTGCCTTAGTATTGCTGAATGCTTTCAATTCAGCAACAATTACATTAACATCTTTTTCTTGAAGACAAATTTCTTTAGCTTTTTCTGTTACTTGATTAATAATAATCGTTTTAGAAGCCCTTTCTTTATCATCAAGCTGTTTCTTTATATTTTTCAACATGTTTCTTAATTCTTCTTTCTTCCAGTAAGATATCTGTGCTTGTGAGATATCATTTGTAAGTTCAACAATTTTTTTTAGGATGTCCTTCTGTTGTATGTTATCGCCATGTTCTTTGATTAAATTAGCAACATTATTAACTTCATTCTCTAAGATAGTTAATTTATTGGTAGCTTTAACAGCATCAGGACCAGTCAGTGCTACAATTCTTCGAATACCTTTAGCAATTCCTTCTTCACTAACAATAACATATTCACCAATGTGTCCTGTATGGTGTAAATGCGATCCACCACAAAATTCTACAGATGTTTCGTAACCTGCAGGACCATCTGGGTTTTTTTCTAATTCTTCTACTGAAATTCCAACTGAAACAACACGAACAGGATCTGGATAATGTTCGTCAAACATTGCTCTCAAGCCTTTAATTTTTTTGGCTTCATTTAAACTCGTATGTTTAGCATACACTTTTTTATTATTATCTATAATTTTTTTAATTTCATCTTCAGTTTCTTTAATTTGTTTTGTAGTCATTGGACCCTTATTGGTAAAGTCAAATCGGAGCCGATCTGGCATGACAAGAGATCCACGTTGATCTGAATCATTTCCAAGAACTTTTCGAAGTACATTATTTAATATGTGAGTGCCTGTGTGATTATTCATTATAAGCCTTCTTCTTTCTGTGTCGATATGTAGTGATAAACGGTCGCCTACTTTAAATGTACCTTCTACTTTGCCTACATGTAAGACATATCCACCTTTCACTTGCACATTTTTTACTGTAAACTCTGCACTATCATCATCAATTTTGACCATGTATCCTTCGTCATATATTTGGCCACCTTGTTCTGCATAAAAATTTGTACGATCTAATATTATGCCACAATTTTGTCCATAAGTAACTTCATTAACAAATTGTTTTTCTCTTCGAAGAGCTACAATAGTTCCAGTACATGCAGTAAAATTGTAAACTGCATCTTTTTCTGCAGTGGACGAGACATAAGCATATTTTGGTGAATCATCTGTAATCGGTACTTTACTATCTTGTAAATGACTTATAGCATGAATATCTAATGCCAGTAAATCTTCTTGTCCACCTGATTTGCCTTGAGATGCTAATTGAGATTCTTTTTTGGCAATTTCATATACAGCCATATCAACACTGAGTCCTTTTTCCTCACACATCAATTGAGTAAGATCAATAGGAAAGCCATATGTGTCATATAAGCGCCAAGCTATGTCACCAGGTACAACTTTTGAATCATTTAATTTCTCAATTGTTCTATTAAGTAGGTTTCTGCCACGGCTAAGAGTCTTTAAAAATTGTATTTCTTCTTCATTAATCAAGTTAATAATAGATCTAGGGTCTTTTTTTATTTCCGGAAATACGTCACCTAACAATTCTACAACAGTGTTTACAAGTGATCCAAAAAATCCAGGTTTGGCATTTAATTTTTCAGAAGCATATCGTACAGCTCTTCTTAAAATTCTTCGCAGTACATAACCTCTACCTGTATTGTCTGGGTATCCACCATCAGACAAAGCAATAGTTAGTGTTCGTGCATGATCAGCTAGGACACGATATGCCATATCAATTCCATCTACATCATCCACACCTACTCTCCCCATATAAGGTCGAGCCCCTGTACCATTTTCTATTGCTTTAAATAAAGGCAAAAAGAAGTCAGTATCATAATTTGCTCTTTTATTTTGAATTACAGATACTAATCTCTCAAGACCTAATCCACAATCAATGTGTTTTTTTGGCAATTGTTTCAAAGATCCATCTGATTCTCTGTTAAATTGTATAAAGACTAAATTCCAAATTTCTAACACATCTGGGTCATCCATATTTACCAAATGTGCAGCTTCACGACCTCCAATCCTATCATAATGTAATTCAGAGCATGGTCCGCAAGGTCCAGTATCTCCCATTTCCCAAAAATTATCTTTCATGCTGCCAGGAATAATATGGGACTCTGGAAGTCCCAAAGCTAACCAGATATTTTTACATTCTAAATCAGGCTCAAGACCTGCTGCTGCATTACCACCAAAATAAGTAACATACAATCTTTCTTTTGGTAATTTGAAAACTTCAGTTAGTAGTTCCCAAGCCCATGCACATATCTCTTTTTTAAAATAGTCACCAAAGGACCAGTTCCCCATCATTTCAAAAAAAGTATGATGGTAAACATCTTTCCCCACATCATCTAAATCATTATGTTTACCACCAGCTCTAATACACTTTTGTGTATTAACAACTCTTACATATTGTGCCATATCTGAATTTGGATCTACTGAACCCAAGAAAATGGGTTTGAATTGATTCATTCCTGCATTTGCAAATAATAATGTTGGATCATCTAATGGAATTGTCGATGATGAATGGACATATTTATGTCCTTTCTCAATGAAAAAATCAATAAAAGTTTTACGAATTTGACTTCCAGATAGAGTAGTATCCATTGTACCAGGATTGAGACACCTGTAAAAGAGGAAATATAATTTATATGCATGAAAATAATATTAAATTTTAGTAAGTAATTTCAACATTATCTATAAGGATTATGTACATATTTATTATTCTACATTTTTTGCACTTACTTTATATAATTATATTGTCATAGTTGTAGAATACTGATGGATCTATATATATTTGTCAGATCCATCAGTATTCTATAACTTTGACGATATAAAGATTGAAATAAATAATGTATCCTATATTATAAATAAAAAAGAATTGATTTTTAGTATGTTTGTAATGGATAAAATCAAAAATTACTTAACTGATTTTAAAAATTCTTTCACCTACAAAGAAGTAAATTATCAATAAATAATATAGATAGCATTTTCATTAAGTAAAAAAATAAAGATCTCTATGAAAATTGCAATAAGAAAACAAAGACATTAAAATTTGCCTATAAAATTGATTGTTTGGAGGGCACTATGAAAATTATTGAAAAAACAATGTTCTACATATCTATAGTACTCATCATTAACTACGCAAAATCTATGAGGATAGCCTTATATATAAATATGCCTAACTATTATAATTATTAGGCATATAAATGTTTAACTATTGTAGTTAAGTTACAATAGGGGATTTGTGTTCAGATTAGTCAATCTAAACATATGCATATTTAAGGGCGAGAGCAAGATGGGCCGTGTGCGCCGACTTCTAGATGCAAGCAGAGCTACGTGCAAAGATATATCTAATAGAACATATATGTGCCATTTAAGGGACCAACACCCATTAAAATCTCTGGTAAATAATATGAATATGGCAGTGGCAATAAATACATATAATAACATATATATAATATAATAAAGACAAATAAACTATATTAATATTATTTTTTGCTTTACTATAATATCAAAATCGATTGCATCTTTTTAATTATATACCTGTATTTTATGGTTATTCTTAATACGTAAAAATATCATAATCTAGAACACATAAAGCTTAAATACTGTTTAAATGCTTTGGATAATTTTAAGATGAAATAAAAAAAAATTAAATATTTTAAAATTTTACCATATGGTAAAAAAGTATGAAGACTATTATCTGATAATATAGCAATGTTACTTATCAGGTTATGGGTTAACAATATTTTAAGGCAAAATATTAGTTATAAACAGTATTATATTATTAGGTAATTACCCTTTATAATTTAACAAGAGTGTAGATCACAATGATAAATGAAGAGAAAGAAAGAAAAACGTTTACATCAGCAAACTGGATAAAATACGATAGTAGATATCAAACTACATGCCGACAGTATTGCCAGATAAAATGGGGTGGAAATCGCTCAAATTTGGACCTTGAGTAGTCTAAAGTCGCCTACATTTTTTTATTTCAATTATTGTTATTTTATTTCAATATAGCTTAAAATCGCCCAAATCCTCCCTTACTTTTTCCCCACCCTCGACATATAACGTGTCTTTAATTAACTTAAGATTATAATCCATAAAAAAACCAACTTCATTGTAACTAATCAAAATAATTGATTACTGAAAATTACTGAATCGATTTTAACAAAATTTCTGCAATTATATCAGCAAAACAAAAAAAAAATATATTTTTTAATGATTTATCTTTATTTATAAAACGTATGGCAACGATATCTAAAAGTATACCTACCCAATTTCAAGTCAACAGCATTATCAGTAATTGTGATAATGCGCTCTGACAGCGGACTGCACTTGCAGCATAAGATTATTTTTCTATAATTTAGTAGAGAACCATAAAAATCGGTTTTAGTACCAGAAAATGAAGATCTTTCATGTGATATCTCACTGGAACAGAAAGGCCCATTGTAAAATTTTTACTACTCGATTTTGACACCCTAGCAAAGAAACAAAAAATGTTCTTTGGTAATATCTGCCGACCAATATTATGTTAAATTATTTAAAATTTTTATTGAATATCACTAGTAGTTATTGAGAGATATCACTGTGACAGTCAGGCGGAAGGATGATAAAGTCGCATCATAATAATCGTTGGATGTATACACTGTTCAAATTGCTTCCACTTATCATGCTATTTTTTTGCTCAGTGTTTCGACTGCTTAACAACCATATTTTTTATTCATTAATAGATTTGTTATGATAGGCCTCCTGATCTGATTTCATCTTCACCTATTAACTTTCATATCTACTAGTGTTTCGTTAGAATATACTAACAGAACAAGCGGGTTACTCTGTCAGTATATTCTACAGTCAATCATAAGGAAGTGTCAGAATCCTCGAATACGAAAGAAAAATAGAATTTTTTCGCGATGGCCTAAATGGTTTTTAGTCACTAATCGCAACTTTCGGTCGTCCTGGCCCGACACCCTATGAGATAAAAAGCGAAAAATCGTCTAATCTGGCAACACTGCATGCGGACCACGGATGAGAGAAACTATAGGTGACGATAACGAAAATTGTCAAAGTGAATGTCAATTTTTTTTCTGACATGTTTTATACGACTCTGGAAACTAATCCTTATGAGCCCGACTGAATGTTTAGAAATTAACCATTTTTACATTAAATTTACTTAACAATAACTAATCTACATATATCGTAATAATAATAAATAAGAACTAATCACACGTTTATAAAACTTACTGTCATGTAACAATTATTTTAAATCCAAATGCGCTTTTTTGCGTATGGCGTATGGTTTATAATTCGCTTGTTGTATCAGTCTGTCAAGTCCAAACCGTTAACATTTTTAACTCAGATGGTCAAGATGAGTATTTTTTTAATGGGTGAAAATGGTATGGTAACCCCGTCTGCGCTATCGGTATACACTGGCGATATACCAGTGAGAGATGATAGATGAGGATGATAAGACAGGTCAGTTAGCCGAATCATGACGAATTCAACGATAAAGTTAGTCACAATAGTTTCCAGGGGGAACCGCGTGGAGGTCGACCTGATTGGGTTATTGATAGCAATGAGGACTGACTTCCCCATTATTAACAATTCCTTCGGCCCATCAAGATGAGTATATAACATGAAACTTGAATATTGCAGATCTGAGTTCAGTGCTGGAAGAACTACAATAATCCACAAGCATTGCTAGGCTTTACCAGTAAACTCTACTCTTAAATAATAATAAGTAATATCTATAAAAGCTAATTGTAGTCACTGTACTCAATGAAATATCTAAATGGCTTACATCTTACCAAATGTATGTGTAAATATTGTTTGAATAGTTTTACTTTTATTTTGTAGTTTTTATTGTTAAAAATGCCTAATTATAAATTTCTTATACTAAATCCCAAAGCTGGCACAGAAATATCGATAAAGTAGCGCAATGCTATTATCGATAGTTCGTAAGGTAATTATCGACGGTTAATGCTTTTTTTAGGCTTTTTAAAAATGTGAAATTACTGACGTACTTAGAAATTCCTCTGTATAAAATATAGTATTAAATAAATATTTTTTAGTTTCCTATTTTCAGTCTTGTGTAACTTCCATACTAGCTTTATATGTATGGATTTGGTCAGAAAACATCATGCCAACGTTTAGTTAAATGATCTAATAACAAACTTAGACTATAAAGTACATATATAGATTGACAATGTACAAGACAGAAAATATAATAATCTGTAAAGGGAGAGAAAAAAATAAGATAATAATTTATAATCACAATATAAGCTCGAAACTGTTTTGGCGGGAGAATGAACGAAATTATTTCTAATTATTTTTACGTATTGAAGTGAAGTTAGTTTTATGTGAATGTATTTAGTTTGAATTAAATGCACTTTATCTGAATGTAATATAAATAATAGAGAAAACACGATTTCATGCTTTACGTGTAAATATGCTTGAAACATTTTACTTATTTAAATACAATATTTAGAACCATAACAAATACACTCCTCGCAAAAATTAAGGCAACATAAAAATTTTTGAAATTTTTGGGTGATTTTCAACAGGCTGTATTTCAGTGAAAAATAATCGTACAGGAAATTTAAAAAAAGGGTTTTGAAGCTTGAAAACTCTAGTTTTCAGATTTTTTGGTGAAAAATTTTTTGAGCTCCGGTTTCCATGCAATTCTTAAACAAAGCTAAAAATTTTTTTTTTTAAATTTTCTAGGTTTCGTTTTTCACTCTATGGGCATGGAAAAATTTTTTCGAGTTACTCCATTATATAGGTCTCTTAGCGTGTTTATTCAGCTTCAAAAATCGCTTTGGATGGCTCAATTACGACCATTTGTCTCCGAGATATCGAACTTTGAATGCAAAAGCATCCTTTTCCATTCAACTGCTAATATCTTTGGAACTACTAGTCGCACAGCAAGCGGGCGCCGAGTTTCTTTATCTGCATAAAATTTCCAATTAAGCACAGTCAAGAGCTAGTGAAGAAAAACATTTTTTCCACCTCTAACATTGAATTGAAAAAAATGGAAAAAAGTGACTTTTTCTCCTTTTTTGGTTACTTGGCTGTATCTTCGCTAATATGGGCGGGAAAGCTAAGGTTTGAGGAAAATTTTACAGTCTATTGTTCCTTAAAGAACCCCCTAAATCCCTGGAGCGATCGGTTCAACGGTTTTTCCCGGACCAATTGATTGAAATTTTGGAAAAAATAAGGGAACAAGGTTTTTGTCCCTTAAATTCACACTAATCCAAAAAAATTAATAATTTCATTTGTTTTTCACTTTTTACTCAATTTTTTGTTTTTTAAAAATTCATTATCAAAAAAAAAATCGAAAAAATCAAGAAAATTTTTAAGAAAAATTTTTTTTGAAAAGTCGAAAAAAGTTTACAAAAAATTTTTTTTTCGTTTCGGTCGGATTCGTCGTGCAACCTCCACCTTTGGGTAACGCTAATGCCGGCGGTAAATCGATCATCAATCAAAGTTTTTGTCAAAAACTTTGATTTCCTTGAAAACGAAAAAAAAATGTAAAATTTTCCTCAAACCTTAGCTTTCCCGCCCATATTAGCGAAGATACAGCCAAGTAACCAAAAAAGGAGAAAAAGTCACTTTTTTCCACTTTTTTCAATTCAATGTTAGAGTGGAAAAAATTTTTTCTTCACTAACTCTTGACTGTGCTTAATTGGAAATTTTATGCAGATAAAGAAACTCCAGAGATTCCATTAGCAGTTGAATGGAAAAGGATGCTTTTGCATTCAAAGTTCGATATCTCGGAGACAAATGGTCGTAATTGAGCCATCCAAAGCGATATTTGAAGCTGAATAAACACGCTAAGAGATCTATACAATGGAGTAGCTCGAAAAAATTTTTCCATGCCCATAGAGTGAAAAACGAAACCTAGAAAATTTTGAAAAAAATTATTTTCAGCTTTGTTTAAGAATTGCATGGAAACCGGAGCTCAAAAAATTTTTTTACTAAAAAATCTGAAAACTAGAGTTTTCAAGCTTCAAAATCCTTTTTTTAAATTTCCTGTACGATTATTTTTCACTGAAATACAGCCTGTTGAAAATCACCCAAAAATTTCAAAAAATTTTATGTTCCCTTAATTTTTGCGAGGAGTGTATTTTGTATTTGAATCGACCCAGAAAATTATCACATTTAAACTAATTAATATTTTGAAAATAAGATTCAAGTATTTAAATTAAAACAATAACAAATCTCTGCATATCTACAAAATTTAACTTCAATTCCTTAGAGATTATTAACAATGAGTTCTAATTGATTAAAACGATTTACCAATTGACAAAGGTAACAGGCTGTTACATATACAGTTATAATAATTATATATAAATTTATTATCTATGTACAAATTCTTCTATACTAGCCATTTCTCGCTTATATGTAGGTCTTGTATAACATTGCCATTGGAACTTTTTGTGAATCTGGTCGTATATTGTATTATATACTTAAATGATAATTACGTACCTAACACCTTCATACAGTTTCAGCTAATTCAACTAGGTGTTGGGTCTGATGGGTTATTTTATAGCATTTTATATGTGATTCTTTAGATTGATATAACTTTTTTATTTATGAACTGATTTATATAAAACAAACACCAAATGTTAAGCAGAGCAAACCGCAATGCATTAGTGTAAACTGCATTTTTACAGTTTACACTAATGCATCGGTTAAGCCGTTTGTGAAATTAACGTGCACAAATGTACAAACAAAAATTCTAAAAATCATTGTTTAGGGCTCTATTGCGTTCATGAATGTCCCCTATAATAGTTTTTCTTATATATTTTCTATGTACAGACAGTAGCCAGTTACGATTTTATTATATATATTGAAGTTAAATAAATAATTATTAATTTTTAAAATTACTTATTGTTAATTAAAATTGTCTGAAACATTTCAAGTTTTGGTTTACTGTCGTATACAAAATCGCATTGATCTATGATTACATTTACACTTCACGCGCTGCACTTATGTGTAATCACATTTTCATCTCGTTTTTGTCAGTACGTAGTACATTGTACTACGTCTATGATCACAATAGTGCCAACTTAACTAACAAATATAATGTCAAATGCGAATGCAAACTAGTTGTGGAACAGTTTTTGCTTTGTATTTAATGTTTCATTTTATTTTGACTTAGAATACGACTATATATGATTAATATTGACTCTATTAGGTCTACTTTAGAAATTAATCAGATATTATGGAAGTGTTGAAAACTTGCGTTTAATATCAATATTGCAAAAATTTGATCTTAGGGTAATATTGTGTAAAATAATATATATATAAAAAGGTTATCTTTTATTTTCGCTAAAAAATGTTAATCGGAATATGCAATTTGATATAAAATTTATATTTCTTTTATCACATGAGTCGCGTTTCTACTATAAAAGTATAATTATAACCCTTTTCGTTTCCATTTTGAACATCAGGGTGGCTAGCATAACGAAATTTTTTTGTGTAGATTGGTAAGATATTCCTGACTAAATTCTTTTTCTATGAAGTGTGGTTTATTTTTCTTTGGTTATATACTCTTGACGCCTTTAGAAATAGTCTCTAATTTGTGAGTCTTTTTGATTCGTGTTTGCCTCTGTTTTTGTCTGATGAGTTAACTTCCATATGTAAATAACATTTTAAATGCTACTATGATTTATTCTGGTTTAGTTATAAAAATTTTTAATGTTTCTAAACTTTCTATTGGAAAGAATAATTTCTGCAGTTTATCTTCTTGTTATTCTAATAAAGTTTCTACAAAAACAGTTAGTCCTGTAATAAATAGTTCAAGTGAGGATTTATCTAATGTTATTCCACACCTTCCAAATACATTTAATTTAGCAGCATATGTTAATCAGTCTGAAGTATTAAAAAAATTACTTTATCTTAATGTCAATTTGAATAAAATAGAAAAGAAACCACATGTTGCTGAAAAAATTATGAAATTAAATTTTGATGATATAAAAGATCACATACTATTCATCAAAGATTATGTTAAGACTGATAATATTGGCAAGTTTTTTACTATTAATCCAATGATCTTCTATGAATCTCTAGAAGACTTAAAAATAAGAGTGAATTATTTACAATCAAAACGTTTCACTCATGATCAAATAGAACAAATAATATCGAAAAATGCTTTTTGGCTTATGTTTAGGTGAGTATCAATAATTTTTCCATTGGTGTAACTTCATAGGTAGATAAGTATATAATTTTTTTTAAATTTATTTTTTGCAGTACAATTAGAATAGACAGAAGGTTGGGATTCTATCAAGACAAATTTAATTTAATTGGCAATGAAATCAGATTTTTAGCTACAAAACAACCAAAGCTCATTACATACAATCTTCAACATGTCATGACGAACACATTTGTCATCAAAGAAGAGATGGGATTTGAGGATCATGAAATGAAGCAGTTGATTTTAGAAAAACCAAAGTTGTGGATGCTAAGTAAGTACATTTCTATAGTTAGATATTCAAACACATCCTTTTGTTTATCTTACACACCTAATTCATGTTTATACCAAAAGTACTTATTACATTTTTAAGGAGCCATAAGCATAAGGCTTAACAGTAACAGTCCCATGAAGTGAATAATAATACCATTATGCAACTATTATAACTATTATTATATATATGATATACACTATACTTATTATTGTTTTTAGATCAAAAGGTGTTATTAGAGAGATTTAATTATATTCATAACATTATGAAAATACCTCATGCCACAATTGTGAAATGTCCTGGTATTATTTTATGTAGAAATTTCAAATTGAGACAGCGACACCTGTTTTTGGAGAAATTAGGAAGAGCTCAATATAATCCTAGCAAAGAAAATTATGTCCCATTAATAGCTTTAGCTGAAGGTACAGATTTGGAATTTTGTCAGAAATATGCAAAGACTGATATAAGTAATTTTAATATATTTCTTAAAACTCTTTGATTTATTTAACCAGTTTTGCCAAGTAAAATTTTGTTTTGAAAAGCATTAAGAGAATGATACAGAAGAGTGTCGAGAATACCAGCAACTGTGAAAACGCCTCCTATTATTGCACATATATTTGTAGCCACATGTCCAATAGATCTGCAAAACAAACAAAATGTTTTAATAAATAATGGATGGACCTCTTTTTGTATTTTATTACTTTAGATAAGTACTACCTGCACTTGGGACTAGTGCAAAATATTTTGAAAATAAAATCTGATTTTAAATCACTTTTAAACGGAGGGGAATTTCATTACCCGTTTTTTTTGTGTGTATACACACAAAAAAATAACCTTTGACATTATCTTTCTGATTCTAATATTTCTTAAAGTTTAAAAATATTGAGGCATTGATTAACGAATTTACCGTTTGTTGGTTCCAAAAATTGTTTCTACTTTATCCAGAAACCTTTTTTAAGGGGCGTACGGCGCTTTGTGTCTTGCCTCGCACTGAAGCTAGCAAGTTGGTGGTAGAAGACTGGTGCGGGCAGGGGTGGAGGGAGACAGCGGTGGTAAGAGACAATGATGTTGTCGGAGATGAGTGGCTGTTTCTTGTGTAATTATCATTGACTGTGAAAGACTCGATTTTCAGATGAAGTGGGAATAATCGTCGGAAGTTCGTTAAATGGCCGTTGTGCATGTATATATACATTATAATAAAAATAAACATAAAAATAATATAAAATTGTAAGAAGACAATATCTCTACATACATATAATATCTTTCGTAAGAAAAAATAATATGAGGGGTATAAGAGCTAAACAATTTGTAGAAATTTTATTTCTGGCTTCAAACAAAAACTATTACAGCTAATTGAGTAGGATTTCTACAGTTGTGTTTATGAAGCTTTAACTTAAAATTTGGTATAAAGTACAAAGAATAAAGACGTACTATGAAAAAATTAGGGGAAAGCCTGATTTTTGAATGAACCTTCCTTTTGCGGATCTAAGTAAGTCTCAAAAGTCCCCGTTGATCCGTGTGCCTCTAAAAATGTTACTCGGGGTCAAAGATCACAAAAAACAGTTTTTCGCGAATATCTCGTTAACAATCACAGTTATAGAAAAAATAGTGGTTAATAAATTATAGTTTATGAAATTACCTTAAAAAAACATCATTACTTTTTTCCGTAAAACTAATAATTTTCGAGAAAATTTGATATAAAAAGTTATATCGTGCAACATGCACTCCTCAGTAGTATATATGGACCATATATTGCAATTGAGGAATCCGATAGAAGAACAAGTATTGTTGTAGGTGAAGACGTAGATTTATTAGTAATATGTGTTGCACGAAAGCCTAGTGATAAAATAATTTATTTTTTAAAACCTGGTAAAGCTAAAATTCAAACAACTTATCTCCACAAAGCTTAAACTTATATCCTGATTGTAAAAAACATATTTTATTTTTACATGCAATGATCGGTTGCGATAGTAGATCAGCTATTTTTCACAGGGCCATAATGTCTTTCAATTATTTGAGAAGAATTAAGCAATTACGCCAATGCTTTTACTACAACAAAATGTTCTCCCGACATAATTTCTAATAATGGTATCCGTTTTCTTCTGGCTATGTATAAAGCACCTGTGAAAGAAGTGTCTATTGATAATCACAGATATTTAACGTTTGCAAAATTAACGCAGTTAAAAAAACCTGTAGAATTATCTACTCTTCCGCCAACATCTAGTGCTGCTCGCCAACATTTATATCGTGTCTACTACCAAGTGAAAGTATGGCTTGGCAACGAGCTTAATCCTCTAGAATGGACATTGCAGGATAATATTATATATTGGGACGCAGTTAAAACTCCCTTCACCTGCTCCTGATATTTTATTGAACACAATTTTTTGTAATTGCACTAAGTGCTGCAACTTGAAATGCGGTTGTAGAAAAGTTGGACTATATTGTTCACCAGTTTATGGTAATTGTCACGGTCAGGAACGTTTGAATCTATCACCCGATAAGTTTAATGACTGCTGAATCCTGCTGAAGACATAGATCTATCGTGTTTCTTGATTGAAACAATGGAAGTCAAACAAACAGAAGAAGATAATGAAGAGATGGAGGTAGTAATTAAAATGGAATCAGAAGAGCCATAATTATTAATAAATAAACAAAAATAATTTATTATGTATTCTAGAATAATAATCACTTTTAACAGTAAAAAAATTGATAATTTGTTCATTTTTATTTACCTCACTCGTTTATTTCGTTATTTATCTTCATAAATTAAGAATTTTTAATCACAAATAGACGTGGATTATGCCTACGGTGGACACCACTTAAAAAAGCACACTTGTACCTCAAAGGAGTGCAATGTTTTATGAGAAACATAAGCATTCAAAAATTTTAAATATTTTTTTTCGAAAACTTAGTTTTACGGAAAAAAGTAGTGATATTTTTTTTTGTAGGCAATTTCATAAGCTACAAATTTGATAACCACTATTTTTTCAATAACTGTGACCGTTAATGAGATATTTGCGAAAAACTATTTTTTGTGACCTTTAACCCCGAGTAACACTTTTAGCGGCACACGGATAAATAGGGATTTTGTTTAGAATCACAAAAGGAAGGTTCATGCAAAAATCCAGCTTTCCCCTAATTTTTCCGAAGTTCGGTCTTATTTTTGTCTTTATTCACTGTACTAATGTTTTATTGCGATCTACCATGTAGCAGTGTTTTTTTTTCCTTCTGATATACAGATTAAAGTAGCGGGGAAAAAGACAGTGATGAATATAATATGGGGTCAAGTAATTCGAAAATATGGATTAAATAAAATACCGCCGACTTCGAAATTTGTTACATGATACTGTTGTAATATTTTAATAGCATTTTTATATTAATTTGCAATAATTACTTTATATTAAAATATGACAGTGTGTCGGAAATATTTTGTCAATTTTCTGATATACCTAGTATAATGTTCAATATTTTTAGTGTTCGTATAGTGAAAGACTACAGATGCTCAGTATTCACTCTCTAAAGTAGGCATGGTTTTATGCAGTGGCCATTTTTCCATTAAACCGGTGTGTGTTGCAATTTAAGTTAGGCCCTTGTGATTTTGGGTCTGTGTCAAAGCTAAAGGGGGTATTTTCGAATAAATAACTATAGTTTCTAATTTATTAATACTGCTTTTTTTGTTCCTATTTGAGCGTACGTACCTCATCAGTGAATGTCCCAAATTGTTTAAAACAATTTATTGTTATATACTTATATATTTTATATGCTTACCTTTCCTTTTCTGTATATTTGACCATTAAAGGCGATAGTTCGTAACTGAAAAACGCTCCGGGCATACCAGATTCAGCATGATTACTAGAGACGGATTTTTGGTGTCTAGTTACTGAAAATTGATTTGTGTATAGAACTGTCTTGTCTAGCTTTATATACATTGTTGGGACTATTTTTAGATAATATTGGAACATTACAGCACCTGAAAATAAAATTAATATTGATTTGTGTAATCGACTTTCAAAAGAAATACATTAGGGTTTCCATTAAAAAAAGAACTATATAAAAAAAGAGACAAAAGACAATGGGGAAATTTTCAAAAATATTAACGAAATTGAGAGATAATTGTTTATTATGATATATATATATATATATATATATATATATATATATATATATATATATATATATATATATATATATATATATATATATAATTTATAAATAATGATCAGTCAGAAACAGAAGTTAAAACGTTTTTCAGAATTGACGGATAATTCGAGGTTGCCACGCTTCAATGAGTTAAAATTATGAACGCTTTTAATACAAATATAAAAATTTGTAATCAATAAAAAATCTATATTTAATAATATATCTATAATATATTTGCACCACCTGCCCGCCTTTGCTTTAGACGTGTACACCCGTAAATTGAGTTAAAAAAATACTTCTTTAATGTTTAGTGTTGACAGAATGATAAAAAATTATGACAATGTAAATAATGCAAGAGACGTAGCAAACTACGTCTCTTGCATTAGTTTCATCATTTCAGCCATTATCCGTCTACTGCTGGACATAAGCCTCCCCCATAGACTGCCATAAGGAATGGTCCTGAGGTACCTACATCCACTGACTCTCTGCAATGCATTTCAGGTCGTCACTCCATCTAGTAAGGGGTCGTCCCTACACCGCGTTTGCCCATATTTACACATGATTACACTGGATCGCCACTCAAGAACCTTTATTTATGTGACCAGGCTATCCTCACGTCAGCTTGCATATCCTTCGAGCTATGTCGGTTACTTTGGTTATTTTGTGGATATCCCCGTTCCGGATTCTACCACGCAAAGAAACTTCGATCATAGCCTTCTGAGTAATTTGAAAATTTTGTATACGGGCAATCGTGTAGGACCATGTTTCGGTTCCATAAGTCATCACTGGCAACACGCATTGGTTAAAGATTTTCGTCTTCAAACTAAGGTATTTTGATGAAAAGATGTGGTGTAGTTTCCCGAAAGCTGCCCAGCCAAGTTGGATTCGTCGGTTGACCTCTCGGTCGAAGTTGGATTTACCCATTCGGACAACTTGTCTCAGGTATACATACTCGTCGCTAACTTCCGAGCGTAGTATTCTCAATTGTAACCGGTATAGATGTGACATGGACGTTAGACATGATTTTAGTTTTGTCCATGTTCATCTTATGATCTACCTGTCGAGAAACACCATTGAGATCATTGAGCATAATATTCAAAATGCTCCAGGGAATCTGCCATGATTGTCATCGGCAAATCGAAAATTTTGCACTTCATCTTTTCACATACATTGAAATACATTTGGCATTTCATAATTATTGTCTCAACAGATAAAATATTTATATTACCAAAATATGATTTATAGTTATTATACATCTATGTCAACCATACTTCCTAGCATGGTTGACATAAGAATAAGTCGTAATTTTTTTGTTTTTTCTATTCACCCCATGAATTTTATTGAACTCGTTCTAAAACTGATTTTTGACAGTCTGTCAAAAACTGACTTTTACATTCGGAACTGGATAATATATCTGATTCTGAATTTCTGATCTGTGTATTACCTAAAGACCAAAGAACCATTGAATCAAGAAAAAAAATATTTCTTTCATTACTAATTTTAACTGTTATAGGCGATAATTGCGAATAAAAATGCCGGTACCGGGAGGAATGTACCAAAATCAAGGGCCATCCTGTTTTGACAAAATGAAAATGGGTTTTATGATAGGATTTTGTGTTGGAATGGCCAGTGGGGGTCTTTTCGGCGGATTTACTGCTTTAAGGTAAGTAAAAGATTTTTTTTTCTGTAATTGCCTTAACTTCTAACTTCTTTGACTTATACCTTTCCTATTTCCAGATACGGAGCTAGAGGGCGGGAGTTAGTTCATTCAGTAGGAAAAGTAATGCTTCAAGGCGGAGGAACATTTGGCACGTTCATGGCGATTGGAACAGGAATACGGTGTTGATATGATAGTAATGAGGTCAGATGTTAACTTTGTATATACAGCAGTAATTAGTTTAAATATTTTCCATTATTGTTTAAATAAATAATAATTAAGTAGATTGTTGTTTAATTGAAATTGTAATTTACATCAATTTCTTCTATATAATTCATAGAATGCAATTTATCTCCTGTCAGGTCGACCTCTATGTAATTCCCTGGAAACTATCATGTTGAATCCCAGTTGATTATGATGGGTTAACTGATCTGCCTTTTCATTATTACCTATCATCTCTCACTGGTGGTCACCAGTATATCATTAGCACAGGCATGGTTACTATTCCATTATCATTCATTAAAATAAGAATAAAATATATTCTTGTCAGGTGAACCTCTCTACAGCCCCTTCTAAGGGACCATTATGGTGAACTGCTGATGGAATTGTCACAATGGGTCAAACAACTCAATTATTATTTACTGGTATCGCACCAGCATCATATGAATAGCACACATTTTCATCTATTTACAAATACCTACTAGAGAGAAAATAGTTTGTTACTAATGAGAACTAGTACTCATATTTTGTAGGAGTTTTACTTGACAGAGTCTAGTAACTACAGCAAACCATTATGGTGAATTTACTAGGATTTAAATTCACCTTCTGCAATACATTATTAGACCAACTGAACAATTTCATGGTTTCATGTTCTAATAATGCCTTACCACTACTTAATTTGCATACGCACAATGTATCAATCCATTTTCATTCATCAAAAGCTACTTTCTCTAATAATTTTATAAGTTTAGTATTTTTATACCACTTTAATAATGCTCAAAAGTAACCAACAGTAAACACTATATAATTTGATAAATTAGCACAAAATTTTTACTCTTGATCAGATCTTAACACACAGCCTTTGGTATCTATAGGTAGGTCTTATTTAATGTCTCTGAAAATTTTAATGAATTTCAAGATTTGTAGGACTTTTATTATTACATGTAAATCAAATGTAATCTTTGAAAAATAATTGTACAAAGTAACATTTATATAGAAAAGTTGGTTCTTTAGTAGTGAACATGTAATGCACAAAATGATGTAGATACACTTTGGATTTGTATATAATATAGAGAATTACCTTATACATAATAATTGATAATTTGCTCCTACTTTATAATACTGTTTAATTTTTAATACAAATTAAGTACTTACCTTCTTTTGCCAATCCAATGGCTCCATCTAGTGGAGCAGTATTAGCGCTTTTAATGTTTGTCCCAAATGACAAATGTCGTATTATATGTGTTGTATTAAATACTGAAGATGAGTATGGTTGTACATCATGTACATGAACATGATTGATTGTAAAACTCTTGCCTGGTGCAATATGGAAACTGCCTCCTACCTAAGATGAAATCTTTTATTTACTTATGTAAAATTTTATAAATTTACAACATTACTTATTTAAAAGATTTATAAAAGAGATTATTACATACTCTATTTACTTCCATGTAACCATAAATCTGACAACCTTCTTTAAGAGCAGAATTGGTTTTTTCAATAGATTCATCATCCTTACATTGTTCAATAGTTGTCAAATCAGGTAATGCCCATCTTCTTAGTCTATATGCTTCTTTTACATCCTCACAAGTATTGCAACACCTGTAATAAAGTGTAATAGGTAAATATATATCATTATTCAAATAAAAAATATGCACTACAATAAATTTTCAAAATAGCTGATATTTACTGAGATTCATTGAAAGCAGCACCATAACAGCTTCCACAAGTCACTTTTACAATTTCTGAACTATTTTGTTTTACCTATAAAAAATAAATTCAAAATCAAATACAATGGGTTATAAAAAGTTATAAATTTTATTAATAAACAAAAACATTTTATTTATTAGCAGTTGTAAAACAATATTTTGGATAAGCAATTTAGATGTTTACTACATGACTTTTTCTGCCTTTTGTAAGAGACAAGGGAACAATGGATGTTCACAGAGAAATTTCACTTATCTCTTTTGTTACAGTAAAATTCTTTACATTGGAATGTTCATACTGAAGTCCAGACTATTTGTTAATTTTAAAAAATAAGCATTACTTAATATGAACTTGCCAGAATAATTACCAAATGCTGATATAAGTCAATTAAAATATTACTCATGCAAGAAATTTTTTGTTACAAGTATCATTGAAATTTTAAGTTTTAATAGTAACAAAATATTTGGAAAATTCTAAATATTCAGGTGAAAAATTTTAAGTGAAGTCTTAAATGACTGACAATGCATTTGTTAAGCTTCAGAATTAATACTCTCAATTTAAACCTTGATACTGTTTATATAAAAAACTTAAAAAAAATATATTACAGTGGTAGAACTGAGAGCAATTTCTTCTTTCTTTGGTTCTTCTATTGGATTTCCATCCAAGTCCAATCTTCTTTTGTGTATATTGTGATCCATTTGTAGATGTTGCTCACCCGATGAGTCCATTGCATCCAGAACTAAATCTTAAGAAAGAAAAGAATGAATTTGCTGATATGCATAACTATAAATTGGGTAATATAAGCAGTTGTAATGACACTTACAATTACAAGAAATAGTGGGAACAATAATGTCGAAATTTATCCGTAATTTATGTCCCCTCGATGTATCTACAAACAATTCTTCTGAAATATTGGGCGACATATAGGTGTGAAGTTCCGACAAAAATAATAATATCATAATAAAAGCACCAGTTACAGTTACTGAAAGAAAATTTAAGACAATATAAATGTCTAAATAATATAAGTCGTAGTCCACATTCACTGTATTGTATTGGTTTCAGTCATTTTAACTTTTCACGACAGTTTCTGTAAGTTATGTACTTACAGAAACAAATTAGGAAATTAGACCTGTCTGAAGCCGGGGTGGACGATATTGCTGCTGCTCTATTATGCCAGATTTTACACATACTTACTAGCGGCACCTGTAGCGGTTTTAATTCGGAAATCTTCTAAAGTTTTTGCATAAGCATCTAATTGTTTAAATTTATCAATTAGTTGTGAAGACATGGCTGTGATAATACCTTAATAAGGAATATCTTAAAAGAAAATATAAATGAAATATAATAAATACATATACCTATACATAAATCAACAGATTAAAGATAGGTAGGAAAAAAAGAGTATATAGCCAAAGGATAATTGGTACCACAGAGTAATCATACGTTATAAAAATTGGTAGCGGTCTTATATTCATAAAACGTAAAAATTGAAATGTATGTTACCTTTTCGAAGTAAGAACACAACATAGTGTTATATCACTGTGTAATATCCAATATATCGATATCGACAGCTGCCATAAAAAAAATTATTATTTCATAATATAAAATTTTGATCGTTTATAAAAATAAGTATCTATGTTAGTTATTTTATTTTACTCAACTACAATTATAAATCTATTTTTTTGACAGGTGAGTAATGTGAATTCTCGTTGATGCATTTTTTTATGTTTACGATCGGTTTAATAGTTTAAAAATTGCTATGAGTGACCATTAAATGGGTATGTTACAACAAAATGTATATTTAGCCTAATTGCAGCTTATTTCTTACTAATCATAGACAAATTTATGGAGGAGGAGGAGTACAGGCTTCAGGTTGCTTTATTGAATGCGATATATTTATAAAATTCGCAGTTGTTTGCATTCCGAGTTTTAAAAAGACTGTAATTTGAATACTGTTCATCTATATTTGATCCAGAAGTATCAATAAAGCATCAAATCCATTTCGATTCAGACCATTCTATTTACAAAATACTAGCCTTATTTATTAGTTATAACAGTATAAAACTTTAATTCATGATAACTAAAAAGTAACTAATGTATTTTAATAAATTACGTACTTAGTAATAAATAAAATTAAAATATTTAAGTAAAATTAAAGTTTGCAGGTATTATCTGATTATGTATAAAAGATCTATTCACATTTAAAGAATTTAAATATGAATAGGTCTTTTGTTCAGGTGCTACTAATCTTGGAACCAAATTTAAAACTCTTGTTTAATATTATCATTATTTCAGCCATTATCCGTCTACTGCTGGATATAGGCTTCCCTCATAAACCGCCATAAGAAACGGTCCTGAGTCATATGCAACCACTACTTCCCTACAATGCATTTGAGGTAGTAACATCAACTAGTGGGGGAAGGGGATCATCCTACACTGCGTTTGCCTGTACACGGTTGCCATTCAATGACCTTTCTTCCTCATTGGTTGTTGGTTCTTCGAACTATGTAACCAGCCCATTGCCACTTCAGTTTGTTTATCCTTTGAGCTATGTCGGTTACTTTGGTTCTTTTGCGGATATTTTCGTCTCGAATTCTATCACGCAAAGAAATTCTGAGTATAGCCCTCTCCATAGCTTAGTCAGTAATTTAAAGCTTTTGGATATATGCAATCGTGTAGAACTATATATTGGTTCCATAAGTCATCACAAAGACCTTCATCTTCATATTTGAGGTATTTTGGATAAAAATATGTGGTGTAGTTTTCCAAACGCTGCCTAGATGAGTTGAATTCGTCGGTTGATCCTTTGGCCGAAGTTGGACTTATCTGTTCGGACAATATGTCCCAGGTACATCTTCGTCGACAACTTCGGGAGTAATGTTCTCAACCGTAATTGTTATAGGTGTGACATGGATGTTAGACATGATTTTAGTCTTGTCCATATTCATCTAAAGACCTACCTGTTGAGAAGCACCATTAAGGTAATAGAGCTTTGTTTCGGTTTGAAGGGTAAGATATGGCAGTTTACTGGGTATAGAGGAATAACACCTGAGTCCTCATGAATGACAGCGCATGGGAAGTGTCATGGGCGAAACAGTATACTCTGTTATGTCCATGATACTGCTCATGTGTATAGGTGATGGTTACCACTTTCTAACAGGTTGACTGTCAACTTGTTTGCCATTCTAAGTTGATTAAAAAAATTCAAATCCTTCAGGGATTTTGCCATGATTACTATGACATCGGCAAATCGAAGGTGAGTGATGTATTCGCTATTGATATTTATACTATATCTTTTCCAATCCAAAAGTTAAAATATGACGTCACCATCTTACACTTTTTGGCATTGGGATGGGTTTCGTACTCGGGTTCTGTATGTAGATAGACATCATAGCCTTATTGTACGTACACTTTAGCACTTCGATATATCTATAATCAATTTGGCACCGCTAGAGGGATTGTAGTATCGCCCATGTCTTGACCGAATTAAAGCTTTTTTCATAGTCCACAAATGACATACATAGTGGAGGATTATATTCTTCGGTTTCGGTTTAATATGCCAAAGAGAATTTGCGTTACTTATCAACAAAACATGTATTTAATATTGAAGTAGAACATAATAAAGTGACTAAACACAAGTACTTTATTAGTATAGATGTTTTCCATAAAAATTGAAAATTTTACGTTACAAATTAGCAAGGTCTTTTCGGACAATAGTCGATGTCGATATTTTGGATGGAGGCATAATGTAGATGGTGGTACAACTCTAGAAATTGTGTTGTTGTTTTGAAAAGGTAACATGAATTTTATTTTCCGGTTATCGTGGTACAAAGTTACTGCCAACTCTTATAATGTAGCGATTATTTGCTGAACACAGAGTATAGACACAATCTCTCAAATCTGTGGAGTAAACAGTTTTTATGGAGGGTGAGAAGCGTAGAGTATGGCAGTTGTCTTTTCTGTTTTATTGATATTAATATTATTTCATGTACTATAAATAGAACGATCCTTACTTCCAAGGTGAGCGATTGACGGATTCCGCTTCGGATTGAGATTAAGGGATTGTTCCAGGGCGATTTTTTAAATCTATTTTGATTTTGCCTGCCTCTGAAGGCAAAATTTTACCTTCCTACTTTGCTGGAGGGGGGAAGGGATTGTTAGTAATGGGATCTAATTGACTTATTGTTAACAATATACCCTATCGGATCGACTTCATCATCATCGGCGGGCATCAGTGAAGGATTATAGGTTATTATAGGTTGAGGATGAGGCAGGTCAGTTAGCCCATCGTGACAAATTCAATAAGAATTATACACGATGGTTTCCAGGGGGAACCATGTGAAGGTCGACCTAATATATATTGTTTGCAATGGGGTTGTCAAACTCCATTGCTAACAATCCCTTTCCCCCCGTCACGATGGGCTAATTGATCTGCCTTTTCATCTTCACCTATCATCCCTCATTGGTACCTTGAAATTGTCCTTGAAATGGTTCAGAGGAGACGGGTCACTCAATTTGAAGGGAAGGGTCGTGCTCAGATGGTCTCAAACAGCCCTTGAAGCCCTGGATCAGAAAGTCCGCACAACTATGACCTCCTATAGAATGCGTCATCCTAAGTCGTCAGTCACGAGGCTGTATGTCCGCCGGAAGGCTGATGGTCAAGGTTTGTAAGGCCTTAAGACCATGCACAGTCGTGAGATTGACAGTCTCAGGACATATTTTTTGAAGAAAAGAGACGAGGGTATGCATAGAGAGATCATGGAATGTAACAAATGATTTACTCTTCTTTCTCTGGCTAGAGAGATTCATGGCTGCACGGAAGGTTCTTCAAAGTCGTTCACGGGACGTACGTCAATACGAAGACCTCCATGCACTGGCTACAATTCGGTTATCTCTTCGGAGAGACCTAGGAGTTTTCTGTGCAATATAGGACAGGATCAGGTGATTATACCGAACAATTACCGAAAGCTCATTCTGAAGGATGACACTGAGGACATCTGTCAGGCATGTCGTCATCCCGTAGTCACATATACATGTGCTATCGGGTTATTCAGCTCTTGTCAATACTGAGTACTTGGACAGATACAACCAGGAAGCCAAAATATTCCATCAGGAGTTAGCTCTCAAGTATGGTCTCGTGAAAGAGAGGTTGCCGTAAATACAAGCCCTTGCCAGCTCTCGTGAGTAACAGCGTCAGCCTCTATTGGGAGCGATCCATCATCACGGGCAGGACAGTTTGTGCGAACAAACCTGATATCGTCGGGTAACCTGATGGATCGGGTACTCTCGAAGATATTTTTGATGAATGTCACCATATCGCGTGTCGAGAACCTCGTGAAAGCTGAAATCGAGAGTAAAAGAAAATATCTCGATTTGGCTTACGTATTGACCGAATTGTGGGTAGTGACGTCCATCGAAATCATCCCAATTGTTCTGTCGATGATGAACGGTTTTATCTTAACCAGTTTGGAACAACACCTCAGACGTTTGAAATTCCGAGGCAGCTTACTCTCGGGAAAGATGCACAAAGTGATGCTCTTGTATACTGTCCACATAGTACGCAGGTTTCTCTCCCTAGGACCTTCAACTCTGGCTGACTGTGTTTCTGCCAAGGGTTAATTTGCCATTTCCCCTCCTAAACAAGGGAGATATGAATTTTGTCAAAAACAATTAGCATTTATTGTTTTCTTTTTTTAAATATATTAGACTTGAGTGATACGTAAGGCTCCCTTTTAAGTTAATTGGTTGAATTGCCGTATTGCGATATCAAAATTAAGTACATATGATTTTATTTTAAGCTCCGATGTATATTTTATAAAAAAAAAATTTACTTCAATTGCGGCAAAGCCAATTGTTTTCATTTAAAAATTAAAGTACCCACTCAACCGATTATGATAAAAATTCATGTGTCCTCTCTGAAATCTTTTCAGATAAAAGAGGTAATTTTCCAAATCAGTTTATAAATGTCAGATTATTAAGTAACAAACGTAAAATAAACAACCAAATTGTGAACATCCTCCATTTTTGAACGTTTAAATAAAATTTAAAAAAGCAAACTCACATACAATAATTCTTTATATTTGTCTAAAATCTATCTAATAATATTTATTTATTTTTTATGTATATAGACTTTAATGCGTAGTGAAATTCTATGTACATTTGACAGACTTAACATCGGACGGTGTTCAGTACCTGTTAACTCGAAAATCGAGAAATACCTAAATAGGTAGATTACTGTTAAGTAATATTTAATAGTAGTAGTAATATGTATTTTGAAAAATGTATTTTAAGCTTAGAATTGTCCTTTTTATAATATTTTATGTTTATAGAAATATTAGGTGAAAGAAATAGGAAACAATTTATTTATAATCAAATTAAGTTTTATTGTCCAAAAGTTTCTAGTAACTTAAATTAATTACTTAATGAAACATTAAGTCTACTTATCTATGACATAAAATGTTTAAGGCCGCATGTGTTTTTATAGTAACTAGCCCCATGATTATATTAAGGCCCAGAGTATCAACTTTCACTTTAAGATAGGAATCTACACTGTGAATTTTACTAAGGACTACCCATATTTTTTCTTTATAGTAAAAATCGTGGTAGAAATTAATCATATCAAAATTATTAGTTTAGTGGCACATCACAAATCGAACGTTATATTTAATAACGTTCAAATAATACATGAAGTCTGAAAATAGCTCTTTGAATACGTTGATGAATACGGAATTAATGTTAAAAATATTTACTCCAGTTGACCTCGTCACACGATCACAAAAATGTAATTATTATTAACATTATTGAGTATTATTTACATGTGTACACAGTCTTTTAACGTAACTTAAGAGATCACTTCTTAACAGTAAAACCCTCTCCAGTTGGATCTAATATCCAGGGATAGTTATTGGGGCATTCCATGCATGTAAACAGGCGTAGAGTTTCTCCTGGTAACTCCCGAGTAGTCAATGGACACGCATTTGGTAAAGAGCAGAAAGGTTGACCTTTTACGTCGCATTTTTCCTGCTTCCATTCTTGGAAGTCTCTTAAAGATGACAGTTCTGTTGGGTTTTGCATCCATTGGATTACTTGAATTAAAGAAGTGAAATACACATCATTTTTCTCAAGCATCTCTTCAATGAATTTGATTAGTTCGTCTCTAAACTCCTTCTTGGATTTAAGCCAAGAGGCATGGAAATGGAGACCAAGAGGAGCACGGTTGGTCGTGTAGTGTCGGTTAAAGTTGTGGCGTAGAAGACGCGCAAATTGTTCACCAGTTTGTATGTTGGAGCAAGAGTCAACCACATGACAACCAGGCAGAGATTCATCAAATGTTGGATCATCTCTTCTATCCAATTCGTTCATAACCATTTCCCAAACGGGATGGCTTCTTGATGGACAGTTATGAGCATTACCATTACATTTATGTGGCATGCGGAAATAGAGTGTGTAAGGCCAAATAGGAACACGGCCAAGAGGGGCTGTAATAGAAGCATCATATACGAAATACTGATCTGCCATCATTTCAAATTGTTTATTTCCACCTACACGTAAGTAAGGAGCACGAACTCCAATTATAGAGGCATCAGTTATATTAGCAAAACGTTCAAGTATTAATCTTGCGCCGGCCATTTCAGCTAACCAATCGTCATAACTTCCACTTGTCCAGTATTGGGGATCATCTTTATGTGTAATGGAGAATACTGCAATTTCATGTCCTTTTCGGTGTAGTTCTTGTACAGCTGCGTAATTCGTATATTTGTGAGAAACGAAAAAAGTACCACGAATTTGGCAGCCATTGGGATTATGTCGATTTCCATTGAAAATTTGTTCGTATAAATCTATATTGTCAACATTAACTGCTCCGTTAAAGGTGATAGTAATCATCTGAGGTACTTGGTTAGGTTCAATTCCTCCTGGGATGCGGGTACCATCAGCAGAGCAGAAACAATCGGGGAGTGTGCATTGGTTGGGATCGCAATCTGGTGCTCTGTTTGGATCCACGTCAACAGCTGCAAAAAATTTTTTTGATTTATAATACGTTTCAACGGAACTTAATGAAAATGTATTTACATTTTCCTTAAGTTGATTGAGTTCAATAAATAATTGACCTCACCAAAAGACAGCCTGATAACGTTCAATAGTAGTGCATATAAAAAAATCCTATTTCCTATTCATTAAGAGAGTATCTATGATAATTTCTTCAAAACTTGGTTATATTTTCATTAAATTTTACTATAATAGATTGTAGTTATTTACTTTACTCAAATATTTATCTTAATTTGTTATATTTAACAAAGGTACTCACTACATGCGTTCTCGTCAGATTCATCCTTACAGTCGGGTTTGCCATTGCAGAATAATTCCTTTTCTATACAGTCTCCGCTTCCGCAGGCCAATTTCCCTTCCGGACATATTGGTTCATCGGTCTTAAGGATAGGTAAAACTTTTCTTGGTTCTGTAATATCAAGAAAATATATTTCAAATACAATGTTATAATTTGGATTTTGGGATGTAACAAGTAGGGTACACTCATGATCTGTGTGCTTATATAACAGTTATGGATTATACCTAATAAAATGGAACTGGTTTCATCTCGGTGTGACGTCTTCATTGTACGAGTGTAAAGGTTCATTATAGAACGAGCGAAGAAAGTGCTCGGCGAAGCGTGACAGAATGACAAAGTTAACGAAAGTAATTTCAAAAAATTAATAAGTAAGTAGGTAGATAATTATGTTGGTATGTAATAATACTGTGCTCACGAAATATGGTCACGTCATTATGATTAATTAGTTATCAGAGAAGTAAAGACAGAATAGAATATTGGAAAGGTAAATTAATACAACTGAGATGAAATGTATTTGAAAGTCTGAAACATGAATAGTGGGATAAGAAAAAAGATAGAAGAATAAATATCAATAACGTAAACAAATACTTTTAACCTTTTTACTAAATATTTTTTAATTGTATATATTAAAAAAGTTAATTATACTTTTTAATATACTACCTACCTAGACATTTATTTACTCATTAATATAGAGTAGTCAGAAGTATTTATTGACTGTTGTTGTTAGCATAACAATCAATGTGCCCATATTTATCCGAGAATTTTATCGAGGTATATGTACACCGTAACAATTATATAAAATTTTAGTAAAAAGGCCAAAATATTTATTCTTTTGCACAGTCGTATAATGTTTAGATTTAGTAGATGTGATTATAATAAAGCATCTTCATAAAAATACTTACAATACCAGTATTTAGGGACTACCTAATTTTTTATAATAACTGTGGATCCCTATATCTATTAATATATGGATAAAAACCTACAGTTATTTCAAAAGAAAATCTCATTTACGACTGAACAACAAAAGAAAGACAAAAATATTTTATTTAAAAACCAAAGCTGTTGTGTATAATACATACGTACAAGACTTATTAGTGATTAGAATATTATTTATATTATGTTTCTTATCTCATTAGTATGTTATAAATTAATTTATGGACTAGGTACAACATGTAAAAAGAGAAACGTTCAGGGTTGCCAGATTTTTTAATATTACCCAAATGTGATTTTTTTCTCCAAATGGACATGATTTCGTTCACTCAATTACCAATTTGTGTCTATTTACACTACATTTCGCTATGTAACAAAGTAGCAGTTTCCTTCGCTTAACTTCTATTGCCATGCTGTTCTTTATATCAATTTAATTTTTTATTTTATTTATTCTTTATTGCATTATAAAATTTGTACAAGTGGTGAGCTTAATGCCATATGACATTCTCTACCAGCTAACCATTAGGTAACCAATTTAGTATATTTTTTGTATTTATATATTGTTATATGATTTACAAGTATTAAAACTGTCGAATAAAATTATCCAAACATTTCGCCAAAATTTTTCGAAAAGAAACTTTTTATCTAAAATTGCGAAAAATATACTTAATCTGGCAACACTGCAAATAGTTCTAAAAACTAATAACTATTATTGGGCTATTACTTAATTAATAATGAAGCTGAAGCGTTGAGTTAGTATTTAGAAAGTCAAGTGAAAGATAGAAGTGTACAGTGTTTATGTATTAGACAAATCGGTATTTACACTACATATTTGCGTGTGCACTGGATCTATGAACTTGCCAAGTGTAAAGTGTTGTGCTTTGAATATTCACTTTTCACTATGGTAGTTCAGTTTTAGGGGCAACTAACTTTATTGCATCAACATTACTTTGTAAATAGATAGACCATAACTTTCACATACGATTAGTCGTATCTATAACTTTTTCTGTTTTACAGCTGTATAAGTGTCCATAGATAGTATTAAATTTATTATTATTTCAGCATGAGATGTGCATGAAATTACATGGTCGAAACATTGATATGAATTTAGTTTAAATTAGATAAATACAATATTAATTTATTCTCACAACAGGTATATATATAAGTAATGTCTTAGTTACATTTATTTATATATTCATTATAAGAATGATTTAAATGATTATATAGTTAACTAAATTAGTTTACATATTTAAATGTAGGTTTTTGAATGGTAATAAATAATAAAATACCTTATAAATAATGAAATACCTTCACAAAATTTTCAATGAAATAATAATATAACATTTGATAATCGAATTACAGTAATAATGGACATATAAAATTTTGACAAGAAATGTTAATGCAAATTATTATAATGTAAAATAAAAACGGATCGGTCCTTTATTGGCCTTTCCTTTTGTCTGGGGCCTCATGCAATACACCTAATCTACAGTGCGACGCGGCCCCTTCACCCACCCAAGCCCGGTTGCTCGCTACGCGCGAATAACTTCTATTTCGGCACTTACTCTCGAGTTTCTCACAGTTGGTCACTTTACCCTTCCAGTCGCAGGTTTGTTTATCGAGATCGAAAGCCAGTCCAGACGGGCAAGTGATCTGTTTAAGACCTGACCTAGTGCACCTGCGTTGACAAGAAATGTAATTAAAACGAATGTAAAAAAATAGGAAGTGGATATCCGGAAGGCTAACGAGGCGTTCGCAGTTTTCTGACACGCGTTTATTTCCGATGCGGAAGTTAGGCCCTTCGTATATCCACTTCCTTTGATAAACAGGACTTACTTTCTATTTTATCGCAATTCTTAACATTTGTTTTCCAGTCACAGGTTTGGCGGTCGATATCGAAGGCGAGACCAACGGGGCAGCGCACAGAGGCGAGCCTGGTCACACCATTCTCGCTGCCTTGGTCGCACCTGTACACAGCGATGCTCTCAGCACAAATATTTCACCCAATTGATAGCAGGCCATACATAGATTTTTTATTAACAATGACAGAACATTATTACATGAAATCAAAGTAAGATTTAAATATTTCAATACGAAAGGCTCAAGCAAATAAATTATTACTACCGCTCCCAAATGTTTCAGGGCTACATTATACAAGAGTAATTATAATTTTCGAATATCATTTACAGTATAATTACTTTGGTTACGTTCTATACTACTAGCTCTACTTACGATGCAGTTTCAAACACGATCGTTTTCTCTTGTAGGAAAGGTGTGGTATTCCAAATATATGTCATGTTGCAGTCGATAGTTTCAGATTAAAATGGTATACATACATACATACTCATACATTTATACTGAATGGGTTTTCATGTGTGTACTCTTCTATCCATGGACAGGACATGAGAGTGAAATTATTTTCTACGCAGGCATAACAATTTAGTTCTTAGAAATGGCAATGTATGACTATTACAGTTGTCATGTTCTAGTCAGCGTCTCCATGTTGCTATTTATACTCATATTTAGAGGTAACAATTACCACTTTCATTAGATGGGACGTCATCTTAATTCCGAAGCCATTTCAAGTTGTATAAAAAAAATATCAGTTACCTTGCGATGAGAGAACATCCCTATTTATGGGTCTATATATAATATTATGTTTTATTAGATGAGTTTTGTATTTGAACTGACATCAATAATATTTCAGTTACTGCAAGTGAATGGACATTGTCGGAAATGACAAACATAGGGAGTTCATAAAATTTCCGTTATACATATATATAGACATTCGATTTAGGAGACAATGCAATTTCCAACAGGAAAGCGATATCATCTTATACTCTTATTCATAAAAATGTTAAACCTCACATAAACTTATTTTAGTTATTACTATTTTCTTGAATTCTTTTTTTCTCTTTTCAATTACCTATTTGAAAGAAAGTAACAAAATAGTATAATATTTAAAATGGATTTGTAAAAGGTTTTAGTTTTTATTGTTAATAATTTTAATCCTTAGGAATAATAACCCAAGGGGGTTATTAACATCACAATAATACTTTACGATTGTATTAATATTAAACATAAATTGACCATAAAAGTATTATGGTCAATTTATGTCGCTTTCTATTAGCTGTACTGTCAGCTTGTTTACCATTTCCAAACATGAAATTTGTAATTTCTTTACACAAAATGTTGGAAATTAATCATAACATTAAGCTAATTCAATATTTTATTATTTATTTGTTTTTGTAAAATGTAGAGATTTATTGTTTTTTATGTTTATTATAAGTATATATTTAATATTTTTATGACATACTCAACTTTTAGATAAAGAATAAAATATGTAATAGTAATTTAGGTACCTCTCTATAATTTATTATTACGTGTATAATATTAAGTTTAGTAATAGTAAAAAGAAATAGTAAGTAGATAAGTTGTGATTTATTACTTTGACGGTTTTTATCGTCTAATTATACCAGCAGTATAATGAAGTCACTTCCTAATTGTGTAATATAGTGTAATGTTTATAAAATACTATGATAACTCAAATAAATTTGAATATGCAGTTAGGTAAGGTACTAGTGACTGTTCATGGACGTAGAATGTCACCGCATACCGCAGCTATTTACTAATGGAGTATGATAATTTAAATTTATAAAATAGCTAAGATTTAGTGATTAATAAGTAGATAATATATTTTGTTGTGTAATGATTGTCCATTACATAGACATAGAGGTGTGATTTCTAGTTCTCGATTCATTCGATTAGTGAAACTTGTTTTATTTCTAACGCGTTTTCACCAAGTTTCTAGAGAAAACGAACTGAATAAATTAGAAAAATGTGTGTTATTTTCTTATTTGTAGCTAGAATAATATTGATAAATCTTGAAGTTACTATTTATATTTGAATTATATACTTACAAGTTAGTACATAAACAAAGGGACGTTGAACAATGCTTACCTGACGACATCTCGGCAGTCACCTTCGGTGGTGAGTCGGAAATATTCATCGGCGGGTCGGCCCTCACATAGCTGCTCGGCGTTCACGTCATCTCCAATCGGATCATCCTCTTGTCGCTTAACTCGTGTTTCGCTGCTCACTGTAACACATCACATTTATCAGAGAAAATTTATACATTTCACTAAATATAAATAAAAAAATTTAAAATTTAATTTAAATATATACAATAAACTTATTATAAAACAATAACTGGAATACATGGAATTTAATAAAAATTTAATATATTTACATAAAATCATATAAATGTTTGGTACCTATAATTAATAATTATATGTAAAAAATAATATCGTATATAATATAATATCTCTATATATCTATTAACTAAGGAATTCAAGACTGGATGGCTATTAGGTAACGCAATACGGTATAAGCAGCGATTACAACACTAGCAATAAAGGAATGTAGTTACCGTTTCTTTACGGTGCTGAATACTTGAAAAGTTTTGTATGCCTGACACGTCTAAATAATTATTTTTGTTTAGGCACCTGATTACGTGATTCTATGAAGTAATACAATTATAATATCTATTAGTTTATGCTGTATTTATTGAAAATTACATTTAAATGGAATCAAGAGAAGCATGCAAGTTGCAGTTAATTCCGTAAGCAGTTGGGGTCGGCATTGAAAGTTAAAATGTTGAAAAGAAATCGAGGTCAGCTCAGTCAGACACAACGAGCCACGTAGATAGTCGTTTATACTGACTTAAAATTATTGCTTCTGGTTGTGATTTGAATTAGTACTAATAAATTTGTATAAGAAATCAAAAACAATTTTAGATTTCAATATAAAATGTATTTGTTCAATGAGATAGCTTTAATTTCTAGAAAATAATACGAAATAAATCAAAGTAATTATGGTAATTACAAGTTATTTCTTTGATGAAATACACAAACCTTGTTATTTACATTTATTTTTGTGGTGGTATACCACCACAGCATTATAAATTAAAAACTAAGCATCAAAATGTTTTTAAATTATTTTATATGATATAATATATATATTAATTTAATTATAAAAACAATAATATTCTTATTGAAACGTGGTAAATGACTGTATATATATGGATATAAAAAGAAAAAAATAATAACATTCATGGAATGCAATATTGTAAAATTTGGGTGGGGAGACTCACCGTAGCAGGCGAGCACCAACACACCGAGACACAAACACGCGTGTCGAGCCATGGCTCTCGGCGAGTACTGGCCACTTGGTTGTGCGCCGCCAAGAAAGTGCAAGAGGTCTCAGCTGCCCCTCTTCACCTATTTATATAACTTGGCAGGGCGTGCTTAAACACCCAGCCTGCGAGCAGTCGACGTTTGTCCTATACGCACTGTGCCTCCAGCTAATTTAAATCACTATATAAGTAAATCAGCCTTTAATAAGCTTTTAATAATGATGACGTTTGATGGAAGTGATCAAAATTTTAATGATCATTCATTATATTTTTAACACTACTTTAATTGAAAAACTAATTATTACGGTATTTTTTCTATAGCTGCGTCATGACATGAATTTGTGCTTCAATGTTGGCATATTATTAGTAATTATACATAATTATATAAATAACATTAATACTTTCTTTATAGAAATTTATATCTTTATTGAAGAACTACCAAAATTTTACGTGAATTAAGACTTATGTAGGCATGGTTCATACCTATAAATAATTACTGCTTATATTTTTTTCAATAGTACAGTTTCTACTAGTTAGGATCAGTACTGTAGTAGTTTACTAAGTAGTTCTAGAAGCGAGGTTTCAAACGATGCGTTAATGAAATTATGTAAATATAATAATTTATTAATCAAAGATATAAATTGGTCTATTATACGTAGTTTATTTGTGATTTTGTGATGAGTTATACACTCACACTTTAGGTAAATTCAAAATTAAACTCAACATTCTTCTCGTTTATATTCAAATAAGGATAGAATTAATAAGAAAGAAGAAATAAAAAAATTCATGAGACTGTGTTTCCCTATATAGCATATTCAAGTTTAATAATTACAGGTCACAAAGATGTAATCAAACTAGGAGTATATGTTAAATGAATAAAGCATAACCCAGAAAACTCAGATTCAAATTACTTCAGAAGAGTTTATTTTTAAAATTGATCCATTCCAGAATTGATCTCTGAATCTCATTATATACTTATTTTTTTATTACAATTTGAAATATCAAACAACCTGACGGATTTTCTGATAGAAACCAGTAATGTAACCAGTAATATAGGCTATATATTATTTTTGTGAATTTTGTCTACTCGTGCGAAGATGGGCCGGATCGCTAGTGTAACATACAATTCCAGTCGTATAAAAAAGCTAGTATTTTTCCTACTAAACGATTTTGGCGACAATCGTTCTCAATCTAGTCTTGTATAGATTACATAGGTGGTTACATCAAAAATTAAAATATCTACATTTTTAGACAGATATTACCTACTTATATATTATGTAAGTATATATTTTTACTAGACTTTTGAATACCGATAAATATCAGCTTATGCAGCACTACTTTGTTAATGCAGTAATATTGAACAACTATAAAGATTTAAAGATTCTCTTTTACGTACAACTGCCAAGTGACACCGACTTTCGATTATCCACGAAACCAGTTTTATTTAATTTTATGTCAATGTCAAATAAAGGTGGAAAGATGATATAAAATATAAATGGTTTTATATTTGTTTGCATAATTTTAACATTTCTGAAGTTTAGTATTGAGGGTGGGTCTATCTAGAGTCAATCATCTATCATTAATCTAGAGGTAATATAATTGTTATTAACACATTATTATTATTTATAATGATGCTGTAATATTACTTTTCAAACATTAGGGCATAGTGCGAGATATTAATAAGCGATTCGAATAGGTTTTACTTTAGAATCTTAGTTTAAATAGTTCAATACTACTAGAATTCGATTATTAATGACAATTAAATGTATTACATTATAACGATATGTTAACCACGGGATGAGTAAGTCTTATATGAATATCCGGGTGTTTTAGATTATATTATGTAACGAGAAGTGGGGCTCAAGCCTAGGCCTGCTGCGCGCTCGCAACTTTTGTGGGCGGAGCAACGACGCCGCGCGACGCCGCAGCGCCGGCGGCGACATTCGCGATTCAGCGTCTCGTAGCTTTAATTACTATCACTATTTGGACGGTGACCTCTTGACCATTGGGTATTCTTTAAATATATATTTTTCATTTATGCTACTAGTTTCATTATTGCTTGACAATTATTTACTTATTATTATTATTGTTAATTGGTAAATTACAAAAGGAGACTGTAAAAAACTCGTGCGTGTACTTCTGTCCCGCCTGTGATTCTGTTGTGAAGCAGCTGTCCTTATGTAGCTACGTTTCGGTTTGAAAGATGGGATATGGCAGTGAAATTTCAGGGTACGATGGTGTAACACCATAATCTTCAGGAATAGCGACCCTTCAACGATACCAAGGGCATCACAATGCCTTCTGTGATGCCGATGATGTTGATAATGTCTATAAGCGATGCTTACCACTTTTCAACGGAAAGACCATCAGCTTGTTTGTTATTCTAAGTATAATATAAAAACTTCGTTCCATACTTTTCAAATTTATTTCAAGCTCCGTTAGAAACACTATCTTGATTGGTAAAAGATATTCCAATCAAGCTTTCAATATTTTTTTCTTTTTTGAATCAATTAATTCAGTTGAAAGATATGCGATGCTGCATCTTCAAGGCCTACATTAACTCCTATTACATCGAAAGCTTTTGAATTAACATTATAGATTTTTATGTATAGATTCCGCAACTGCACCTAATTTGCGTGCCCATTTATATTAATGAATCTTAACTAATACCTATGTCTTAGTTAACAAGCAGGCAGGTGCAATATGCTGAGAGTTATCAAATATTTTTGTTAAAATGTGTACAATATTATAGTATTACGTATACACATTATCACTTGATTAGATACTTATATAAAAAAAAATTGGTTTCGATTGTCATCTATTGATGTGGTAGGTATTTATGCAGCTCTTAGACGTTTGCACTTTCGCGTGATGCGTTACTCATTTATTGCGAAAGTTTTTGTCGGTTTAACATTTACTATTGGTTACTAACGCTTTTATTGCTGTTACGAGTTTATTTGATGTAAATTGTAATTTTTATTAAACTTACCTATAGAAATATTTGTATTACACGTTTTAATAGACTTCATTGTCACCCTGAATAAATGAAAGTATATGTAAGGTATATGTATAATTTAAGGGTATATGTATTTTGATACTTAACTATGATTAGAAAATAACTGATCTGAACTGTCCAATAAGTAGATAAATTTGTAATAGCAGTATAACACAGGTATTTGTTAGTATTTTACATTACATCAGTAATGAACAAAAGTTTACTACTTTCATTAGTGGCACCTATGTATATTTTATTTTCTTATTTACTATTATTACACTTATATGTTTATTGTTACAATACAGTGTAAAAAACATGTTGCTATTAGCAGGAAAAATACGCTGAAACTTATATTTATCTACTAATATCGCCGCCAAGTAGGCGCGCACTAGTCAAGGATCCTATACAAGATATTTCCTTTCACTTGCGACAATGCACTGGTACCTACACACCTATAAACAACAGCGCATGTATGAGTAAGAAACCTTAGTACATCTGTCTCCGGATGAACTAAAATAATAGTTATGACTCAATCTTGAACTAAAGTACTTAATTACTCTAATTTGTCATAGTGTATTAAGTAAAGAAATTATTATATTCATATTTTAAGCTATAAGTACTAATACGGTAAGTATTGGTTAGCGTTGTCACTTACAAAGATGTAAATACATATTGATATTTAAAATAACTATACAAAAAGTCTACGCGATTTGTTGTTCATGTTCCATAAATTACTTCATAGCGTCTATAGATATGGTTTTTTTAAATGGTAGATATGTTTTTTGTATAGCAATTCTAAGTAGATATCTAACCAGTTTGTTTTATAGTTAGTTTATTTATAGCTTATTATGATATATACCTACGTATCTGTCGTATCCAATAATTACGTTTACTTGTTAAATGCTTTATCACGGCATTATATTGTTTTGAAGAATACTTTTACAGATTTTTTTAATACAACCTACTTTAATATTAAATATCCTTGATCAGACAAGTTCTAATTCACTCATACAGGAAAAGAGCTTATTTATATAAACAGCAATAGTTGACCTCGGAAAATTATATTCATGTGCCTTCTGAAAGTTAGGAAATAATTTTTAGACAAGTTTTTGTTTAGTTACAATTAGTGATATTCCATTAATGGCCTTGACAAATAAAAAGAAGTTATAATGAGCCCACTTATTGTTTCGTTATACCTAATATTTAAAATGGTGTTGCATATATTTTGATATTGTAAATGTAGTTGATATGTAGTCAGTAAATTAGTAATCATTAATAACACGCTTTCATAATGGCGTAACAAAAGACAGAGCAACATTTTCTGTGAATCACAATTGAAACAATATTTACAGGGTTTCATGCTAAGAACGAGATGTTCTGCGATACAATTTAAATATAATTAAAAATGCACTATACACACAACTATTATTCCATTCGAAGTGTTTGGAGCTATACATTTCATTTGGTACTATATGTATGAAGTTGTATTTTGTTCATTGTAGAGATTATCGTTTGTAATCAGATTCCCTTACTAAGATCCTTACTATGTATATATAATTATAGCATTAGCAACAGTACTGTATATAACGTAAATGTTATATTACGTTACCTAGAGATCGACAGCAAATAATGCTGTGAATTCGAGTGTACTTGAGGACGTAGAACTTTCACTGCTTTCACTGAGGAGTCTATCACGCTTCTTCTGTCATACATAATATCTACGATGGAAATAGCCACAGCTCTCTATTTATTTAGATTCCAGTAACAATGCAATTGTTTTTCATTGTCCTTATTCTTTGCTTCGATGAACTCTGCTATTGCAAAACAAAGTAGAAAGTTTGTTTAACGTTGACTATATGCAGATGGTTGGGTGATGATGTGCAACTAACCACCTACGAGATGTCATGAGAGAATAGCGTGTTGGTGGCGCCCAGCGCCTATTGTCTAATATGATTGTTAATTTATGTTGTATGCATGCCACAATAATGCGTCAAACTCACTTTGTCCTCGAGTCTACCACTCATACTCATAACGAAGGCATTTAAATATAGGCTTAGATAAAGTAACATAGTTATATTGCTTATATATATATATATATATATATATATATATATATATATATATATATATATATATATATATATATATATATATATATATATATATATATATATATATATATATATACATATATGTATATGCATATTCACTTTAAATGGTCGAGAAACATATAAACATATTTCTGAGTAGGTAGTTAAATATTTTTACTGGCCCTACCTGGCTGAATAATCAAACATAATTTATAACGATGACTTTATTCAAATATCAAACACCTTAGACAGTCGGTAAACCAGCGAATGAAGAGCCGTACAGAAATATCAGGTGTGTGGTCAATACCCTAAGATACAAAAGTACATTTGCTTTTTTCCTGTACACACATTGATATTCACGTTATGTACCTACATTTATATATATCTCTTTTGATATTTGCTTAAAAAAATCTTATGTGTAAAGAACGAGTTTGTAAAAATGTTCCGTATGGTGTTAAGATCTTTAATTTATTGCAATATAATCTTATATATGGAAATTTATTAATTTTTAAGATAAATTATTATTAAATATTTAAGTAAATATGTCAAAATAAGCAGATCTTCGTTTTGAAGATGTAAACTAGTATTAGTAGTAGTAAAGCTCAGTATGTATACCTAGGTTCATCATATTAGGTACGTATATATCAACTATATAGGTATTTTATTTATCATTCAAATAAACTTGAATATAACAAATGATACTTTGTTTATTACACAAAAGCATTTTAAAATAGTTTGCATTGTTTCCATTCCAATTATATAAAAGTAATAAGTATAGTACGTCATACTTCATCTATCACCACATTATATGAACATACGAACTTTATATTATTTAAGTATATTTATAATGACAGATATTATAGGTAATTTCTGTGATGTGTTTATTTTTAGTTTTCTACTCTATTACATTCATTACCTCTTTTGAACTCGGGAAAAATGGATAGGGAAGTGGTTAGATATTTAAATACAAGACAATATTTTTGTATTTTGTATTTTTAAATTTATCGACCATACTTACATTAAAAAAAAATCACATAAAGTATACAGACGAAACTGATCTATTAAATATTTATGTGAGTCTATATTACATACAGTAGGCATACTTAGACTATAGACGGGATTATAACCCGGTACAATATGAAATTACAGGAAAACATATTCTAAGCTTAATTTATTATTAATATTTCGCTAAAAGAAAAAAGGGTTTTATTATTGTCAATTTATTTGAGTACCTATTTAAAACTAAGAATATGTTATCCGTGCAATCTCTAAACCGAAATTTTATATAAAAACTAATTTTTAGCGCTGTAGGCGCGAGATCGTAGCGCTATTTTAATAATGACCATCTCCTGTGGGGTCATTTAGCCAGGGGTAGTTGACAGGACACCTGACGCAAGTCTGTAGGTTGATGGTCTCGCCGGGAACCTCCTTAGATGTTAGTTTGCAAGAGTGTGGGACCCAACACGCAGGAATACCTTCTACTGCACACTTTTCCCTCCATGGTTCAAAGTTCTTTGCCTCTGATATGGTGCGCGGATTTTGTATCCACTGAATTACTTGAGTCATTGTTACGAAATAGACATCATTATGGTTGGATAAGATTTCATCGATCCAGTATAAGAATGCCTCTAAAAATTCGGGATTGTTCTTCAACCAAGCTGCGTGGAAGTATAGACCCAAAGGAGCACGGTTTTGTTCGTAATGCCGATCGAAATTATGATTTAAGAAATTATAAAATTGATCTCCAGTTAAAATATTGGAACAAGAATCAACCATGGCACAACCTGGTAAATACTCATCATTATTAGGATCCTCGCGACGATCTAGTTCATTCATCACCATTTCCCATACCGCGTGGCTTCGAGTAGGGCAGCTCTGTAAATTACCATGGCATCGGTGTGGCATCCTGAAATACATTGTGTAAGGCCATAGTGGTGGGTTCGAAAGCGGTGCTGTAATGGTGCTGTCGTACAGGAATGCTTGCTCTTCCATCATCGTAAATTGATTGTTACCACCGACTCGTAAATACGGAGCGCGTACACCCACCACGCTGTTGTCAGTGATGTTTGAAAACTTCTCAATAATCACTCTCATACCAGCCATTTCTTTACTCCAATCGTCAACGGTGGCGTTGCTCCAGAAACGTTCATCGTCATTGTGTCTATAAAAAGAAAATACATATTCATTCGAATGTTCATGAATTTTGTATAACAGAATATAAAATATTTCTAATGCTAAGAACTTACGTGATTGAATGAACTGCAATTTCGTGTCCCTTGCGATGAGTCTCTTGTACACCTGAGTAGTTGGTGTATTTGTGCGAGATGAAAAATGTTGCTTTGATATCGCATCCATTGGGATTTTTACGTTTTCCATTAAATATTTCTTTATACAGCTCAATGTTGTTGTTATTTATAGCATCATCGAATGTGATTGTAATCATCTGGGGTACGTCTCTGGCGGGCAGGTCACCGGGGATGACTGTACCATCTTCAGAGCAAAAGCAGTCAGGTAACACACACTGCGATGGATCACACGGCGGAGCTCTGTTAGGATCATTATCGATATCTGTAATAATGACAAATTATTCATTATTTGGTCCCATTGTCATTTAATTCTATTCATATTGTTTTTTTTTCGGGAAATTTTGTATATTTTACTAATATAATAATAATATTGATATTTTAATATATTAATAATTATAAATTATAATTTACATGAATATTATACAAATTGCATATACTATAAATATTTTATCACAATTTGCAGATTACGGCGGTTACGAAAGTATGTCGTTGCTCAATTTTATTTGGGTTTCCTTGATTTGAAATATGTTTAGACTAAATTCATGGCAAAGTGGTGATATAATTTGTTACTGGTTAGTAATAGACAAAAGTCAACGCGTATGCAGAGGCGTATTATACTGGGGCGGGGCGAGAATCGGAACCAGTATGGGTACTTTCGCTCGGTCAAATCATTCGCCACAGCTGACACGAGCTGGATTTCACTTTTGATTCAGGCACAGTGCTATATAAATATAACATATTATATTTATAATAATTTTATATAAACATAGATTCTTAAATTTTTGATTAAACGGGTTGCAAGTGTGCCAATTGAGTAATTATAATGAGGTAATACAATTTATGAGCTACATTATGTAATTATATACCAAGTAACGCTTCTTCTAGGTATAAATTCTGGTTTCTTAACAATCATAACATGAACTGTGAACCCTAGACACTAATAATGTCCTCCAGTTCGAATATGTTTAATAATATCAATGACAAATGTATTTTAGTACCCAACTCAGGTACATCATTAAAATTCAATGAGAACTTCGCTTTAATTTCAAGTCTGTAGGTATCTACGCAAACTAGTATATCGTATGAACCGGTCTCATGTGCTGCATTGCATAGCAATGATTACATATGAATAATAGTTACAGACATAGAGAATAAACGTATCTACCTACATAGCATGTATCCTGATTGGAAAATAAAGATTATTCCCAAATTTCACAACAACTAATTTTTATACAGTATTAAATAGCACATGAATATAATAAGCACCCCAATGGCTCAAGATGTGTTTCAACATAGCATTGAGATGTTTTTTTAGGCCAAGTGATTGGCATTTCAGGCGGGTCGTTCGTCACGCCTCATAAGCTAGTACTTATTTGTAACGTTGGTTCAAGTTCAGTTGCGTATTTATACTTTTAAATTAGGTTCTACACATGATCTACATAAGGGTGACACAGTCTTGATAAATAAAATGCAATGTTTTCACTGCAATGAATTTAACTCATTCATAGGAAATATGACGTTTGATGTTAACATAACGTAACAACTTAAAAAATAGGCACAAAGGGTAAAAAAATAATTACCACATGTGTTTTCATCAGAGCCATCAGCGCAATCCTTTTCACCGTTGCAGAATAGGCCACGTTCGATACACGTGGAATCTCCACAAGCTAATGAGCCGTCCTGGCAGAGAGGCTCTTCCGTGAACAACAAAGGCTTGACTTTGCGTTCTTTGTTCTTAAGTTTGCAATTCTTTACTGCATCTTTCCAGTCACAAGTTTGCTTTTCAATGTCAAAATATAGACCAGCTGGGCAACGGATAGCTTGAATTCCCTATAGAAAAAGTAAATAATAAACACTAACGTTATGTGTATAATAAATTAAATACAGTAAATATTAGTTATTTTGTTTAATTTCGTATTATTTTAGCAATCACAATACAAATCCTTTTGTTTTATTTCCAAAATATCACAAGATACAATTAAAGTTTATGAATGTAATAGAAGACTTTTAAATGATATGTATTATAATACAAATCCACCTTCTAATAATAAGTTATTTTTCTTAATAAGAGAGTCTTGTGATCATTAATTTCGAGACAGATTTTTTATTATGAGACTAAATTACATATATAAAATAAAATCTTCAATCAAGAATTATAACTAATTTCGGATCCATTTTGTTTGCAAAATGAACAAATAACAAATACCTATTCTTTGCTTGTTGAAGCTAGACATATATCCTTTATAAATGCATACTTAATTATATTATATTAGTATGAATAACAAACAACATAGTAGGAATTATAATAAGATGTGAACGGATTAGATCTGGCAAGGACAAGGTCGAAGTTTAAAAGTATTGTGATTACTCATCTGCTTAAATATAGTTGCAGAGAGTTCTTTGTACTCATTTATTTACAGAGGAATTGTACTTATAAAAAAGAATCATACTTATAAATATAAATCTATTGACATGTATCAAGTAGATATTTGTGATGTAAGTGTGTAGAGATTAAACGCCAGTTATTGAGCAATGAGAGTGAGGTACAACAATCGTGATCGATTCGATAACATCTAAATATAAAACGAGAGCAATTATAGTACAGTTATATTTTTATCTTATGTTAGTTATTCACAAATTTCGCCACAATGATATGAATAATGTGTATAATATATAAATACATATACACAATGGAATTTTATATTATTAAAAATCGTATACGTATTAAATTGAGCATACGAGAGAAGGCGGATAATAGTTACCGAGGCAGTGCACTGGATGACGTCGCGACAGTTGTCGCCCTCGCCAGCTACCAGCCGGAACCACTCGCCGGCGTCCTTGTCCTTGCATAGCTCTTGCTCCAGGCTCTCGTCTTTCTTAGCAGAATCATCCGCTTGCCGCCGCCATCGATGCATACGGTGCTCGTCCGCAGCCGCTACAGTAACATATGGTGGATATTTAATATAATATAAAAAAATAAATATAAGTGCCTATAGAGTACCCTAAGAGATTGGTAAATACACTTTTACCTACATTCATATTTACTCTTATGCAACTATTTTAAAATGATAGGAAATCATTTCCTATTTGTTTTTTCCCATTAGAAACAAAATGTCACTTGGAAACCGTATCTAAATGTCAAAGGTGGGGTGAGCGCATATGACATTTGACTTGCTTCAAAATGTCAGCGCTTGGGCAAGCAACAAGGACGACTCTTTCTAAGTTCTTCTGTCTATACCGAATGTATATTATGCATGGCATTTGATGCCTTTGTGTGCGGTTAATGCTGATGAAATTATTATAATTCAAAAAGGTTACGGAATAGTTGATTTCCTTGAATCACTCAGTAAATTCGTCAAGCCTAGTAAAATACTAAGTAGGTAATTTATATATTGAATTTATAAAACCAATCTTGATTGATTTGTAGTGACCTATTTCATATGTAATTTATATCATTCCAGTGAAACATGATTGTGAGCTAGTCTGAATCAAAGAATGTTCTTCTCACGACACTACACATTTTTTGCCAATTAAGAGTTTTACATGATTAAGCTTAGGTAATATTTGCTAAGAAAGAAATAAGAAACAAATGCAGGTCGTGTATACGTGTGGTGTAAGCACGTAACACGAGGAAATATAGCTCTTGCAATATTATCTAACTATCTCGTTGGCGTTTGAGAGAGGGCAGGCCGCGTTCGCAGTCGACTTGCTAAGCGGCTGTTGTCGCACCATTGTTTAACAGTGCCACAATATTCGATACTTTTTATACAATCCTCTTATTTATCTTATAAAATAATTACACGTTATTATAAATGTAAATAAAACTAAACTTATAAGCACACCAATTTATTATATTCCTACTATGTTATTAATATTATTATCAAAGTACACAATTGTATTTTACGTCAATTACCGTTTAGTATAATGGATAGGTAGTACTCGTAGCGTCTTACTTATTTGGCATTGACAATTTTAATTTGCTGTCTATCTTATGATTACAGACGAGTGCATATATACGTATGTATGTACGTACAATATCCATTATCTTTTAATATATGTATTATATTCCATCTACCGCTCTACGATCTTGTGGCAATATTATATATTAGTATAAATAAATAAAAATATTGTATGTTTCTATTAAATATTTATAATAACACTATTTACAATAAAATAATTGAAAAAATATTCTAGTTTTAAATTTGTTTAATTGAATATCTTGAAATGCCATTTTTAATGACATTATATTATTACTGAGATAACTTTCGTTTTCTTATCAAATTGTGAATAATTAATTTGTCAAACCATAACATATCATGAGATAGAATTCTAAACAAAAACTGGTTTTATTTGACCCGGATCTACCACGTGTGGACCAAATAAGTGCGTTGTAACTTGCCGTGTTAACCCTTCATCTTATTTAAATTAAATAAATATTGATTCAACTTTCCAAAGTGTTTGACGAAAGTAATTATGTATGATCACGGAGAAGACGGCGTTTATATTTATTTTTGAGGTTAAAAGAATTTAGATAGATACTGAAGCTACTGTGCCACATTGCGCGTTGATGTCTTTTCTATGGACAATTTAATGCAAAGATTACTTTACTGCACTACCGCCTATTAGAATAAATTTATATCACCATACTATTACATATATGCCAATTAATGTAATAAATAATACAATTAGGGAACAAATATGCACATGACTTTAATTATGTACAGAGTAGTCAGAGGCATTTATTGACAATGAACGTTGTGTTGAACGTAAAACTTGACATAATCACAGTTTCGTTGTCTTTCAGATTATACATCATAACTTTAAATATGTTGACATGTTAACGGTGTTGTATATCACCGGAGAGATAGTCGGTAATTGTATGCAAATTGACGACTTTCGGGACTTATATGTCGAGCTAATGTACCACTAAGCCACAAAATTCTTCAAAATAAGTAATATTTTTTGTTTTCAGTAATAAATATATTAAAAAATATATAAATAGAGTGTTTTAATAAATGTAGGAAATTTTAAAATCGACTCGCGTTTATTGTAACTGTGTCATATTTGTCATTGAGCTCCATTTGTAGTGGTGCAATGATATACTGAAATCTTCACAAGCTTGTATCTGAATGCAGATGTTGCGCTAACATAAAATGCAACAACTGTCACTTTCGTGGGATGATAAAATAATTGTTATAGTTTTAAAAGGTTGAATAAGTTTTATGATAAGAAAAACTACTATAATTTTACATTAATGCATGAATTATGAATATTTGCCTAAATATATAAATACATTTTTACCTTCTTATCGCATGTCTAACATCTATTTATATTTGAACAAAAGATATTTTATGTTATTAAAATTATTAGCTGTTTAATGTTTATATATTGGCGCATAAAATTACAAATAAACATTATTACACTGACTACACAATATTTAATCACTTTATAGAGTTTTTTTAAATACTGCTTGGATAAACAGTGTTTTCAATGTTTCTTGTAGTAAAATCGTATCATCTTTTGCTAAATTTAGTAAAAGATGTTACTGAAATAATGAGTTCTTTAAAATAAAAGATTATTTCTGTTCTAATAACAAATATATGTATTTAAGTAAAAAGCTCGGAGATCTTTTCTTTTCCTATGTTTAGAAACAAAAAGTTCTCGATTACGGCTAAATAAAGAACTATATTTTGTTTTAATTAGTAAATTTTAAATTTTATTAGACATTACACTAGTCTAAAATTTTCTGTTAACATCAGATGATTCGTTCCACCAAGATGATATTATATACACCATCTGTTCGTCATGTGTTTAAAAGCTTCATTGTTGATGTGATGATAAATTAATAAAATAATACCTACAAGAGATAATTACTATTATTGGCACTAGTTATTAGTAATATGTATTTTATTATAAATCTTACTACTATAAATGCGAAAGTTTGTAAGGATAGATGAATGTTTGTTACTTTTTCATGCAAAAAGTACTAAACGAATTTCAATGAAATTTAGTGCACGCATAGGCTATATCCTAACATAGAATATAGGATAATTTATATACTAATTCATGCGAGAAAAGCTTGTGAGAAACAGTTTGTAATCCATATAAAGCTTTGGAAATATTATAAAAATCTACACATATTTCTCAAGGCTACAAAACAAGTCTTTATGTAAACAAGAGCGAATTTAATAGTGGGTAATTTTAGGAATGTCTCCAATTCACTTGTTTTCGACATTGATATGACGCAGTTGTTTACAATGGATGGCAGGCGAGTGTCGAATGAATAGTGGACGCCGACGACCATAAGTATGCGGGAGGGCGCGGACGCGGGCGTCGACCGCGTGCTGGCGGCGCGCCGTTCGCATACCGAACACCGAGCGCCGAGCGACGAAATCCGACGCGTATATACGGACAACGTGTCCAATACCGACCTTATACATATTTATTAACCACTTCTCGACTTTCCTTTTATAGATATGTTCCCTTCAAACAGCTGTAGTACGTTGATAACGGGAAAATAACGTTTCCGGAAGAGTTTTTATGTTGATTTTCACCAGTTATAATTGTCTGATCTGATATGAATATCAATGATTTAATATTTTGAGGTCAATTTAGAAAAGATTAATTATACTTATATTCTAGATTTAAATTAATAATAATTTATACGAACAACATTGCGAAATTGAGAACAGATCATTGATTGTGTTTTGGACTAGTGCCTAGTGACATAGTTATAAATATTTCTGATTTCGTGCTGAGAAATTATGGATAAATTAGTTACGCTTATTAACCAAGTGCAACCTGCTTATGCCATAGTTACCAGGCACGCAGTTATGGCACAAGCGACTGACACCGATATTACAATCGCACATAAAACATATTGGTGATATTATGCAAAAAAATTTAAACTGATTAAAGTTTTGAAATCCCAAGTAAATGGTTAAGTACCTATCTAAAACAATAAGAAAGTATCTTTTTATATTTATACTTTATTACATTTGAAATTATAGTGAACACACATGTTAAAACTAAACAATTATTATCTATTATTAGTTTCTATTACTATTTCGTAATCTTCTGAACTACTGACAAGTAAAAGTTTTCAATACGTATGACAATAACACATTACGAATAGCCATACCACCATACCACCGGCCCTTCTCAAAATATTGTTAGAAGTAGTTAGAGAAATAAAGTACACTATAAATCAGTGCAAACAAGAAGTAGGCAGACATTTGTACGATCCTCATCTTCCTCTTACTTATATGAGGGGAGTCTATTAACTAGTTAGTTATAGCCACGACGATATATAATTGTATTGTTATAATGTAATATTGTTTATTTTATTGTAACTGAAATAGTTCAGAAATATTTTTTTTTCTATTGAATAAACAATGATAATTAAAAGAAAATTATAATGCAGCCTATGTGTTACATTGAATGAAATGTCCGCTTGTTACTTTCTAATGTGTCTGGGAAATAAACTACATACTTATATCACATAAAAACGAAAGGATCGGTTACTTATCGTATAGGGTAATAAAAATAGAAAAGTATATTGCTTCAAAAGAAAAAAAAAACATTTTTAATAAATAGAATACCTATTATTTGTATACTTAGATGAAATAATTGATTTTTATTATTTTCTACGCAAGAGACCTGCAGTGTAATATTTAAAGATGTGGGCCGGTAGAGTTGACAATGAAACTCGATTCAGATACAGGGTTCTAAAACTCTTATACATAGTCACATAGGACATATAAGTTGCTACAGGATAATCGTAATGGAATAAGATAAGCTGATCTTGATGTGGGTCTTATTTATGCCACAATGTATCTGACATGGATTTTAAAAATGTGTTCGTTTTGATTGTTTTACTTAACCCAATTTAACAAAATAAGTTATAAATTTTATGCCGAGAACAGATAATTATTATTACCATCAATATACACAAGAGGATGATGGACAATAAGTGGTTATTCCTATAACATGTTGAATCAAAATATTTTTTATGTATAAAATTTATATATTTTATAGTCTACACCAAAGATAATAGAATAGACTGCTAATCTATTTAGTTCTATGAAACATAGACTAGGCTATTTACTTGTCAGAAATCAGGTTTCAAAGGAGCATAAGAGATATATAATAATGTTACGAAGCCGTACAGGACTGGACTTAGAATTTGAGTCCTAGCGCTGTTATTAGTAAAATTTAGATAGAATTTAGATAGATTAGAAAATGAAATGTCGATAACGTTTGTATTCAGGAGTTTGTATTCTTTGATCTGGGTTATTTGGTTGTCTGATTGTTATCCGTGTATTATATTGTTTACCTATGTATTTATAAGAAAGAAAACATTTAAGTACCTATGCCTATAAATTATCTAGTGTACTTAGTACATGTTTTGGTTAGTGTAGGACTTTTCAAAAAATACTTAGCACTCTCTAGTAAGATGAATGTAACGTAACCACATTTTTTAGAAATGGGAAATCTACTCAATGCTTCTAAGATACAATAACATTAGGTATACAATTGAGATAAATTACATTATTTTAAAGTTTTCTAAGACCCTTACAAATTTGTAAAAATTTTCCAATATTTCTATTTCAGTCACTCATATATATACAGTATATTCACAGTAATGTAGCATAGTATTCGAAATAATTTTAAACATTAATCGTAAATTATTTAAATAAATCAAATCTATTAAATCAACAAATTAAAGTTATATTTCCATATATACCTAGTTAAAAAGTGATTTGACACTCTAACACAGGGTCGTATTAATAAATCGCACTCAAAATCTAGTTCGATAGTTTATTAGCTGTATTACATTTACATTATAATTATGATCACAAAATCGTTAATTCTTAAGAGATGAATATCAATATGAGCAGCATATTAATTGATATTAGTGTTGATTATAAATCTCGGACAAACGTCATTTTTGAAGTGATATTTTTAAACTGTAGGTACCTCGACTTTTATCTATTTACTTATAAACATTTGGTTATAATTATTTATTGATATCGATCAAAAATTTGCATCTTATCGTGTATTAGAACTTAAAATAAAAATATGTTAAGCACATCATGTTTGTTATCAAAACTAAAGTAAATATTGCAGACGGTTTTAATATAGAACAATATTTTTTAGAGATATTCGTTCTATAATATAATAGAAAGACTCATTTTAGGCTTCGATGAATTAACAATATTTATATCACTTTAGTCTTCACATTATAATGTTATTAAGTGAAAACTAATTCGTATAGGTAAAAATTACTATAAGATACTAATATACGCAACAATTCTTAATATCCTTTGTGTTATTTGTATTCATTATATAAGCTTGTATGGAGATTTATTATAGACGGATAACACCATCTGGAAGTTTATATATAATCTAAGATCTAAAGTTCAAAATTGTAAAACATATCTACACAATGCGAAAGTTATTGCTTCTATAATATAATATAATTTATTTAAAGTTTACAAGTAGGTACACACGTGTTTATTTGTGTCCTTTATATAGCGTGTATAAACCGGTTCAGTTTGGCCCAGGTATAAATAAGTTGGGTTTTACGAAATGGAATTAGGTATCTTCAACTTACATTATAAGTAGGTACACAATATTTTTGCTAATTCTGATTCTCGTTTGTTTCAGTTCAACTACATCTTTTTTTATTACTTTATAATATCCTATTTTACCTTCTTTCCTGTTTGCTTTTACTGAAAAAACTCGAATCGGTTAATTAAATTTAAATGTCTTAAATAATAAGTACCTAGATTTCATTTGGAAAATTCTATTACGTTCTACGATTTGCTTTGTAATATGAGTAACGGCGAATAATAAAAATTCGCTCTACATCTCTGATTCATATTCAGACCTACGTATTAATGACAATTCCGATACCCACAATTAAATGTATATTATTATATGACACTTCATTTTTTATGAAACTTTATTAAAATAGCAATAACGATTGTGAAATTTCTATTATAACCTAATTAAAATAGCAAGGTTAATGAGCCAATTTAATAATAATTAGCGTTATGTACTGCAAAGAAGGTTAAATTAATCAAATAATCATGAAATTTGAGTTGAATTGATTAGTACAGTCGTCGAAGCAATAAGTAAAATATAACAAAATAATTTTCATGTCATTCTTATTATCTGACAAAATTTTCCATTTATTTTTTAATTGTATATTACTCCCAAATTCTATATATTTATTATTACTGTCTAGAGTACACCATAAGTCTTAGGTACAATATATTTTCAAATAGAACGAATAATTTTAAATTTTACAAAAATTTAAATATAAAATATTCGTTTGAAAAATTCAAGTCTATTATGACTACATTAATAGATTCTGTATTGAAATTTTTTTTTTTATGTATGTTATCTTACATCTAAAAAGATCATACTTTTTAGAGATTATACTCTTGAGTTATTTCATTGAAGTCAAAGTTAAGGTCTAATAAAGTTATATTCATGGAATACTTAATTTTTATATGTTTCTATAAATAGCAACTATGCAATTTTATAATACTATTAAAAGAATTTGAACTACATTCCAAACTACTCGTTATATCAAAACTTGCTACGAAGTGTCCAAATGTTTATTTATATCATAGCTTACAAAATACATTTTAAGTCGACTTTGTCGTTACATAATATACAGAAATATAAAATGAATGGTCTCATTTGTGTTATAATATGTGCTGTGGTATTTATTTTTTTATTGTTTTTTTTTGTTTGTGTGTGTTAGTCATACCAACATAGTCAGTTTATTTTATGAAATTAGAGATCAGTGATGTACTGATGGACAAAATCCAGAGTGACTGCAACAGGCACCTTAACGAGGGTAGAATAAGTCAACAGTAAAGCCATTATTTGTTTGTTGTTTATATTACGAGTACATAAAACATGTAATACTGCTTAGTTTACGTGAATATACCTAATCAGTGATATAAAGTTCCTAGCAAAACCGCAGTGTGAAATAACTACCAATATAAATACGTAGCGTATAGAATAACACAATACATTATATTGCAATGTATTATTGTGTTATTATTAGTAGTATTTATATAAAAAAGTTTTTTTCAATTTTATTAATAACGTTATGAAGACTATTTTAGTATATACCTCTATATATATCTATGCTAATTAAATAAAATTACAATCTACTGCAGAATTGAATATTGGTGGCATAATTCAGGAACTGTTCAGTACAATATACTGTCTTCCGCCAGCGCTTGGCTAGGCTGGTCCATAAGTATTTACGTAGTGTGACGTCAGCTGCGCAAGCGCAGTGCAACATGGAGCGAATGTGAAAGTTCTCGGTGTCACAGTGCGCCATCACTACAGGTGCTAAACAGTTGTATTACTGTAGACTAAGTCTGTTGTAATATTTGTAAATGTATCTTTATGATAGTAAATGGTTACCGTAACCTATAGACGCCTGTAACAGTGTTTTTTTTAACATTGATCTCTGTAATACTATCTCGGTTAATAATATCTAGTTAGACATAAAAATATAATTTCTAAACTTTTGAACTACTAATCACAAGCGCTAACATTCCACTGACAAAAATCGTGCATTCATTAAATGTGCCAGCGTTTCGTACAATAATTTCGAACGCAAATATCAGACCGATTAAAAGTTTTCGCAACACTGAAACGTTTTCTCTATTGAATCACCGAATTGAAATGAGCAATTGCATTGCCAATAACATTATCCACTGCACCGGCACACTTGTATGAGACACGATGCTTGCCAGCAATTTGCCGTTTAGGTATCCTTGAAACGCTCGCTTCGCGGTGCCTTGTTATCCTTTAGGCGTTCGATGCAAGGCGATCTTGACTGGCTGCATTCATTCGCAAGTTATTCGGAGATACGGTCTATCTCGCGACGATAGAGCTCGGGCAACATCACTGTTCACTATGCGACACTAGGTATTGACGCAATCACTGAATTATTTGGAGATGAGCGGATATGACGTCGCATCACCCGTGACGTCGCGAGATGGACGGCGTCTGAGACGTAAGATAAAGGTTAGGACTCACCGCAGGCAAACAAGAGACACGCGACCAGAGTAGCGACACGGGCGTAGCGCGCCATGACGGGATCACAACAGGTCGTTGCGCGGCCGTCGTGCGATTAAATAGTGGCCTCAATCTGCGCCCCGCCCGCCCCGCTCGCCCACAGCGCTCACACTTCTGCTAACACCCTTGGCACTCATCAGCTGAGAATCACCTGCATCTTCTGGAGTATCAGCATACTTTGTTACATGTATGGTGGTACCCACCGCTGATACTCTGAAAACGCACTGATAACGTAGCTTAGGTTAAGCGAGAGAATGTTGCTTGATTTCCTTCACTCAAATATGATGGTCGCTGCTATTCATAATTCACACGTTATATTAATAATTATAGTTATTAGATTTTATTTGTGTTAATTTCATTTTTCTTTATTTATATGCAAATCTAAATATTATATTTAGATTTTCATTTAAATGAAATACACATAGAATGGAATGTGATTTTGTTATACCTACATAGGCGCACAGTTAACTAAAACTAAATTATTTTGATGGAATCTAAGAAGTCGTTTTCTCTTAAAAATCTCTTTACCAAAATATGATAGATGAATATCAAAATGAAAATAAATTTGCTTAACTGGTTCTCACATAATAACTATAAATAGGTATAATATTAAAAAATATATGTAAAATTTTATAATGTATTATTAGTATCATCATCAGCCGTCTACTGTCCACTGCTGAATATAGGCCTCCCACAAAAGGAACGTTTTATCAGTTACTTACGAGTATTACTAGTTTAGTTGGCAGACGGATTGGCACTTAGGTTTTGGGGATGTTTAAGAGGCATTTTGCTGCCCATTTTTTAATCATTTAGATCCCTTAGTCTCATCCTACGACATCCACGGGACAGCAAGGGGTGCACTATTCTATGCCGGGAACACACGACAATAATTAATTAGCAATTAATTAATTCAGTTTATCATCAATAACAAATAAATCGATTTATATCTATTCAATCGATTGTGATCTGATTGCAGATCATTCACTTTCATGATATTGTAAGGATAGGATAAACTTGATCTTATACTGTAGCATCACTTTTCACTAACTTACAACAGTTTATGATTATTGAAAGTTTCTCAATTATAGTTAATAAATATGTGGTGACCAGGGTCTGATTATGGAGTAATAAAGAGAAACATAAAAGCCACACTGTCATAAGAATCTTACTTATATAATAAAATAGTACCTAGACAATGTCTGGACATAGGAGACATTTAAGAAAAAAAAAATTATCTCATGAATTTTAATAAGAATGATAGTAGCTAGAACAATATTTTCGAGAATTTCTCTTGTCTATCTGTATGCATGTCTGTTTCAGTATCACGTAAAGACTACTGCACTACATTAAATGACGTCTGCACGGTTGTGAAGATCTAATTAATTTTTTTTTTTGTATTACACAGGAAGCAAATAAGCATGCAGCTCACCTGATGATAAGTGACCAGTGTCGTCCATGAGCACTCGCAACACTAGATGCATTGCAGGTATACTGCCGGCCTTTTGAAAACGAATATGCTCTTTTCTTGAAGATTATGATATTGTATCGGTTTAGAAACATTGCTGCCGGAAGCTGATTCCAAAGCATTGTTGTATGTTTTTCTTAATTCGACATTTTATGCGTACGTTATTGCCAAAATCCATGTGTATGAAGTTGCGAAATAAAGCTAAATATCTTACTAATTAATAAAAAAAATCGTTAAATATTGAATAGTAAGTCAAGTCATCAGATCAATCTCAAATAAAACGCACTGATCGTATTATGGACGATAGATATTTAACGAAATTTTCTTGAGCACCAATAAATTACAAGATGTTTTGTAGACATATAGAATTTAAAATATTTAATTTAAGACCGCGGAATCATGTATTAACAAATAATTCTTTTTTTCAGCTTGTGGTTATATGCATTTTTTTTATACAACTTAGAATGACAAACAAGCTGACGGCCCACCTGATGGAAAGTGGTAACCGTCGCCTATCCGCCCGTCGCATAAGCGGTACCATGGACCTAACAGAGTATACTGTTTCGCCCATGATACCTTCCATGCGTTGCCATTCCTGAGGACTCGGATGTTATTCCTCTGTACTCTGTAAATTCACGCCATATCCCACCCTTCAAATCGAAACACAGCCATGTAAACACAACTGCTTTACGGTTGAAACACGAATGGCACAGAGGTTCCCAAGGAGGCGACTTTTAGTATATATTTTATAGTATCTTGAATTATAAGGTTTTATACATGACAAAATTAATATAGGACCAACAAGAGAATCCACTTCAGAAAGAATTGAAAAATGTAATAGGTACAAATAGTATAATTAAATTTTTACCATTAAGTTAATGATATACTTTAAACTAAACCTGAACCTTAGAAAAGAAACCTAATTGTCATTCTTGTGATTCCAATAAAACAAATTTACATATTAACTTCCGGTAGTAATTGGAAGTAAGTAGAGAAAATATCCATTTGGGATTTTTTTATAACTTTTGCAACTGCGTGGTATAAAACTATTAGGTATTATTAATTGATTATTTTATCAATGAATATGTTTAAGAAACTTGAGATTAATCCACGAGACTATTTCAATATAAAAATTATATTGATATGATCAACATCACTGAACAATATTCCAAAATGGATCGACTTGAATCAATAATTGAGTTATATAGTTCTCTCGTAGATATCACAAGTTTATCTTTATAAGTCCTGTTAGTAATGTGTACGGCTAGGAGCTATTTAAATAAAAGTTTATTGTATACCTAAGTGATAAGAAAAATATAAAGAAAAGAATAATAAATAAAAGAGTAGATAATGAAGTATTCAGATTACATGCTTCAAGGTGTTATAAGGTAACAAACAGAACAAAAAAAATCACTTTCGCATGTGGTAAAGAAGTAAGGATTAATTTTGTTTTAAAACACGATGATGATTAAACATTTTATGAATGAAATAATTGTTGATATCTAAATAAAAATTATGGAAGTGGTATCAGTCTTAATGTAATAACATAAATTAAGTATACTACTTGGCATTCTCTTTCTACGCGTAACAACTATTAAACATTATAAAAAATTTTTAATAACTTCGTACTGTAATCTCCAGGGAAAACTTCTACAGAAGTGCGTTCTTATTCCTTTTATTCTATAATTTGAATGTTCAAGCGACGTAATTTCTGAAACCACATTGTACGCGACTATTTAGGTGTTAGAGGCGAATCTTCTTTCAACAGTAAATGGTATGGTTATAAAGGGTACACAATCTATTATTATACAAGCGGTGAAACACACGAAGTGTGGCTACATACGTATATACATAGAGTAGGTATGTATGTATACATACAGATAGAAATACCAAAAGCAAGTTTCACTTATATTTTCAATTTTTTTTACATCGTTTTGAAAAGTATATTTCTATTTTTAGAGCAAATCTCTAATACAAAAATATCAAATTCTAATTTAAAGAGGTAATAATTTATATTGATTAATAAATCTTACTATTACTTATTTAAACAATGAATATAACAATACTTCTGATGTTACTATAAATATTAGACCAATAAAGGAATAACCTCTATAGATTACAAAAAGAATTATTTAATTATTATTGATCCAAAATAGGCGAAGATATTGTGTAACATAAAAATTTGTTAATTGAGAATTTTCTTGTTTTGGAAGTCGCTTATTTATAAATGATGCAGCCCCTCTTCTTTCGTCTCCGAATTTTTCCGAAAACAGTGAATGTTTGAAACACATGTTTGTTACTTTTAGATTAAGACGTTAATTACAAAACTTTAAGATTTAAACGTAAAATATGACAGACTTTCATAAAGATAATCATTATTAATCGATAATTATCAATCACGTAGTAGTAATATGCAGTATGTTGCGTTTGTTTAAGTGAAAATATGTGTAAAATTTTGATAAGAGACACTTCCTTGTCCGGAGATTAGGATATTAATAAGCGACAAACAGGTATTTTTATGCAGGACAGGAAAACCATGTTAAGGTGCTTTAAATAGAACAATATATTTCGTGAACAGTCTCAACCAGAAAGGGATTTTGTAAAAAAAAATTTAGACATTGTGTTTCAAATGTAAAAATTACATTTATCAATATATGAGCTGTATTACATACTAAAATGATTCCTTTTGTCCTTATAATCTACATATTGGCTCTAAATATTACCCAAGATAGTCTTTGTTACTAAGTAAAACGTAAGTAGGCAATCGATTAAATAATTTTCATACAGATGTCACAGACTTTATCACCAAAAATTACTTTGAAATTCTTAGAGCATAAGAGTGTTTCGGATGGGGAAAAGTTCCAAAACATTTACTACATCCTTTCACAGGACAGGAAAACAGAGCAAGGCAGTGTAGATTTTGTGATAAATGCTATTTTTACTTGCTTTGGAATGCACTTCTAGCAACAGACTGATACGTTATCGTAACCTTCAAGAAAAGAGTATATACCTTTTTAAAAAGCCGGTAGCGCGCCTTACTCACTTACCATCAGGTGAGCCACATGCTTGTTTGCCCCCTATATCATAAAAAAAAATATATTTCTTTATTTTCAATTAAATGGGCTGTCAGTATTAGTTATTCCAAATCATATAAAAAATTTTAGCAATTTGGTGCTCCAAAAAAATAATAACTATATTAATTAAATAACTATTAATAGTTGTGACTAGTTCATTTGATATTATTTTATTACGCAAGTCATGAATATGTTTGTTTATCAATCAATAACAATTATAAATTTTACGTATATATTTAAATTAAGGAAGCGATTACTTGAATTATTTTAAATTTCTGTTGATCGATTTCTAAAAACTAATTTTTATAGTACAAAAGTTTGAATGAACCATGTTCATAAATGAATATGGGTCTCACTAACGTCAGTATCTTTTTTAGTTCATATGGTATTTATATTATATATAAATTACCAATCATTTAAGATGTTTCACAAAAAGATGAATGATCAAAATTGGTTTAGAATTGAGAAAGATGTCATGTAATATAAAAAAAAAAATCGATTTCGGCTTTTACCCCTTCAAGATACTTTCGAAAGAGAATAGTTTCAATGACTGTTGAAGCATAAAATATGTGTATTGTACGAGGATCGAACCTACGAACTTTGGAAGGTGAAGCAGTAAACCTATTCGCGATATTCAAAAGAGTAAGAGATAATTACTTGTATATAGTATGTCTCTGCTGCTAGTGATATAGAGAAATAGTGGCGACATTATTTGGGGCTAGGTCAGCAAAAAATAGCCCTGTGATCCCAGACAATGTGGCTGTTTTGTACATAAGTAGCTCCAACTTTGCGTTGCAATAATAAAATAATGAATATAAACAGAAATAAATGAAATAATAATAATAAATAAGCCAAATGTGGCATTATCAAGTTTTTAATGGTAACCCTGTCTGCGCTGTTGGTATATATATATGGTTGGTATATTGTCAGGGCATCACTAAACAATGATGGGTGACGATGAAGCAGGTCAGTTGACCCATTGTGACGAATTCAACAATAAATTAATCACAATGGTTTCCATGAAGAACGGCGTAAAGGTCGACCTGATAGGATATATTGCTAGAAATGTTACTAATACGTATTACTAAAAACCCTCCTTTCCCCAGATTATCAAGTATTACGTTTACTACAACAGCATTAGCCGAAAAACGCCACGACTTTAATTTTTTTCAAACAGGCATATCTATTGGTTACATATCTACAGATAACTGTAGATATGTATCTTTGATGCTCTGGTCATGACATCTGACGAGACTGTCATAGTACGCTCTATTCGAAAGTTGTCTGGAAGAGATCGCTGCTTGTGACAAAACAATCCATATTATTTTCTCCCAGATTGTTTATTCCATGCATTTTCTCATATAATGGTTATTTTTTCGTAATGAATAATGAATAGTTTAACAAAATTATTTCTACATTGACCAGGCAGCTTGGTTACAGAATTATTTTCAGATCACTCACTTCCTCATAAACGAATCGGAGGGAGTAGTATTTTATTATTAATAAAACCATGTTTTATACTACTTGAAATAAAAAATGTAATTGTGTATAGATATTGCTTTATTTAATAAAATTATAGCCAAGAGAGGTTCAACCTTCAGATCATTGAGCTAACACATGTATAAAATTATTAATAGTCACAAATCACAGGAAGATTATATCACTAGAAAGAAAATAAAATCATCTTTCTACGTAGATCTAAATCGTACCATAGTTAAACGTACATGTAATATCACCACTGAAAGTCCTAAGTTACGCTTTAGTTCAAGAATTTGATAAAATCTTCAATAGGTACATGTAAGTGTTTTATAATAACATCTAGGTAAGTTACTACCTAAATAAGAACCTATTTGCTAATACAAAAGTAGATAGTTACGTAATAAATACTTAGGCTAAATTCTAGGCGACTTATGAAAGCACAATTTCTAACGATTTAATACTACATTTTAGTTATTGTTGATTATAAACTATATCTATCTAACTTGCCTATACATATAAATAAATTAGGTGTATATGATTAGAGGTAAACAATGCGAAAATTCAAAAGCATACGAACTTGAATAACGAAATTATATTAAGCGACATCGATGCTAATAAACCTAGATTTTCTAGTAATGAATATCACAATATAGCTACTTAATACATAAAATGTATGAGGCAACACTGACTATAGATTTATTCGCAACCTTTGACTATAGGTATTACATAATTGCAAAACATGCATCCGTGAAGCGCACGCATGACTGTGCATCATGTTATATCTGGAGAGTTGAGATGTTTAACTGTTGCTGGCAGTATGCAAGTGACCTAAATTATTTACGCGAAAAATATGTATTTTCAGTATTGAATAATTGTACCTAAATAAGCTCATATCATTATGTCATATCGTTAGATATTTTAAAAAAGAGAAAAGATATGTTATAAAAATATAATTAGGTATATGTATATATGTTTATTTGCATGACACATATTTCTATTTTAAATAAATAGGGTTACGATATGAGTAATATGGTTTATAATTAAATTACGGAAAAATATACTCAATCAATCAATCAATTACATAATATATTAATATACCGGTTATTTAATACTATATTAATAAACTTAAAATTTGTATTAGTTCTATGTAATGTATAAACTCCATCTGTACAATGGTTAGAAGTATTTTAGGGCTCCATAGTCAGTTTTTTTTTCAATGTAGGCGCAGTATGCCTGTGATTTTTTGCTCAATGGTATTTGCTAGCGATCCGGTCCAGCTTCCTACAGGTAGTTAGAATTTCCGAAAATAATATATAGCTTATGTTACGCACTGATAATGTAGTTTTCTATAGGTGAAATAAATTTTAAAATCAATTAAGTAAATACAATTAAATTTTATGACATCATTATATTTGTTAGATTTTTCTCATTTTTAATTTTTTTTTATTTGGCACAGTTGTAAAAGTATGTTATTATGGTAAAATAATGCATATATATTGTTTTTTTTTTTCTTAAAATTTACACCTGTATTCATATTCTGATATAAACAGAAAGGGCATTTTAATAAACGTCACTTAAGTACCCATTATTATTTTTTTTACCTATTCAGCACTCTATATTGTCAAAATTTTGAAGAAGTAGAAAACTTGAAGAAATTAATATCAAATGTATATTCTGATATATAAAAATTGTAATTTAATATGACTGGTCACATAATATGAGTATGGAACCCTGTTGTTTAAAATTCATTATACATTAGCCACAAAATAATGTGATAATTATTGCTTACTTATTATTTACTGTATGGACCATGACATACAATAGTTTACTTAAGCATGGATGTGAAAAAAAAACATCTAAGGGAAAGGAGTGTCCCTGTAAACATTAGAGAACGCCATATTGCTGCTGCCTACTCACCTAGTAGGGAGAAATTAGTAATGGAGACTAGCAGCCTTGTTACTAGCAATAATATTGATAGGTTGAACTTCGCGCGGTTCCGCCTGGAAATCAGCGTGATTTGTTTCTTTATATTATTTTATTTGTATTAGTTATGATGAATCAACTGATCTCCATCATTCCCTATTGGAGTCCCGCCAGCCTACAGCGTAGGCGCGATTACCATTCTTGTATAAACCATTGAAAAACCCGTCTTATAAGCTGGTAACTAGTAAAACCCCCTAAAATGAAGAACGGCAAAAGGAATTGGCCTTCAGCCTCCAACGGCACTACTATTTCTAACCATGAAGTTTAGTAGATGACGGCGACTCAGGTTAGAACCTAACCTAGAGGAAATCAATACAAGTGGTACAGCAGTGGAAGGTAAATTGGCTGATTTGATAATGTTGATTATGACTGGCTAATATATATAGGTATGTATTAATATATTGTAACATCTTAACGTAGCATTGTTTGTCTAGAAATTGGTGAATGTTTTATTATTATATTTATTTATAAATAGTGTAAAGTCTGGTAAAGATAAAGCATGTTATTTACCTATTAAGTAATATGATCTATAGATATACAACGAGTTTGCTATTTAAATCAACAAATAAATTTTGTAAACATATAAACTATTTATGTAATGTTTCCTATGTATGTTTTCTATTTATCTACACTTAATTATAAATATATTTAATTATTCTACTACATGCCTCTAAATACACAAAAATAACTACTTAACTATGAAGGATGACCGTATAGACACTGATTTACTTAATAAATGTTACAGGTAATAACGACATTAGTACGACGAAATAGTTACGTAAAAACAATTAGGCAACATCCACTTTCTCGTTACTATTATTCATAATAGAATTACGAACATTAATTAGAAATCACATCAACATATACAGACATTCGGGAAACTTTTTAAAGTATTATGACATTTGTTCAAGATTTGACTATGGCTCAACTAAGTAAGAGTAGAAAATCTACGTAAGTCTTCTGTTAAATATATAAATTGCTATGTAATTGATTTGTACATACTTTTTCAAATTATTTCATACCACTGGACCCAACGGACCTTATACTCTCCAAATTTCATTATTTTCCTAAACATCTTTATCGGTCTATTACAAGCATTTTAATAAAATTAGTTAAATCGCTCCTGCAATTGTTATAATGGTTATGCATTTATCCAAGAACAGATTATAATTTCTTAAAAATTATAATGATTTAATTGTAAATAACACAATTGATTGATATTTAAATACTAGCTGTTAATCCTTCTTTGCATAATAGTGAAAATTTCCATCATAATATTGAATACCCCAAAATTATATAAAAGAACGATTTCATTTTAAGTTGATCGTGTCTTTTTAATGTCTGTTGCAGAAAAAAAAATTATTTTTTTAACCATTTTTATTTTAACTTTGAATATGAATTATATCACCTTGATTTATTTCACTAACAAAAATAAAAAAAAAACATGCAAAGAAGGGTTAAACGTAGTCAGTTGACCTGAGGAAAGACATAGTTCTCATACTAAAAATGTTTCAAATTAGCACTCAGTCGCACGAGATTTGTACCGAACATATGCCTGACATGTTTATAACGTATAGGCTTGAAATTTTGAGAACAAATTCAATTAAATCATATTTAATATAATATCCACCAACATTATTATCTATTGCTCCATTACAAATATTAAAGTTAATTTATACATTTGTGTTTTTAAATACCATACGAGAAGATAGTGAGAGTCTTACTCGTTTAATTTATTATAATTATTGTAATAAAAATAATTTAAGTTAGCTTTGTGTCATATTATATCAGATAATAAAGATTTTAGTTTTGTAATAGACAATCCACTATCACGTTCAGCTGCCATAGAGCAACACTTTTGGTGTCATTTTAATCTGATTCCAACTACGCAAGGCACTAATAGTGCATTTAAATAGCTATTTAAAATTCCATTCGAAACATTCCTAAATTACTTATATTACTGATATATTTAAACAGAGTAAAAACAACAGTGCATCTAATAAAATTATTATTGCTCACCTGCCTAATATACGTATTCAAGTTGAAAATGTATACAAAATAAATATTTGTTTTAATTTAACAAGATTACAAAGGTAATCATAAGGTTTATAAAAGCTTAGTTCGTTAAATATTATTAAAGTAAGTATTCACTCTTTGATGGCAACTGAAAAATAATATGTGTGGTCTGTTTCAATAAAACTTAATGAAAATGTAAACATGTGAATAAAAGACGTCCACTATGCAATTTCGCCGTGTGATCCCGGCATAGAATAGGCCACCCTTCCTTTCTCGTGGGTGTCGTAAGAGGTGAGAAAGTGAGGGCTAGGAATTGACAGCAGCGTCCCTCTTAAAACATCTCTAAAGCCTAACTACGGTTGTCAATCCGCCTGCCAAACATGGCAACTACTGGAAAAATCTCTCCAAAGCGGAGGTTTATGTTCAGCAGCTATTTCAATTTACTGATGTCCAGTATTTATACAAATAGAAAATTTCTTTTAGATAGATTTACTGAGATAATTTTATATCAATATCAAAAAGTTTTATTGATACAGACTATAATAAAGTTATCAAATATAATACTGGATACATTTAGTATAAATAAATTTTGTCGATACTGATTACATGCAACACATAGATCATTTAACTTAAGTTTTTTAAAGAGCAACTAGTTATCCAACGTCTTTGGCATGTTTCGAGCGATTACATGACAATTCGGTACACATTGCTCTGACTAGACTAGGGAAGATATAGAATACAGTATTTGTAGTAAGAACTTAGGCGGTGAGCAGAGGGCGGTCGGCGTCATGATCGGCGCGGTGCGGCAAGGCACACTGTGCAGTCGTCGTCGCATCACCATTTGCCAAAAGAGCTTCACCTTCATTTGTAGTCTCATCCATCTAAAACATTCAAAACTAACCTAAGAGTAATCGATCTTGAGGTGGTGGTATTCAGAAAAATATAATATACCTATATAAATAGTAACAAATAATTCTTACGTGATACGTGCACAGCCACAGTTTATTTATCTATCAAACCCCAGCAGACCTAACCTGCCTATATATGCAATTTTATTTGTTGAATAGTAAATAGTAGTTGATATCGCGACCTTCAAACCATTGGAGTGTACATGCAAAAGCGAGAGGAGAGAAAATCTTAATAATATATTTTTTTAAATTAGCTAAATTTAAAGAAAAATTGTCTGTAGCTATAAAATACTTTCTTTATTATGTAGAATACATAATTATTAGAGAAGTATAAAAATGATAATAATGCATTATTGTTTTTTGCATGTGCCCCTGTGGCTTGACCCCACGATCACAGATAATAACTATGCCCAGGATATGCAGTGGCATCATTTAGTGATAACTTACAACAAATTGGATATAACTTTACTAAACTAACTTTTGTCTGCTACTTTATACGGGAGTATTTTAGAAATAAGAAAACCAATGAAATAGATCACATTTAGATAGCGTATCAAGAAGAAACGCACAGATTATAAGTTAGACATTTAAGAATAAATCTTTGAAAAGAACATCAAATTTGGTGCAATAGTTTTCGCGTGATGAACTAAAACAAACATACAAATAGACAAATACATAGACAACATTTCTAAAAAATATTGTTTTGACATCTGTTGGTCTCATTCAGACCCCTCATTTTATTGTTAAATATCTATCTTCCATGTACAGACATCGCCTAATTAAACTTAATTATAATATTAATAAGTACATATGTGAAAGTTTTCATGGTGATCGGTCAAAGTAATAGTATCATAGTACTCACGTACAAATATACCTATATCAAATTTTATACACTTTCCAGTTGTACGGAACATTATCTGTTACGGAATTTATCTATATAATATAAATTAGAAACTGGGTAAAAAGTGTTTAATTATAATTATTGTCTATCAATGATGAAACGTCGAGGTGGAGCTTCTTTGTATTAGTAGACAAGCAAGCAACGATCTGAGCGGCCTGTCCGTCCAGGGCGACATGGAATAGATCGGCCTGTCCGGGTAGACTGTCCAGAGCGAGTCGCCAGAGTGTGCCGACGTAACTCCTAAACTACCGTTACAATGTTTATTAAATATTAATATAATAATAAAGATATTCTATTCTATTCTATTTTCCGTTGCCAAAACTGGAAATTTACAATACTCGTAATAATAATTCTAGAAAATTAATTAAAAGCATGTGATATAAATTTTATATACAGAGTTCTCAGCAATGATCATAATCATTCAAATTAATCAAATTAATCTTAAACTGTATGTATAAATGATTTTTAAATACAATACATTTTACATATAATAAACAACTTATAAAAAAATTCGAAGGTTCAAAATAATGAGTCAGGTGTTTAAGTAGAATTTTTTGTATAACAAATAACGTTGTACAAAAAAACAGACTCCGCTGTAAGGAAAACGATAAATATACAAAAAACATGTGTATGATTAAAGTAATATTTTTGTTATAGTATCTGGTTTTTGCAAAGCAATTTATATATTATATTACGATAATTATAGATTAAAAAAAAATATAATGATTGCACCAGTAGTGTAAAAATTATGCCAAAAAAAAAACAACAGTATTACCTCAGAATTTGAGAAGAAATCGTGTATTTATATATAAAAAAAAAACAAATACTAATTGATGACAAATATATAAGCGATTTGAAAGGACAGGGTTTTTTTAAGCCCCTTATAAAGTGTTTATTACCCAAATACACAGTGGTACAGTTTTGTATGAGTCGTTTGGGCAAGTCTTTTCTATCTCTACCTGAAGAAGGCTACATTTTAAAATATAATTACACAAAAGCAAGACAAAGTCAAAAACATCTTCCTTAGGAGTCTGAATATCTTTAAAAATATTTTAAAATGCGTAACTCTGCATTTAAGAATTCTGAACAGTAGGCTTTAAAATTTACATAATATACATTAAAATATACATTTATATAAAAAAGGAAGAAGGCTTTAATTTGTAACATTTGTTAGTTTATTTAAGTCAAATACTACAAGATGAATTAGAATCAGTTCCTCCTATTCACTTTTGCTGAAATTCCTTTGTCAAATTTTGTATTAGTGACAAAACCATATATCAATTATGTCGCTGAAAATAGTAATTTGGTTTAATTTTAATATTTTGGGAACTACATATCTACTTGTTTAGCAATATTAACCAGCTTTAATAGCTACATTTATAAAAAATTCTTTAATTAAATTTTAATTATGTTAAGATAAAAAGAAAGAAAAGAACCTTGTAAAATAGCACCCATGATTATGTTAGACCTTGCTCTACCGTCCCCGGAAATATATTATGTATCTATAATAAAATGAATCCGGATATTATAGGTAGGTACATAAACATTTTCTTTAGAATATCATTAAATAACATATATATATATATACACTTACTCGTATTATATACACGCTTACAGCTAAAGATGCCGCTGCTATATTCTGTACGTATGAAACTTTTTTAAGACACTTGGTTTAAATGAAAGATGAAGACAAGTGTTATACAATGTACTAATAAAGTATCATATAATGAATTTTTGGTATAAAATTACATACATAAAACTTTTATAAATTAAATGGTATTTGAATGGAAATACTGTGGTGATTGCAAAAAATAAAACCGGCTGGCTTCTATCTAGAGTTGCCATGTGAAAATAGGTACGATAATTTTGATAAGATTTACACTAAATGAAATTTTATTATTTTCTATTTTATTTTTACTCATCTTTCATTAACCAAGTTTTCACGTACATGCAGAATTCATAATAATACATAATATCTAATATAATATAATAATACATAATATTTCATAATACCCTGTGTGGTGCTCAAAGTCTAATGATGAAACCAAAAGGCTAAAAAAGTACGTTTTCAAAAAGGTTTAACAGATTTGTTGAATTGCAAGATATCCTTTTACTAATTCAAATTTAATTAAAGGCTGTTCTAAGGGATCCATGTACTGGTAGCATTGCAAATATAAATGCGAACTACTAACTTAAGACATGAGGAAAGAAGTGGTCGTCCTTTGATGATAGGCATTAATTAACGAATAGAAAACGTGATAGTGAAAAATTTTATATGACGTATGAAGAACTTTAGCTCAATTGCAGATTAGATCGTATGCAGTACCTAGTTGATTTCAATAACTCAGTCGATAATAATTTATAACAAATATTATATATTAATATATATATTTCTATCATAATATGAACTATGTTGTGTGTAATAAGTTTTATTACTGAATAATATTGCACCAAACTTGCTGTAAAAAAACTGTATCATATTTATAAAGCATTCCATAGAGTTATATCAATCGATAACTAATAAAGCGTACACACACAAAATGCGGTCAATATCAAAGAACTCGTTTGTAAATAGATATATACTTAGTAAATAAAAGCATTTAGAAATACGTATCTAATTCCTTATCGTGATACAATTTTGAAACTAAACTAATTATATTGTGGTGCAATATATCATATACTCGATTGCATATTATACCTATACCTTTTAGGGAAAATATAATAATTGGCGTAAATTTGGCGACCTTCGTAGCATACATAATTATATACGATAGATTACACACTGGTCTGCTGTTAGGCTAGTTTAATTTCTCTATCAGGACAATTTTGGAAACTGTAAATTATTGGTAGAATTTTTTGATCTACCCATAGATTATGTACAACGGTGTAATACTCAGATGATATCTATCTTAATCTGAGGATTAGCCAGTATAATAGATTTATAATCTAAGGATAGACCATATTTTTCCAGGTAGAAGTGAAAATACGAAATATGAAATCCACACATAAAATTTGAAGTACATCATATACTCGTATGTACACGTATCACGTAAAAACTTTGATAATAACGCAGAACCTAGGTTAATATATACTGGGTTACCTAAAAAGACTCTTTCCATGGGGGGAAACAATATATTCCCTCAATAGCCAAAAATATCATCTGTTTGAAAGTGGTTTAATTTTATATACTTTTTGTCACGATATTATACGATATTATTATTAGTTATGTCTTAAATAGATTTTATAGTGGCATCAGGTATAGATTAAAAGTAACCGTTACACTAATAAATATAGGAAAAATACTAACAGCAGATTTTTCAATTTGCGTGGGGGGTGCGTCACGCTTGCCCTGTAGGTAGTAAGTCATTAGCTGGCCTTTGCCCTTGACTGCTACTAGACCTCGCTGTTCGAAGTAGTATCCAAAACTCTCTAAAATATGGCACGTTTCTTCTGTCACCTAATAACAAAAAAATATATATACATGCATATATATATTTTACTTAAATACAGTATAATAGGTCCTAATCATAATCCAATTTAAATGTGTTAGAATGTCGTTTAACTACATGTAAAATTAACACGAAAAAAAATCTATTTGTGTTTACCAAATAAGCATTATAAAAAAAAAATATTGTATATACATACGAAAAAAAAAAATTAAAATATTAAATTCTTCGACTAATAGTCTATTTACATACATTTCATCTCTTAAATATGAAAAACATGTGAAAATTTGTAAAAAGATATTTAGATATACGTTAATCACTCTCACCAGAGGGAGACTGTGTAAGAGTAGTCTGCTTGTATAACTCTGTTTTATTCGTTTTTCTGCCATAAAACAGTTATATTTGCATAGATGCGTTTTAATTTGAAGGGTGGGATAAGGTCATCAAATTACAGGATACAGAGGCATAACACCTTATTTCTCAGGAATAGTAACACACGAAAGGTATCATAAGCGACACAATTCGTGATACTGTTCATGTATATAGACGGATGTTACCACTTTCCATAAGGTTTGCAAAAAAAATTGAATGAAAGTTCTATTTTTATAATAATTTATTAAGTCAAAGTAGCAAGTTCGGTTAGTATTTATATTAAAAAATTTAAGCACTGGCTTGGACATATGACAGCGGTTGATGACCAATGTGTTAAGTAACCAATGTAAATAAGTCTGAATTCACGGGAATTAAATTGGAAGTAATATGCAATTGAGACAAAATATTATATAAAACATATCTTACACGTATAGTTAGCACTGAGCATATTTTTTTCTCATAGCTTAACTGATGTAGAAAGTTGTGGTTTGAATCGGTTACTTATAGAAAGTAGTAAGCAAGTAAGAACAAAAGGTCAATTCTTATTAATATTATAAATGTGAAAGCCACTTTATTTGTTTGTTTTTTATTTTTTGACACTGTAATAACTCAATCAATCGTTATAAAATTTGAAACATCATGATTTTTTGTATAAAACAAGTATTTGGAATAGAGAAGGATACTATATAAATAGAAAGGAATACTATAGGTAGGTTACTTTTTATCCCGGTAATTCAATATATCTTAGACAAAAGGGCAAAGCCACGGTTAAAATCAAGTTACTAGTAAAGTTTTAAAGCTTTTTCTTTGAGTTTGGTATCTACGCATTATAGTTGGGTGTTTTATAGGTTACTTTATTATTTCTAGCCAATAATACAGCAACTGTATGTATATAATGAAATTAACCAAAATATCAACTGTCACATTGTTCGCTATTTTTTGTAGCTACTTTGACAAAAATGGTGCGCCCTGCGCACCACTTTTGTCAAAGTACCTCTGTCCCACTAGTATTTCTGTCGTCAAGCAACAGTACTTCACCAGCTGCTGAATTTAATTATCATCGCGTAACTATTCATCGCGACTATCTGAAAGGCTAGCAACCGACCAGCGGGCGTTCTTCCTTCCACTGTCTTTCACATACGATCGTACTTTGGAAACAACTTCCAGCATTTATATTCCCAAACAGACACAATAATGAACCTTTAATTAAGGTGTATATTTCTTCCTAAAATGGAAATACACTTGCGATTATTTTGATTTTGCGTGTACGTACTCAAAAATGGCAGCAGTCATATACTTTCAAGTGAGCCGTATGCTAGTTTGCCCTTTGTGTTATAAAAAAAAAATAGCCTCACCTGTACACAACCTGCTTTTCCCGTACTCTCCATACGGGAGGCAACGTTTACAGTATTGCCCCAAATGTCGTAGTGAGGTTTGCGGGCGCCGATAACGCCCGCCGTGATCGGCCCGTGGTTGACACCCATCCGTAACACGAAGTGATTGAAGGATTGTTCGTTTATCGCAGCCAGCACTCGCTGCAATTCGAGTGCGAATTCCACCAGGCATGCGAGGTGGGCCCATCGAACCAGCACACCATCTGAAGGCTAATATACATGCCTATTAATACAAAATACCAAATAATAAATCTATTAGTCAATATCAATTAGTATGGTAACTATTTTTGAGAACTAAAGTTTTTTTTAGTTTTTGTTTTCAAAACTCAACGAAATTGAAAATCACATATATTTTATAACAAAAATATGGCAACATTTTTAAACAGGCAAACATAAAATGATAATTAGTAAAAAAAAATATTCTTTACTCTTAATATATGAGAAATTATATGTCCTTCTTATGTAAAAAATCCCACTAAGATAGATTTTCCTGTTGTTTGTCAACTTGTTTAATTGAATTTAATAAGAGATCTCGATGATGATTCATCCGTTTCCAAAAACAAGCGTCTTTGTCACTCATGTTTTACAATAACGTAAGAAATGTGCATTTACGAAACCCACTTACCTGCATCTGTCGGGTTGGATTTAAGCCTGAGGCAGCCATGTATGTGGAACTAATTGTCTTAATTTTTATAATATCTTTACTGAATTTGGCATCTTCGAGCAACTGGAAATTATAAAAAGCCGATTAATGATCTTATCAGTATAGGTACAACAAATAACAACTACGTTTTTATGCAGAATTGTAAATGAAAAACACGCTAACAGACGACTCTATTGATGGAAAGTACTAACCATCGTTTTGATATGACGCCAGTTGTATCAACCCTCATACGCTGTTTTCATGTTTGTAAAGTGTCTGTTCGCTTACATTTTAATAATTAATGTTTCAGGTTTTTATTTAAATGGACAAAAAGATAACCCAAGGGAACCATTATGAAATATTTTATATTACCATTTAATCTACATTCAGTATTTACAGTGTCATTTAACAACTATTCATAAAAAAATTCAAAGCTGAATCAGAGTTATAGACTAGAACAGTGTCTATACTGTCGTAGCTGCGCGACTTAAATTCCAAGCAACTTAATCACAAACAAGAAGAACATGTCCCCATTGCATATGCTGCTTTAACTATAGATAGGTATCTTGTGTAATAGGCCTTACAGTAATGGAATGAATCTTACTCATGGCCATGCCTGACAAAACATTATTCATAAAGACAGACACTTTTGTAAACACTATGCATTATAGCACGATGCGGATAACAAAAACTATTGAAAAAAATTTACAAACTATACCTACAACCTGTGATTTTATTAAATTGATTTTGACTCTAAAAATTTTATTCTAAACTGGATTATAATACATAGTGAAAACAAATTACAGCTGTCACCTGTACTATATTCTAACGCACAAAGTTATAGTACGTAACTACAATATTTCAAGAAAACATCAACTTTTATTTCCGTTATTTCGTATCGTGATATGCTTACAGACAATTATCACGTATCACATTAAGCTTCCTTTAAGTCGATTTAAAAAGGTGGAGATATAGAATAGAAATCATCTTTATTCAAAAGACTTGTTTACAAGCATTTTTACATCTTCACTTATTTTATTATTCTATTGTTAGGTTCGGAATGCTGATATCTGCTAAGAAAAATCGCAAAAACTCAGCAGCGATTCTTATGTACTTATGTGTCTATGAGATATTTTTATATTTGTACAGATGGAATTGTTATAATTAGCAAAGAGTTTTATTTATATGTATAGTAAAATTTCACAATAGGTCATAAGAATATCAAATATCATACAGATACGATAATAAGTCCTAGACATAGAGGTCCTAGTTTTTATGCTATTTACAATGTCAAACTGACGGTCCACCTAATGGAAAGTGGTAACCGTCGCCTATAGACATGAGCAGTACCATGGACAAACAGAGTATACTGTTGCGCCTATGATACCCCCCATGCGTTGCAATTCTTGAGGACTCAGGTGTTATTCCTCTTTACTCTGTAAATTCACTGCTATATGAAACACAGCCATGCAAACACAACTGCTTCACAGTAGAAACACGAATGTACAAATTCTCGCACTGGTATTTGTTTAAATATTTTTACTAAGAATATTTAAACAAATTAATACAGTCATATGAGCAAAACCATAGTTAATACCTCACGGTATTGCACTGTATAAACAATAATAGTTATATTTTTTGTATACGTATAAATATAATATTCTTTTGTATATTATTTATGTCTATAGTAATAGTTATCACTTTCCATCAAGCGAGCCGCCAGTACTAACCAACAGAACAAAAAACTTATTTAGTGGTACAACCAGTAACTTTCTACTTAATGATCGAAGGATTCAATTCTGTTACGTTATTGTTATTATAAAAATAAATATTAGTAATATAATACTCCCGTCATCATGCATTATAGGTTTACAGACGAATTAACTTCGATTGAGAAATAGTAGATATATATTGTATACTGGATCACAAAGAATCAAAAATTAAAAATCTCACATTAGAAGACAACTTCTAATGTGTTTTAGATTTTTTTTTTTTGTATTATAAAATATATTGGATTTCTGGATTGAAAATCGAATGGTACGGGACTATATTTATATGAAGCTCTCTCTCTCTCTCTCTTCAGTCATACACTCTTGACAGAGTGGATATGAAGCTACAAGTTGCATTATGGAGGTCATCGAAATTTTAAATTGTATTGTACATGTTGAGCATAAATTAATGTTATAAGGTAAAACCAAATTACCAAATCGAAGTCTGATATAACCTCGTTGAGAAATCGCAAACATTCCAGGCCCTGGTTATTAACTGTTTCTTCCGAATAAAACTCTGTAACAATTTATTAAACACATTATTATTTTGTCTGTGATACTCTGCTTACCCTAATTAAACAGTTTATAATAAAAAATATTTATATCGAACAAAAAATAATCATAATAGACATTTATATATGCTTAAAATTTTTGTTATGTATTTTTGATACCCAAAATTGACCAAATTGCTGATTATGAATAACTTTACAGTGTGAGTGGACCAAATAAATCTTTGTGACAGTAGGTGTTAAGTGTGACCTATCATATGAAATTGGATGAAACAAAAGATGTATGAATGTATAAAACTGTGTCAAATAACATTCCTATAAGCCATTGTACCATTATGTACTGCACTAGTAAAGAACAAATATTATTTTGTCCATTACTTTAAATAAATTTTCATATAAATACTTTAATATCTATATATGTTTTGGTAGTACAGATAGAAATATATAGTATTTCGCACGCAGTGGTTCTGAGTCTGGATTTCTTTTATTTCATTTCTTTTATTTTCTTTACTATTTCACATGTCACAATTCATTCTATTACTTTAATTAACTTCTGTACTAAGCCATCGAAGATGAAATGGAAAATTATTTGCTAAATTATTAAAAATATTTAACAACGCCCACATATCTTCACATTTCTAATATTATGAAGATAGTAGAAAGAAAGATACTTAATTTATAAATTTTACTGTCTTTTGTGTTAATTATCTATTGAGGTATATTTACGTTTCATGCCGATAAACTTTATTAATATTGTGTTTAAAGTAAAATGCTTATTTCAATAACCTCAACAGAGAAAGAATAAAAGAAATCAATGCTTTCGAAACATTAGTATACAAGGCGCACAAAGTCAGATGATGGTTGAATGTAAAGCACTATTCCAACACAACAGCAATAACAAACAAAATAGATCGCTACTGTTAAATACATGTCCAATTTATTAATTGCCTATATAATGATCACATATTAAAGAGCAAACTGTTTTAAGAATAATTTAATATGTTGCGCCATAAGAAGCAGCAATAATTAATCTAAATCAATAGTGACAATATTAATATGGAACCAACATGAGAGTAAATATTCTCGATTGCAAAACAATTATCAAACACGGTTCACAATTGGCAAAAATATCGCGTAACCTACAGACAAAAAATTATAGGCGAATTGAGAACATCCTCCTTTTTTTAGACCCTGATCTTTTAACCCGTAAACGCAAGAAGTGCCTATGTATCTGTGTACATTGACAGGTATAAGGTCGCTCGAAATATTTTAGACATTAATTTAATTAATGTAGTGTCTATAATATATTGATGCCTATATTGGTTTTATTAGAATATTGATTCAGATGATAAATGATATCAGTATATATCCAAAAGGTTCTTAACATAGAACTGATAATAAAATTTTATTTTCCATGAAGAGGATTCCCCAATTTGGTAGATTTTTTACTGTAATTTATTGCATTTTTTTTTTATCTACAAACTTCAGAAAGAAGAAAATTAGATAATATTTTTTTGTTTATCTGTTATGTAATGCCATCACCAATCTAACAACAACGAAATAACCGATTTTGATGAAATTATTTTTCAACTGACTTCAAACAGAAGGAGGTGCTGAGAGCGTGGACTATGTTTATAGAATGTTTCATATACATTAAATATACACTGTTTCACACAAAGTTAGTGTATTTGCATGAATGTATTAGTAAACAATTATTTATGAACACAGAACGCCGACTAGTTTAGAGTATGAATACCATCATAATAACAATTCTATATTACGACGCTAGCTGGCGCCATAAGTTGAAAATAAACATATCCTTTTAAAAATACATTTTGTTGCTAGCAACAGGAGGTTCTCAATTCGGTTGTACTTTTTTAAATATTTTTGTTACCTTATAACTCAGGCAGTTGTAAACCGATTTAGAAAATTATTTTTTTTATTTACAGATTGGTCTCATAGAAATTTTATTAATCGGTTTAGTAATTTAGTTTTTAAATCAAAATAATTGGTTTTTCCACAATTGAAAACGGTTTTTATGTGTATATATATATATATATATATATATATATATATATATATATATATATATATATATATATATATATATATATATAAATCCTACACATACAAAAGAGAATTCCACAATCTAGCTGCATGAACGATAAAGGATCAACTACAGCATGTAGACGATGAAGAATAAGGGAAGATAAAGGAGAAGAAATTTCGTCGAACGGGAGAATACGCCATCGGGAACTATAAAATCAAATTATTCACGAAGATAAGACGGAGAAGAAGGGTTATATAAAACGACATTATATGAAAGTCTTGACGCCCTCGAATTGGTAGCCATTTCAATTTTATTCTATAGGTGGAGACATGGTAGTATTTACGCAGACCACAAATAAAGCGTGTGCAGAAATTTTGCAATCTCACTACTTTGTTCAAAAGTAATCGTAATCAAGAAGAGGTAACAGTAGGGCTTGGGCTAAAGTAAGCCTTGTCTCACAAGATAAGAATTTTTGAAGTCGTTTAATTGCAAATGTTTTTATTTTCATGCTGATCCTAAGCAAATGTAATTTTGACGACTTCCGTAGTACAGATACCATACTTAAAAGAGGTCCTGGATTCAATTTCGAGCGCGCTAATTTAGAAAACGACATTTTCTAAATTATATCGGATCTAAGTGTTCTGAATGTTCTGAATTGTGTACCAAATTTTTGTTGCCTAGTTTCTCGTAACACCAGGTAATCTAACTTAAATACTGGATAATCGATGTGAATGTGTCATACTTATTATAGCAATATGTCACAGTCTAAAAACTCTTTCCTGTTGAACAAAGAACTTTGAATGCTCGAAATAAGTCAGAAAATGGTTGCCTACAAGATATTTAATGCAATAAGTTGGAGCTAATTAAATATTAGCACTACACTAGTAACACTAGTAACTACTAACAGAGCTAACGACAAGCGGCATATGAATCTATCGATAGAATCGTGTTGGTTAGATCGGGACATTAGACACCGGGCGTCACCATCTCATTGTATTTCATGGACTCTTTAACAATAATAATTCTATCGGTAGATTTGTTTATGAGTTTTCCAGGAAGGCAGACCACTTACCCGAGAAGTTGGGCATAGAAGCAAAGAGCACGCCAACCTCCGCGTAGCTTTGGCTGTAGAGGTCGCGGTGGTGGTGGCGAGCGCCCATGAAGTGCCTGGCGACGTGTGGCGGCAGCACGTTGTGCACGAGCGCCTGGTTGCGCCGGCGCAGGTCGGCCGCCTGCTCCGCTTGCGCGCGCATGCGCTCGCCGCGTGAGTGCCGCGCACGCTCCAGGGACTCGCTCTGCGTGTAAACAAACGTCCATGAATAACTCCACAAACGGAACATTACTGATGACCTATTCTAAAGAAAATACCGAACATACTTACATATCTATTGAAAATCAGTAGCGCTATCATCACGAAGAACAGCATTATAATGTTGCGTCCAGTGTGGATTTTGGCTCTAAAATAGAAAAGAACGGTATTAATAATACTTCCATATAACTTTAAATGACAAACAAGGTTGCGGCCGTATATGAAGTGGTAACCAAATATTTGTTGAATTTTGAAAATTCCCTTTCACGTACGTTAAATAAAGATTCTATCTAAAAATTTTAAAATTTTGCTGTTTCAGCGGTGCATTGATAAATGCGTCAATCAGTTAGTCATTCAGCATCCTTTTATATATATACAGTATCCATGTACATCCCGTGACTTGTCCTATCTATCCCCAGAAAAGAAGAAGTAGCTTGGGATAGAATTTTTATGTTGTTATTTGGATTGTGGATGAATTCCTCTTTTACGGCAAAACCGGATTACAATGAAATTTCATATATCTTTATATATATTATAATATTTTTGTGGATAAAATACAAGTTCACCTAACAAAGGTGAAAGTTTATGAAGATCTGTACAAAAGTCTGTTACTCAATCTCGCATATCGACTGAATGTATTTTTAACTGATGATGGTCTGTCTGTTGAAAATGGTAAGAATTGCTAAAGACATGAGTAAAATCACTAAATCTTGTGATCACCATAGTTGTCATTTGTGCATTGTTACCATACAGTATCTCGTTTTTTTTATTATTATGACTTACCATTTCAACTTAGACCATCGAATAGAATATACATGTACCGATCAAAATGTACATTTGATAAACCTTTTTCGAAATTAATAGAAAAACTATCTAAGTAGGGAAGCTGCTCTTAGTACCTAATTCCTTTGCATAATATTTCTTACTGTGAATTGAATTCATATATTTATCTACTTATTTATATCTGCGTGAATATCCATTACATTGCAATATCAATTGTAAAACATTCATGATGTCATACACTGTGATTCCTGTGTTCATGAATTGAATCTCTGCCTATGTTTTAGCATGCGTGAAAAGGATTAAATGGAATTGTTTTCGTGATTACTCTTGACAAATAAATAATGTTACAATTTATTTAAATTATTAGTAAATATACAACTGATGTAGACTGTAAGCAATTCACTCATCACATTTTATGTAATCGAATGTCGATAATTAAATTCAAATAATAAAGTGCGTGTTGGAACTCGGAATAGGTAAACAGATTATGTAGAGTTAGAGTTGTTTCGATATCACTTCAAGTATATTTATTACAAAGTTTTTCTTACAAAAGTTAAAAATGATGTTATAAAAAATTACCTAGAAAAATTGTATAGGATGAAATTTAGATTTAGGAAAGCAGTTTCATCAATGTCAACGAGGTCAGTACCCCGCCAGCATAAACTTGTGCTGGCGAGGTACTAGTAAAGGATAATTGATAATGACGAAGTCAGGTTTTCATTTTGTTATTTTTTATATTAAATTACGTTTTTAAATTATGTTTTTTTTTTTAATAAATAAATGTTTATTAATATTATAAACGTAACAGCGAGTTATAAAGGCTACTTTTATTCCGACCAATAAAAATATCACGTGGACGAAATCCTGTGCCACGATATCTGTTCATGAATCTCTGAAATCAGTCAACTGATATTAACAAAATTTTGTAATGTATAATATTGGCTCCAACTTAAAAAAATAAGGTAGTCTTAAAATAGACAAGAAGAGAATTCGCAAAGAGGCGGTAGAGGTTCTAACTTCCTCCTAATATTAGGTACAAATGTGAAAGTTGGTAAAGTTATTTGTTTGTATTGGTTGCTGCCCTACACTTAGTGCTCATTTGATATTGACAGTTTGAAGATAATAATTGATAATAAAACGTGCAGACTTGAGTGCTGAAGTATACGACTGATTTATTCAACATACTCGTACTTAAAAAATGCGTGTATACAAATAACTGAATCGGCAGTTTTTACTTTTGCATTATAAATTGTACAAAACTAATCTGGGGTCGTCATGCAAACAACTACAACTTACTAAATACAAGCACCTATAGGTGCTTGTACTTAGTAAGTCCTCTTAGGATAATTTTGGAATAGACACTAGAGTCCAGTCGATAGGCCTAAAACATTGTAGTCTGGGTCTGCGAAGTTTAAATGTTGCAAATACAGCCACTGTTGGCTGTTAAAAGATTATAAAGATTATTTGATATGATAAGTGATTGCGTTTGAAATTGGTAAAAAAGTGGTAAAAAAATTATAATCGCTGTAAATTGTATGAAAATTTAATGATACAATATCTCTGCATTGCCGAAACCTAATCCAGAATGAATGCATGATAATGTTTTCATGGTAAGTGAAATCTGAGATCCTTGGTCCAAAAGAGTTCGTAATATGTACCATCCGCCGATAATACATTTAATAAGACAGTAGTTAATATAATTTTTTCATTCTTGCTCGCAACGTAATGGACAATATTCTTAATCGTTAAGTTAAAGTCGTTGCCAGAAACATACTAGGTATGCTTGGCGATAAGATTGATTTTCCGATATACGAGTACGCGTCATGAATTAATGCATTATGATTTATTCGCATAAAGTTTACAATATTTGTGTACAATAAAGAATAAAGAAAAAAATGAATGTTTTGCTAAAACATTGTATGATTAAATAAATAATTATGACAGTGCCCTAATTGCGTAAGTGTACTCAATCGAATGTTAGGTGTTATATTGAGGAATTTCACAAATACATAAATAATGATTAGAATTACACAATGGACGCATAGGATTAATATACTGGCATGATAAATGCTACATGAAAAGTTGTTATGATTTTGAATATTAAGTTTAGTATAAATACATAGGTTTATTTAATGTAGTTTTGTTTCGATTATGACTTCGTATTGCTATACTCCTGTATGGGCCCGAGAGCCATATATTTAGACTTTATTAAAGTAATTAATTTGTTTCACGATGGCAAATTTCGAGAAGAGTTACATGTGTTTCTTACAGTCGCTACAAGTTTTTCTTACAAACATTTTGTACTATTAACAGGCCCCACGTATTTATATCAAACCCTAAATTGTGAATGGTGTGTATATGTTTATTTAGTGGATGTACTATACAGCCATTTTAAATGAAAAGAAGTTTGTTTTAGAATAACCCGTTAATTTAAAAATATATCTATTTAATTCGTAAAAAGAATTTGAGGTATTTATTAACCATAGAGACGCCAAAAGAGGGGTGTTAAAAGTTCGACGTCTCTGTATATGTATGCAGGTATTGTATCAGCCGTACTGCTTCACCTTTAAACTTTCCTATAAGTGTTGTGTTTTTTTAACATTAGTAATAGAGTTCTTGTTGAATGCTTCAATAAATAAATCTTAGAATGTAGACCACTGCGTATATTTTTCAGTGAACATCGGGAGTTCTAGTTGAAGTGTAGATTGATGGACATGGGTAGTGGATGATAGCTTCAAATTTAAATCGCACTTAATCTTTTTGTATAGCTGCTCGTATTCATTAAGTTCATTTCTATATGATACACATATATGTATATATCTGAAGATGTAAGCTATCACTGATGTTTAATTTAGTTTATAAATTCCTCAGTTCTCTTCAATCTCCCATTTCTCTGTAATTTTATTTACGTTGATGCTATTAAACAAATGAAATCTCTTCGCTCATTTGCATAGCTCTGTTATAATATTATAGTATAGAATGATAACGTGGTACTAACTGATTGGTACAGTTCTTTGGAGTACTTAAATATATTCTCAGTAAAATACTATTTTAAATCTGGTTGAAGAGACAGTTTTAAAAGATACTGTTGAAATTGCTCCCAGAGATTAGCTAACATCTCAATCCTTACGCTGAATATTATCAGGTGTTTTTCTAGAGGAAATATTAAAATTTGTATTGAATTTGTTAATGTGTTCGTAGTTCAGACTGAGGAGCATATAAGACCTCTATTAGGTATAACTAAGTGATCTTACTTGATAACTGATGGAACTCTGTGCTGTGAAAATTGTTGAAGCTGGTGTTTGATTGCGAGCTGTAGTGCTCGGATGAAGATGATGATCTTGATGATGATGATAACCACAATAAGCACTAATAATGTTTTTTTGTGGTAACCTGCGTATCACCATATTTGACGACGTCATATTTATCGACGACGAAGCGCAAATATCGAGTTATTTGATAAAGAAAACAGGCCGATTTGATTCTTGAATATTAGTCGAAAGACCAAAAAATGTAAGGCTTGCTACCCTACACTTAGTGTCGATTTGATATTGACAATTCGGGGATGATATTTGATAATTAAACGTCCCGACTTGAGTGCTGAATTATACAGACTGATTTATGTAACATACTTAAATGACGCGAGTGTACAAACAGCTGCGTTGGCAGTTTAATATTTCAAATTGTACAGGTCCCGTATAATGTTTGAAAGGTTGTATATTTATTATTTAAATCACGCCTAAGTGGTTAAATGGATTTAAATGAAATTTCGTGCACGGGTAGATAATATTCAAACTTATTACATCTAAAGTATTCTCTTTATATACTAATTCGTGCGAGCAAATCTAAGAGAAACAGCTAGTAAATAAGTAAATATTAAAATAGAAATAAAAAACTAACAGCACGTGTAGGAGATGCGGGTCGTAGTCGGCGGTGTGATTGTAGGGCGCGCGGTAGGGGTCGCGGTCGAGCGAGGGCCGCGGTGCGAGCAGCGCGGGCTGCAGCGCGGCGGGCAGCGCGTGCGCGGCGGCCAGCGCGGCCAGCAGCGCGGCACGCGCGCATCCGCCCAGGGGCGAAACCCACAGCGCACCGCATAGTGCTCCCGCGCCCACCTGCACCGACGCATAGCTCGCATACGACACTCGCCGCCTCTCCAATTAGAGGTGGCTAGTATGTAACAATATCTATATATTGTAACTATAATATCTGTATATTTTTAATGGGTGATAATGAAATGGTAACCCCGCCTGCACAGTCGGTATACGCTGGCCAGACACCAGGGAGGCATGATAGGTGAGAATGAAAAGGCAGGTCAGTTAGCACATCATGACAAAATCCATTAGATTTAACCACGATGGTTTCCAGGAGGAACCGCGTTGAGGTTAACGGATATATTAAAGATTGGTTATCCAATATACGAGTATAATACTAAAATGAAGAACCTGAATGAAAATTCGACTTGTATGAGCGATGTCGAAATGGTTTATGACCTTTTTTACACTAAATGATCGTAGAAACTCAATATATAGGTATTGTAACGGTATCAACATTACCCAATCCTATCTCCAATATACCAAATGAACACTTTGTACATGCTATGTAAGTCTATATGAGTAATTAATAAAAAATATGAAAGTGGAAGGTAACCCCGCCTTCGTTATCGGTGTCCTCCTCCATGTTACGCTAATTTATAATTTCCCAAGTAAACTCACACGAAAATTGGACATCATACAACTTTTTTACTTATAATAATTAAAGTGACTTTTAGTGACTCAATTTGAAAACAACGAATCATAAAATACCGTTACTATACATTTAACATCTAAAACAACATATAAATCGCTATCAATATTCTCAGTGAGAAATGGATAATTTAAAATTCTCTCTTTATAACTAGGGAAAAATTCTCTTATTACCCCATCTAAAATTACAGTCGTAAGATTTGACTGTTAAACATGTTTACAGTAATCTTTTACATAAAATAATTTTACACAATCATGAAGATAAAAATAATCTTGTTAATTGGCTCAAAAATTTTATACATCATAAAGATACGTACTAACCCAACCAATAATCTCAGGGGAAGAGATTGTTAATAATGGGCTCACTAGTCGCCATCACTAAAAATATACCCTATCGCACAGGTGTACCACAGCGCGGTCCCCTCTGGAAACCAGCGTAGTTAGTTTCTACTGAAATTTGCATTGATGGAGCAACTGATCAAATTTCATTCTCATCGTTTTATGCTCCACTGTATACCGTTAGCATAAGCGAGTGCACCATTCCATTTTCATTTATAAGGTAAACCCCATAATTTCATCTCGAGTTAGTAAATTATAGTTAAAACTATAATTTATTAAATAAAAACTATATCTACCAGAGGGAGACTTTTTTTTTATATTTTCTTCAATACTGTAGGACATACTTTTGTTCTATCATCAATAATTTCCGCAGCGCACGCGACGAAATTTATTTTATAGCATTTTTTTACCTTGAGTTACGTTACTAAAGTTTTAGTAAGGATCCCTAATCTTTTCTAGCAATAAATATAGCCTATCCTAATCTTTTCTAGCAATAAATATAGTCTATGTTACTCAGGATGAATGTAGCTTTCTAATGATGAAAGAATTTTTTAAATTGGTAAAGTAGTTTTTGAGTTTATTCATTACAAATATACACACAAAAATATAAATCTTTCCTCTTTATAATATTAGTATAGATTGAATACCTATATGAGTATGATATAACTAGGTATCTATTATCTAAAAAAGCAAACTGACAACTAGGTATATTGCCATTATTTCACATTTCTTTCTGTTTTCACCAATTAATCATTACGAAACGTATTTTTCGCACCTCAATGTTAATGTCCAATAATGTGAACGAAGTGTCCACATAGATTTCAAGTCATCTCATTATTGACTCTATCTATACAATGTGAAAGTAAAAATGACGCTTTACGTGATAGTAGTATGAAGGATGAATGCAGCGACGCGCCCCACTGTGAGCTGGCGCATCCTCTCTCAGGCCATCCTCCATCAACATCGCTTCAAAATTACCACAGATAATCTGAAAACGGAAACAATACGTATTTAAAATATATTTTGTCGGATTTACGGTACGTCCTATTATTAGTACGTCAAATTCTTGGTAGTGGATGCAGCATACACAAGTAGAGTACACTATCTCTCTGAAGCTTTAAAAACATTGTGACGGTTGATATATTGTTATAAACAAAATATAATATTTTGTTTATGACAATTTTTATAGGGAAATTTATATAAATAATTTATATAGGGACTCTCGAAGAGGAAACCCTGGGATAATAATAAGTAATAATAATATCATTTTGCCAGAAACATAGTTACAAAATATAATTATTTAAATTAATATAAATTTTATTCAAGGAACTAAACAATTCCCGCTTTGTTATATATAATAGTAGATACAAAATTTTATACGAATTTTTGCAAATTTCTTATATACGGTCACGTGATAATTTAAAATTGAATATTTAAATATATTTAGTCATGTTCATTGGGTAAGTTATTCAGTATCTACAGTACAGTAGCTACCTTATCTATGGCTATGAAAGACAATTGTCCTGAAGCTCATTGATACTCTATTCTAGTATAATACATTTAAATATTCTTATAATTTCTAAAAATTGGATTACGTTCTGTAGAGGTCGATTGTCTGTACATAGAAAAAAAACGCTAAAAACTAAATCAGGAGGATGTTCTTTTCTATCTCCGAAATTTTGCTTTAAACCTTACATCCGTGGTCAACATTTTAGATACTTCTAATCACGGAAAAATAGAGAGTTCCCGTGGGATGGTTAAAATTATAGTCACTTATACAGCTTAGTACGCAACCTACTTAAGTAAAGTCATTTTGATGTAAGGCAAAGAGTGAGAACAACAAGTCATTTGTTAATTTTGGTCTAGTATGCACAGACATAATAAATAGGTAGGTACATACATCGATACATACTCGTACAAAATTTACAAATCTGTGAAAATTCAACCCTTCATTCTGGCTTTCGCCATACCACGCGGATAAAGTCGCGGGCATCAGCTAGTGAATTACTAGTATTGTAAAATGTATTAGAATTTATACTCACTAAAGGAGCGACGTTAGCTGCAACAAACATTGCTATGTTGAATGTGCCACATGTTAATTTCCAATAAGGACTAATGGACTTTTTCTGAAAAGAAAAAAATATTACTTATTTAAAATATTTTAATTAAAATAAAAGTAATTGATTAATTTTTAACGTTTTATACTTTTTTTTTCTTTTATACAACTTAGAATGGCAAACTAGCTGACGACCCACCTGATGGAAAGTTGTAACCGTCGCCTATAGACATGAGCAGTGCCATGGGCATAACAGTGTATACTGTTTCGCCCATGATACCCCCATGCATTGCCATTCCTAAGGATTCAGGTGTTATTCCTCTGTACCCTGTAAATTCACGTCATCCAAACCTCCAAACCCACCCTTCAAACCGAAACACAGCCATGCAAACACAACTGCTTTACGGTTGAAACACGAATTGGGACAGAGGTACCCAAGCAATCGACTTTTATACAAAGTCTCCCTCTGGTACAAACTTAATGATAAAAATATATCTAGTTGATATCTGAACATTGTAAGGAGGGAATTTAATAAGGGCACCGGATACCAAAACAATGTTTCGATATTTTATGTGTGTCTGTCTGCTTATTCCCAGCATTATACAAAGATTGCTGAACCAAATTGGATGTGATTTGGTTCAGCAATCATCTATTAGTGATCTTTTTCATTCGTTTTCTACTACCAAAATGAACATATATGATGTTGTGGACAAAAAACTAGTCTCCGAATATATACAATATAAACATAGACTAGACTGTAACTTTAACTTAGATGTGATAAAAATTGTTTATTTTTACTCACCCTTTAAGTATAGAATTTCTGGAAATGAAAGGTGCTTTCAAGTTCAGTCTGACGCCCACTAACTCATTTGTTACTTCATATAGTAAATGCGTCCTTAGGAATCGATTAATACTCGTATAGAATGTTTTGTTTAATGTAAATATTCAGAAATAATAAAAATTCTACTCAATGTGACAAAATATAATAATATTTTTCATTTTTATAAGTAATTCAGTGACAGACTAGGCTTCAAGTAGTGTCTATCATTTTTAGTGATAAGATAAAGATAAAAAATACTATTACAAGTACATTTTTTAATAGTTAAGTTTGAAGTCTATTGTTCAAATTGATATACACTAAATATTGTATTCAAAAAAAGTGTTTGTTTCAAATAATTGAAGGAACAAATTGAACGAGTAAGTAAATAGGTATCTATTGACGAATGTATGATTTCTGTTACCTGTATGTAAGTACATTTACCTTAAAACATGTACCTATTTAACATTTAATATTTTTTTTAACAACTAACAATTAAAATATTTAAGGAAATTACCTTAAACTGTGCATATCTGAAGCAGGCATAGTATATAACATTAATTAGGCCGGTCTCTAGTATCAGGGCGAGGTAAACGGCATGCAAAGATAAGGTGGGCGGCACAGCGAAGCTCGCTAGCGCTACCACCGCTGGAAGCAGCATTAATGGTGGTGCTGCCACTGCCAGTGGGCAGGGGTCGCTTCGTCGCGCATACGTCGCTTCTGCGCCCACCGCCTTGAACGTCAGGCAGAGAGTAGTCGCGTCCGCCAATTCCCTAACAATACATAATATTCTCCTATTTATCAAAATCACAATTTTTTTTTTATGCAACTTAGAATGGCAAACAAGCTGACGGCCCACCTGATGAAAAGTGGTAAACGTCGCTTATAGACATGAGCAGCAACATAGACATAGCAGAGTATACTGTTTCGCTCATGATACTCCCCATACGTGGTCATTCCTGAGGACTCAGGCGTTAATTTTCTGTACCCTGTAAATTCACTGCCATATCACATCCTTCAAACCGAAACATAGCCATGCAAACATAAATGCTTCACGGTAGAAACACGAATGAGACAGAGGTGTCCAAGCAAACGACTTTTGTACAAAGTCTCCCTCTGGTAAAATAAATAGGTAATAATAGGTAGATTTACTTTCATATCTCTCTTTGCAATTTGATAGATTCTTTAAAGTCCTTAAGCCTTATGAAACATCCTTCAAGTAGTATTTATTCTCTATCATATATCGTTTCACTAATTTAAACGTGATTGAGTACAATAATTATATTAAGAATTTCTCTTATATTATATAAGTAAGATTTGTGTGTAACCAAATTATAATATCATGAATAATTTAGTTCTATATTCCAACAACTAGCTATCTGGGAGAATGTTGCAAGTTTTTAATTGTATCAAATTGAACGACAACTGACAGTAACTTGAAACTTGCAATGTTTTGTGCCGCTGTATGTATTTATTCTCAGAGTTGACAGTTACATAGCATAGCTACTCATTCCATCTAGTAGGGGTCGTCCTACACTGCGTTTGCCCGTATATATTTTATTTCACATTGAGGAAAAATATTATTAAAAAAAATTACGCCTGTAATCATGGATAGGGTAGGTAGAAGTATTTGTTGTTGTTGTGAATTAAGTATAATGTAACGCTCGACTTGCTCGCATTTCGCCGAGCACACTTAATTTAATGTGGTAGGGGGTGAGGATAGCGTCGTATCTCGGGATAATTAGGTTTGTTAACGGTGTTTGCTGTAGGCGGAAATCTTGCTAGAAATTTAAATAGACACAAAACATTGTCATTAGTTAGATTAGACCTTACGCTCGAAATTGCATTGAAAATTTGGTATACTTTAATCATTATTAGGCACTTAACTTATATGTAATAGGAAAAAAAAATTACGTTATCAAAAATAAAGTTTATAATTTTATGCGCTTGACTTTACTTATGTTACTTTTTAATATTGTTAGTGAAACAATAAAAAATATTAAAAGTGTCAATATTTAATTTTTGTTTTTATCCTGACTTATTTAAATTTTAAGATTATCAGTCAAATACGTAATTATATTTCACACTAGCTAACCACTGTATACGTAAATATTCATATTTTATAAATATGAGTATGTCCACAATATAATTAAGCATGACGTAAGTAAAAGGCAACTTGCTATTATTATATTTAGGTATGTATGCATGGTGTGTAGTATACATACCTAACATATACGGTTTAATTATACCTACTTATCTTAATTGCCTTCAGAAATAATAAGTAAAGCATGTAGTTTAGTCGTACTTACTTATTATCATCTCTATTCACGAGCTCTTCTCGTAACATATTGAGTATTTTCAATTCTTCATTGTCCTTGCTCTCGTCTTGCGGTGATAGAACCTACGAATAATTTATGAAGCGTGTCTATGTAATTGAAAAGCAGCAAATCGATATAAAGGCTCATGATCATAATATAGCATAAACCAAGAAGGTGGGGGTGAATTAATGAGCAATTCCATCTGAATGAGACTTGTAAAAGCTGTCTTCGCTAGTCTAAAACTATAAGTAGGGTAGTGCAGGCCCCGAGTCTAGTGGCCCAGTGTCCTAGATTTATTTAGGCTGGTATAAATGAAAGGGGCGTGGGGAGTGGGAGCCGGGAGTAGCGGCGTTCGGAGAGGCAGTAGTGCACTCACCGAGTCCTCATCGTCGTCTTTGAGGTCGGAGAGCGCGTCGTTCGCATCGCCACCCTCTACCGCCTCGCCCTCAGGGGCACTTTTTTCTTCGCCTCCCTGGTACTATTAGACATAATATATATGGTATATTCATTAATAAACGTTATCGGTATTACCATAAAATGAATTTGTTAAATTCAAACACATGCGTAAAATACACACACACAGAGAGAATACACACACACACAATTTATAAATATAAATCTTATTCCAAAAGAGCATTTAACATCTATTTATATAAACAAAAGAATGTTGGTTTATTAAAAAAACAGGTATTTAATAATAATAATTTAAATTATTGGAAATAATAATAATTTAGCATATGAAATTAAAAATTCTCATTATTACACTGACCAAATAATTATTAATCACTTAAACAGTTTTGTTAAACACTATTTAGGTAAGTAGTGTTATAAATAATTTTTGAGTGAGACCGTATTTTAACCGACTTCAAAAAAGGAGGTTATTCTAATTTCGGTTGTATTATTTTTTTATGTTTGTCACCTCATAACCCCGTCAGTTATAAACCAATTTAGAAAATCCTTTTCTTTTTTTGTTTGAAAGGATACACTTTCAGATTAGTGCCACAGATATTTTATCAAAATCGATTTAGTAGTTTAGTTTTTAAAAGTGGCAAAAGCAGTTTTAAAAGTAGCTGATTTTGCCACATTTGTAGTCGGTTTTTTTCTTGTGCAATACAATCTTAAATTATCATGACAAAGAATCACATATAAATAGGCCAAATTCACAATTACTTTTATGTGGAAATTTTGTGGCTAACTTTAGTTTAGGACAGAAACAGTATTTTATTATTACGAGGACAAATGGTAGGTAAACTTTAGTTGTGGTGTATTCACTTGAGATGCATCTACTTAAACTAAATCAATAAGAGAGAAACTATGTTCAAAAAGAAAAATACTACTTAAACTAATGAAGCAAAGAAATTATAATAAATTTGTAGGTATCTACAAACACAAGTATACAAATACATTTTAAAATAATGTATATAATGAAATTAATACTTAATTTTATTGAATTTAGATTAGGGGAAAAGTAACGTACAGGTTTCAATACACGAACGATGAAAAATGTTTTGATGCCAGCCTGCCTCAACATCTCTTCGCGGCGCTCGCCATGCGCTGGCTCAACTTCAAAGTCGTCGTTAAGGAAACTCAGCGTTACTTCTGATATGTGAACACGACTGTTAACAATTAAAATAACTCACTATACCAATGTTAACCTAAATTTTATTAGAAATATGAACGATATTACCCAACCAATATTTAATGCCAATTAAAATAATTTAATTGTAATAAAAAAAAAAGTTTTCATTTTAAAACTTAGCATAACTTTGAATTCATAATACAATATTCATTTAGTATTAACTTTTTTTTTTCATTATTTTAAGGGCCTTTACCTTTTTCAGGTATATCAGTCCTATTGTACCCTGAACTGATTTCTCAAACAAAACTTTATTTACTTTCCCTAGACGCGGAAACAGAAGAATTAATGGGCATCAATAATTTAGCATTAACTTGTTTTACATTATAAAAGCTGCAGGTACAATTTAGGTAACCCAAAATTCACACAAACAAACAGCAAACAATCTTTAACATAAAAGGGTTGAAAATTTGATTATTTTAAAATCCAGATATGGACTGAAGTTTCATTTAACAGTTTACTAATATTATCATTTCAGCCGATAACTAGAACTGTTGAATATAAATCTTCTCCATGAGGGGAGTTTTGCTAGTAGTTGCCACGTTTGGCAAGCGGATTGGCAACCGCAGTTAGGCTTTTAGTGATATTTTACCAGGGTCACTGCTGCCTATCCTTCTACCATTAAGTTCTCTTAGTCGCCTCTTACGGCACCTACAGAAAAGGAAGGTGTGGCTTATTCTATATTAAAAATATGCTATAATTCCTGCTTAGTATTATTAGGATTATTCTTAGTAATAGTCAACCTTCTTAAAGAGTAATAAATATATTATACTAACCCAGCCATCCCGCTGCTCTCCATTTTATTGGCAAGTTCTACATCACGCGAGTATACGTCAAACTGCCACTGTCTTTGCCCCAATACTCCCGCCAAAACTGCTCCTGTGTGTATACCAACTCGCATGTCTACGGGCGAATTGGTAGTTTGTTGCACGTATCTAAATAAAAATAAATAATAGTGACTCTTCACACAAGGATATTGGCAATCAAGCATTACGATAAGTCACTATGGTGTAAACTATGGACGTATATATACTGTACTTTTTGTAATACTACTAGAAGTTTTATTTAAAATTTAAATATTTTTTTAATAAAACAATAGATATTAAAAAATGTAGAAATAATTCATTCACAGACATTTCAAATTCATCCATTTACAAAAAATAAATTAATTTAAATAAAAATAAACTAAAATAAAATTTCAATACATTATATTTTAACAAAAATATACTATTTCGTAGATAGTAGTAGATCAATAAACTCCCAGGTAGTTCAAAATTAACAGACTTATTTTTCTTCTTCATGAAAAAAGGTTCAACGTTTCTCGCCCATAAAATTTAATCACTAATCACTACAACTGATAATTACTTGAAATACTTACTTAATTGCTTTAACCATAGATAAACCCATGTGGACACACAGAACTGCATGATCAGGTCGCTCTACTGGTGCACCACTGATACAATAGTAACAATCACCCAAGATTTTGATACGCAGCTGTTGATATTTCTGTATACAAAAACTTTATTTTAAAACGTAAGATATATGGACATTTAAATTTGTAATGATAGAAAATAAATTTATTTACCTCGGCAAGTCGATCAAATCGTGCAAACAACTCGTTAAGAATTGCAACAAGATCTTGTGCTGAATAAGTAGAAGAAATAGCCGTGAAGCCTACGATGTCCGCATACAGGATGCTGGTTTAGCATGCAAAAATTCAGTTACACTATATAAAACACAAATTTACCCAAAAAATACAGAATTGAAATTGAAAAAAAAATTGCTTAATGCAATATACATTTAACTTACCTAACGTTTTCGTGCCTCGACATGTAAATTTTTTTGAACTGCGTATCGATAAGGCCAAGATCTTGTCTCATTTGTATTGCTACGTGCTCAGGAAGCACTGATAGAAGCAAACGCTCCTGAAATATAAAGCTAGGTTATATACTCTGCAACTATTAACATCTTCAATTCTGTTTTTTAACTAGATGTTCTTGCAGTTCAGACTTGATAAAGATATTAAAGAAGAGCTTTTTGTATTTATATTTTTTTTTACACCTTAGAATGGCAAACAAGCTGACGGCCCACCTGATGGAAAGTGGTAACAGTCGCCTATAGACATGAGCAGTACCATGAAGCTTTTATTATATTAGCTTTTAAAAACAGTCAAATTATCTATTATTACATCATGAATCACTCAAAAGACATAACAGAGTATACTGTTACGCCCATGATACCTCCCATGCGTTGCCATTCCTGAGGACTCAGATGTTATTCCACTGTACCCAGTAAATTCACGCCATATCCCACCCTTCAAACCGAAATACAGCCAAGCAAACACAACTGCTTCGCGGTAGAAACACGAATGGGCCAGAGGTACCCAAGCAATCGACTTTTGTACAAAGTCTCTCTCTGGTTTTGTTTGGTGATTGTTTATACTAAAATTTATTTAAAAAAAAAGAAAGTATCTTTTTATAAAAAAATATGTATAGAATTATGAAACTCTAAAAAGTTTCTAAGAAGCTAACATATACAATTATTAAAAAATGCAACCCGTATGTCCTCTTTCACTTGTTTTATTTCGACACTTATTTATTATTGTAAAACAGTAAAATAACAAATTATCTATTATTACATCATGAATGGATATAATTATTATCACTGTACATGATGTAATAATAAATTGAAAATCTTCGTTAGCTATTAAAAAATAGTCAATTGTTCCTCTTAACGTTTACGAAAAGTCTAAATAAAATTCTCTGACCGCGCTTTTCACTGTACTGAAGAAACATTGTATTTTGTATATATAATATATTTAAGAGAACTAGATTAAGTTAGATTGAAAGAGTATATGAATGCGGAACCTAAGGAATATGGGGAAAAATAGGAAAATAGCGTGGCCACGTAATAGTCTTGGCAAATTGTATATCAAATATGTTATGTACGTATTAAGTACTAAAATTGACAAATGTAGATTCCAAAATAAAATATTTTAGGTGTCATGCTTACAAGCTTTAAGAAATAGATTAGGGCTAATATTTTAAGAAACTACGACACCCTCTTACAGAGAAAGTAAGAACATAATGGACATCTGAACATATTTACTAGTAGATAGAAATAGAAGGCGCAAGTACCTCTATTTATTTAAATATATCATTATTAAATTATTTGCATTGTTATTACAAAAGTAAGACCTTTCCTGTACTTAAATACTTTCACAAATACTGTTTGCATTGAACGTTTTACTTGTTATTGGAGTAGAATTATTTTGTTTAATTCCGCTACTATTATATGTGTGTGAGTACCGGACGGTCGATGATTGACCACCATTATTACTACCAGAATTTCTACAACCTTCCATATTAGCCCTCAATCTCCGACTGCCATTCGACACCCTAACTGCAAAACAAACACATAAGACTAGGCTCCGAGGAATGATCTAATAATTTGCCGGATGATGCCTTGTTTAGAAGTAAAACACGTGTCGCAAAACATGCGTGGACGAAATAGCGCAGATTGAGGGCTAATATGGAAGGTTGTAGAAATTCTGGTAGTAATGATGGTGGTTAGTCTTCAGGTGTTGGCAGTTACTCACATACTAATGTTAGCAAAGTTAAACAAATAATTCTAATCAAATAATCAGTTATCTGTGCCAAAAAGCTAGTCTTCAGCTTTTTGCTCGTTACTTCTTACGCATGGATTTTAGAAATAAGAAAATTTACGAAATAGTCTATTTCTAAATGGCGTATCAAAATAAAACATAGACCAGATTTTAAGTCAAATCTTCAGGAATACGGCTATAAAACCGTATCTAATGTAGTGTAATTGTTTTTGTGTGGTTCCAGAATAAACATACAAACAGAGAAACATATAGAATGTCTAAAAAATTGTGTTCCGTTATAGTGATTTAAAAAGTAAACTACTGAATCGAGTTTGATAAAATTTCTATGGTACCAATCTGAAAATATTCAAATTCAAAGAAATCATTTCAAATAACAAAAGAGTTTTTCAAATCTTTTTGCAAATGATGGGGTTATGAGGTAACAGCATAAAATATTTTATGTTTGTTCTTCTCATTTTTTAAAGTAACTTAAAAATATTGTTTAATACACCTTATATAAATTTTTTAGACACTAATTTTAATTGACGATTAATCAAAATAGGATCTGCTATGATTATTTTTTTATATTCTGTATTTGTATCGTTAACTGTAAACACATACATTGGTAATTGCAGTGATTTTTATAACGATTATACATACATCTGCTTAATACTATTTGAATAAACTTATATATACAACAATACAAAACCTGTTCTTTGCTTTGCTGTTCAATGGTAAGCTTGTCCCGTAAACTTCGTTTGGTTTCTTGAAAAGCACAACGTTGTTGTCGCTCACCTACTGCATATGCAGTTCCTCCTAATAGCGTTGCTCCCAACAGAAGTGAACCATTTGCAATTTGCTGTAAAAATATTTAATAATCATATCAAGTGCATATTATTTTTATATCAATGTTAACGAATTATAGACTCTTAATATATGACGAACATAGGCACATTTGGTGGGGGGGGGGGGGGTGATTTGTCTGGTGCCCATCCTAGGATCTTATCCTAGGATGTCTATGTATATATATGCCTTAAGTGCCATATGGCCAGGCCTCTCCTGAAAAGTAATCTCAAATATGCCACTGGTGGTGAGTAATGTATGGTTTAATAATATTATACATAAACCAATTTCCGATTTCCTTTCAAATATGCCAATAAGTAAGTAAGTACGTTAAATAAGTTATAATGTTCTAAAACATTATTTTATTTTGTAATACATATTATTGCTGTCAATCACGACTTTAAGTGATTGTTACTTTTCATTAGGTGAGCCGTCGGCTTGTTTACATTCCAAAAGGCATTAAAAAATAATCGCTACCTCTTATTTTGAAACTATAATTTACAGCTAAAATGGTAATGTTATTATTAGTATTTTAAATAAAGTACCTGATAACAAAAATCTTCTGCCAGTCGACTTTCTGAAGTTGAAGCATTATAATATTGTACGAGGAGATAAGCGGTGAAAGAAATAACGCTGTATAATATCAATATTATGCAATGGAATGGCAGAGTTGCTAATGTGAAGTATTGTAGAACGATGGCCCAACCCAGCAGCTCGTTATATGAGTCACCAAGACGACGGGAAACACTTATGAGGAGCTGTATCCATAGAGCAAACCACGCGACATGATTTAATACAGGACGCGCAGAACGGAAACAGGAATATACTGTAGCCAGGGTTAAATTAGCAAATAGCGATATCACCACTGAGCTGTACGCAAAAAAGAGATCTCGTTCTCCTGGTACTACAATTGCAAACGCCTGTAGCAATACACCAGTGATAAGTAGCCGTGGAATAGCACGTTGACGCTGGCGTTTAGTGTATGCTGTATATAATTGTTCTTCTTCTCGATCGGTGAAACCCCATGGTGGCACTAGACATACCCAACAAGAATATTTATTTAACGTTCGTGGCTGCATTGATTTCTCCATTTCTATCAGTAACATCCCATTTTTAAAAATCCTTAAATCATAGCGTGGCGAGACATGTTTGTTTACTTTTGTAGGCCGTAAATACTATTTTCATGTCCCGTAAATTATATCTGTTTCCCATTAAATTTTGTATTAAATGTCAGCATATCTCCGTACTCACACTGAACACATTCACATTCACAATTTTTTTCCGAGTTCACTTATAAAGCATATTTTATTAAATTACTGATTATCATTAAATCACTTTCACAATAATAATTAAATGTCATATTCATAAATTATTAAGATGATATTAAAGCAAAATAATAATGAAGCTAAAATTTTAATGAGGTATGGTTATTTTTCTATTAATTAAATTACATTTGTAATTTGAGTACCTATTTAATATAACCTGCATATATTATGCAAAAATAAATGCATCAACAGTAATACTCGTAAATTGTTCATTATTGCGAGTAAATTGTAGCGACATGTAGGCACACGCGTTAGAGTTCATCAAGCGGAGACTTTCCGTTAGTGACGGCCTGATCGAGGACGCCTGTGTAATGAATAAATTACACGCTGAAACATTGTTCCGATATCCATTCATTAACTGAGCCGTCTACAGACATTACCAACTCATTCTGTCCAAAGATACATATATACTAATTTCAATATTGACAATCGTTACGGCGTATATAAGTACCGTGACCGTGAAACTGACTAGCTTATACAAATTATTTGTTAGACTTAATTTTACTCATTGCCGTTTCTTACGGCTTTTGTATCTAACAACAGATTTTAATCATCATATTAACTAATAAGTGAGTAGATAGTCTAAGGCTAACATTCCAATCATTGCACATATCATTGGAAGTTGGTTTGCTGACCAGAATTTATTTAATACCATTTAACACAACAGATATTTCAGGTTTTCAGCGTTTGTTAAGATCTCTTTTGAGCACAACGGTTCCAAGTGTCTGGATGCACCTCCATTGAGTTTAGCGTTCATTTTGTTGCTTTAAAAATATATTTAAATACTCTTTAAAATAAAATATATTATATTTATAAAAAATAATGATTTCTAAGTTTAATATATTTTTTTAAATACGATTACTTTATTTAAAAGTAAACGATGTATATATACTTCATCTATCTATTCGCACAAATTATAATGAATATAAAAATTGAAATAAATGCCAGAACTTAATATTACAGAAATTATTGTATCAAGACCATGACAACACAAAATAGAGTAATATTCAAAATTTTGAAAGTCATTTGCAGTTGTTCATCACATTTCAATCAATCAATAATTGATTGCACAAACAAAGGCATTAGGTACTTTTAAATACTCTGAAAAACCAAATAGGGTAACATCCAAATCATCCAATCCCAAGCTAAGTACATTAAAAAAGTACGTAACTAACCTTCCTATTTCAACCTAGATTTTAATCTGTAATATTATTCTGGTAAAGAACTAACATAATAAATAATATTTGATCGGATAGACATAAAACAAATACATATATAGACACACATATATTATTATTAACATAATTATTGTTGTATTATAAGTATAATTTGAACTATAATTTATAGCTGGTTAGTTTATATATAATACAGTAAATACATAAATAATAAATTCATTCAATAAACTATTTAATAAATATTTAATTACGTGTATTTGATTAGTATTTATTTTTTCACTCCAATATTGGATTCTGCTTCTTTTCTACAATTTAAATAATATCAATCACACCATCTGATTTATGACATAAATTTTGTTTTATTATAAATAAATAATTACAAAAGCTAACAATATTTAAAAACTCGGATTACTGTCATTTAATAATCAGAATAAAAATCAACTGTAAAGTAATTGTATGATTCGTATATATTAATTTATAGACTGTGGCTAATATTATCATTGGTCTCATTCCATTATTTTATAACAGAAAATATTAAGAAAGCGAAGATAAAACATACTAAAATACTTTATATTTATGCTGTATATCACACAAAACCTTTACGACACATTTTCATTTGAATATCACTTTACCAATTTCTTATTGTATTGCAATAGGTTTCCCGCCGAAATCATGGTTCGATGATGTAAGCTATCTATGTAAAAGACTTACTATTGACCTAATAACGTTTAATTCACCAAGACGGTGATAACGTATGCCGGAAACGAAGATGAGATGTAAAAATGAGTTTAATAATAGAACGATCCGTCGTGGGGAATATTAAAGTATGATGTCCTCAAAATATTGAGCGAATGGGGTGTGTAGGGCGCGGGTGGTGTAGCGGACTAGGGAGCGATAGCGCGAAGGCGGTGCGCGCACGTGTTCGCGTGCGACTGCCGCGCCGGCCGCGAGCCGCCAGCCGCCGCCCACAGCGCAGCGGACACCGCGGCCGCGCCGCTTTGCCGCCCCTGCCGCCCCTGCCGCCCTAGGCGACCCAAGCGCCCCAGGCGAACGACGACCCGCGCCCGCCCGACTTACTACATTGATTCCTCTCTTGTTTCCACGTGTAATACGTCCTATAACCACTAAAATATTAAAGTAATTATTTGAACATATTAGGTATTTAGGATTGACGGGCACTCTATTTCTTGATTACATTTGTTGTCATATATTAATTGTGATCTGATCTCTGTAATGTCTGTAATATTTTGGAATATGATTTTAAACTTCAATTTAATTACTGAAACATTGTCAAAAGCTTCAATTAATATTTATTTGATAATAATGCCTTTTAACGTTTTTTAATCTTGCTTTATACTCTTAATAGTGAATTTAAAAGAAGACGTATTCATTGCTGTTTTATGATGATATGAAAGCTGACGGGTAATAGCGAAGATTGCATATCTCAAATCAATAGTTTTGTAAATTACTTAAAATAAATACATGACCAAATTATTAATAATAAAGCTGTTTTTAAAATAATGAAATTGACTTCACAGAAGAATTAGAATTAGAAGTTCGTTTTTAGAGTTATAATGATGCGACTTTGTCCCTCTGTCCATCAGTCTATCACAACACTTAATCTCAACAACTGCAAATAGTATAACTTTGAAATTGAAATTTTTTGGAATTGTTTTATTTATCGTTAGCTGTCTTATATTGCAAAATAATAAAAAAAAATCTTTGCTAGGGAATCCAAAACGGATACTCAAAATTTTAAATTGATCCTAGTACTCCAAACCACTTTTAATTGTTTTATGCGACGTAGTTTTTTTTTTTTTATTTATGATCGAATATGTGAAAAAATACCATTCCCGTTTTCTAATTTCCAAAGTTTGTTAAGGATTTTTTTTTTTCAAATAATTGTAGTTACTAAAGGTACTGTCTGTTCCCAGCGGCTTTGTTCGCGTGAATCAGTATAGAAGGTATTCTTCGTATTGAGATATAATATAGTGCATTTATATCAAGACATATTTATTTACACAAATTTATATTTATATTGTCATATTTATGACTTTCTACGTTATATATTATATAATTATAATTTGTTGTAAAGTACGCGGTCGGTGCTTCCCTTTTATTTATATCATTTATCTATTTACAATGTAAAATGATATGCCTGTAATCAAACGTACCTACTTGCTTATAATTTATTCATTTAAATAATATAAATTTAAATTAAAAAAAAATTCTTTCTTACTTCTTTCTTTGTATTTATTATATAAATAAATAAATAATGTTAATAGTATTTTGGCAAATTATTTTACTTTGAAAGTATACGTATATTATACAATTGTAAAACAAGCTGTAACTATTCCAAATGAAAATAAATAAATAATCTATCTGCGTATCAAATTAGATTTAAGTCCGTTCAGACGTATAACTGCACATAGTACGTAATAAACGTAGATACAAACATCTAACACCTTTACAAACTTTTACATTTATAATAATAGTACAATGTTAATATTACAGGAAAAATAAAACAACTTTTCTAACTTGCATAGTTTATGAGACGTTAAAACCCTCAAAAAATTTATTTAGTTATGCAGAGCAGTTTGTAACTACAATTATGGTCCTAATAAAAAAATATATATAAGAAACACGGGTCTTTTATATCATATTTTTATGCTATTTCGAATGGTAAACAAGCTGACTGTCCACCTGATGGAAAGTGATAACCGTCGCCTGTAGATATGAGCAATACCATGGACATAACAGAGTATACTGTTGCGCCCATGATACCCCCCATGCCTTGCAATTCCTGAGGACACAGATATTATTCCTCTGTACCTATACTGTGAATTCACTGCCATGTCCCACCTTTCAAACAGAAACACAACCATGCAAACACAACTCCTTCACGGTAGAAACACGAATAGGACAGAGGTGCCTAAGCAAACGACTTTTGTACAAATTCTCCCTCTGATATACCCTCTTTATAATAGGTTCATAATATTAGAAATTGCACTTCTGGTATGTATATTACTTGTGCTTGACAGGATGCATACATGCATTGCATAGGATGTTTAGCGGTGTTTTTCTTTCTCGGTCAAATATGCAAATTTTTATTGGACTTTCACCTAAACTTACCATATGCTCATTTTGCAGCATTTAATGAGAGCCATTATCAGTACAGACTATTCTTATCACTTATAAATTACTTAAAGTCATCGTGTAAATAATGTTCTATTTAAGTATATGGATATATCTACCATTTCATATTCTTATATACCATATTTTGTTTTTTAACATTTACTTCGTTTTAAGTGTCGCAGTTTTAGGCATCTGATCATACCACAGAAGTGTTCTGGATTCAACAGAATGAATTTTTTTTTATGCGTTTTTATTACTGTTCAAGATCCAGTGGCCAAGCTTTTCAAAGTAATGTTATTTCTGCTTCGTAGGTTGTTTAATAAAAAGCTTGGTCTAGCTGACTATCCAAATATATATTTGAGTTTTGTTATTTTGACTTAGGTTTAACTCCTTATTAAAAGCATCAATTATTTTACATCCAACAGTAAACCAGACTAGGTCATGGTCTGTATGAGATAATAGACTTTTTTCACCAGATTATGCAAACGTTTATTATTAACGGCCTAACTATGACGTATAATCAGAGGGCGATTTTGGGATCATCTGCACCCGGCTAAATGACGTCTAATGAGGGGAAAGGGATTGTTAACAATGGAGTTTAACAGCCTCATTACTAGCAATATATACTATCAAGTCGACCTCCACGTGGTTCCCTCTAGAAACCATCGTGAATATTTTTTTTGAATTCGTCACGATGGTATAACTGACCTGCTTCATCCTCACATATCATCTCTCTTCATTCTGTTTTTACTTAAAAAGAAAGGAGGCACCTTAATGATTTATTGTTTTTATTTTATCATTCCATCTATGTAATTCCTTGTTCTTAGGTTTGGACAGATCTAGTTGTCAAAAAGTGATATTACGTATTACCTAGCACGATTGTATCTCAACCAAAAGTTTAGATATATGTGATTTGATTTTATTCATAACTACATTATACTTAATCTATGGCTTTACTCAACCGTTTTGATATTACATGACACCATAATTGAGAGATATTTGAATTCCAAATTATCATACTGAAGACTAGGCAGCATGGTCTCCGACCTTAGCCTGTTGCATAATAGAACAAACGTACTAAAAAAAATGAGAGATATTTGACTGACAGCTAGAATTTGTCACTTGTTATTATTCAAAACTTTATTTGTTATCTTTATTTCCTATTTTACTTCATAAATGTTTAGACATAGTCTCTAAACTGTATTCATAAATGCCGTCATCTTCATTGCTGAAATCATATACATGTTTTATCTATTTAAATTCTTTATGTGATTTTTTAATATTTTGTCTATTTTATTAATAGGTTATTTACCTAATCAATAACGCCTATAACCTGTAGCTGACTGGTTTGCAGAAGACCGTAAAAAGTTTATATGTTGCTGACGATAGACTAAACTACGTTTTATTGCTCTGCGGAATTACAATTTATAATTATCAAATATTTTTATTCTACTAAAATGGATAATGACACTACAGTCTTTTTGAAACCTGTTCTACCGCATGTGTTTAAAGCTATTAAAAATGTTGATATTGATACTCTAATGAAATGTTCACCTGACGAAATAAGGCCTATTATACCATGTTTAGTGCGTATGGCCCTTATATCTCCTCTGGATGTGACAAGATATTGCACCGAAGCTAAGAAAGACATACTAACTCTATTATCTGGTATTGACTTGGTAAATTTTATTGTCTCCCTTTTGTCTATAGAGTTCCACACTCTAGAGGTAGATCTGAAAAAGGAACAGCAAATGAGGTAAGGTTTCTATTAAATTATTTCTACTTTTTTTCTTCGAAGCATTGACTCAAAGTAAACACTTTGAAAATAAAAATTTTCTTATATAAATTAGGAAGTAATGTTTTTATTTATTTACAGACAAAAAAATGGCTCCCAATGTACTGAATCTTTCTTAATTCAAAAAATTGTTATTGGTATAGCAAATGATTTTGAAAGGTCAGACTCTGCTCGCCGTGTGCGCTTAGTTCTATCTGAAATTTTACAAATGCAAGCTCAACTTATAGAATACAATCAAAACAAAAACACAAATGTAGAATGTACTATTAAACCTTCAGAATTGTTTGATAATGATGTCTATTTAGAAGAGATTACAGATGTCATATGCATAAGTTTAGCAGAACTGCCAAATTTATTAAACATTTGTGATGTTGTTGAAGTACTACTACATGTTAATAAAGGACCCATTATAATATCATGGGTAGTTGCTAATATGCCTGATACATTACAAGAAGGTAAGTTCTTTAATAACCTGATTCCTTATAGGATTTTCACCCTATGTGGAAACTAATAGAGCATGTAACCCAGGTTGTTTCTTATTTAAACCAAGTTTCATTAAAAAATTATGCCAATTGAAGCCAGAAGCAGGATCTTAATAGTATCTGACTATTCATTAATTTATTTCAGAATAAAGTAATTGAATAAATGTAAAAATCAAACATAAGTTCTAAGTTAATTAAATCCAACTGATGAAATTATCTTATGAATTATAAAGGGATGATAATCCTATCTACACTGAGATGAAGTACTGAGATAAAATAGGTGAGGATGAATTTAGATTGATTGACCCATTGTATCAAGTGAGTCTTTGCATAGGTTAACATTTCAGGATATATTACTTAGCCTATTAACTTTTTTCTACTATGAAGGTAGCTAACAAGTTTTAATCTGATAGTAATTAGGAATAGGTACTGTAGCCTATAGATATCTGTGACACAGAGTGCCACATACACATTGCTGTCCTTGAAGAAACCGTAATGCACCTTTTTTGAACAACCTCACACTGTAGTGTCTAGGAAAAACTGCAACAAGGAGCTTATTCCACACTAATTGATCTTATTACTAACAACCCCCTGCCTCCCACTCATCTACTATGGCAGTTAGAAGATTAAACTTCATTTTTGCTACTGCACCCTTTAACCAAAGTAACTAACCAGTATTACAATAACTACTTATTATTTCTATATATTCCAGTAATAATATTTTTTTTTAAATTTGTTCATACAATAAGAAACATTGGTATTTAGATATTGCAGGCTTCAAACTTTAGAAGTATATATATGCTTCTAAAGTTTGTATATGCAAAAAATGTTTTCGACATAAATAGATAATTCTCATAATTGTTAATTTATATTGGAAGTATTTCTTATATATAGATGATTTATTTGTATTAAATTAATATTTTTATACAATAAAATAGTGGCAGAGTCATTAGTAGTGAATGCAGAAAGGGGTGAAGAAGGTGGCATAAGAGCAAAAACACTTGCAACTCTTTGTGATGCCTGCCCATATATAGCAGCTGCTGTACGATCTAAAGCTGCTGCAGTATCACGCCTTCCCTCATTAATTATAAATCTTACTTTGACACATCATCAGGATGATTTGGTAAGTTTTGCTTCCTAATTACGAGAAATCATAAATTCCAATACATATGATGAAACAAATTTTTTATTGTAGATATATTTTTAGGTATCATTTATGTCAGGACTTTTGCTTGGTTCTGATCAAACAACTAGAGCATGGTTTGCCACATTTTTGCGTAATTCACATAAAAGAGGCAAAGGTGATGGTCATACATCACTTACAAAACTTCGCCTTGAATTGTTGAATAGGCTGAAAGAAGCTACTGCCGGTGTCAATGCCTCTGCACTGCTCAGGCTATATTGTGCTCTTAGAGGTATAGCAGGAATAAAATTTCAAGATGATGAGGTAGCAGGACTTTTGAGATTAGTTACACAAAAACCACCTCCAACACCAGCTGGAGTCAGATTTGTTTCCTTGAGCCTTTGTATGATTCTGGCTTGTCCATCGTTAATGGGTATGTAGTTTTTAAAATAATTTTATATAATAAAATATATATTAGTTAAGTGTAAATTTTTTTTTATAATAATTTTATTTATGACTTTATAAGTGGTGCAGTAAAGTGTAAAATACTTTATTTAATATTACAGCTGCACCTGAACATGAAAAAAGAGCTATAGAGTGGGTACAATGGCTAGTCAAAGAAGAAGCATACTTTGAAAGGTATATTGGCTTACAATATTTGTTTCATAACAAAAACATTGGAGTCGATTCCAAAGCGCCGTGTCTCTAAACCTATCTCTAAAAGTAAAATTGCAATTTAATATCACAATGAAATCTTTATTCTAAGAACCAATATGAACTAAATTTCTTATAGATATAAATCAAAATTATAATAAATTTAGTTTATGATGGTCCAAAATAGTAATTACGCAAAACTATCAAATTAAAATATTGGGTTAAGAGATAGGTTTCGAAAAACGACGTCTCAGAATCGATACCAATATCTATCAAACCGATAATTATTTTTATATACTTTATTTAAACAGCAATTCAGGTGTGACAGCATCATTTGGCGAAATGTTGCTTTTAATAGCAATCCATTTTCATTCTGGACAATTGACAGCTGTTGGTGAATTAGTATGCGCAACTCTGGGCATGCGCGTTCCTGTACGTCCCAATGGACTAGCACGTATCAAGCAAGCTTTCACACAAGAAATTTTTACAGAACAGGTACATTTTTCTTTATTATAATACATATGACCACACCATCCTGAACGAACACAGAGACGACATAGTCCATAAATACGACATGTACGCCTTCAAATTACCCTAGTTCAAATTTCCAAACGTAGAATTTCACAAAAACCATTCACGATAACTCTATGATGTTTATCTTATTGTGATGGCAGCAGTGCCATGTTCATTAAGTATCTCAAAATATATCCTAACACAGAGATAAACCATCATAGATTAAAGCAGAGACCTTTTATCCCCATTCATGCGAGCAAAGCTTTGGATTAAACAAAAAACAATTTTAAAGTGTAAGACTAATCATAGTCTTAATTTTCGTTACATTTAAATATATTTAAACCATTATTTTTTATTTTAGCCATAACATTAAATTTTGTTTCCAGGTTGTTACTGCTCATGCTGTAAAAGTGCCTGTAACGGCTAATCTCAACAGTAATATCGCTGGATATTTACCAGTGCATTGTATTCATCAATTGCTCAAATCCAGAGCATTTTCAAAGCACAAAGTTCCAATCAAAAATTGGATATATAGCCAAATTTGTAATTGTACAGCGCCTTTGCATCCTGTTATGCCCGCACTAGTTGAAGTTTACGTAAACTCTATTCTTGTTATTAATAACAAAGGCACAAACGAGTATGTAAATAAACCGATTACTGAAGAAGAAATTAGAAAGGTTTTTAGGAACTCGATATTTGGAGCGAACTTTGATATACAAAATAAACCTTTTAATCCAATGGAGGTAGATAACGGGGAAGCCTCGATTGAAATCGATATAAATAAACCAACTTTAGCTTCTCAACTATTATTAATTTATTATCTGTTATTATACGAAGACGTCAGATTATCCAATACGGCTACACTTATTGCCAATGGCAGAAAAGTGAAAAGTTATTCTTCAGCATTTTTATCTGAATTACCTATAAAGTATTTATTGCATCAAGCACAGAAAGATCAGATGAGTTATGGATGCCTATTCAGTCCTCTTCTTCGCTTACTGGCTACTCATTTTCCACAACTGTCACTTGTTGATGATTGGATGGATGATCAAGTATTTGGAGATACTTGTCGCCATCAAGTTGATGTAAACTTATCAGAAGCCGCTATCAATGAAGCATTTCAGAGTATTGAAGAAAATCCTTATAAAACTGGTAAAATTTTAAAAGCTATGCTTAATAAAAATCCAACAGATATCTGGCCTTTTGCAGAGGTATTTGTGAAATATTTCAAGAGCGTACTTGGTGATCAAGTCCCAAGGCATATACAAGAATTGTACCGTGAAGTTTGGCTACGACTTAACACTGTTTTGCCGAGATGTCTCTGGATAATGACAATTAACGCTTTGTTAGATATTAACGGAAATGTCAAAAATGTTACAATCACACAAGAAAATGTTTTAGTAGATCCTTTACAAGTATTAAGATGTGACATAAGAGTATTCAGATGTGGTCCTATTTTAAAGATAATTTTAAGGATTTTAGAGGCAAGTTTAGCAGCTTCGAGAAGCCAACTCAGTCGACATTTGCTAGATAAACCTCTTCTTGAAAAAAGTGGTCAGTTGAATTCCGATTCTGAAAGAGAAGAATTAAAAAACGCTTTAGTAGCAGCACAAGAGAGCGCGGCACTTCAAATATTACTTGAAGCATGTCTGGAAACTTCAGAAGATGAAAATAAACCAGAATTGATGTGGTCATTGCGTGAAGTCAGAAGCATTATTTGCTCATTTCTTCATCAGGTTTTTATTTCAGAACCTTCATTAGCCAAACTAGTGCACTTTCAAGGATATCCACGAGAACTTTTATCTGTTACAGTACAGGGTATTCCTTCAATGCATATTTGCTTAGATTTTATACCCGAACTTTTAAGTCAGGCGTCACTTGAGAAACAAATCTTCGCTGTAGATTTGGTATCACATTTATCAATTCAATATGCTTTACCAAAAGCCATGTCTATTGCAAGACTTTGTATAAATACTCTTTCAACTTTATTATCAGTGCTTCCGAGTGATTTACGCTTAGAACTTTTTCAGCCTATTTTGAAATCATTAGTACGAATATGTACAGCATTCCCATCACTATTAGAAGATATTACATCTCTACTTTTGCAACTTGGACGGATATGTGAATCGCAAGCATCACTTGGTCATTGTTGGAATGATACGAATATATTGGGTGAGGGTGCTTATGTAGCATCAGATGTTCAGCCTAAGACGAAGGTTTTAATCGCAGAAGTTTTATGTCGGGATATTAAATTGACAATGTCAGAAATTATACAAAAAGCACTCTTAAATGATAAGATTTATTAGTTTGTTAGTGGCTAATTTAGGGTCCATTCTTTCATAATAAAAATATTAAAGTATTATTTATGTACTATCAATTTGTACAATAAAGTATAAATAAATAAAACACAAATATTTTTTGCCTATTATTCCTATTATTGATCATCATTTTACACAATCTTCTTTCTTCTTCTTCTTCTTCAAAAGGGGGGTAAAGAGGTTTCTTCAGGGTCGGCAACGCACGCGTAATACCTCTGGTATTGCAGGTGTTCATATGCTACGGTAACCACTTACCATCAGGTGGGCCGTATGCTTGTTTGCCACCACAGTGGTATAAAAAAAAACCATTTTCTTTATTACTCTGACGAAATTAGCTTACTGCAAAAGGTAAAGACTATGAAAGCTATTAACTATGAAACATATTAAATAAAAAATTTGGAATAGAAAAACCTTTATTAATACATTACAAGTAACATATTGGAAAGTTCTATTGGGTTTTCAGTTTCCAATTGTCTGTACATCCACGCACATTGGTTCCTAGCTGCATGGTTTCCAATGTCATTATATAACTGTGCCTGAAATAATACATGCTAATATTGTAATTAAGGAAGATATTTAATTGATATCTGTAGTTGGTAAAATTATAAAGAAATAGTGATTACTAAACTATATAGATTATATACAAGATGAGTCATAATAAATATTTTACAAAATTCATATTCAATTTGATTTGAAAATAACTTTAGAAATTAATGTTGCAGGCGCATCTAGAATCGTACGCCAAAATGCTAAAGAGCGCTTTATTTATAGTAAATTTTTTCCTTACAGAAATATTTCCACCAATATAGAAAAAAATTTGAAAATAGACTATAGAAAAACAACATTTACACAATATACTTAAATTTGGCGGAAACATGAGATAATTACAGATTATCTCACGTTTCCACGATACAACATACATAAGTTAAAAATTTTAGAACGCTGTCTCTTATAATTTTGCATACAATTGCAATTAAACTTGGATACTACTATTCATATTGCATATTAATTACATCATAACATTTACCTGTAAGTACCATGTTTGTAGTAATCTCGCATGTGCACCAACTTTCGAAAAATTCTTTTTTACTGACTCTAAAGCATCACAACAAGACTGAAGAACTTGCACGCGGCTCTCGCCAGCCACCGGCGCCGATGCGATCCGACACTTCGTATACAATAGTAATGCTAAAATAATTACAATAAAATTTAGCATATTATAGTAGTGACTATTTGGTAGATAACAAAATATTTTTTATTTTACCTCTTGCCATGTCGTATGCACTTCCATGAGCCATAATTGTGGGTAATACTTTTCTCACAAGAGCCAAGGCATTCTTAGCATAACCCATATGTAGTTGTTCATTAGCTATATGCATTTCGGCAGTAGCGGCTAAATAAATTAGGTGGTATTTTTTTGCTAGTGATAGAACCTCATTGAGTATCATTATATTTGTCGACTGGATGCTGCTAAAGGTATGTTGTACTTGAGACATTAATATCATAGCTCTTAATTTCAACGACACGTAATGCAAACTATCGTCTTCTGTCTTACAGAAATCCAAAATATCATGAAGAGACTGCAACGCCTCTGTGGCATCTCCTTTTAGAAAATACATTTCAGATTTTAGTAACTGACTCTCCCATCTGTCGTATGATGCTAGTTGTTTTATACATTGGTCGGCTTCTTCCCATTTACCTACAATTATATCACTTGTAATGAATAATTTACACATTAAATTTATAAAACAAGTTTTATAGTAACACAAATAGATACAACATTATTAAAAATTGTGTACCACAAAAATACAACAGATTTCGATATTTCCATGGGACCAAACTGTAAGTATATCCTTTCAGATAAAAAAAATATTTACTAAATCGGTTTAAAACATAAAAAAAAAACAATCGAATTGAAGATCTTTGTGAAGTCAGTTGAAAATCAAATCTTATAGTTTTGTGTCTTTGCACAATCCATACTTAAAAAATATAACACAAAGTCGATAATAAATATTGAACACATGGAAATTCCTTAGATAATTATTATCGTGTCGCGTTACGTCGAGAGTTATACGGCAAATTCAGTGCCTTCTATAAGTCATCGGTTATAACATTGATATATACATTGATTATAACCTCCGATTTCTACTGAACTACATATTTTTGTGGTCTGTATTTTAATGTACACAATTTTAAACGAGTATTTTGGCGCCATCTATTGAGCAAAATATTATATAACGTCACCGAAGTGAAGTGGGACATGGACGGTTTGTTATTGTGGTGATAGAAAAAAAAATTAACAAGAGCAGAGAAGAGGCCCGCGAAGAGCGAAAAAAGAAGACACCACGCCGGCATAAACAGACCATCAGTGTATGCCGGCTTAAGAACCCAGCGACCCGGAGGTTGTTGCCTTCGGAGTTGAAGCCGGGGTAGAGGGGTTTACCTCGAGGCCCCTACCTCGCCCATCCACACAATATAGGGCGGGTAAAGAGATGACTATGATTGATTGACAAAAACTCCACTCTCTCGCTCTCGATATACGTGCAACTAGCTAACAAATCAGACCTTATAATAAATTCACATTCGTCAAAATTAAAAATAAACGAGTTATTGAAGAGATCCTGCACCCACAAACGTATACACATACAAAAAAAGAAAAGACGCAAACAGACTACAATAGACGCAGTTTGGTAGAAATGCAATGTTAAAAGACAAACTGGTCAACTCACCCGCTAATAGCGCGAAAGAGGCTTGGTGCTGTGTGGCGACGGCGACAAGGCGCGGGTGCGGCGCGGTGGGCGCGTGCAGCGCGGGCTGCGCGTGCCGCAGGTGCGAGGCCAGCGCGGCGGCGAGCGCGCCGTCCGCCCGCCACGCCGCCACGCACACCATGCCCGCGCCCGCCGTCGCTGACGCCTCCGTCCAGTGCCAAACGCTACTGTTGCCCACCGCACACTCTAAACCGATAACATATCTGTACTGGTCTGAGTTTTACGAGTATTTTTCAGTACCATTGTGTCGGCTATCGCTTTCTGTGACGTGGACAGCGTCAGCTTGTTGACATAAAAAAATATAATTCCCAGTTTTACTTTAAAATTTCGCAAAACGTACTGTGTGTATTCTATAATTTATATTGATGCTTTATTACACATATCACAATGATGTATAGAATTTAGTACTATTCCACACATAACATGAAGACTGTCTTAAACTGTCCTCTTCTTCAAACCAACTGTGAAATTATCTAAAAATACAGTACACACAGAATTGCGACATAGTTAAAATAGCATAGGTAGTAGGTACTTGTACTATTATAATCACATCATATGCCTATACGTCGTCGTCTATTTATATAATTGTGAAAACCATGAATTACGCCTTTCATGAAGTGTCCGGGATAGACTACTAGCGCAGGGAATGTATACGCGATTCACATGCTATTCATTATCGTCATATTAACCTATTGACGGGACGTCACTGATGAGTACGAATTGTTTTCCAAGAGAGAGGATATCAACCTATTATTATTACGCTGTATACCTAGAGTTTTAACTGATATTATTTTGTAATGTAAATTCCATTATCAACAAATCGGCATAGTAAAGAAAGAATTTTATTTTCACAATGCGTTATCTAAACATTGGACCTTCAAGCCAAATTTGATCTTTCGAGTTCGGTATAAAACTTATTTTTATCAGTTTTTTATTTTTTCAGTCGATTTAACGAAAATAAAAAAAAGACATTTAAACTGTTTAAATATGTATAATTATTTATTTAAAAACTAAAAGATTATTCCGTATGATATCTGCACTAGCGCCTTTGTTGACGTTGGTGCCTTTAATATATTGCTAGTTGTTGGAAATAATTTTTGGCCAATTATTAAACCCCTAACTTCAAAATTATTTTACTACGAAACTATGATATTTTTATTTGAATGAAATCAAAGTGACATGAAAGCTCCTAATTAGCTTTATATTATATATTTTTATTCCAATTTTCCAAATAATTATAAGGTCGTTAAAAAATTAAAAACTGTAAGTCTAATTTTATACTCACTCGTGTTCAAATTAAGAAGTAACTGACAATTAATGGACGCCATCTCAGTCTTTCCATATAATGACCACAGAGCTGCAGTATTCGCTAAACCTGCCATTGTGAGATCCGTCATCGAATGTAAGTAGTTTATAGTGTCTCCTTTCGTTATGATCTGAAAAACAATACATTTTAAAAAATATAAACCTTATTAAAATATAACTACAATTATGTTTTTATAACACTCCAAATATAAATACCATACATTAGATGTGTAATTATACAGTTTAATTCAAATACGAAACATTGAATTATATATCACATCGATAATCATAGTTTATCGATGTGATGTGTGCCTACTGAGTGATCAAAATGTACCTAGTTGTTTCACTTATGCGTTACCAATATATATTACATAGTATATTAGTCCTTACCCATGAGTTTATTCACGTAACCGGGGTATGTTTATTTGCCGGAATAAAAAGTTACCTACCTTCTCTATCCTAAATAATATATGTATATAATATTTCATGATGATGATTGAGCCGTTAAAGCGTCAAGACGTAACAAACAAATTTACTTTGAAATTTATAATATTAGCAGTCTAATTCCAGAGATTTTTTTCCTACCAGTCACTCAACAAAGAAACAAGGTTCAAGATATGTCAAAGACGCCGGACAGCGGTGGTCCATTAGAGTGTGATGTGAGATACTAGTAATGCGGGGGATAGTCAGTAATGAGGTCCAACAGCCGCGCTGCTAGCAATATACCCTAGCTCTACCTCTACACAGTTCCCCCTGAAAGCCATTGCAGTTAATTTTTGTTGAATTCCTCACAATGGGCAAACTAACCTGCTTTCATCCTCACCTATCATCCCTCACTGGTGCCGATAGCGCAGACGGAGTTAGCATTCCATTATCGTCCATTTAATATCACTATGTGGTAAGGTATGGCCGTGTGGTAAGGCTGTAGCGACCTGGAAAACCTCCGAGGGCTTGGCGCCGTTGACGGCGGCATGCTGCGCCATGAGCTGCGCGGCGGCGGCGGCGACCCGCGGCGCGCGCGGCACGCGGGCCAGCAGCGCGGCGCGGCGCGCGCGGCCGCCCGCCAGCGCGCCCCACGCCGCCGCGTGCGCCAGCGCCGCGCCGTCCGCCGCGCCCTGCGCCGCCGCCAGCGCCTCGCGCACCGCCTCCATCGCCACCGCCCTGCACGCGATACGTACGCACACCGTACTCCATATCACAACACACATAAATACTGATACCTTACATTACATACATAGAGCATTGAGTCTCGAAACCGACTCATCTTTTTGTCAACTAATTATCAAATTAACTGACTCGTTTTTTTTATCAGTGCTCTATATTCTTACGTACGAGTAAATAATGTATATTGACGTATGTATATTACATACATACATATCTGTCACGCCTGTCTCCCGTTAAAGTAGGCAGAAACAATGGAACGCCAAATGCTATGTATGTATATTTAACTATGTATATATGTGTAATAAAAAGAATGAGTTTTTGCGCATTAAAAAGATGCAAAACTTATAAAACAAAATAAATATAGAAGTTATGGAAACATAACTATTTATCACGCAAAATTGTATGAAAAAGTTGACCCGCTTTTCTTTGAGCATTTTTATGGAGACACTATCTATATAATCTAAGACTGCTTAACTATATAACTCAATTATATAAAAAGTAAAACACATTATAATTGTCTTGCTCTGTTTGAAATGTCACATCACTGTAATTTATATCTACACTTCCCGCACTCTAAATTTTACAAAAGATTACATAATAAGTTAGATAATACACATAACATTACAACAGGAAAATGGCAAAAATTCGAGATTAGAATTTTTATTTTTTTTATAAAGTATCAGCAGAATACGAGTATCAACGTTCCGGGTGCTCCGCAGCGCAATGCTAAGTTGGCTACCCGTTTACTGTTGCGGCGCATAAAAACATCTATTATTTGTTTTGTTTATAATTTCAAAAATTAGGTACTTGTAATGATGAGTAAACAATTTTTCTATATATTTATTATAGGTTAGTAAGGACCTTTTAGCTAGCGATATAGCTATCAGGTCGGCCTCGACCTCCTGGAAACTATCGTGGTTAGAGATGGGCAATCCACCTGGGTGGGTTTAAAGTCTGGTGGGTAAAAACCGGGTGTTTTGGGTTTATTGGGTTTAAACCCCATAAACACCCAAATTTTTGGGTGTTTATGATTTTGTACTTCATCATCGTCATCTCAGCCGCAAGACGTCCACTATACTGGACATAGACAATATTATTATGCAGCCTACAGAATAAAAAACTTTTAATTTGATTTTGAGTTTATTAAGAAAGAGATGAAAGTAAAATGTAAAACTACAGTCAATCACTGTCAGATTCAGAGTTATTACAAGCGATGAATTGTATAGGTTCGATAGGCTCTATTTCGTCTAAACTGTTATGTTCATTTACTTGCTCAATGAAAGCTTCTAAGGTATTTTCTTCATTAAACTGAATGTCCTCGCATTCAGCTTTATGTTTAAGATTCCAGTTATAACAAATGAATGAAATTTTTTCAGTTCTTTCAGTTGTAAGTCGATTTCTTTTGTTATTATGTATGTAGCCTTGGATACTAAAGGAACGCTCAGTGGCTGCCGAAGTACAGGGAGCTGATAGAATACGAATCGCTACTTTGCTTAACTCAGTGGAACCACAAATACCTTTCCACCATATTAGGGGCTCAATGCTATCTAATGAGCTCCATACAAATCCTCTGGCCCAAAAGTTTTCTTTAGCTTTATAACACGCCAAATCTGCCATTACATTTGACAAACTTAAGTGTTGGCTTAAATTGTAGATAAACTCCATACCCTTAAGTTCTTCCTCTTGAGTAAGTTCGACTCCTAGAGTCCTGGGGTCTAGAATATATGCTGCAAAATGTATTGGCCTCATTGCCATATTGCATCTTGAAGATACTGATGTTAGAATCTGCTGTTTGCTTTCTTCGCTCAATGTCGAAATCTCATTTAATGCAAAACGTATCTTAGCTTGTACATCTCTAAATGTAATGTATGTGCGATGCAAACGATTCTGGTCGCTCTCTAAGTAAAATATGCTTTCAGTGACTGGTTCCAAAATACTTATACATTCCCCTGTCTTCGTCCAGAAATCATCACTTAGAATTAAATCTTTAATATCTCTTGAAATTACCACATCTTCTCTAACTGTTAATATTTGCAAAGCTATCTTATTTGCTTTCAAACTTTTTAACGAAGTAACATGACTTCCCCATCTTGTAGCACAAGGCAATTTTAGTGTTTGTGTAGAATCTTCACCCTGCCTTGATTTTATCAACAAGGAACTTAATCGTTGACTCCTTTTAACAGTTTTTATTATATTTATGGCTTGCATAATAAACACAGTTACTTCTTGTATCTTTACAATATCTTGGCACAACAAGTTAAGGATATGTGCACAGCAACCGAGAGGAACAACATGTGGATATTTGAGTTTTGTTAATTCGAATGCCTTTTGTATATTTCTAGCGTTATCGCCAATAAGTACAAGAAACTTATTTGCTCCATACACTTTCATTACTTTTTCAACTTCTTGGCTAAGGTATTCACTAGTGTGAGGATTACTTTCTGTATTCAAACTTTTAACGTATGCAGGTTGAGGTTTTGATATAAGAAAGTTTATTATTCCTTCATTTCTTAAATTAGACCAGCCATCGCACTGAAGGTGTAAGTAACTACAAGCATTTAGTTCCTCATTTAACTCAAAACGCATTTCTCTATATATTTTATCTAAGTATTTTGTCGCTAAAGCTTTACGTGAAGGTATTTTAAATTTTGGTTGCAATTTTTCGAAAAATTGTATCCATAAAGGATGTTGCACCATCGATAATGGCGTCCCTGTTACAAATATAGCTCTCGCTAATTCTGTTTTTATATGATCATCGGTGTCTTGAAACTCAGCATTTATTGTAGTGTTAGCAGACGACGAGGGGCTTATAAAAGAATCATTTGTCTCTATCTCTGACAGTCCAGACATTTTGGTTTTGGACGAGCTATCTTTTATAAGTTTCATAGAGTCTTTTAATGTTTCTGGAGATTTTGGACAAGTGATAAGATGTTGAAGCATTTTGGCAGCATTACTGAATTTGTAGACCTTATTACAAAGCTTGCAAGAAACAGACTTGTTTGGTAAAGTACGGTAGTGCTCCCATATGCGTAAATCTTTAGGTCTCCCCATTGAACCTAAAAAAATGAACGATGATTAGTTGGTCTGACGAAAATTCAACAATAGAGTGCCTATTTTTTTACAATGATTATTTCTTGTTATTTACAATAAATTTATTAAAAAAATAATAAAATAAATACAAAAAACCTTTGTAAAATTACATCTCCTCGGAGGATTAAACGCAGACGCTAGTTTATTATCGTATTGTTCTGTATTTTTCTCAGCAACTTCTTTAATTCGATTAGGTACTTACGCATATTATGTTAAAAATAAATATCTAGTACACATCTTAGGCTATCCACCATTATTATCCAATGACGACTCTCAGCTAACTATGCACTATCATCCAAAATAAACGTGTATGGAAAATTTTATCCCAGTCGGTTGAGGATTGAGGATAATTGCATCAACATACGAACATACCTACATACTTTTATTTACATAACGCAAGCTAAATAAAAGCTTGTAATAATACATCTAATTTTAAGTTAAAATTGTTAAGTGATCATGATATAATTGTATCATTCAAAAATCCACTTACCTTTAATTATTTCTTGTTAAGTATAAATATTATTTCAAATCTGCTCCCTTAATATGCACTTTTTTACTGCTTTTCCTACCTAACACGTTACCAGGAAGTCACGTTACCAGAGTCAGAGTAATAGTGAACACGTTTGACAGTGATTGTCGTCGCCTCATATTCAGCGTCGACGAATAGGGGAATCCCCAGTCATAATGTATTGCATGCGTGGCGGTCTTACTTCAAATCCATAAACAAAGAGATAATTACAGAACTCGATACTAGATGGCGCTGTTTTTGTTTGAAGAAAGTTTGCGGGCTAAAATACATAGAATTTCATCAATGACTTCCACAAAGAACAACATTTCTGTTTTTTCTAAGTCCGTATCTCTTCCGTATATTTCATAAGATATAAGCTTGGGCTACATTGTTATGCAACGTGATTTTGTCGCTGTCTTGCTAGCAGGGTTGACAGATATACGATTTAAATCGTACTCATACTATTATTTGTCTATTTTTTAATGTACGATCGTAAAGATTATGATCGTAATTCGCACAAAAACATACGACTTTTTGGTTACCTGGCAACATTTTTATTATGAAACGAACATGCTCACATCATCAGTCACATGCAACAATTTATTGGGGATTTCCCCTTCACATCTGGCAGTCCTGCTTGCTAGAATATAGGTAAGTCAGCCACAGTTACTGACGATCGATATTTAAAGGGTATTGTTTTTGTGCTAAATATTTCATAAAAACGTTATTTAATACTTTGTGGATTATTAATTTAGTTGATAATCACTGGAAGTAAAATGGATGCTAATTTGAGAGATCAAGATCTTCGTATAAAACAGTTAATAAAAGAAAATCTACGTAAGTACTCTTTTTATACCTAGGTAGGTAAGGTATAATAAACACAAAAGGTACTTAGATCGCGTGTGTTCGAAGCATTTATTCTAATAAATTTAATTTAAAATTGTAGAAAGAAAAAAATGTCTGCCAAGCCGTAGCCGAAGCCGATCTCCAAATATATTTGGCGATAGTGAGACCCAGTGTCCAGATGATTTACCCAGCGTCGTCGCAACAAAGAAAAAAAACGAGGATAAAGTAAAAGAAAATTTACTGAAAGAAGAAACAAACTGTTCTAAATGCTTAATTTATGGAGAAGAGGATAAAAGAAATGAGTATTTCGGACTGTTAGTGGCTCAAGAATTTAAATATATACGGCCATGTGTGCGAACGAGGTGTTATGAAGAAATTTTAAAGTATCTACGGGAAGCAAAAGGCCAACATGTTGATCAACTGCAACATGAAAACACTGAAAATTAATTACTTTCATTTTATTATATATAGATTTTTAAAATTTCCTGAAATATTATTAGTTAACGTTTTATTTAATATTGTAGAATTGATCAATACAATTTATAAAAATAATTTATTGGTATTACTTACATATTTTCAAAAAAATACGTAAAAACCTATTTTTTTGGGTGATTATGGGAGTTTATGGGTGTTTATTGGGTTTTTACCAAAGCACCGGGTTTAAACCCGGTGCTTTGCCCATCTGTAATCGTGGTTGATTCGTAGCAAATTTGTTAACATAAGCTAATTGATCTTACTTCTGGTATATCAGCCAGCGTATATCGATACTAAACTCGAAGTTGCCCTTCCATTTTCATGTCATCAAAAATTACCCGATTACATTCTGTATATTGTAATATATAGGTAAAAGAATTTTTTAAATCGGTTAAGTAGTTTATAAATTATAAACAAATAAAAATTTTTCTTCTATATTAGATAGTAGATATAAGATAGAGATAGAAGATTAATACAAATATATATTTAAGATGAGTGTGCTTCGTCGCAAACGACCCGTATAACTGAGAGATCCGACCTTGTCGGATCGATATTTAAATATATAAATACAGTATACTTTAAGTCGTGTTATGATTATAAAAATTCACTTACATAAGTACTAACAAATTATAAATAGAAATACTAACTTGTGCCCGAACTGAGTGTGCATAGCTGCCCTATTTAGAGCTGCGTAGCGAAAGTTTTTGTTTCGGTCATTACATGACGTGTTGTTGTTATTATTATTGTTATTTGCAGTTACACTAAAAACGGTACGATCAAAACAATTGTACAGGGAATCTTGCGCACCGCAAAACTCTTTCATGCGAATGCAATTTAGAAAACTAAGGAAATGCTGAAAATAAAAAATAAAATATTTATAAGCTACATTAATTTTTATAATTCTTTACAATTTAAATGATTCATAAAATATAAGGTATACTTACAATATCAGGATATTCCGGTATATCATTTATGATTTGTATTATTGTTCTCTGCAATTGTTTTGGTGGTAATGCTTTTCTCTCATTAATTTGCAGCAAATTAGCTTGCTGTGCTGTGAACAATTCAGCTTGCTTCCTAGACCACTGAGCTTCTTCAAAACTACTGAAATACATTATTAATTTATGAAATATCTTTTATCATTTAGAACTATCAATACTTTTTGGGTATTACAAAAATAAAACTTATGTTAAAAATTGCTACTGTATGGCATTCAGCAAATTTCGCAAAATTTCATCATAATTGAATTAAAAGATGTTTTTTTTTCACAGTTTCGATCGTAAGTCAAACATGGCATGAAAGTAATTAAAAACTGTTTTAAAATACATAAATAAAGCATTTATTGATGTAATTTCCCACTTGAATTAATAGAATCATTTTGAAATTTTGTTTAACCTTTTTGAACTCTCTACCAAAAAAAAAATATTTACCAATTATTTCTTTTGCAATATGTGTGAACCATCAATATCTAGAATTATTCTAAATTTAAAATTGATAGCATTCCTAATTCCTGAGATTAGATTCTAGAGGATTCACAAATAGATGGATGGATAAAATCTCACCATAAAGGTTCCTTTGTACTATTAAACTAAAAAATATGTTGTCAAATCACTTTTTAAAATATACATTCATGATAAAGCCTAGGCTATAGATTTTTCAAACACATTCTGTGACTATTTCGGATTGCCTGTATTGTAAATGTGTATATACTTACTTATCCCTATCTACTAAGTTCATTCTTATAGATGACTCATGAGGCTTTGATTCATCTGGTAGTATAGGTGACGTAGCTGTGGTATGTGGTTCCATATTATTCAGTTTCTGAAAGTATTTTTTAACAACAAATATAAACATATAGTATTTAGTAATACTCAGAACTTGTTTATTTGTAAATTCTATATTCTTCTAGTTATTATTGCTTTTATCTTATGATTTCTGTCATCTTTTTTAAATATCTCCTAATGTTCTTATTATATGTAGGTATATAGATTATAATAATAATATACATTAATAATACAATACCTCCTTACTTAATGATCTCATCATCAAACCTGGCCTCCCTTTCTGATAATATAAACAAAATGACTTGTACAAAGAGACAACTTGAACAAAAGTCAATTTGTCTAAATGAAGCATTATCCTCCTTAAATAAAATCCTGTAATTTAGCAAAAAATATATATATTAGCACCATTTCATAATAGAAAGACCTATATAGTTAATGACATTTCGAATAACATTTTCTAGATGAAAAATTTAATTTAAATAATTCTAGAAATTTAATTCATATTTCCATTACCTAGTACACTGTATCTTGTAATAATACATGGATTAGTTTCACTTTGTTCTATCATAAGTTTATCTATGGTTGAAGTGACACAATCCATAAGAGCACTGATACCATTGGCATATATATTTTGTAAGCGTACACAGAAGTTCTGCAAATGGACACTCAGTAAATTGTACCGGCCATCTGTTAGAAGAGCTTCTAACTCTTTGAATTCCATATCAGGACACTGAAATATTAAATTTTTATTTGAATATTTAGTAACAACAAGGTAATGGGGGAGAGGATTGTTAATAATGCAAATTACCTGTCCCGTTGTTAACAATATACCCTAACAGATCAACCTCCCCATAATCACTTTGGAAAACATCAAACTGAATTCCAAGTATATTCATCACAATGAACTGACCTGCCTTTTTATTTTCATGTATCATCCCTTACTGGTGCCCCACCGCCATATAGCATTAGTGCAGGTGGGGTTACCATTCCATTATCATCCATTAATAACAACAAGGTGACTTACAATTCCATATATAAGACAATTGTAGATATTTATATAAATGTGAATAAAAACAGGTGACACAACAATAAAATTAAACAAATTTCAAAGAGAAACTGATATAATGAATTAATTGACAATGATGATGATTGAGTTAAAAATAGAATAAATCAATTATGCACTCTTATATATCCAGAAATATGTATGGTAAATAGTTATTCACTAATTATTATTTTAGACCCCCTCCCCCTCTTAAATATAACTATGCATATCAGGTGGATTATTTCTCATACCATATTATATAAAAATAAAAACAACATACCTGTATAAGTTTAAGAGCTAATAAACAAAAATCTTTTCTATATTTAGGTGCCATAGTACAATCAATCATTTCCTTTGCTGAAAACATAGGTAAAAATATATTTATTAGTCATCAACAAATTATATAAGCATACAAACTTTTATCTGTGACTTTATCCATGTGAATGTAGCCTATAGCCCTATTTTCCTTTCCATTTTAACTAGACCCACATATCAAATTTCATGACTATTGGTTGAGCCATTAAAGAGGCAAGAGATTTTTTTAGTATTGTAATATTAGTAAGTATAAGCTTATTTATTAGACTTGTAAGTAATAGTATATTTGGCCATATGTTGAATACCAAACATTCTATAGGTTTCTTAGCCAAATAAATAAACATTAGGTAAAAGTATTTAGCAGATTCCTGGCTGGAAACAAATATCTATTGATATGATAGTTTTCAACTTATGTATTCAAATATATTTTCTCTTTTTCACACCACACCACCCCACATGCTCGAAATGCAAGTAGAAAAAATAGTTTTAGGTCAAGTATCAGCTTAATTAAGCAAGTGGCAAAATTGGTCTTAACTTAAATCTTTAACATAAATCTCCCATTTTAATATAATTCAAGCACATAAACATTAATTTCATAGTTGTTTGTTAACTTTTGTAATATGAAATTTAATTATGTACCTGAAACTATTTCTAATAATTTAAAGAATTAATATTACTATAAAATCAATATTTTAAATTTTACCTATTTATGCATCTAGAACAAAATTAGCCACTCCTAAGAGTAACCAGGGCGGAAAGGGACTGGTGGTGGTGATCTCACTGGTGCTGCGAGTGTATGCCGATAGCGCGGGTGGGATTATTATTCCATTATTATCGATTAAGTTCTAAAAGTATCTACTAACCAAGTAGCACACGAGGAAGAATAGCAAATAATAACTGAATATATATACTGTACTTTATCTTATATGAAGAAAACATACCTATTTTAGAATACTACACACAAGTACTAATAGTTATTACATTTGTATTACTTATTCTACACAATAATTCAAATTATATATCTATATGTATAAATATGTATATATATATATATATATATATATATATATATATATATATATATATATATATATATATATATATATGTATAAAAATACCTTCTATTTTAAGTAATCCATATTCTCGGATAAAAGCAACCACAGCAATTTTATGCGGAGTAATATTTTCAACATTACCCTTCACATTGATTAATTTAATAAAATCTAATCCATCACCGCCAATTTCCATTTCTGCAGGACAAACAGTAATTGTTAGCAAAATACTATAAAGACAAAATTATTTCAAATAGAAAAACAATAACACAATAAGCGGTGAGCACAGATTAAAGACTGTCTGGTATCTGATCCACAGATTAGAGAGACCAAAGAGTATATAACCAAGGGATAAAAATACGCATTTCATACAAGCTACGTAAAACGACTCGGTTAGGAACACCTTACTAACCTAAACAAAAAAGTCCGCCTTTTCTCGTTATGTTGGCCAGTCTGATGTTCAAAACACAAACGAATAAGTTATAATTATGTTATAGTTTGATAATAGAAACTCAAAACATGTGATAAAAAAAATATAAAAGTTTTATATCAAAGTGCATATTTCGATGAATATTTTCTGAGCAAGGTGCTAGGGTATTGAGAAATCGTAAAGTAATGCATACTTAGACTTCCTGCTAAGTTTAATGACTATATTATGAACACCGAATGAACTAGTTACTCAGAACCAAGTTGCTATAAAGAAGCAATACAATGTCCGGAAAGTAAGCTATGGAAAAAAGCTGTGGAAAGTGAAATTTCATCTTTAAAAGAAAATGGAACTTGGATTTTAACAGTACTACCGAAAAATAGGAAGGCTATTCCATGCAAATGGGTCTTTAAAGTGAAACTTAATGCAGATGGAACAAAGTATAAATCCAGACTTGTCATAAAAGGATTTCGACAGCAGAAAGGTATTTATTACTACGGCAACGATTAAAGCTGTTTTGAGTATCGCGGCTAGTGAAGAAATGTATATGATGCAATTCGATGTTTCAACTACTTTCTTGTATGGATCCTTGGACAAGGAAATCTTTATGTCTCAACCCGAAGGTTATGACGATGACACTGGACGCGTATGTTTATTAAAAAGGAGTCTCTACGGCTTGAAACAAGCACCAAGATGTTGGAATAAACGGATACTAGATTTTTTCAAGAGTGTGGATTTCAAAGCTTGTGATGCTGGTTCTTGTCTCTTCGTAAGAGAAAGATTATTGTAGCTTTGTATGTGAATGACGGCTTGGTGGCAGGATCTTCACAGATGCTAGTAGATGAATTTTTTGAAGATCTGAAAGGTACCTTCAAAATCACTATGAAACCTGTATGTTATTTTTTGGGAATAAAAAAAAAGAGAAGACGGCTTACTGATGGCTCAAGCTGGTTACACAATAAAACTTTTGAAGCGTTTTGGTATGGAAAATTCTCGACTTGTCATGACACCCATAGTTAAGGATGACGTGGAACAAAAGCACAAAACGTGTGATTTAATTCCAATCCTGGAAAATTATCATTTTGTGTAATTATTAAATTATCAAGTGCATTAGCTTACCTTATGGTTGGCACGCATAGAGGCACAGTACTCCTGATGTTGGTCTTTATGTTGTAATACAACCTCCATGATCTGAATCACTATAGCCTTCCAAAATTTTGTTTTTATAATATTTCTTGTTTAAAATTCCAGCTCCAGAAGCATATTTGAGATAACGCATAATACGTTTCACCCTAACACAGTCTGTCTCAATTAGTATTTCTAAATTCCGTCATACAACACTTACAACATAGGCGATATCTGGACGTGTGCCATCTCCATCAGCTGATGCAGCAACTCCAGCCACTTGCGTAGCAGCTTCTGCCAGCTGAGAAGGTCGTTGTATTTTACCTTCAACAATATCGAGAAATCCATCGATACTTCTTAGCAAAGCGGTCATCCGATACGTTTATTGTATCCAATTATGGTTTTCAAGTTTGGTAATCTGTATCTTAGCAAGATCCATCTTCAGCAATCTGGGCCCGTAACCACTCAAAGATATTCGTACCTTGAACCTTGTTCCTTGAATATTAAGGGAACTCTTCAAGGGTTGGTAGTAAGAATTAGCAGAATTGTCAATAGATTTCACTTATACAGTTTATAAGGTCCAAACAAATGACACAATATCACTTGATGTTTAAATAAAATAATATTTAAATCGTCTACTAATTTTCTATTTTCGTAATAAACGACAGTCAACAATTGATAGGCAACACTCGCAATAGATGTCACACCGCATTTTTATTTTAGACAAACCAAAAAGTATTAACAGTACATACAGTACTTACTCGTAATTATTGTTAATTAAGATTATTAAAAAACAAATAAAATTAAAACAATTGTTGTTTAATATTAAAAAAGCGAATGCTTTTTAATGCGAAAACACATTGTAAAATTGAAATGTGTATGTGTTGCTTAAATTTTTTTGATGTGCGTATAACTTTATTATGTAAATTTAAACAAAAGATTAAGCTTAAGCCTTCTTTGCATGATTTTTTTATTGATATAATCAAAGTGATATATGTTTAAAATCAAAGGAAAAATATTTAAAACAATAAATTTGACAGCTATGTTTTTTTCTGCAATCGACATTAAAAAATTATCCAGATACAATCAACTTAAAGTGAACTTGGTCTTTTATATAAGTTTTCACCAGTATAAAAATTTCCACAAGTATGCAAAAGGTTAATTTTTGAATATCCACAGACACAAAAAATAAAATTATATCATCTCAACCTCGGGATGTATAGAAAATGAACACATTTTAAATAATTTCAAGGAAACTAGTTAATTTAGTTAATAATAAATAGCTAAATTTTAAAAATATGATTCCGGATTGTATATATATGTACGGAATCTTTAAATATACTGTACAGATAGAGCAACTTAAAAACAATCGAGACGATGAATAAATTTTTCCTATTCACCCCGTTTTAGGTACCTACCTAATTGTTGCTGTTTTCCATGTTTAGTTAATTGATTGGTTGTTTTTCATTTCTATCAAAGTGATATTTTTAGATATATTTTAAGTTGTTTTAAATCAAAACGTAATTCTTTAGCAATGAATGACAGAAGATAAATCCGAATCTACATTTTAGTTGTTCACAAATGAATTAAAAAATATGACGGCCAGTGTTTGGGTTTCGTTTGTGCTAAAGGTGTTTTATTTGTTTGTGCTTACTGAAACTTCTCGTGTTACGGTTCAACAGGAAGATACATTGCCTGACCACGGTCGCTGCGAGCCCATAACTATTCAATTTTGTCAACATATAAGATATAATCAAACAATTTTCCCAAACATACTAAATCATGCCAAACAAGAAGATGCTGGAACTGAAGTTCACCCATTTACACCACTAATAAAAGTAAATTGTTCACCTGATTTAAAGTTCTTTCTGTGCTCCGTTTATGTACCCGTGTGCACCATTTTAGACAAGGCTATACCGCCTTGCCGTCATTTATGTGAATCTGCCCGACACAATTGTGACGAATTAATGATACATTTTGGATTCCCTTGGCCTGAATACTTGGAATGTTCTAAATTTCCTGTTGTTACTGATCCAGATGTGATATGTGTTGGTGACAATAATTTAACCCATGAATCTCACAAACCTACTAAATCTAAACTTCCTAAAGTAGATTATAAATCTAACATTGAAAAAGATCCAACTAAGCTGTATGGAGCTAAAGATTATGGCTTTGTATGTCCTGTTCAATTTAAAGTGCCAAGAAACTTGGAATTAGAATATTCCTTGAAAGTAGGAGATAAGATTGAACATGATTGTGGAGCACCATGCAATGGAATGTTTTTCAGCCAGGATGAGAAGAATTTTTCAAGACTTTGGATTGGCATTTGGGCAACTCTTTGTGCACTCAGTTGTTTATTCACTGTGCTGACCTTTCTTATAGATACTGATAGATTTCGTTATCCAGAAAGACCTATAATCTTCTTATCTGTTTGTTACCTGATGGTAGCTGCAGCATATGTCATGGGATGGAGTGCTGGTGACAGTGTAAGCTGTCAAGGTCCATTTCCATCACCAGTCAGTGGAACAAGATTACCTAACATTTTAGTTATAACCCAAGGCACAAAGCATGAGCCGTGTACTATACTCTTTATGATAGTATACTTCTTTAGTATGGCGTCAAGTATATGGTGGGTGATACTTACACTTACTTGGTTTTTGGCTGCTGGCCTAAAATGGGGACATGAAGCAATTGAAGCTAACTCACAGTATTTCCACTTGGCTGCTTGGGCAGTGCCTGCTATTAAAACTATATCAATCCTAGCAATGGGAAAAGTGGATGGTAAGTTCTTTTCTAATTCTAAATATACATTCTCTTAAATAAAAAAAAAAGTTATAAGAGATATTTATGAACTTCATGTTTCTAAAGTAAGGTGAAGGATTGTTGTTTCTAAATTCTTTAAGAAAATTTTATTAGTATATGGTAATAGTACACAGAAATTATGGAGATATATTGCTAGTGATTGCTGAATTAAAATTATTTTATAAAATAAATAGATCATATAAAAAAATTACTATTATTTTTGTAATGATTGAATATTAGTTCTATTCAGTAAGTCAAATTATATCATAAGTCATATTATTTGATCATTATATAGACTTATACAATAAAGTAAATGTTTAATTTTTTTTTTTTAGGTGATATTTTGTCTGGCGTATGTTATGTGGGACTGTGGGATGCTGAAGCTTTAAGAGGATTTGTATTGGCACCCCTGTGTGTGTACCTTGTGCTTGGTACAATCTTTTTAATGGCAGGCTTTGTTTCTCTTTTTCGTATTAGAACTGTTATGAAACATGATGGAACTAAAACTGACAAGTTAGAAAAGTTGATGATCCGTATTGGGGTATTTGGAGTTCTATACACTGTACCTGCCCTGATTGTGATTGCATGTTTGTTTTATGAACAAGCTCACTTTGACAATTGGATGGTAACATGGCACAAGGATATGTGTGCTACACCACTCTATTCCATACCATGTCCCTTCACACATCAAGAAATGGAACGACCTAAATTTGAAATGTTCATGATCAAATACCTTATGACAATGATAGTAGGAATTACATCTAGTTTTTGGATATGGTCAGGCAAAACTTTAGTATCATGGCGACAATTCTTTGATAAAATTAAAGGTAGAAGAGTTGAAGCATATGTGTGATATGTTTTGTGTCATTTATTTTTTAAAGCAGCTTACTTTACAATGGAATTAAGAATAAGGCTGATTATGTAAATATTTTGAGTCTCATTACTTTTAAGACTATTTTTTTAAAGTATTAAGTTTACACTAAGTTTTTAGAATGTAAGTTGTCAATGTTAGATATAATAAAAATGTATTTTTCATTTTTATATTGTGTTGTTATTTTCAATAATACATCTGTATAATATATGTACCACTTACCATCGGGTGGGCCGTATACTTGTTTGCCACCTCAGTGGTATAAAAAAAAATATGTAAGTACCTATGACATGTTACAATTTTCATGTTTCGGAATTATTAGGAGTGCAAAATTTTATGCATCACCTGGTTCCACAATTTACATTAGGAAAATGAAAAAAAATTAATAATAATAGTAATTAGTTTTAAAATAAGAGTGGTGAGATTATCAGTCAATTCAAATAATAATAATTTTATAAGGATTGAACTAGTTGTTTATTTTTGTGGAGAAAAATAAAACTTTCAATTAAATCTGATAAATAAATTGCAAATATTGTAACATTTAAGTTCCCACTAATAAGTGTGTTAATGTAAAATGTTACAAAGCACAAGCACAAAAAAAGTTGAATTAAACTTATGCTGATCACACTATATACAGCATTGGTACTCTTGAATAGTAGGAATAAACAATATATTTCGTGATATATAAAAAACCCATGTTACAATGTTTGTTCATGCTAATTTCTGAAACCGCTCAACCGATTTTAATGAAATTTGGGACGATTTGATTGCTCAAACTTAAAAGGTAGGATATTTTTATCCCAAAAAAGAAATCTGTAGGGGTAAAACGTTCTCCGAGTCAACTAAAAACTATAAAAAAAGTCAATGTGATACATACTTTTATAGGACATAGTTTTTCAAATTTCATTAAGTTCTCTGTAAAATTGTACAGTAGATTACTTTGTCGCTAATGATGCAATTAAAAGTTCATTCTCATTTAATGTCGAAAACCATATGCAAATAAAGGTGCCTGCATTGGCCTTTATTGTAAATGTGGCCCTGGACCCAAGTGGTGTTAACAGCTTAAAAAAGAAAGGAATGCTACAATCTCAAATGCTCAAATAGGTATTTTGTAATAAGACTACATTAAAATGTACAAACAGCCCATTAAGTTGGGACTACTCTCCTAACGATTCACAGCTAATTAAATTATTCTTAAAAGTTAGAAAGTGGTTAATTCAACGTACTACCATTTAATGCTAATACCTTTACTAATTGTAAACTGATATTGTTGATGGTCATTTCATATTTTAATCTTAATCTCCAATTTGAACAAGATCATAGAAAGATGGTGTTATCCATAATAGCATCAGTAAAAATGGGAAAAGTATTAAAGGCCTAAAAAATAATGCAAAATAATATTAAACTTAATTTAATTCAGAATATTATATTATACAATTTATTATAACCTAACACTCAAGTACAAAAACATTTCATACTTTCATTCCTTCCACAATCATTAGAATATTTTAATAATGTAACTTAGACAATATTAATAGATAGGTACTTTTTACGCTCTGGTATATTTGCCCCAAATGTGGAGCATGAACACTGATGCAATGAAGAGCAGAGACATCACTAGTACTGGAACTGGACCACTGAAATAAAAATGACCAACAGTTAATGTAGGTACAGAATTGTATGATTAAAAGTTATATAGTGTCTATTCACTAGGATTTACAATCTATCTTAATATTATAAGCTAGCTTTTAGACTCCATCTGTGTTATTGGGATATATTGACTAAAAAAATAAATATAAATGCAAACTTACATTTACATCCTTTTCCCTATTATAAAGTTAAGTTTTTGCCTACCCCATGTACATATACCTTCAATATAGACATATCTTACTAATATAATAAAATTTTAACTAGGCAACATACTTTAATAAAAGTTTGTTTGTTTGCTACCTCTTAGTACCTAAAGGCTTAACCAATCACCATAAAATTGAATATTGACATCTTATGTAGGATGAGGAAGGACATAGGCTACTTTTTATACTAGTCAGTAAATAGCCACACAAATCAGGTAAAAGCTAGTAATATACTAGCAACACCCTGACTTTGCATAAGTAAATAGTTGCAATTACCTTAAAGATTTATAATTTCTTTCTACATTAGATATATATTCACTGATAATGTAGCTTTCTATAAATAAAGGAATTTTATAAAAATTGGTTAAATATTTTATGTATTTGTCCATTACAAATAAAAAATTACCTATCACTATACCACCTGATGGAAAGTGGCAAGAATTGCCTATAGATATGAATTAATGTTGCTTATAAATTTGGGAATCACAGAATATACTATTTTATTCTATTCCTAAAAGCATTATGTCCTTAACTATGTAGTTTTACTATATTTGGAATGAACAAGAATAATAATTTAAATATTTTCTATATAATGTTATACAAAATGTGCTAGTAAAATGTTTATTAACCTGTTGATTTAATTTTTTCTAATTAATCTGATATCAAATGGAAGTTTTAATCTCATAACACCCCAAGTGTTATAAGATATATTTGGCTATATTTGGTATCATTAATTTATGTTCCATATATGCAATATTGATAATATATTTTATATATGCAATTCATGGATATGTAACTTTTTAAATTAAGTATACATCATATATGTACAGACAGCTGGGTTAAATTCTTACAATTATGTGACCTTTGGATAAATTAAAGCAATTGTTAATGGATGTAACCATTACATACTTGGTAATGTAGGTGGATATTACCAAACAAATATGCCAGTTTTTGAGGTAATGATAATATTAATAACTTACACTTTTACACCAGGGGAATCGTCAGTGTAAAAACGCCACATGCCACCGGAACCTGCACCAGTACTTCTGTTTCTTGCTGCTGTGGTAGTCGTTGTAGACTTGCGTTGCCGTACTGTGCCTCCACTCGCTGTTCTCGGAGCAGCTGTTGCTTTGCTAGGTGATCGACCACCTGATCCAACAGAAGTAGAGCTAGGAGAAGGCGGCTGTAATGAATTAATATATTTAAATTATCTATCCATATGAAATTTTACAAGAAATTTTAACACCAATTTAGATTTTATCACTAAAACTTACCATTTTTATATAAGAATGCACAAACTAAAAACAATCTAATGGAATTATCAGTGAAAATACCCGTTATGACAATAGAGTATCGAATTATAAGTGAAACTAAACCAAATAGATCATAATCAATCCCTGCAACGCGTACAAATATATTGACACGTTGTCATGGAATGTTGCCAATTGAAATAAACTAAAGACACGCCATCAATGGACAAGGTTAGAGATAGGATAGAGATTGGTAATGTAGCTAAAAAATTAACGAACAATAGGTCAATTTTGAGACTGACGTCTGTTTCGTTATTTACATCTATCTCTAAAATTTAAAATTCATATTACAGTGAAATCTTACAATAAAACACCAACATGAACTAATTTTCTAATAGAATTTAAGTGAAAATTATTATATTTTTAGATGATGATGGTTCATCAAATAGTAATTTTACGAAATTATTAAAATAAATATCAGGTTAAGAGATACATTTTAAAAACTGGCGACTCAGTCCATTTTCTTTATTCTAGTTCAAAATTTATAGATGGTTACCACACAACTTACTACTCTAAGTAGTGTTTTGCTACTTTAAAAGCAGCAACACTGTTATGAGGTCTGTGGAGGGGGAAAAAATAAATGTGAGAAATTAGTAAATTTGACAAGGTGGAATGAAATAATTAATTATTAATTACATATTGAAGGCATGATTTATAGATTTTCATTTTGGTGTCGTAAATTGAATACTTTACTCAGTCTATCTAAATCAAAAACTATGAATTTGGAAAAGTGTTATTTCAGATACATCGAAGGTGAAGAAAAAATTGATATAACTTTTTTGTTAAAAGTTAAAGAATCTGTTAGGCAGTTTAATTTTAGTCGCAAACCAACAGAAAAAATAGACACATTGCTAACCCGCATTGGTAACAATATCCAGAAAGTTGTAGCAAAAGGAAATAAAAAGAAAATAATAAATGAACAGCAAGATGTAGCAGTTCAACTTTATGATAAGAATAATGCCATATCAGAAGAGTCTACATGTATAGATTTATTTTCATTGCAAGGACCAATTAAATTGCATGTTTATAATCATATATATGAAGTAGTATTCAATGTGCCTTGGGTTGTAAGTATTAATTTACCTCAGTGCATCTTAGCTGGCTTTCCTGTTTATCCTGAAAATTTTGTTGTACAAAATGCTGATAATCAATATAATTTATATACTTGGTATAAAGGATTGTCAATCAACGAAAAAGGAAATAATATGAGTGAGATTCATATAAAATGGGAAACTGTTGGAAATGAAAATATTTATATACCTACTACAAGAGATATTGGGATGAAGTTGAAATTGGAATGTACACCTGGTAATTTAAATATATTATTGTACTGTTAGCAAATGTAGTTGCCTTTTTAACAGATTTTTTACTTATATTAAAATATAAATAAAATATGTAAATATAGTAGAGATTCCACTATCTAGACCTCATATAAACAGATTCATGATCATCTACATTTTCAATCGCGATGAAAAATATTTTGTAGAAAATATGTAGGTGCATTCATAAATATGAAATATATGTAAAATCTAATTAATGCTAATTTTGAACCATTTTTGTTGTTTTGAATAAACAGATTGTCATAGTCATAGAATACTGACAAATCTGACAAAGATTACATATAAAGATACATCAGTATTCTACGACTATGACGAGATGTATGTGTAAATGTATTTTATCTTTTTATTACTAATAATATAGACAAAAGTTGTATTTCTTCATACATATAATAATTTGTATTTTCCATTATCCAAATACCTAGCTACAACAATAAGTTCAGTAAACTGAGTCTCTACTGTAATTATTAAGAGAAATCTAGTTGTGTGGATAACATGACTAGGCCCTAAAACTGTAGCTGTTAATGATAATCTAGTTTTATTCAATATTGATAACTGTAACTTTTTTTTTATCATTAACAGTTGTTTATTTTTTAGGAAATGATAAAATAACTGGACCTACAGTTGAAGTGGTATCTAAAAATGTTATTGAAGCTGGACCAGGAACATGTCCTTTTGAAACTAGGCATATGTTCACCACAACAAAGTTAACAAATAAAAGGTTCTAAGTAGCTGATATTATAATATTCATACTTCAATTCACCCATTCTTTCGCCAGAAATGGATCAATAATAAAATAATAATAATAATCCATAATTCACCACCATATGGCATTATGATTTACACCCTTAATCACCACATACAAAATATTAATACTTAATTTTATTTTTTAATTCATCCTAAATTCATATCATTTCTATTATATATAACTGGACAATGGAGATTTAAACTGCTTAGTAAGTTAAGTAAAACAAAAATAGTAATGATTTTATGTATATTATCACAGGAAAATTACATATATATAAGAAGTAATAACTTTAAAAATGTCTTATTGTTATTTTCTAGTTTTCGTTGTGTGACCTACAATATTTTGGCAGACTTGTATTGTGACTCAGACTACACTAGATCTGTACTGCATCCATATTGTCCATCATATGCTTTGCATATTGATTACAGGAAACAACTGGTCATGAAAGAGTTATTAGGTTAGTTAATTTTTCTTCTACATTCTATTTGGTTGATTTGTTAACCACAAATTATTATTAATATATTTTTATGTTAATTTGTCTTTAGGTTATAATGCAGACATAATTTGTTTGCAAGAAGTAGATTCCAAAATATTCCACAACACTTTAAATCCCTTACTGGGAATAAATGGTCTTCAAGGGAAATTTTACAGAAAAGGAAAAGAAGTTGCTGAAGGATTAGCTTGCTTTTATAGAAAAAAAAGATTTAAGTAAGTATATCTTATTTTAAAACTAGTTTTTACCTGCAACTTTGCGTGATTAGGATATGTTTACTGACCAGAATAAAAGTAGTCTATGTCCTTCTCTATCCCATATAGTATATGGATACCAAATTCCATATTGATTCGTTAAGATGTTAAGACACTATAAGGTAACAAATAACTCTCTTTCACATTAAAGTATTTGTAATCATTTCAGCCATTATCTGTCCACTGCTGAACGTAGGCCTCACCCATAAACTGCCATAAGGAATGGTCCTGAGCTACTCACATCTACTGGCTCTCTGCAATGCATTTGAGGGGGGAGGGAGAAGTATTGTTATCAATGCGGAGGTTACTCCCTATTGTTATCAATATATCTTATCGAGTCGACATCCACGCAGTTCCCCCTTTTTTTTTTTTTTTTTTTACAACACAGGGGGCAAACGAGCATGCGGCTCACCTGATGGTAAGTGACTACCGCCGCCCATGGTCACCCACAACACCTACGGCATTGCAGGTGTGCTGCCGGCCTTTTAAAAAGGAATATGTTGTCGTATCGGTTCGGAAATACTGCTGCTGGAAGTTGATTCCAAAGAGTGGTTGTGCGTGGAAGAAAGTGCCTTGAAAAACGCACGGTGGAGGACCGCCACTCGTCCAGATGGTTGGGATGAAATTTTAAATGGAAATTATGATGACTAATTTATTGTTGAATTTATCACGACAGGCTAACTGACCTGCATTTTCATTTTCATCGATCATCTCTCACTGGTGCCCCATCAGCATATATCGTTAGCGCAGGCGGGGTTACCATTCCATTATCATTCATTAAAAAAAATGCATTTGAAGTTGTTTCGGAGGGGGAGGGGGGATCGTCCTACACTGTGTTTACCCGTACGGGGTTGCCACTCAAGAACCTTTTTTCCCCATTGGTTGTCGGTTCTTCGAGTTATGATCATCTATGTGATCAGCCCATTGCCACTTCAGCTTGCTTATTTTACTCGGTTACTTTGGTTCTTTTGTGGATATCCTCGTTTCGAGTTCAATCACGTAAAGAAACACCAAACATAGCCCTCTCCATAGCCCACTGAGTAATTTTAATCTTTTGCATATGGGCAGTTATTTATTTTACATTTTTTGGTTCCATAAATCATCACTGGCAACACACTGGTTAAGATCCTTTGTCTTCAAACTTTGAGGTATTTTGGATGAAAAGATGTGGCGTAGTTTTCCAAACGCTGCCCAGCCGAGTTGGATTCGTTAAATGACCTCTTGGTTGAAGTTAGACTTACCTATTAGGACAAGTTGTCCCAAATATACATACTCGACGACAACTTCGAATGTAGTGTTCTCAGTCGTAACTGGTATAGGTGTGATATGGATGTTAGACATGATTTTAGTTTTGTACATGTTCATCTTAAGACCTACCTGTTGAGAAGCACCATTGAGGTCATTGAGCATAGTATTCAAATTTATAGTATTAGTAAAAAATAAATAATAAATAAATATCAAATAAAAAAAAAATCAAAGCTTATAAACTTGTTTTACAGTTTACTTGGAGAAGAAAAAATATTACTGTCAGATGTTATCAAAACAGAGGCTTATCTACAATCTATTTGGGATGCAATTAAAGATAATGGTCCTTTAGTTACAAGATTTTTGGATAGGTCAACAGTGGCAAGTGCAACAATTTTACAATCTGTTGAAAACTCTAATGAAGTGGTTGTTGTTGGCAATACACACTTGTATTTCCATCCAGATGCAGATCATATAAGGCTTATACAAGGTGGAATTTATGTGTATTGGTTAAATGAAATTCGAAGTAATTTGATGAATCAGGTAAGTAAATATATGTATGTAATAAAATATAATAAAATACATTTAATATTAACTTTTGCCTGCAAAATCTTATCTGATTTTGCAAATATATGACCACTTTTTGATGGTGATGGGCCATCAAAAAAGGTAAAACATACATAATTAGATTTTAAGTTATATCAGGAGCACAACTGTAAAACTCACATTCAATTTGGTGCAGTAGATTTTGTGTGATGCAAGAACAAATATACCGTCATAGTCGTAGAATACTGACAGATATATCTATTTAATATTTGTCAGTATTCTACGACTATGACGATAACTACAGACATACAAACGGAAATTCTATAATTTATTCTTTTTGCTTCTATTGTTCTGTTTAAGAACCCCAAGACAGACGTATTTAAAGGGGGGCCGAGTGGGCCGTGACGACGTGAATCTTCTGAGCATATCAGAGATATAAAAGACATGTCTAAGAGTAGATAATGTGTCTTTTTTAAGACGCCAGGCCTCCGCTTGAAAATGATTTTAATTATGCCAATGTAGATAGATAGTTAATCTTTATTGTTTCCTTCAATATAAAATTACAGAAGTAAACTTATTATAAATAAATATAAACAATTTCAAGAAAGGTTCACACTGAGAAAATAAAAAGTAAATGTACATATAGACATCGTCTGTCATCTGGTTACAACGTTATTATATTAGTATGATATATCTATACTGAAGTTTTATATCGATGGGGTAGGTAAAGGCTTAGTTTGATAGAAATCGAATTGGTAGGTACGTTAATTATCTTACTAATATAATAAACACTGTCTGTACATGAGAGATATTAATAGAAAACAACTATAATTTTTTTAAATAATAGAGACCATGTGTAAAGAACAGACGTTGGGGCGATCTAAAATAGAAACTAGAATTGATTGAGCAAATATAATTTTGGTATGGAAAGGGAGAAAGTATTGGAGACGTTTGAGAAAGTTAATATGGGAGCTCCATGACAATGTGGTATCTATGATACGCCCCAAGTTTTTAGCTTTATCTGTATATGCTGAGTCCCCTCATATACCAATGAAAGAACCGAAATTCAACTAGCAATCGTGTATATGTTTTATATTTTCATACACCCTCTAAAAGTGGCCATTTGGTTTCATTGGTATTCCTATTTTTGAAAACCATGAATATGAAGTAGCCGGCAAAAGGCTGATCAATACTAATATTATAAAAAGGAAAGATTTGATTGTCTGTTTGTTTCTATTTTTTTTTTTTTGTAACATAGTGAGTAAACAAGCATATGGCTTACCAGACGGAACGTGATTACCGCCCTCATAGGCACCCGCAACATCAGGGAAATTGCAGATGTGTTGCAGGATAATAAAAAAACTACTCAATTGATTTTTTAAATTCTCTATCACCTATAGAAAGCTGCATTATTAGTGAGTACCATAGTCTATATATTATTTTTAAAAATTCTGCCTAGCTGTGCGAAACCGGGCCGGAACGTTAGTTTGATATATATTTATTTCATATGAAGGACCCTACAAGCGTGAAGATCTTTTTTTATATTCTTATCTCTTCGGTCAGTCGCGATTTTAATAATTTCAAAATGTTTCATTGTGTATTTTAAAGTATATTATCGGGATTTAACGCGACGTATTACAGAATAAAAGTCGGTAGTTATGTATCATTATTTACCTGTAATCGCGTCGCTTTAAGTCCCGATTGTGAATGTAAGTATTTGTAAACACTGTGAAAGTTTAAGATTAACTATAACAATTGTTTCATTGTGATCTGTGACTGGTACTTTAATAAAAAATAGGATGCGATAAACGTCCGTTATGCGATTTCTGAATTATTACGTATATAGCTCTGTATAAGTATGATGAGTACCTTATGTTAAAATAATTTGGCATTCCTTAGAAAAAATAAACTGATATTTACAGATGCCTGAAAAAAGAATATCTCTTTTATTATGCGGAGATTTCAATAGTGTTCCGTCATGTGGTGTATATAAATTATATACTACTGGACTTGCACCTAGCTCTTTACCAGATTGGAAATCCAGTGAGTATTATATATAATATGGATTAATCATTTCATTATGTCAATTTTCCATTGTAAATTCCATTGAATAAAATGGCAAATATTAATATTTAAAGGTTTCAAAATTTAATATTTATATCATTACCTTAGTTAGGGTCGAATTATCCATTAGCTAACGTAGAAAACTACCTACGGGAAAAGTTTTTTTAAGTGAAAATTTAAGATTGACAGTGACAAAACCAGTTATTTAGATTTAAAACTAAAGCACTAAACAAATTTTAATAAAAATTTTATGAAACCAACCTCTAAGTATATCTTTCTAGTTAAAAAAAATCTAAATCAGTTTATAACTGACGCAGTTATGAGATAATAAGCATTGAGAACAACCGAACAACAACCGAATTGAGAATCTCCTTTTTTTTTAATTCGGTTGAAAATTACGTTTCATCATTGAAGTTCTAACTCGGTCAAAATTTGGCAGTTACAGAAGAGTGAAAAAAAAAGAATAAATGTTTATTTCTGTTTCTATTAATTTTTTTAAGTATAGGTTTCAATATAGTGCAATTGTTAACAATTGATATTTCTGATTAATTAAGGTATTTGTAATATAAAAATTGTAAAATAATTACGCACTAGTGTATCTGACTATTTGAAGATTTGTATATAAACTCTCAATGAAAATATTTCCCGTTTTTTATATTACATTTCGAATTATTTATTATAATATATATATCTTATATATAAAATTCTCGTGTCACGGTGTTTGTTACCAAACTCCTCTGAAACGGCTTATAGTTAAATATAGATACGTTAAGATACATTATGTGCGTAAGTATATAGAACACTAATAAAAAAACGAGTCAGCTAATTTGAGAATTAGCTGTCAAAAAGTTGACCCGTTTTTGAGACTCGATGCTCGCTCTATCTATATAATCTAAGATTATATTATAGCAGTAGTTTTTTTGTGAGCAAACCGTGTATTGTCTCGCTGTATCGGCCCCGAAATGGTTAATTAGGTCCTGCAATTATTTAAGCGTGATTAAACAGTAAATGGACAAAACTCTTATACAATTCTATATTGTATTTATATCATTAATAATATTGATATATGTGTGTTACAGATACAGACGAGGCTGTATATAATTTGAGTCTTCAACAGGATCTTCCTTTAGGAAGTGCATGTGGCACTCCTCCGTTTACTAATTTCACTGCTGGATTTGCAGATTGTTTAGATTATATTTTTTATGATAAAACTAATCTAGAAGTTGAACAGGTTAGCAATAAATATTTATTCCTTGCTGCTTTTTCCTGCAACTTTATTCGTGTTATCGGAATATGTTTGGAATTGACTGGGATAAAAAATTGCCTATATCTTTCTCTATCCCGTATCATACCAAATTTCATAGTCATAGGTCATCCCTCGTAAAAGGAGTTGTAAAAGGCGACTAAGGGTACTTAATGGTTGAGGGATAGGTAGCCTCCATCTTAAAACCGGGTTGGCAATTGCAGTTAGGCTTTGGTGATGTTTTTTTTCTTTTTGCCTATGGGGAGGAATTACAAAAAAAAAATAATAAAGATTAAAATTGACAATTCACAACATATACACTTATTTTTTTATATTACAGGTTGTACCACTACCTAGTGAAGAAGAGTTAAGGGCGCATACCGCTTTACCAAGCATTGTCTTTCCATCTGATCATATAGCCTTAATAACAGATTTACAATTTAAATAGAATTACATTTTTATTCCTAAATAACTTTTTATTTTACAATAGTGACAAATACTATATGAATGACATAATTTAAGTACTTTAACCACCATGCTTACCATTATGGTTTGCATGAGTAGGTAACTGTTTGAACGAAAGTCGACCTTACAGAGTATATTTGGCCGCATGTACCCTGTGATAACAATCCATTTTTCATTACTTACTTAAAATAGTACATTCTAAATCATAACAGAATCGTATAATTTGTGATTAAATAAAAAAAAAATATATTTTTTCAATGTAGTCCCCAGAATTATCTTGGAACTAAAAATTACTCTAAAACGGGGTGAATAGGTACAATTTGAAATTTCGTTCTTTTTTAGGTTTATCTGTCAGTACTATATTTTATGATTTGTTATACAATCGGGGATCATTATCTTCAAAATTTGGCTATTTATTATTAACTAAATCGCTTAGTTTTTTTAAATCTTCCAAAATCTGTTTATTTCCAAACACTTCGAAATTGGAGAAATTAAAATCAAACGATGTAAAAATAATCCAGTTTGGTTTGTCTTTTTTGGAAGTAACAAAGTAAAAGTAGCTAAAGTAAACATTCTATGGTAACATTAAGTCGGGAACAGCAGCTTTAATAATCCTAAATGACAAAATCTTTTAACCCCATAAGCGTCTTTTTTTGTTCATATGGCACGGCAGAGAGTGCATCTGCCAAAAACAAAGTTTGGGAAAGTTCGTTTTAGTAAAAAGAGTTTTGGACGATGGAATTTAAGACAAGGATCAGAAAAGTTCAATAATGGATAATATAAGGAAAAGGACAGATAGTTGAATATAAATTATAATATATTTAATCTTAGAAATACATATATGTAAAGTACATAACTAAGAGAATTTACTACTTAATATTATTGATAAGAATACAAAAGTAAATCAAATTATATACTTCTAAATTATCAAGAAAGAATATTGCTGGAACTGAAGTAAGTAAGGAAATACGGAGAGAATTAAAAAGAACAGAATGGTCATAAAGAGAACAACTTAAAAGAATGTGATACAAATCACCCACTTCTATGCCACATTTGCATATATTGTTGTTTATAATTTTTAATATGGCCAAATAAGAAAAGGAACTTACATGGCCAAGTCTTTATATACACCACAGGCGTTTTATTTCACCTCCTTGACGGTTTTCTCAAAACTTTTGCTTTCACCATTATATTTCTAAGTTCTTCAATTGAAACTATGTTTACACGTAAGTATGTTTTATTAAGTCTATGATGTTCACTGTTCCTGCCATCCCTCGCCCTTCAAAAGTTAGGTAAGAAAAGAGATTGCTAGTAATATGAACTACCAGGCCCATTACTAGCAATATACTCTGTCAGGTCGACCTCCACGTGATCCCCCTGGAAACCATCGTGCTGAATTCCAACTAATCTGCCTTTTCATTTTTTGTAATGGTATAATCGTTAATCTGTGGCTTGACATTCGGTCTGACATAGCAAAATTGACAGATAGTGACAATATGACCTGGATCAACAAGTCTTTTCATTTTTAAAGTTTTTATCAACGACGTCATTTCAAAACTTACTACAAAACAAATTACATTCACTTTTAATTTATTCAATATTGTGCCGTTTAAAAACTACAGTACACTGATTTGTAATCTTTGTTAACAATTATGTTTAAAATATATTCGAAATCGAATCCATATGTCTATGGAAAATATTATTTCTCTGGATTATTCTATGGTAATTTACATTCTTTATTCTTTTCTTATAATGGTCTTTGTTTGCAACTGTAAAAATATAAAATGTTTGTGCTTTTATATAGCAGGTGGTAGCCGTCTGGACAAAACTATGCATGTTTCTTCAGCATTAAAGTTTCCTCAGGTTGCTATTAAGTTACCTATAAATATTGAGGACATAAATTCTTCAGAAATGGGGAGATTTTCACCACAAAGGGACAGAGATATATCTGCACCCGTTATTTGTTACCATTATGAAAAACAAAATCAAAATTTTTCCAAAATTGATATTACATCGCAACCTGATCCACATGTTAACAAATATGACTGTAGAGGGGCAGTCAGTCTATCTTCAACTATGCAAAGCAATGTACCAACACCTTTCAGCGGTAATCATACACATCTAAATATGCCAGGGTCACAATGGGGTCAGGGTATTAAATATCTTTCTGACCATTTGCAGAGTGCCCACTATTTGACCTTAAGAAATGAGTATCGCAATGCATCTAGTGCCGGTATGTATGTGAATCAGATTTTATTATATTTATACTAACAAAATCATTATAATAATGCTTGATACATATTCATTTTAATAATATATATTGTATTCAACTATTTATCTATATATTCATTTACTAATTACAAAATGTTCTACTACATAAAATCTAAAATGTAATGATTAAGTATAAGCAACATTGTGATGTTTCTTTTAATCTATAGAACATTTTTGTTAGTTTTCAATATTATATTGCAAATGTATTTAAAAATTGGCATTGTGCACACTTATATCAATGTTGTAATGTAACCCAAACAATAAGTTTCTTGTTAAAAATTACCATAACATTTTTATTTATTTTAGTTAATTTAAATTTATTTTATGTTAGTAAGTGCACTTAAAAACTGGAACACTAATTAAAAAAGTACTCTTTCTAAACTAAAAAAAATATATAAAAATTATAAGTTGTATTGGGTTGTGTTGGATTACATACATAATCTTTACCATTATGAAAATACTTAATAATTATCTAGATAATATTGAAATGAACCACCCTGTTTTCTTTATATAAATAGCAATAACATTATTATGAATAAGAAGGATAGTTCCATATTATAATTGTAACTATATAATATACATTTCACTATATTATGATTATGTAATAAATTTGTAGTGAATAATTTGTGTATAATCTAAGCTTACTGAAGTTTTCTGAAGGCCTTTTAAATTTGTATCCATTTTAATGTTATTTTGTTACTTTTCCAAAGCATAGCTGTCACATTTGCAACAAGAAACATGTGTACAGAAGTAAATCGTCCATTAAGTGCTAAGGAGAAATTGAAACAGGCTATGAAAGAATATGGCTCAACAGTAATAGTGTTCCACATTTCCATTTCTTTGCTTTCCCTGGGGGGATGTTATCTACTAATCAGTAGGTAGGTGTGTTTGTATAATATGTAAATATTGTATTGTATTTTCTGCTTTTAATCACTTGTCTTGCTTTTGGATTAGGTAATGTTATTGCTCATTACTAATTTATTTTTTATAATTTACTTATATATTTATTTTAAAGATAAGTGGTTAAGGTAAGTTTAATAATGGAACATCAAAACTAAAAATTTAATAGTTAAGGGTGAATAATTGTTTATTCTATATATAAATTTTTACATACTTTAAAATGTTGCATTTCATCTTACAATGGAAAGTAAAATTTATAATGAATTCAGAAACAGATTAAATCAAGAACTTTAGTTAAATAAAAATTGCTGTGGAGTACAGACCACATATATTATTTATACTTTTATATTATTATTTACCAAATTCAAAATATGACACATCTTTTTATTGTTCCTTTTAATATTTATCTTTGTATAAAATTTTATAGGTCATACTAACCATCATCATTATTAAGTAGTACTTAAAGCATTTTAATTTGATATGTTTTATTTATTTTCTTTTTATTTTACAGTGGCGTAGATCTAATGGCTGTGTTGAAATATTTCAATATTGGTGAAGGCGCTTTATCAAAGGTAGCATCGTCAAATGCAGGCACTTTTGTTATAGCATATGCAGTACATAAGTCTTTTGCTCCGGTTAGGATAGCTATAACTTTGACGGCTACACCTTTTATTGTACGGTATTTAAGAAATATAGGATTTATAAAACGCAATGTAAGTTCAGGTGGTGGGAAATAAATGATTGTATAGTAAAATATTTTTTTTGTTTTATTTATACTTTAAAAGCATAGAAAACCCAGAAGGGAATACCTTTTCATGTGCTGATAAATGTGTAATGGTTGCCACATGAGTTAAAGAAATAAAATATATATATATCATAACCCAATACTACTTTTAAGCGTCCGTTTTTTCTTTTATGTCAAAAGAATGACATATAGTACACATATATGATTAGGCGTTTAAATGAAATCAAGTGGACAATAGTTTTAAAGTTATTCCACCATTTTGGTCCGCCATTTTAGATTTTCCCAACTTTCAGATTTTTCTTGTGGATCTTTTCTTCTCTTCCCTACATATCGGTGTACCTGGACATATGTCAGTGAATGATATGAACTGCAGCTTTATATACCTATTATACACAAGATACGATGCTGCGTGGACTTCGACAAGCCCTGTTTTTCTTTTGTGAGGAAGTTTTTCAAATATGTAAATAAAACAGCTTAGATAAGGCATTCGACCCACTCACGCGTTAAGTACTTTTCCAAAGTAATCTATTAATTTTGATTTCCAAAAATATTAATTTTTTTAATCAATAACCTTAAATCGTGGGGTGAAGGGATTGTTAGTGAGGGGGGAAGTTAGTCCCCATTGTTATTAATGTACCCTATCATGTCGACCTCCACACGGTTCCCCATGGAAACCATCCTGACTAATTTATCGTTTAATTGGTCATGATGGGCCAACTGACCTGCCTTTTTATCCTCACCAATCATCCTTCACTGGTGCTCCGCCAGTATATACCGATAACGCAGGCGGGGTTATCATTCCATTATTATATTTAAAAAACGCTGAATTGTGTAAACACTAAAAAAAAGTGAAAATTTTCACATTGAGTCTTTTATTTTTCAAAATTGTAAGAAAGAGGTCATACACGGCCACAGACTTACAGCTCAATTAATTAGAAAAGTAAATATTGTTGTCTTGTCACTAAAATAATCTCTGTAACATTATACGTAATAAAATATTTAAATATAAAATAATTATTGGTCTCCCGTAAAACTCCCAATCAGCAATCTATATCGAAAAAATGTAAATTTTTGGTATCCTCCAATTTTTTCTTTGAATTTATTTATAATATATTTTAAGTCTACATCTACTTTCTACATTTATGACTACATCTATATATGTAATTATGTTATTTTAAGAAAATACTAAATATTTTAGTAGATAAACTATGATCTACCTTCATTTGTATGTATACAGTTGATATCTAATCAATTGTATACCTACATATAAATGCAGATAGGTAAATACATCCACGTAGTAAATTTGTTATAAGTTTTACGCAATCTAAACATACGTACCTACTAATTTTAACTTGTAACATTATCTTTAAATATTATTTACTTGGTGGTGGTGAGGATAGGTAAAAAAAATATTCTTTTTTATTATTGTTTTTATACACTATACAATGCATTTTTATTAATATTAACAGATATACGTCTTGTAGCCCTTGTGTTTCTAAGCGAGCCGCCGTAAACTGGATTGTTCCAACACGGCGTGTAGGTGACGAGCGCGATGAGCCACACACATACAAGCTTTGTATTATTCTGCTTGTACTTCCTAATATCTTTCTTTCTGGGTGTTCTGTGTCAGGAGTATATAGATATATACATACAAAATTGTAGGTACACCTAGCTTCTATGTGTGTATTTCATATAATTTTATTGTGACAAGACTAGTAGATGCATTATCTAGAGACGCAGGAATAACAAGTCTTTAAAATATAAAAAAAAATCAGCATTTACAATATTTAGGTTATCAGACTGAACATTACTATTACTTTTGTTAAAACAAATCAAATTAGCGCAAACATGAAGGATTCATCAGGCGTAGTTCACGAATTTCAATGGCCACCTTCAAATGGAAACTTGCATATTGACGCTAGTCCGTACTATAATGTCGATTTCGGTTCTTTTTCAGTCTGATTTGTGGCTGTAGATTTTTATTATGTTGTAGTTTAATTTATATTCTATATCTATGCAACGTCTTTAAATAATAGTCGCTGTCGGTTAAATTAAAATTTAATATCCTGTGACAGTGTTTGCTCTCTGTATTTATAACCTTCAGCATATAATAACATAAACATACAGTAAATAGAAACGCTCAAGATCGTAAGTGGACTGAATTGAAGTAATATATACACAATTGTCCAATTTTTGTATTGTGTGGGCAAGGATCCTGCAGAATCAGAAATAAGGTAATCCTATTTTTTTTTATTGATGATAATGGAATGGAAACTCTGCTTGCGCCGACGGTACACGCTGGTGGGGCACCAGCGACGGATGATAGGTGAGAATAAAAAGGCAGATTAGTTAGCCCATCGTGATGAATAGACCTGGAATTCAGCACAATGGTTTCCAAGGGGGACCATGTGGAGGTCGATCTTAGGGCGCATATTGCTAGAGGTAATCCTATTAGGTGAATGAATCATACCTAAACGGTTAAACGTATTTGAATGTAATTTGGTAAACGGGCACCTGAGATATATCCTAGTTTAACATATAGGGTATTTTATATATTAATGAATGCGAACAAAATCGCTCTAAAGAGCGTTATAAATTACTACACTACCACAGGCGAAGAGGTGGGGGAGGGGGAAGCTTGGCATGGCCACAGAATAGAGGATATACCAAAAAGCTTTTTTGATATGTCGACAAAATTTTCTGATTATATCTATTGTGTTCTGAATGCAAGTGGCGCTTTTAGTTATTCGTAATCGCCTGATATTGTATATATGGGCTTATTAAAGAGCCAAGACTCCCGAAAAACTCTGGAAAATAAATACGCCAGACACCGTTAAGTCGAAAGTTGTTAACGGGTCGACGGATACATGAAGTATATTATGTTTAAAATTTATGTTATTTTTTTTATCCAATATCTATTTACATATGTAACACAGTGAGTACCTACATTAAAATCCCATTACATATGTATATAGATATAAGATGTATTAAGTCTACGAAATAAAGAGAAAAGCATTGTTATACAGTAGCCTGGCATTTTTTATTGATTTGATTTTTTTACAGGTGAAATTTTTAAGTATGCTTGTGGATCGCCAAATCTGAATTTCGAAAGTTTAGTAACTTTAATATAAGAAAAAAATTGTTTACATCTATAATCACTGATGGGATTGACAAGAGGTATTTGCATTTTTTTTATTGTGAAAATAGAGTAGGTTTGGTATTATCGAGGTCGGTTAAAATACGATGATGATTTAGGTAGTTATAGCAATACATGTACTTAGGCGTCAATAACACTAATAATGATAACGAGTGTCAAATGTTCATTGTTGTAATTCATCTTGTTTATATAAGATCGGTCGTTTATACATAATATTGATAATACGCATTATTAAACTCTTACTAGCTCCCGTAGTTTAGTAAAATGTATTCATTGAAAACCTTTGTTGTTTCTCTAAACTTTTTATTTATTTTGTTTACAAGTGTTACAAGTGAAAATGGGTAAGTTGATAAAAAGTCGTTAATCTGTTAAATATTCTATATTTAGGTTTTTTAAAGTTGTAAATATAAGTAATAATAAAAAATAATTTTATTGGGAAAAGTTGCTTATAGTGGAAAAAGGAGTATAAAAATACTTACCGTCTGGAAAATATTTTGACTTCCTTTACTAAGTTGAGTAGTATAAATAAAATATAAAGAATATTGCTTATAGAGAGGTTGCTTATATAGAGCGTTCACTGTATTATATTGTGTATTGCACTTGTAAATTACGTAGTTAAATTGTATAAGGCAGTTATAAATACTTTGAGTATGAGTGGACTTCTCTACCAGTTAATCCAGTAGTAGTAGTGAGAAAGGAGGTAGTTAGCGGGCAGCTAAGTTAACGAAAGCTGAAAGTAAAAACGATACAAATACTAATACATAAGCTATAAATACATACATATAATCTAAGTGTATATATATATATATATATATATATATATATATATATATATATATATATATATATATCTATACATATGTATATATATAAATCAAATATTAATATTTTAAAGTTGATTGCCTTTTAAGCTGTATTTTGTTGGAATTTGGCATTACATATATTTCATGACTGAGATAGTACTTTCTAGTGAAAGTAAGTGTAACGGAAAGGGATACCGAAATTTAGCGGCAGTCTTAATGAAACCTTATGAATACTTCCATACTTCCATTTTATTAAGTCCGTCATGAAACTGTGTCGAAATAACTATATACAGTTAAAATATGAAAACGATTCTTGAACATTTCCTATAAGACAGACAGATAACGCGCTTTATGTGGTCTGTTAAAGTTTTTTTTTTCTTTTCAAAATATTTTGTTTAGAGAAATTATAAAAAACAATTCCAAAATAAAACTCAGCTATGCGGTCTAGTTTTTAACCAAATTTATGACTTAAAATAAAAAAATACTATTTGTAGTATCAAGAAGAAAAACTATTAAGGGTTTGTTTCGTTTAATAAATGCGATAAAGGTCTTTTTATGTCATATATATTGATGTATGGAACCCGTTGCGTACGAGTTCAGCTCTTACCTGACCGGTTGTTATTTCGATATGTCTGTGCTAAAGGACAGTTGTTTCAATCTGTTAATATTACAAATTTTTTAAAATGTTTGTATGTTGGTAGCTGTGCTTAAACTATTGAACAGATTTTAAAACGTTACCTAAGTCCCAAATAAATGGGAAAAAGCAAAATAAGGCAATGATAATGGCATAAATGAACTACATTTTAAATTGACATAGTTTGCTATTATTTTAATTCACAAGAACCTTCCTATTAAATCATATATATGAAAATGAGTTCGGATGTTTTAGCTTGGAGGACAGACTACTCATGCGAATTCGTGAACATAGTAAAAAAAATATATTCTTTTAAATTATGTACTATATTTTTTGCGAATAGCTTGGTAATAAAATAACAGTCTGAAATTTGAAGTTGATATATAAATATATATCAACTTCTTTAATCTTTTTGGTTTTAACTCATTATACACAATTTAAATCGAATAAAGAAACATAATCATTATAAATATGTAAATGAGTAATGTCTAAATTATATATATGAATAAAAAAATATTATATATATGAAAGTGAGTTTTTTTATTTCTAACATCGCCTAATAACCAATTACTATGAAATTTGAGATATACATACTATATGGAATGGAGATGTAGGATACTTTTTATTCTGGTCACATAGACGAAGCCACGGGTAAAAGTTAGTATTAAATAAATGCATTTTTTTATAGCACCACATCAATGGGCGAAGAAAAGTATCTATTTGATTTTACAAAAAATGATGATGTTGAAGCATGGGAAGAACAGTCTGATACAGTTCGGGACGTGGGAATGTCCAAAGGAGTAATCGTTATACATAAAAATAAAGGATTCAGAAGGGCAATATTTTTCGCCTTATTAAATCCTCAACAGAATGGAGCTGGATTTGCTGGCATAAGGGCAATTCAAACTTACAATTTGCAGGGTCACACAAAGCTGCAAATAAGATGTAGAGGCCAGGGACAATACAATGGTTTTAAAGTGGTCCTAAGGCATAAAGGATTAAATGAAGAACCAAGTTATTCATTCGAACAATATTTCCAGGTAGAATATTTTTTTAATCGACTTTCATTATTGTAGCAATCTATCTGCTATTTCAAGATAATTGAGTTAGTGTTTTGTATTGGTTTCTCCGTAACATTTAACTTGATATTATGTCAAATCCATATAGGATTTTAGATTCAATTGGAGACCGAATAAATTTCTTTATATGTATAAATAGGAAATATTTATTGCAGCGATAGATAAGTAACTTAGTTTGGAACTTGTAATTAAAATCCACTAGTAGATTATTGTATTTTTTTGTTTGTAATACTTTATTGTAAAAGCTTAAATTATAGGTAACATTTGTTGTTTACAGGCTCCTAAGGATGAATTTGCAGTGCGTAATTTAGCATATACAGAATTTAAAGCTTATTACAGAGGGAAAAGGGCTAATAACAATGAGACCTTAGATTTATCTCAAGTATCAAGTATTGGGTTCCAGATGTACGGCGGAGTGTATCAGCCAGTCAAACAGAAAGGTCCTGCGACATTGGAAATTGATTGGATAAGATCAGTGTAATGTTTACAATGTTGTTATATAATCATTGACGATTTAATTATTTGACGTTGGTCAATTAAAATACAAGATGTAATGAATGGAAAGGATAACAATGTGAAATCCCTTAATAGTATTCATTAAAATTAGTAATTTTCCTCAAAGAAAAAATAGGAATATATTTAGTTTTATATAACATGAATGGTTAAAAAATTATATATTCCTATAAACCTTGTATGGCAGTAGGTCGAATGCAATGGTTTTATTATGCTCGTCATTTAACTATAGGGATCGATTGAGGCCCAATTTGTTTAAACTATCTCTAAAATTAAGGCTGAAATCAGTGAAATCTTTATACTCAGGATCAATATGAACTAAATTTTTAATAGAATAAAATTTTTATGAAGTTTACAATGCATCAAAATTCAGTAGCTTCGCAAAACTAAGAAATTAAAATATTAGGTTAAGAGATAAGTTTACAGATATGCGCCTCAGAATCGAGCTCATTGTATATTTTTTGTTTTATTATTTTATAAGAAAACTCCAGAGATATATTTAATATATTTTATTACCTAGAGCAAGTTATTACTAAATAGTATTTTTTTAAACAGTGACACGGTTTCTTACAATATTTGTGTATCCGAATACATAAATGCTTCACATTATTAGTAACCTACACTATTACTAGCAACCCAGTCTGATTTTATCCAGGTACAATACATATCGTACAAAATTTCTCTTCAACATTATTCACCATTACCATTTTGGTTTCTATTAAATAGGAAACATATTCAAAGGTTGTCATAACAGTGTGTGAGAGTGAAAACCTCATCAAGATATTCTAACTTTCTATACATAAGTGTAGACTCAAATTATTTTGTAGTGTTTTAATTTATATAATAAGAAAAAAAAAATTAAAATATATTATAATTTAAAATTTATACATTTTTTCGCGCGTAAGAGTAACCTCAGTGGGGTTTTCACTTCACTAGGATGGTATTAGACCAAAAAGAGATTTGCGCACAACGGGTAAGCTAGTATCATGATAAAAAATGATTATCGTTGTCGTGTTGGTAACAATAACGTGAGTGCGGTCATAGCGTCCGGAAATAGGGAATGATAATTGACGAGAGGTACATATGCGGCGGTGATGACACGGCCAGCAAACCATCGCCCGTGTAAAGTGTTTACAGATGCGACCGCCGTAGCTATTGTAGGGCATTTGCAGTAAACATTCCCTTGGGGTGAAGCTTTATCCACATAAACGTGTAACACACCACCATGTTTATTGCATTCACTTATGACATCATCTCTGATCTCAATATCCCAATTTGGGTTTGTTTCACTGAAAATAAAATAATGAGTTACATACCAATTCAAATTTACATATTATTTACTAAAAAGAGTTAGTCTAATAAAGATAATAAAAAAATTGTGTTGCATAGTAAATTATGACATCATGCACAATATATAGTCATATATATATATATATATATATATATATAGTCTTATAGCTAGTAATATTTTGCAGTTATAGGTATTATTAATTTGCTAACAGATGGTTTATACTAAAATCAATAAATTGTTTGACCAATATTAGTTTTTTAATACCACAAAAAATCCCAGTAGCCCTTTAAATATAGTAAGTAGATATTTTTTATAAATTACAACATTATAAACAAAGACTCACCCAGCAGGATCAAACATGTTGTTGAGCATAAAACATTGAGTTGCTATTGGTGGTGCTACTTGCGGTTGAGGTGCAACTAAAGCAGATCCAGAACCCATTAACACAGACGCTGCTGCCGGCGGGATCTAAAATAAATAGACTTAGTTAATTCATATGAATTTAACATGTTAAAGGGATCTCTTACAAATTTTATTGGTAGGTATATGAAGGCTGTATATGTATTCCAGTTTCTTTATTAGGAGCAAAAGGAAATGTACAAGTCCATAAAAAAGAAATATTCTCTACATACTTTTTATGACATTTGATGTAACCTACCAGTATTGCAATAACTGGTAAATTAATGTTAACATTACACAAATAATAAGTACTCTAAAAATATAATTAAATATAAAAAATATTTTTTACCTGGAGTCCTGTGCCTTCTGCTAATTTAAACATAAGCTGTAATCGACCAGTTGCACCTAAATCAACTCCAGCTCGATCCAATTCATCAGCATCAAAACGCGTACTCGAACCTCCATCTGTTCTTTCAGTTACATGACCTACTTTCATGGGTCTACCAGCTAATTCAAAACCATTTAATTGTTCCATGGCTTTCTTTGCATCAGCTGCATGATGAAACTAAAAATAAATTGAAATTTTAATATTGATTGTTAAAATAGGTTTAATATTATAATATCGATAGTGCTTACTAACCGTAAGGAAGCCATAGCCTTTGCTTTTCCCCGTCTCTGGATCAGTCATAAGTTGTATGTGGTCAATTTTTCCAAATGGTTCAAAAATCCCTCTTAACATGTCTTCAGTAATATTAAAATGAAGGGAACCTACATATAGTCTTGTTGGTCCATTACTGGTTTTTGGAGCTAAATTAGGCAATGTGTTGCCTACTCTATTTTTTTCTGCTTGTGTATGTTGAACGATAATGGGAACACCTAGTAATTTTTGTCCAGTTAAACCTAAAGCCTGTAAATGTAAACAATTTATTTTATTAGACAATAACAGGAATTAAAGAGTCTACATAATATAATGCGACATAATTATGTGGAGCAATATCAAATAATTATCTTATAAATCAAAATAGTTATTCTAATTAAAGCACATATCTACTAATTACTTATGTTTAAAGAAATATACAAATACATACCAGAGGTACAGATTCTGCATCTTTGAACTCAATGTAAGCTATCCCTTTAAATCTTCTAGTTTTGTTACATGTAATAAGTCTTACATCTCTAACTTTACCAACAGAAGAGAAAAATTCCTCCAGATCTTTAGCTCTAATTCTTTGAGATAATTGCATACAAAATACTGTGCGAAGATCTCTTTCTTCAGGAGGCAAATCTTCTAATTTTGGTTCAAGACCTCTCGATTTAGATCTATATTCTTTAGGGTCTTCCTCTTTACTCTTTTCTCTTTTATGAGATTTATCACGGCTACGATCTCTTTCACGGCTGCGTTCTTTATCGCGGCTGCGTCTTTTGTCTCTGTCTCTCTCACGTTCTCTTTCTTTATCACGGTCCTTATCTCTATGGCTGCGGTCCTTATCACGATCTCTGCGGTCTCTTTCCTTATCTCGATCTCTATCTCTTTCTCGTTCTCTATCTTTTTTCTCATCTCTGTCTTTTGATGGGTATACACCTCGTTCCCTTGACCTTTTCCTATCTCTTGAGCGGCTCCGTCTACAGAATTGAGAATAGTTAAAAGCAAAAATTTTTTAAGTTTGATATGTGCGAATAGGGGGTCCATGAGGGGGGGGGGGGGAAGGATTTTTTAGTAATAAATTGTATTTCGAAACTCTTATTTTTATATTTGAAATAGTAACGCCTTTTAACAAATTTAAAAGATTAAATACCTCTAAGTAAGAGATTCAAACAGACTATAAATTATATTACCTACAATTGTTGAGATAGATTAAAATAAGAAACAAAATATGTTTATCTTACCTTCGACTGCTTCCTCTATCCTTTTCTTTATGCTTATCAGAATACTTGTCCGATCGATGCTTTGAAGAGGAAGTGTTATCCTGTCACACAAAGCACAAGGTAGAAGCAGCGCCACAGCATCACACGCCGAGTGAATAAATAAAAATTGCATTAGTTAATAGTAATAATAAGTTGAACATCTGTACTATTTCATCATTGGCATTAATCAGGCGTGCCACTAATGAAACAATACAAATGGTCTTTTACTTTTGCTAGACTATTGATGACAGGTGCAATTGCAACCATCATGTATCTGCTGTCGAGCTTGTCAGTTCTCACTGCCCTGGTCTACACTTACCATTCACAAAACCACTGACAAAGGACGCACACAGCGCTAACATCACACAGGGATACTTCTGCAAAAGATTACGACCCATCAGCGCATGGCCTTGCTTTAAATACGGACTATAAATATTTTATAAGAGAATATTTTATTTACATTTATATTAAAATACTATGCTGACTTAACCACATTACTCTTAATAAAAATTAAATTTGATAGATTTAAAAAAAATGTAAGTATAGTATTGGATACCTCTCTGTTTGTTCAGGTCGGTGAAGTATGCTGGACTATTACCACAAAGTTCTATAAATACAAGAAATGATTCTCAAATGTAATTTAGTTTCAGATTCACTGTTTATCTACTGTTCAAATATGTTTTCAATTGATTACATACAAAATGAAAGTAATTATTGAAATAGTAGAAATGAGAAAGCATATTTTTAATATAAGTTGAAAAGTTAGGGATGGGTGAAACATGTTTGAACAGATAACCTAAAAACCTTAAGTATTATTTTTATATGACTCTATGTCCACTATAAATGTCTTCTTTTTTAATTAAATTTATTAATGATTTAAAATAATGTAAAAGTACTAACAATTTTATTGTATTCATTTGTAAATATTATATATAGTCTTATTCATAAAAATTCTTATTGTACATTTAAAGATTCTTATTGTAGGTTTAAACAATCAATAAGCCTTGAATAGTTAAAATAGGATAATATATATTCCTGTTTGTGTGAATTTAAAAAAATCTTGATAAACATATTATCCTACTATTATAATATAATAATTGCTATTTTAAGTAAAAAACAAATATATACACACACATCAATTCAATTGCTCAATTCTCTGAACATTCTAGACATTGACTAAAATTATTAAGTTTATAACCCTATGGCTCACTACACATTTTTGCAATATCTAAGTCACATGAGCAATTTATACTTAAATAAAAATATTAATAAACATGGACCATGTTAAGACTTCTATGTAATTCTAGAGATGTAATTCTTCATATATCATTGCAAATAGAATTAATATTTTAGATATGTAATAGAAAATGAAGAATTTTATATGCTTAATTAACAATTTAATGGAAATAATTTTGAAATTGATATGCCCGAAATAACAGGTATTAGCCCATTATAATTGTATAGACTGCTTTTTGACATTTTTACCTTATTCCTTTGCATTTATGAATAACATTTTTTGTTATTATAGATTTATGATAGGTTCACAGATAATTCATATCTGACATCACTATTATAATTGTAGTGTTATAATGTATTTAAAGATTTTTATAATCAAGTCATTTCCTTATAACAGGTTGGTAATTTTTATGAATAAGACGGATAAAATATATATTTTAAAAGAATTATATTTTTGTCAAATTAGGTATTATTGTCGTAAAAGTAACATTATGCAAATCAGTATATAATAATAATATTAAAATCAATCTCTAATATTAAAATCAGTAGTAAAAGGCAACTTTAGAGGCACTAAATTATGATTCTTATTTAGAGTTCCAATTATGACTAACTTCATAATATGCTCAACCATACATGAACAGTATAAGTACATAATATATTACTGATGATCTGCTTTTACATTCTCATTTTTTTGTACACATTTATATTGATTATCTAACATAAACATATCCCAATACATTTGTATTTGCAGTTGATGATCTAATATGCTAAATGGGAATCAGTAAATGACTTAAGATATCTAAGAAAAACTAAACATGTAGGTACTACATATTGAATAACCATTCTTATTATTATGATATTCATAATAAAGGGGAAACTCACCGATTTGTTATATGGAGCTTCCAACATAGCCTCTACATCCAAGTCTTCTGCCATTCTGTAAGTAATGATAGATAGGTTAAAACTCAATTTTACTATAAAACAATGTGAAAGTTTGTAAAGAGGTTTGGATGTATACAAATAGACAAACTATCCATTATCATTATGAAAAAGGGGAGACTTTGTCCATTCATTCACTCATTTCCTTGTTAAAATGTTACAGATCTCCCAGCTATAGATTTCAAATTTGGAATAATTTTTTTTTACAGCACTGGGGGCAAACGAACACGCGGCTCACCTGATGGTAAGTGACTACCGCCGCCCATGATCACCCACAACACCAGCGGCATTGCAGGTGTGCTGCCGGCCTTTTAATTTTTAATTTTGCATATTATTGGCTCACATATATTGCAATGGAATTATTAAATAAATTTTTTTTTTGTTAGGAGTCCAAAATGGACACTCAAAATTTTAAAATTGACTGACTAATCCAAGTGGAAGCACTTGAACTTTAAGTGAACTATCATATGAAAGAGCTTTTATATATTTTTAAATTGAGATTTATTTATTCTTCTGCTGCATGTTTTATTTTGTAATGATTGAAAATAACCATCCCCCCCTATCTCCAAATTTTCTGAAGCAAAAAATCTAAAATATTTAGTTTATGAAAATGTATGTGAATATTACAGGAAAAATAAAATGATGTTAGAAACATTGTTTTAATGTAACCAAACTTAGAGAAATTATAAAAAAAAAAAAAAAAAACTCTTAAACAAAACAAATAAGCCAAATGAGTCATAATAAAAATTGGACAATATAGGTCAAATTTTTATTATGGCTCAAAATAAGGAAATTATTTCTTTCTTTCATAGTTCATAGGAATTTTTATGAATGTATTGATTTAAAATGTTATAACTACAATAAAACTTTATTAAATCAATTATATTTCTTAACAACACATAATAAATACTTCATATCAGTATTTATTACTTTAGTATTTTTTAAGTGTGTGATATGCTGAATGAAAAACATAAATTTACAGGGTTCATCCATTAAGTGTTAAGAGATGTTAAGTATAAGAAATGCTATCTGTAATCCCAAATAGCTAGTTAAACTGAAGGGCTTGATGAACAAGACTACCATATGATCAGTGCTCATGTATGGCAGTAAGAAATGGCTTGTACTTTCACAGCATGTACAGGATATCTACATTATTGAAATAAAAATGTTACAATGGATGTGTGGAGTTATTTATATGAGCGTCCATAATGAACATATTCATGGCAGTCTCAGTATATGTGAGAAATTTGATGAAATGCAAGTAAGTCATTGGCAATGGTATACCTATGTTATGTAGAAACCGGCAGGTGGAGACAGAAGCTTAAATCTACAAATAGATAGTACTAGACTTCACGGCCAGTACAAGAAATGATGGCTGGACGTCATAAACGAAGATATATCTTCAGACATAGCGAGCCAATGCTTTGTCTGAAGATGCATAAGGTCGAAGAAAAAAGCATGAAAGCTTAATCTCTCTATAGCTGGTGTTAAAGCTAAGACGAAGATAGGATTTATATATATAATACTTTTCATTATATTTTACATGCAAAAGTCACGGTTTATTGTTAATATTTAAGTAATTAAATGAAGAGTTTCAAGTTTAAAAATAAGTAATTATTACTTCTGAGCGCAATCTTTCAATACCTATTTAGATTGTGTATAGGTACTGAAAACTTTTAGAACAAACAGTAAATAGTAATAGAATTTTGATAACTAAATAAGTACGCCTCAGTTTTAGTTTTGGTTAAAATTAGATGAAAATGATAGATTTTGTCAACTTAGATAAATATCTATTGAGATTGTAACGCTCACTTTATATGTACACAAAATGGCGAACGTAAGATACGCCACAGCAAAATAATAGCAATGTGACTATTTTTTCTAAGCATATTTAGAAGTAACTTACATGATGTTATAATGTGTAATTTCTATCTGCTTCGAAGAACGACGGATATCATATAAAACAAGTTATTTTGTAAGTCGATTCCCTGCAAAAGTAATAAATATAATGAAAGAAAGAAAAAAGCTCTGATTTAGTTAATTCCAATTTAAAAGACAATATAAGTTTTTCTCATCGACAATCGACAAGTTAATTCTCTAGTCTATGATTTATAGCTAAACAGCGAGTTTACGAACAAGGATTTGCAATCCAATATCTTTGCAGCGCTAACTAATTAATAATAGTTACCGTATATGGGGTTAATAGAATTCGTGGGGTGAATATAAAAATCTGGTTAAGGCCTTTATTATGTCTACCATACTAATTGAATGGTACAAATAATATTTTGATAATATAGATATTTTATTATTCACGTCAATAATCATCAAACACAGCTATATTTCTCTTTTGATTTTTTTTCTACGTGTAACAATACTTTATCGAAATGTAACGCACGCCAGTTCGTGAATATGCAAAATATATAGACTGCAGAAAAACTATTATTTTATAAACAAAGTATTTAATCCAAAAAATTAAAATTACAAGACAAACAAAAATTAAAAAGGAAAGATATAAACTTCCTTAATGTTGTATTGCATTTACGTAAAATATGAAAGATGAGCATAATATTAAATAAAATTTCTTGGTAACAATTTTTTTTTTAATTTTTAAAAAGTAATAATTTTGACTTTAGAAAAGTCATTCTCAAGCAGTATTATTTAAAAATTAATAATTATATATACAGTATAGTTATAACCAGTGTATTAAAAATTATTTAGTCATAATATTAGTATTAAAAGTAAGATGTGAATAATAATAATCAACTGTTTTGACGAAAAGATTTACTTTCCTCACTATAACAATAAGTACTAGTTTAATAAGAAATAGTTTTGTTACTTTAAGGAAAATTTCAATAAAAATATCCATTTCATTTATATTAATCATTTACTACATATTACTTCCTTTCTCTATTCACGACCTCTTACTATAAGGTGATGAATAAGATCAATCATTATCATAGATTGACAGACATATTTGACATTATTTTACCATATATGATTGCTTTACGCTTCAACTTATCTGATGGCAAGGAATTAGACCGGCTCCCTGCCAGCACCGGCCCACGTAGTAGCCACGGACCTCCCTTATCATAGACTTAGTACGATATATTTTGTCTAGTTTATTGCCAATCTATATACTTTTTAATTTAAGTTTAGTACCAAATTGCATGCTACAAAAATAATTAATTATTCAAACATATTTAAGTACCGTTAATCCTCGTAATGTAATCATTACTTTCAATAATAATAATAATTATTATTACATTCAATTAAGTTCATATCGATAAATAATAGGAACCATGGTAAAAATAACACAATTTTTTAGTTAATTTTATAATTTCATCAAAATTGGTAAAATAATACAGAAATTAGCTCCGTAACTATAGAAACGAAACATTAATTACATAATACATGAAAACTTTAATTATACTTAACTATATTAATTATAATTTTTGCTTACTTTGAGATTTATATAAATATAAATTTATTGAAAATTCAGCTATAAATGTCGATTATGCCTTGTATTATATCATACTGAATCAAAACACATATTAATTATTTTAATATTAAAAAAAAAATTATAAGTGGAGCGCTGTTTTTGGAATAGCGCCATAAATGTAATTATCATGGATGATTTTTTTTAATCTGTGTGGTAACATATTTTCAAAGAGAAACGTCATTCCAAGAACGATATTCTAAATGTCACGGATTTATAGTCTCTTTAATCTGTAACACATAGTTATTTTAGAATTACCTATTGTTCTTTTCTGTTTACATTTTTGTTGAATTCAAGAAGTAAACTTTTAATTTGACTCATTCGTTCAGTAATTATAATTGTTTTATTATTGAAATTTGTACCTAATCCCGTTGATTATTTGTCAAGTATTATCTCAATTACTTAAAGTACGAGATGACCACAGCAGCTAGACCTACGTTTGATCCAGCTAGAGGGGGCCAAGGCCGTGGTGAAAAAGATTTGAGTGCCATATCTCGTCAGTATTCTAGCAGAGATCTTCCTGGCCATACAAAATTAAAATATCGGTGGGTGAGCAATTGGATTTACTTTAGATACGTTTGTATTTTCCTAATTAACAACCTATAACATACAATATTTTACACATATCCTTAACTTCGCCTAACTGGTGTTCCTTAATCCACTATTGCTTAGTGGTATAAACGTAATTTTGTTTGTTAATTTCTTATAATTTTAGGGCTGTTCTACCAATTATTGTCAAATTTAGATTACATGCTGGAACACATGTAAGGTATATCACAATGGTTATTTATTTTTCCCTTTTGTTTATTATATTATTTTGAATTCATAGAATTCTAGTTTAAAACCATCCCTAAGGGTATCCAATGTCCATTTAATTTTGTATGTGGAAATGGAAATTAATGGTTAACTGCAGTGATTGATATTAAAAATTTGATATTGTCTGATATATAGTATGTGTATATGTCAAATAAATACTGTGTTTCATTAAATTTTAGAGAGCAAGGTCAAGGTACAACAGAAGAATTACGTTCACGGGATTTTCGTAAGGAGTTAGATGACAGAGAAAAAGAAGGTAAGGGCCCAAGTGTAAGAAGACAGAACGAGCCTCCTGTAAAAAGAACTAAGATAGACCAAGTTCCTGCAGCAAGTTTAGATGCTGATGATCCACTGGAAGGAGATTCTTCTGATTCTGATGACTCTGATGATGACACTGCAGCATTATTAGCAGAATTAAACAAAATTAAAAAAGAACGAGCCATTGAACAAGCTAAGAAGGTAATAGATATCATCTATTTATTATTTATGTTTTAGTAGTTATTTTATGCAAAAAAAATATTGAATAAATTAATTTGTTTTGAACAAAATCAATACTATTTTGTAAGGAAGCCTTTTCAATTATACAATATGGACAATTAAATGACTTCATAATTTAATTTTGTATCATGTTCATACACATATAAAAAATAGCAAATTTTAGGTGATTGAATGGAAGCATGAATCTAATCTGGAGTTTACCTGGTAGTTGCATTGTCAAATGTTTTATCTAAATGTAAAGATGCTTAATAAACTGATTTAAAAACATACATACACACTCCCTAAGGCTGTCAGAGAGAAAGGGATTGTTAGTAATGAGGTCTAATAGCCCTATTGCTAGCAATATACTCTAATAGGTCAATCTCCACATGGTTCCCTCTGGAAACCATTGTGGTTAATTTTTTGTAGATTCATCGATAGGCCAATTGACCTGCTTCATCCTCACCTATCATCTTTCACTGGTGCTCTGCCAGCATATACCAATAACACAGGTGGGGTTACCAGTCAGTTACCATTCATGATCACAAAGCAAATAGAAGTCTTGTAAGAAATAGGAATAAAAAACAATAATGGGTATCTTTTTTCTAGTTAATTATGAAGTGGTTTTTTTATTTTTTAGGATGCAGAGAAAAAACAAGAAGAAGAACGAATACGTATGGAGAATATCTTATCTGGAAATCCATTATTAAATTATTCGGCATCAGGACAAAAAAATGATTTAAAGGTATTTTTTTTTTTATAATTCTTTTACCAGGGTTCTCATTAAATGATATTATAATTGCTAATTAAAATATCTAATGTACTAAAATAAAAAATATAATACATGTTTAATATTTATTGTAATGCCTTCTGCATTTCAGGAGCTTGAAACATCCTTTTTTTCACATTTTATAACTGGAGTTTTATTCTTGTCTTTTTATCACACTTATTTTAATTTTTTTTAAAAAATTAAAAGGTGTTGTTTATTATATAAATATTAAGATTACAATTAATCTATAAATATACTTTAATATTCTTTTTGCAGGTTAAAAGGCGATGGGATGACGATGTGGTCTTTAAAAACTGTGCACAATCAGAACCTGAGAAGAAACTAAATACCTTTATAAATGATTCACTGAGATCTGAATTTCATAAAAAGTTTATGGAGAAATATGTAAAATAATAACAAAGTAATTAAGTGATCAATTAAAGTAACAAGGATGTTATGCAAGATTAAATTGCATAATATTATGACATAAGTTTTCTTTTATACTTTAGTCATCATATTCAATATATAAGTAATAAATATTTTATAAAGTATATATATGTTTATAATTGAAGTGTTAAAAGTGGACAACTTTATAAGAAATTTAAGGATTTTTTTTATACTAAAGTAAATAATTTTTTTACCTATTTAATGTAGTACAAATATAATAATATCGCTCTATAAAACATGAATTATCATAATAAGCTACATTATTATGAATAATATTGATTACAAGTCTGTATACTAGAAGAATAATACCATGCTGACCAGAAGGCATGCTATAGAGTTTTATTTCAAATCCCTTTTCATGTACTGTTGTATTGTGCTTTGTTTTCGTACGATATCCTGTGGGTGAGTAGTGACACCTTGTATTTTTATTTTATCAGCCCATGGCTTAAGTACATTTGTGGACACACTGACAAGATACCTAAAGGAAGTGTGCCCACAAAAATTATTTCATTAATGAATTCATTTATCAGTGAAATGTTGTAAACAAAAAGCTTTAAATAGACATACAAATACAATAAGCGTTAGGAAATTACATTATTATTATATTGTCATAGTCGTAGAATACTGACGGATCTTTATCAGATCCGTCAGTATTCTACGACTATGACGATATCTTTACAAATTTCTGAAGGTGTTACTTGGAAGATATATGGACAGTTACAATGCTTATCTGCTACAGAAAATATAACGATTACAATATGAAGGTTTTTGTTATAATTGATATGTGCAACAAAAAAGTAAACATTATAATTTAGAAGATTTAAATCACAGTGGTGTTCCGTAAGGATGTTTTTTTCTCGATTTGAACTTGCTGTTGGCTGCAGATGCCCTTTACAGCTTCACGGGGTGCGTGTGCATGGGTTAGTTCAGATGGTACTTTAAGCCCGCGAGAGGGGAGCGATGAAGTGTCGACTCTTATCGATGGACTGCGGCGTACGCCCAAGGGCGCCAGAGCAGCTCGGCAATGGAATGTGACGGCTCCATTGCTAGCAATGTGCCCTATTAGGTCGACCTCCACGTGGTTCCCCCTGAAAACCATCGTGAACAATTCTTGTTGAATTCGTTACGATGGGCTAACTGACCTGCTTCATCCTTCACTTGTGCATCGCAGGTGTATACCGATAGCGCGGGTGGGGTTACCATTCCATTATCACTCATAAAAAAATCTTAGTCCTCAGGAATGTCAACGCATGGGGGATATCATGAGCGAAACAGTACTCTGTTATGTCCATGGTACTGCTTACGTCTAGGCGACATATGTCATAGGCGACGGTTACCATTTTCCATCAAGTGGACCGGCAGCTTGTTTGCCATTGTAAATTGCATAAAAAATGATGTCGGCGAGTGACGCTCAGCGATAGTACAGGGTATCATATAGGTACCGATCGTGCAGACATCCTGCGGGCACATATCGATTTGTGTCAGAATAAATTTGTGAAATGGGAAGTTCACACGATCAAGTTTCTATCTGGGGCAAAAATAATCTTGTCAAATTGACCCCCAAGACTCAAGTCTGGGTATTCACCGCAGGAAAGACATTTGGTGTATCTCCTCAATTTGAAAATTAAGACGAGTCTGGAAATCCTTGGTGCTGATATATTTAGGGATTTCCAGTTTTGCGGTAATTTGAAGAAGGCTAAGATAGATTTAGGATATCATAAGATAGATATTCACAAACTAAAGTTCCGTCCCGACCATCTGGACAAGTAGTGGTTCTCCACAAAGCGTTTTTCAGGGGAGACTACGTGAAGGTCAACCTGGTTGGGTATATTGCTAGCAATGGGATTTATAGTTTGCATTACTAACAATCCTTTCCTCCTATCCGGGATTATGGTATTTTTTTAATAGATGATAATGGAATGATAAAACCCATCTGCGCTATCGGTATATACCGGCGGGGCACCAGTGAGGGATGATTAGTGAGGATGAAAAGGCAGGTCAATTAGTTTATTGTGACGAATCAACGATAAATTAGTCACGATGGTTTCCAGGAGAAATCTCGGGGATGTCGAACTGATAGAGTATATTGATAGCAATGGGGACTAATCTTCCCGTTACTCATAATCCTTTTCGCCCTAGGATAATAGTGTTATGTTTCTGTAGTCTATAAACCGTATCGAAACAACCATGTAAGCGCAATTGTTTCGCGGCAGAAACATGAGTGGGACAAAAGTATACATGCAGATGTTTTTATAGAATAAGTTTTATTTTGTATTATTATGGATGTCGTAGACGAAGAATAGGTAACTGTTATGCGCGTGACATAAATGTAAATAAGTATGATCATTTAGTCGTATTGGTAGATTAATCTTTTACGGTATATACCTATATTTATTATATGTATTTGTGTATAAATACATTAAATAACATAGGGGTATTTTATATTTATTGTCTAATTATTTCATTTAAAGTTCATTTTAATTTTATAATTAGCAACTGTATAATTACCATTATGAAATTGCCATTTATAAAATGTACTCTAATGGAAATACGTAACAAGTTTATGATAGTAGGTATGTAAAGGAAATAATTATAATTATTAGATAGTAGGTACATATTTCATTATGCGAAATGACGGAAATAACTACACAACTAAATACCTACACTAATATAAATAGTTTTGTCCATTAATAAACGAGGGCGCGACAAATGATAATGGTTGTAATTGCAACAAACATGTAGATAGTCTCTTTTTTGCAAGTAGCTACATTATTATATCATTGCATTGGCCACTATAGTGTATTTGCACTGTACTCTGCAGTCTGTCAATAGCGTGTGCGTTTGCGGCTCTGACTGAATGTTTACTTTATTATAGATGTAAGGCGAGAGAGGGGAATGTGGTAAGTACGGTGTTGGCGGCGGCGGCGGCGGCGGCCCACCTTGAGTGGGCAGGTTCAGAGGCTGATCCCGTCGCGCGCCTCCGCGTCTGAACTCGCCAGTTGTGTGGGCGCTCTGACAGCGAACATGGCTAGTCCGACCGCAGCGCGGCGATGCGTGTGCTTCGCTATAGTCGCATTGTTTACCGTGTTATGTGAGGCATCTCTTTCGGGATTGTACATTGATAATGGTGTCGATCAAACTGTGATACATCATTCGATGACGCGTCATGAACGTTTGGTGGTCGAACATGAAATACTCGAGCTTTTGGGGCTTGGTGAGCGGCCTCGGGGTCCTCGTTCGCAGCCGCTGGATCGTTCAGCTCCCAGTTTTTTATTAGATGTGTACAAGCAATTAGCAGAGGAACATGAGCAGGCTCGTCCGACACGTAGTTCTGAAATGGCGCTTAGTGGCGATGAACAGCATGCGATTGACGAGAGCGATCTTATAATGACTTTCCAAAGCAAAAGTAAGTAAAATAGTTGTGTATGAGCACATGTCCTGGCATGTAAAGTTATATGTAGATTTGTCACGTTAATTATCATGATATTATCACCAAAGAGTTAACTAGGTATGCTGCTTCTGCGCAATTTCACTGTTTAATGCCAGTAAAGTAGCTACATAGGTATCTATGCTCAGATTTATTTGCCGTATGTTTTATTAGGTAAATTTGTAATGATTCATAAAATAACTAAAATAATCTTATATTGTAATAATACTTAGGTAGCATTTATTATTGAGGATAATGTTTACAAGTTAACAAATGTATTAAGTAACAAAACAAAATAATAAAACACTGATTTATTGTTTATACGTTAGTGGGTGCTAGGTACCTATATATTGTAATGAACTTACAATGCATGTTTTTAAAGTGACGATTTTATTTCATTATTCATTGATACATTGATATGATAGTTACTTAGCTTTTTATATTTATGTAAATGTAAGTATTTAATACAATTCGCTGTGTGGTCCTGGCATAGAGATACATAGAGTCAACTAAGGGAACTTAATGGTCGAGGAATGGGCAGCAGTATTCCTTTTAAAACATCATAAAAGCGTAACTGTGGTTGCCAACTTATCTGCCAAATGTGGCAAGTACTTAAACCTCGCAATAGGAGGATAGGCCTCCTTTTATTGGCTCAGCAGTGGACAGTAATGGCTGATATGATGACGATGATCTACTACAATGAGGATCATAAAACGCTTCTATTATAAAAGATAGTGCATGTATAATAATATTTATTGAAATAATTATTATTTTAAAGAAAATTACTAAATATAAAAAAAAAATAGATTGAAAAACTAACTTCCAACAGCATTATGTGATTGGATTCGAACCCACACCTCTCAAATATCCAGGCTGAGTGTGGATCCACACCATGGAAAGAATACAGGCAATTATCATTCCGGTAGGTGAGAGATGTGAGTTGAACTATTGTTTAAACTAAACACATGAACTGTCGGAAATTATCCTCTTATGTAATTAAATGTTAAGCGTGAGAGAAGTTTAGGTTCAATGTTAATATTATTTTATGATAAATTTTGATTAAAATATTGCAGAGAAAAAATAAATTGATTTAAGAATAAATTGAGAAAAGAAATTATGGTTGGAGAACATTGGTCGGATTAAACTGAAAATGCAATGGCAACATACTGCCCTGTGTGGGATTGGTATATTTTTTTAGTTGAAGACGTATTCTGTAAAGTAGAAATAGATATACATTATTCTGATTTCGATTTAGCAGGAATATAGGAGTAGTACTGGTCGACGCGAATGTAATTTGGCGAAGTTGGTTTATATTTATTAATGAGCTTTGAATAGGTACGTTGAAGTAATTTCCATATAGAGAATGATTCATAGCAAGATATTTCGATAATAACAATAGTAAATGGTAGTTTGTAATAGGTAAATTGTTTTTGAATTCAGTAATATAGAGTTGTAATAGTATCGGCTAGTATTCTGTATTCTGTTTCTGCTTTTAGGACATGGGTCTCTATAATAATTATTATAAAACGGAAGGATTATGACTGAAAGCTACGGTATGAGTATTTTATCAAACTAAAATACATTCTTAGATGTAGGTAAGCATAGAGACATTTACAAATTGCCCATATAATAAATCGCCCATTTGTGGAGTCCGCAGGTAGATAGGTAGGTGATGAGTCACATCGCATACCATAAAGATTGAGTAGCGGCGCCGCCGGGCCGACTGGAGTAGGGTAAAAAAAATCATTGTTGTAATTAATGATAAGTGAATATCCGTTTAACTGGACGAAGGCAGTAACGGGAATAGAGTGTAATATTATGTCTAAGACGATGAGACAATTGAAATAGATAAACTTACAGTAGGTAGGTACAGCATTGTGACGTTTAGTGTTTTGTAAGTGTTAGGTTTTTTAAATGGATAATAATGGAATGATAATTCTGGCTGCACTATACGCATTTGGTATAAAATATGTTGGCAGATCATCACTAAGGGATGACAAATGAGTTAGCTCATCGAGACAAATTTATCAAGAATTAACCATTACGTTATAGATGAATGGAACTGCATGGAGGTTGATTGGTATTTACGTATATATTGCCAGAAGTGTGGCTCTAGTTTTTTACAAATATAAATGTCTTTATTGAGAATCATAGGTCAAATTAAGATATAATATTAGTTAAATAGTGTCTCCATGTTCTGCTATACAAGCGTTTCCATTACTACTGCAATGTAGTACTATATATGATACATAACATATGTACATATATTACAGTATACAATTGTTATCGTTTTATTACATAATGTTAAAAATTTGTAGGAATTATTATTTTAGTAGTTTAAAAGTTGTAGTCAAATAAATCAATAACCAATGTCAAATATTATTATATTTAATAAATTATATTAAATACCTACCTCGCTGTGCAGAGTCAAGTTACACTTGTCGAACTACTTGCCACCTGCTCCGTGACGCTATTAGGTAGCGTGACAGTAGATGGGTCATCAATATGAAGGAGTATTTTTGGTTGAATATATATCAATTAGGAGGTCTTTTATCTAGTTTCTCGGTGGATATTATATAAATTGAAATATTAGTGAAAGCTTATCGTCCTTAGTACATCTAATAGTAAGTATTTATGTATCTATGAAATAAATTATGAAAGAGGACGACGTACGAGATAATATAAAAATAAGGAACCCTGGTTATAGGTTTCTAGTTTTCACCATTTAAGTAAATTATAAATAAGGATTTGTGAAGCTGTAGCAGAAAGAGGTATTAGCATTAGGTTTCTTACTTTGAATTTCACTTGACTAACTATTTATCTGACTATTGATGGTTATTTATTTAAAAATATTGGATAATAAAAAAGTGCATAAATGTGGTAAGCGCATTGGTCCCGACATGATGTAAAAGGTGCAGGTTCTAACATCGTCAATTTTAAAATTTTCTTAATCATATACGGCAATGGGAGATAATTCAGAATGATATACATTTACAGTGTACTGAGGAGAATTTTGTTTCAAATTTCTTTATCATATTAACTCCAAGTAAAAGGGATCGGAACTCTAATAACCTTAACGATAAACATAAAATAATTCTCGTTGCATTTCTATTCCAGAACATCACTTAGGGGCATTGCGTCAGGGGCATGGGAGGCATGTGTGGTTTGAAGTCGCTGGTGGTCCTGGTGATCCGACTTCTCTTCTAACGGCTGAACTTCGGTTGCACCAAGCTTCAACGCATACAGAAGACCCTACCAGTTTATATAAAGTGGTAGTGCATCGTGTTCTCAATGTTGACAGCATGGGGTAATTATACATATTTGGTCAAACTCTAGTGCTGACCCATCCCAAGATTAAAAAAGTAGTTTTAGACTTTATTGTAGAAAAGAAGTGACATTATATTTTAATATATTTGTTTACATAATCATATTCTTAGCTATTTTTTTACAAACTGTGTTAAGATAATATCAGTATAAATCGGCAGTCTAGACGTTTAAATTTGTTTCCAGATATCATAATCCTTAGTAGATATATAACACAGATTTTGGTTTAAATACCTGTTCTTGCCGTACATATCATTGCATGAATATTGTTGATGAGAAATCTTACGAAGTAAATAATTAACTACTACATTAGTCTATAAATAAAGTGTTTTTATACAAACGACTTACAAATATGTTCATTAGACAAAAACGACAAAAATTTCTTTATTATTTTATTTAATATCTATTGAGTCTAAACATGGAATTTGTTATAATATTTAAATATATCTACGTATAATAAATGTTGTAGGAAGCTACAGTTGGAGGAAGTGGCTGCTGTGAATACGAGTGCAGGTTCTGAGGGTTGGTTGGAGGTGAATGTGACCAGTGCACTAGCCGCTTGGCTCACCTCGCCGGCTGATAATCGAGGGTTCTTTATCACATTACATCCACATTCGCAACCAGGTATTATAGTTGTATTTATTGAGAAAAGTAGTGACAGTTTTATTTGTATGGCCACTATAGGTATATTATGATAATGATGTTATTACCACCATTTCATTATTTTAATTCATCCATCGTCCATTGCATCTTTCGCTACAAAGTAAGAGCTTGACCAATAATACTCAATAATTTCCAAATGATTATTACATCTGGTACCAGTGATAGAAAAGTTAAGAAATAACCGTCTATCCTGGTATGGGCACGTGATGCGCAGGAATGAGGGGCATATTTTAAAAAAGGTATTAAGAAGGAATGTAGATGGCTATAAGGGCAGAGGAAGACATAAAAAGACGGATGGATTGTGTGAAAGACGATATGGCCAGAATGGGAGTGAATGCGGAAATGACTGGGAATAGAGAAGAATGGAAGAGGAAAACATATTACGCCGACCTCAAAATAATAATTGGGATAAGAGTAGGAAGATGATGATGATAATGATATTACATCTGGTACCTTCACTATTTTCTAGGGAATTGCTATATGGTATTAATCCATATTGATAAAGGAAAAAGCTACTCTCCAAAACAGACTTGCATTTATTAGATGAATTATGATATGTATAAATATTGTGTAAACACAAGTCATTGGCTCTTGGTTCATTCACATTTGTGATATTGGCAGAGTTATAAACAGAATATCGTATATTGTGTCAGTTGTAGGCTAGGAATTCATTTTTACTCATTATACTTATCAGTCACCTACCTACTCGTACACTTGACAAGAAAAGTATATGAGTATCATCTTGTTATTTTCCAGAACGCCATGTAAAACCAGAAGAAATTGGCTTAGAGGAACCTCGTGGTATGATTGTAGAAGGAAAGCAACCATTTTTAGTGGCGTTCTTTAAGAGTGGCCCAAAACTAGGGAATGCTGATCCTAGTGCTCGACGAAAACGTGAAGCGAAACGCTGGCGCACACATGGATACTCTGAAAATCATTCAAGAAACCCGTTAACAGGTTTGTTCCATTTATATCTTAACTTCCCTTTAACACTTTACTACTCTGGTCTTACTGGTCTGGTACTTAACTAGTTCTATAAAAGTTTTCTAAGGTTGGAGGTTGATTGCTATTAGAAAAATTCTCGTCTTAGATCCATTAGCACTCAGAATGCTTATTATTTTATTATTGTACACGCAGTTTTTTGTATAACTTTTGTATATAGATATAGTTAATCCACAGATATACGTGTAAGGTTGATCATATGCTTTAAAGAGAGCACTATATTATAATTCGTTGTAAAATATAATAAGATATATAAAAATTTTGTGCTCTTATTCTAACAGAACTATATTTTATTACTATAACTTTATTAACAAAAAAAAATTTTTTTTGATACAACTTAGAATGGCAAACAAGCTGACGGACCACCTGATGGAAAGTGGTAACCGTCGCCTACAGACATGAGCAGTACCATGGACATAACAGAGTATACTGTTTCGCTCATGATACCCCCCATGCGTTACCATTCCTGAGGACTCAGGTGTTATTCCTCTGTACTCAGTAAATGCACGCCATATCTCACTCTTCAAACCGAAACACAGCCATGCAAACACAACTGCTTCACGGTAGAAACACGAATGGGACATAGGTACTCAAGCAATCGACTTTTTTACAAAGTCTCCCTCTGGTAAAGGTTTTAATTATACTAGTTTCATAGCCTGTATCCTGTTATCAATGGATGAGAAAATATAATAAATATTCAAGAACAAAATTTCTTAGGTCGTTCGGTTATATTTTTATACGTATTTGGTATGGGTTCTTTTTAGTACGAATTATTTAAGAATATAAAATATACTCGTACCATAATAATAATAAACGCGAGAGTATCGCAGTATTAATTTAAAAATAAGTGTTTAATAAATAAATATAAATATCTTTCTTGCAGATACATCACACTGGACTACGAGAAGTTGTGAAATTCAAACACTGTACGTCAGTTTTAAGGATCTCGAATGGCAGGTATGTGTCCACAAGTTTTGGTGATCTATCTAAGCATTTACATTTTCGAAGAAAAAGAAAGAGGGAAACACAGTGGAATATAATAGAAAAGATAAAATTATATAACTAAAATCTAAAATTATTCAATTAAAATATAAATTTTAGACTAAATGATCATTTAGTCTGTATTATTATTACATACATTGCTTCAATACATTAAAATGGAATGGTAACTCCGTCTAGGCGAAACGAGAGAGGAGATGTAATTGTTAATAAATAGGTCTAACAACCATATTGCCAGCGACATACCCAATAAGGTAATTTCTAATTCGATTATTCACGGCAGGTCAAATAACTTGACTTCATTCTTATTTATTTTTATTTACCTGTTTTTCATCTATTTACTGGTAGCGCAGCCGGAGGTTTCTTTATAAGTTCAAGGTTCCGACAAAGAAACACTATGTCCTTGCAATTCGATACAGTTGACATGGCGTCTATTATATTTGTTATATTTGTTGTGGCAAATATTAAGTATTGGGGTAACATTTTATAATAAAGGAGAAACGACCAGAGATAGTTTCTTCAGTAAGTTTATGGTCGCCCTGTGAGCGGGCAGCTTCTTCGTCGTCCGGCTGCTTGCGAGGCTGCGACAAGGTTATTCTATTTTCATTTTATTACACACTCGCCTATGCTATTGATTTATGTTAGCATGGTACTTTTTTTTTAATGGGTGATAATGGAATGGTAACCCCACTCGCGCTATTGGTATACACCGGTGGGCACCAGTGAGGGATGATAGATGAGAATGAAGCAGGTCAGTTAGTCCATCGTGACGAATTCAACAAGAATTGTTCACGATGGTTTCCAGGGGGAACCACGTGGAGGTCGACCTGATAGGGCATATTGCTAGCAATGTCGAACTCCATTGCTAACAATCCCTTTTCCTCCATTAGCATGGTACTATTGAGGAATGATAGGTTAGAATGAAGTCAGGTCAGTTGGTTCTTCGTGACGAATTTACTTAACATATTGCTAGCAATGGGGCTACTGATCTCAGGTAATCCCTTGCACTCCACACTTATATTGATTAAGTATATAAAATAATAAAATTGTACTTTATTTATACAGTGCATATATTCTTTTGTAAATAAAAAAAAAAAAAAAAACTGAAACTGAGTTATTCTGTAGGTAAAGCCTCTACACACTTGGATACATAATATAGTTCTGACACACCATTATTATGTGTTATTACGAATAGTAAATTACAAATATGTTATTAATTCTAATCGTATTACTTAGTATTTAGGATGGAGAAGGATATAAGTTACTTAATATTCCCGTTAATGAATATATCCCGAATATGATAACGAAGTCGCGGTTAAAAGCCTGTATGTTAAACATTCTAATTTGCATTCTTAATTGCATTCTAAGTTACATAAAAAATATTAAAAGTTAAGAATATAATTATAACTTTTTTATACAGGACTGGATTATAGCACCCGATGGCTACGGTGCATTCTACTGCAGTGGAGAGTGCAACTTCCCATTAAATGCGCATAAAAACGCAACCAATCACGCCATTGTACAAACATTAGTACATCTTCTTAATCCTCAGCTGGTAATTTTACATAATTATTTTTATAATAATGTAGATTACATTAATCATTGGTAGGTTACATTAATATAGTTTAGTTTTTATTTGTTGCTTAAAATTACTGTTTTTATTCTTTATCCGGGAACACTTAAAGTTGATTTTACAAAATCCTAAAAGTAACATTAGGCTATTTTGATCCTCGGCAAATAATCAAATAAGACTATTAATAATTAAGAATATTTATTATCTAATAGATACTATTACTATTTCAAATTAATACTAATTATTTCAAAATAAGTATATGTAAGAATAAATTGACATCAGTGTCATTGAATCGTTAATTGCTATTGCATTAAATTGGATAAGAATTTAAATTAATTGTAATAATTTAAAATCATTATGAAGTATTTATATGGACCTATGTTTATTATTAAAAATTTATAAGAACATCTAATCAAATTACGATAACTTCAGTATCCAGAAATTTGCTGAATAAAATATACTTAGATATTCGTATGATTTTTAATTAAATAGATGAAAACTGAAATTTAAAAATAATCTCTATCTGCTTGAATAATTACGGTATTTCGTTAAAATTGCTACTATCTTATGTTTGTGTAAAATGTTTTACTAACGAAACTTTACATAGCTTAAATTTTTTTTCTAAACCTGAGGCCGAACTGCAAAAAATGAAATATATCCCGAATTTTTTATTGTATTATTTAATCTTGTGATTGTTTTATTCTTGTAGGTACCAAAACCATCCTGCGCGCCTATCAAGCTTTCTCCAATATCTGTGTTGTATTACACAGACGATTCCAACGTGATCCTGAGAAAATATAAAAATATGGTTGTCAAAAGCTGCGGTTGCCATTGAATTTATATTGACGTAATAATAATAGTTTATTACGTATTTTATCAAATAAGAAATTGTTACGACGTCACTAACTGACAATCAGGGTGTAAGTATAATATAGTGCCGTCCACAATTGCTGTGTTAGTCCCAGGTGCTGCAGCTGTAGTACGCTATAAATTTATATATTTATAATATTATAACATAAATGTTAGTTATAATATTATAGACATAGATTATAATAGTTGCTCTATGTCCACCTTAATTCTGTGAGTTACTTTTACATATATAATGTAAGATTAACTCACATAAATAATACGTGTAAGTCTTATAAGTAAATAAATTGATCGATCTGGCAATAAGATGCTTATTATAGTTTTAATTTATCGTAAATTAATTATATAAGGAACGTGAGTAAAACGTTATATTATATGGACGTTATATTAGACGCGAATGTTTTCTAGGGGCATTATTTAATCGTTAGATGTTCTTTGCTGTCACGTCAAGATACGATGAGGTTTAGTAGTGTTTCTATCGTACTTGTTTATCGTCATCTGGATATTATTACAAATGTATTGGTAACGAAAAAATCTTTCTTAGGATTTTTATTTATTTCCACAGATCCAGATTAAATAAATATCAAATAAATATATATTCTATTATATGACTGGTATGAATGAAAGGAAAAAGCATTTTCTACCATGTACATGTATAATTAAATATACCTGAAAATATTTTTGTTGATAGCATTTTTTATATAACCGCTCTGTTTATTTCTTACTCATACATTTAATTCTGTTCATATCCGGGAATTACTATCATTGTAAATAATACAATTGTTCCAATGCAGTATCCTGTATTGCTAACACGAGATTCTTTGTAACGCCTACGTAACGTACGGAGAGCTCACTCACAACTAGGTAACTTGTATTTTTATCATCGGTAGTGACTGTACTGTATTTCGAATATTTTAAATACAAATCTTAGGTTTTATATTTTAGTAAAACATATTTTTTATAAGTCATTATTGAAATGATTACCTATTGAGATTGATTATAAAGAATAGTTCGTATTTCGAAATTTAGAGAAAAAGAGTGTAAAATTAATGAAAAAAATATTTTCTTTAATATGTATAATGTCTTGAATTATAATTTTGATTAAATATTAGTATTATTTTAGAGATATAGGTAATACATTTTAAATAAACGATTTTTGTTGTATAGGAGGTATGCTTTTATGTTGTCACAAAAGTAAAACGTAGAATTTGAGCAGCTAAATCTTAAATATTATATAATATTAACAAACTACAGTCAGTCACAAAAAAAGATTACTTAATATTTTGATCTTCATAGATCACAGTTGGGTATAATGCCTCATCTAGGTACTTTAGCTGTCGCTGTACTATAATTTATAATGTGCGTAGTCTGTAAAATTGTCTAGTTTTTATTTGATTATAATAATTAGTATTAATATACCACGAATTTATCGAGTCTTATAGATATTTTCATGATAGTCATTTGTTTTCTTATAAATATAAGTACTTATTTGAAAATCGTAACATGTACGTTTTACACACTTTTTTTATTTTATTTTTTTACAATACGACAACTGATTATTTTCATTATCTAAAAAGATGTATTAGATATTCACCCCTTTATTCATAAGAGTTAAAATATAATACAAACCTATTTTAATTATAACAATGTTTTGTCACTTTATTTCAAATTGAGAAAATAGTGCAAAAGAAAAGGGCCAGATGTTTCAATAGCTAAAATAGGTTTATGAGAGAGATTTGACGTTTTTATGAATAAGGAAGGTACCTTATTATTTTTTTAGGGTAGTTATGTCTCTCCTTACATTTATTATTGTGAAAACACATATAACTTCACGTAAGTATTCTATTTAGAAAATTAAAAAGATATATATAAATACGTAGATTATTTGTATTTCTTTCTCGATTTTATTAACAAATAGTGAGGTATGAATGTATCTATATAAATTATTACCTCATACATCTACATAGCATAGCATTTGCAAAATATAAATTAAACATCTTCAAGGTTATATTATTTTACATTATTGTTCATTATGTTGTATTCAAATAAACTTGTTTGGCATCTTAATTAGTAAGTTTAAAAAAAATACAAGTGTGTTAGTCTATCACACTAAAAATATTATGTGAAATATAACCACTCAAACTAAATAAATGAGGTACTTAGGCCCCCCTGGGGTACCTACTTAGTTTTTTATGTATCCTAACTAAAGATAAAACTATACGTTATTTCTTTTTAATGCCATATTTTTTTTTTAATGGATGATAATGGAATGGTAACCCCACCCGCGCTATCGGTATACACCGGCGGGGCACCAGTGAAGGATAATAGATGAGGATGACGTAGGTCAGTTAGCCCATCGTGACGAATTCAACAAGAATTGTTCACGATGGTTTCCAGGAGGAACCACGTGGAGGTCGACCTAAAAAGGAATATTGCTAGCAATGGGGCTGTCAAACTACATTGCTAACAATCCCTTTCCCCCCTTAATGCCATATTTGTATGTACCAAAAATGGGTCGCATTATAATAAATAACAGTTTTAATGAAATTAATGATATTGTAGGAATATTTTTTAAGTACTACTTCATTGGGTTTGTATTGGGCATTTTGCAAACACATCAAGCGTTTTTGTGCAAATTTTATGTACCTACCTATATGTTATATGACTAGAGATTGTTTAGATATTAAATATAATATTATCGTCTTATTAGTTTTAATATGTATAAGTAATTTGTGCCAACTTTAATATAAGGAAAAATCACTTAAGTAAATGTTGAAATAATAATATGATTTGAAATGGAAAAGTCTTGTTTGTATTTTTTACCTGTCTTGTAATATGTATGACGGACATACGTCGACCAAATAGGCGACATGCTGCAGAAGGTCCAAATTAAATGTACCCGTAATCGGCGAGCATGTATGAAAAAATTAATGAATGTGTAGGAAGCAAAAGACGTCTGTTTGAATCACAGCATTTAGTGTTCCATTGTTTTTCCTACCTTAATGGGAGACAGAAGAGATAGATATGAATGTAAGTAGATCTTTGAAATGGGTTAATAGATAATAATTGGCTATGTTAATAGTCTATAACGCAGTTACTACCATTATTACCATTTATAATTATTTACGATAAAACATCGAATACAGCTATTTTATAAAGGTAATATATTTTATGATATAAAAACAGTAGGTCCATAGTATATTTTTAGTGGGATGGGAATGAAATGATAATTCGTTGCCTGCATTATACACTGGTGGCAGATCACATGGTGGTGGTAGACGATGATAGGTGAGGATGAGGTGAAATCAGGTCAATTGGTGTTTTATCACTAGAAATTATCGAGGATGGTTACCAAGTGAAACCATGCAGGTCGACTTGATAGGGCATATTGCACTAAGTACACAATCACTTTCCCATCTTAATATATATATATATATATATATATATATATATATATATATATATATATATATATATATATATATATATATATATATATAATATAATGAATACACATATAATAGATGATGAAGCTCTCGAATTCCTAACCGAATATTCTTATTGTGATATCAAGGCGTTGGTTATATCTAAAAGTGACAAATATCAGTTTCCACCAAATGAACCACCGTTAGTTTTGTTTTACAAAATTAGACAGTAAATCATGATTATTCGTGATATTGTGTTTCTTAGCATGGAAGGTCTATTAAAAGATTATATGTCGATACATTTCATTTAATAACTGGGTTTGATAGACTTGCAAAATATAATTGCCGTACAAAAGACGCCAGCTAAAATAGTCGTTATATTTACCAGAGGAAATTCTTATGAAATAGATGTCTGCTTGTGTAATTGTGTTTTTACTATAAAGCAGTTATGCTTGTATAACTGTGTTTCAGTCGGAAGAGTAGGATATGACTGTAAAATTAAAGAGTACAGGGACATAACACTATAATCCTCAGGAATGGTTATGCTTGAGAAGTATCATGGTATCACAAAGTATTCTGTGATTTTCATAATATTGTTCATGACTCTAGGTTTCCATCAGGGGCGCCTTCACCTTGTTTGCCATTCTAAGTTAGGTACATAAAAAAGGAATAAACGGCAATTTTAAATAAAGTTTATTTTTTTTTTTGCATCGAAACAATATATAATAACTATATTAAAATAATTATGAGTATGTGGATGATACCGACACGGAAATATATTCTATATTATTTTTATTATGAAATAGTACTTTTTAAGGAGATAGATAACAAATTATAATAAAATTAGATTGCATTTATAAGCATATGATATATTTATAGTGATTGGAAAAAATCGAGAGATGATTAATGTATTTCATGTATAGTGTAAGATTTAGATTTTCATTTCATTGAACATGAACATTTGTTTACGAATAAAATGATTGACGGATTTAAACCTTTCATTCCATTACTTATTAGGTACTCACTAACAGAATGAATCAATCAGTATCTACTTATGCTTGCCAAATTGTGTATACAAGGTACACACGGTTTATTGAAATACGTATTTTAGTATGTTGAAATAATTAAATATCTATAGTCAATTACTGGTTGTTTTTGGGACTTTTCGCGCGCGATTATCTTAATTAGTGGGTATCGTGAGTGCAGCAGCGTCCCTTTAAAACATCATCAAAGCCTAACTGCGGTTGCCAATGCGTCTGTCAAGCGTGGTAACTCATGACAAAACTCATTTATGGAGAAGGCCTATCTTTAGCAGTGGACAGTTAAAGGCTGTTATGATGATGATGATGGGGGCGTTCTAGTGTGTAGTCGCTGGCGTATCTTCTTGGTGCGATATTTGAAAGGAAAAAGTGAGATAAAGGAATGCAGTTCTTCTGATCACTCCCCGTGGAATAGGCGGTCGAAGTCAGAACTTAGGGAAGCTACATTTTGATGTAATTGCAGAGGTCCTAGTGTTTTATTCACCTCAGAATCTCCCACGATACAGACAGCCTATAGGAGGTACTGAGTAGAGCCATCGTAGAGATGCGAGCAGTACTCCGCACATGATCTTGTAAATCTGGAAAGAGAGTGGCAACGGATATGGTGTACTATAGGTAGCTATCATTCTGTATATTCAAGAGAACGTTGTTGTCTATTATGTCGGGCGTCAGACTGTTTACCTACTATAGCTGGTATTATTAAGACACTAGTTCTAGCTCTCAGTTAATATTTTATCTTTTTTGGTCGATAGTAGTTTCTGTATCTATCCACTAACCTACAATAAAATCAATTACGTCTCGTTCATTGTATTTATTTCTCGATAGGTTTTCAGTTTAATTGAAGAAATTTGTGCCTACATTACGTATTAGGTATATACTTACTTACTGTTATGTGATGATGATTGTGATGATCAGAGTGTTAACAAACAATAATATATTTTAGTTAAATAATGTGACAAAATCTTAGTGACAAATTTTTTTTTTCAATAATTTGAATACAGATGTATTGACAATTATTCTAGACACTTTACATTAATAAACAAATTTAGTAGCTCATTCTTAGATATTGATAGAAACTTCTTTAAAAATATTTAGGTCCTTAAATCACTAGAAAAATAATATTTATTTTCGAAACAAAATATTTATTATACTTTTTTTACAGATTTGATAATAAATGTACGGTGTTATCAGTTGGTACGTATCGACTTTAAATTCTAGGTAGGTAATCAATCGTTTGCCTTATGTTTGTTATCAGTATCAGATAAGTATTTTGAATCGCCGTCTTTGTCGATTGGTGTCCTGTTTGCAGTATGGTCGTTGATGGCACATGGTAGGTACAGTTGGATACTGTACTCGATTGTTACATGTAAATTTACCGTTATAATTTTATCGTTTGTATAGATAATATTGCGGTCTGCTATATGATGTTCTATCTTTAGAAACAATGTTTATAAACAGTGTTATCAAAGTTGGACGTTCTTGCAGTAGGTTCAAGAAAGAAGTTTGCAATAAAAGCTCGTGGCTGAAGATCGAGGCGAGTGAGTGAAGTGGGGGGAGTATCGTCTCGTCTACAACTTCAAGGGCGAAACAGCCTCCACCAAACTAATGTTGATCAGTGGGCTACACCGAAGTCCGAAAAGCGTCATTCATTCCGTCGCCGTAACCGAGCACGCCGCACGCAACACACTGCCGGTATAATATAAACAATGCCCAGCACACCAATCGACACTCACCGGCTGGCGTGAACATTTGAACATGTTTCAGTACAAAATTCTCGTAAGCTTCTTCAAAGCTATGTGGTCATACATTTTTGTGTTAACTTTTTTTAGTTTAAGTGTATTTAGTGCAGATTTACCCGTGTTTCATAAGTGTTGCCCAGAAGATCAGAACCTCATCAAAGTGTCAGTTGATTTAAATATTACTCTTGATGTACGATATATATGTTTAAATGCAGAAGCAGAAGAAAAGTATAATATATCCAGTGATGTTTTTCCACTTTTAGTGGTTAAGACTGAAAATGTTGAATATTATATGCCTGGAGAATGTAAGTTAGAGTTGATACATAAAACTGGACCTTTTTTAGAAATTACAACAGATGTTGATATTTGTTACGATAGACTCGTGATGGAAATTATGAATAATACAACTAAACAGATAGTTCCTAAAACTGTTGCGTTATCCTGTGTTAAAAATGAAACTAGCAATACATTAATATCAACTATAACAATAGATCATATTCGAAAATGTTGTCCTAGAAATCAGAGGTACGACATTGTATTCCATGTATGCAGAAACTTTTATGAATATAACGAAAGCAATTGGTTAATTATGGATTTTATGAATAATAATACACAGAGCAAGATTTACGAAATAGATTTTGAATTACACTGTAAATCAAATGAGTATGCTGTAGAGTTGAGTGAAGAAAAGTATATGATAGAAATTGAAGGAAGCGCTTTAAATGTAGGTACCAGAGAGGGAACAATTAAGAATATAATACGCAGTGGTGGATGGTGCATAGATAATGAATATTCTAGTGGAGGATTGGTAGCTCGTGTTTGTACAAATGATTGTTCCAAATTTGGTGCATATTGTATGAGAAAGTGCTGTCTTATAGGACAACATTATAAACCTCGAAGTTGTGATAGCTTTGTTAGCAGTTGTGTACCTAGCACCAATAAAGATGATGCGGTATTCTTCAACATTTCCTCATACATAGATCCTTTAAAAGAGAATTATAAAAATCTAAGTGGTAAGTAAATAGTTTTACAGCGTATCATAATAGTATAAGCACTTATATAATTGTTAATTTATGAACATATGTGGGAATGTTAGGTATTCACATATCACAACATAAAAAACACACAGATTGTGGTCAAAGTATGGTGTTTGATTTGTACTTATATTGCAATACATTATATATATATATATATATATATATATATTAATGAGGAGTAAGTTAGTAGACTGGTTTATTTTAGTTTACAATACTTAAACGATGTTTCACTTGTTGCATTGAATGCATATAGTAAGCAAAATTCTAGGTATTTCCGATGAATGGAAATAATATAAATATCTTATATAATTAATAATCTTTATATTAATAATATAATAATATTATTATAATAATAGTCTTTATATTAATTGAAAAAGGAATTAGTGATTTTTTAATCATTCGGAGGTTCTTAAATAAAAGATGAAAAAGAATTATTTATCATATTTAGCGTATAACAGAACAGCGTCATTTCAAACAAACAAGGTTTGTATGAAATTTATGTAACCAGTTCATTGAATTTGAAAGATTTCATACTATAAAGTAGCAATATTTATTAAGATTCCTATCGATATTGATATTTCGTATAGAGGCATGTTATAAACAGTTGTACAGCAATGTAAATTTTAACTAATATTGTATTGATACCTGCTTCTAGATGGTTGCAAAGTTTAATTTTCCAGTTTGCCAATAAAAGGGCTCTTATTATACGTAATGTTATTTCGACTACGTGCTCTGTGGCGTAAAGTTCGTCTGTCAACTATGTTATCCTTAGATGAATTATTATCCTAATTATGAATGCCCAGGGAAAGACATCATAATCGAAATCATATTTCTTTTTAATTAATTTTTTATATTTATTTTTTTAATGCCAGGAAAATATTTTGTACGTCTAAAACGTACACATTTTTATAAAAAAATGTCTTCATATTTTCAGCAAAGAAAAGGTTCACTGTAAACTCTCTCTATTTTAATACTATTAGAATTTCAAGATTGTTGTAATTAAATTAATTTTCCTTTAAAAAAATTTAAGGTGAATGTAAAGATTTTAATGCACTGAAACTAAATCTGTTTTTTGTTTTTTACTAGGTATCACACTAGCTATAGATTTTATGTAATTATTATTTTTGTAACGCCCAATATATAATTTTTTTGGGTACAGTTTAGCATTTACATTAATATTTTTGATTAATATTTTCATACAATAGTAAAAGGAAGAAGGATCTAATAATAAGCTAAGGATAGCCACGCAAGGTGCTTCTCGTATTATTTTAGGTCTTTGCGCAATTTTCACTAAAGTAAAAGAAACTTACATTGAAAACTTTTAAAATGTTATGATAATTAAATTAAAAACACATTAAAAAACGCTACAATTGATAATAGTCAGAAGGAATGCTTGTCGACAAAAGTTGTTGATTGATTTGTCGTGAAGTTCCAACTGATAATATGAAAATAACAACGTTAGAATTACATTGTTAATCATTACAAATTTTATATTCAAAATTTTTTAAATTTTTGTAATCATTGCAAAGTGTTTATATCAAATTTTTAAGCAAAAATAACATTCTATTGATAAAATACATTGCATATAGTAGGTATATATTTTTAATGCTATATTTATATATCAAGACTAGGTGTCAGATTAATATGCGAAGAAATAATAAAAAGAAGTTTGTACAGACCAGTGTTATTATTGTATTATTACTATTACTATGTATTATTTGTTATTTTAAATTATTTAATTTGGGACCTACTAGGTATTAGGCGGGGGTTACTATTCTATTCCGAGTTCTCACTTATTAAAAAACATCTAGATATTAGCGATTATGGATGCAAATAGTGGCACTAAAAGTTCTTTCATTCTAGTGCTCTTAACATTTCGTGACATAATTGCATATCAATTATCAGTTTATCGATAATTTATAGATTCTTAGTTTTATTTTTAGTTTGTCATTAATTATATGATGTTGATGTTAATTATCTACAGATATTTATTGATATTATAGACAACTACCTGTAATTCTGCAACTTTACTGGCCGTGTAGGTATAGAATAGGCCACTCCTTCCTTTCTCATGGGTGTCGTATGAGACCACTAAGGGAGTTTATGATGAACATTACCAAAAGCCAAACTGCAGTTGCTAAGTCGCCTGCCAAGCATGGCAACTACTGGAAAAACCCCCTTTATGGGGGAGGCTATGTTTAGCAGTGGACGGTTAATGGCTGATACAACTCACGTAAATAAAAATAAAAATAACACTCTGTTAATATAGCTGAAACTAGTATATTTTCTATTTGTGTGCAAAATTTCATTTTAGTTTCTGTTTTTATAATTTTAGCAAAGGGCAAGTGCCAAATAGGCAACCTTTTATGCCAAACAGGAAATGAAACGGGATATTCCTGGATTTTCATAACTTTATATTTATATGGATATTCATAGCCTGATAAAGTGCGGCAATGTGATTGATACAATTGTGTCACATAATTATGTGGCAATTTTCAAAAACAATAATTTTCAATGTTTCTGATTAATTTTTTTTAAAGTGCTCTGATAACGAATTAAAACGTTTCAGTTAATAAGACTTCATAACTAACAAGTTTTATTAATTTCGAACGTATATGTCTTAGCGTTTTTTTAATAAATGACTTTGGAAATTAGAATGAAATTAATACATAAAAATAAGCACAGTAAAAATTTAAATATACACATATAAAATTTTTAAGATAACCATATCCCCAAAACTCCGTTTTGTCGTTATTTTATGTTGACAAAAATATGCAACTTTTTCACTTTATTATTCAGTAAGATCGGGCATGAAATGTACTTATGGCTATTTTCTTGTTATTTTTAGATACACTGGGTATTCACATCGGTTTGGATTGCCCACACGGAAAAGTCGCTCTCAATAAATCTGCGAAACAAGATTTCCACCGTCTGACACCATCAGGAATGTTAGAATCTCCTCTCAATATAAGTTATGACTATTGCATTGAAACTTTTGATACTCGCAAATGCCAGGATGATGTTACAGTATCAGCAGCGGTTTGCTTCATACCAGCGCCGACTCAGGATAAGGACTTTCAAGTTTCTTTTGTAGTAAGTATGTTTATCATCTTAAAAGGTATTGTTTATTGAGTATTGTATGCTACTGGAGTTATAATATAAATGATCTTTCTATATACCTACATATGTAGGAGTGTAAATTTTTCATCTAAAGTTTCAATTTGATTTAACCATCACATATAAACATAAAACCGACAGAATATATCTGTATTGTTCGTAAATATAATATATATTGACAATTAGCGATAGCTTGCATTACTTGTAAATGTACATGTGTAGGCCTTCCGTATGTATACTGTGTATGTTATAACCAAACATGGAATAAGATGTTGCAATTGTTATATCGATGACTAGCGGCCCGTCCCGGCTATAACGATAATAGGTGGACATATAGTATTGCGAAGTTTTTTGTAGTTATTGATATTTTCTTCAATATTGTAGAACATACTTTTATTGTACCACCAATAGTTTCCGCAACGTACGCAACGAAAGATATTTTATAGCATTTTTTTACACCTTGAGTTACGTACTAAAGTTTTATAACCAAACACGGAAACTTTAATTCTAAAAAAAAAATCTTAGTTTTTGAGTTTATTCATGACAAAACCACACAAAAACACAAACCTTTCCTCTTTATGTTATTTACATTTAAAATTCTTTCAATATATATATATATATATATATATATATATATATATATATATATATATATATATATATATATATATATATTTATTGTAAACTACTGAGCAGATTTTTTTCAATAAAATTTCTGTGGAATCAATCCATATGTATCCCTTTCAGATAAAAAAAGAATTTACTATATCATTTTAAAATTGACAGTTATGAGGAAACAAACATAAAAAATGCAATCGAATTGAGAATCTCCTTATTGAAGTCGGTTGAACATATTTATTATTATTTATTTTTTATGTAATATATTTCCATATATATTGTCATACAGCTTTTTTTTTTAAAACAAAATAATGAAATATTGTGTCCCACAAAAAAAAATTCAATTCTGACAAAACCAGTTATTTACATTTAAAAAGTAAACTACTGAGCGTATGCTATATCATTTTAAAATTGACAGAGTTATGAGGAAACAAACATAAAAAATGCAATCGAATTGAGAACCTCCTTATTGAAGTCGGTTGAACATTATTTATAGTTATTATTTATTTTTTATGTAATAATTTCCATATGTCACTGTACACTATGCCGGAGCCGGAGTTGCGGAACCAGCATGGACGGACCCTGACTTGTCACCTGATTACGATGTTGCTCGCGTTCTCGTGTCTTGCACGGGTACAGTACAATCACGTTGAAAACACCCTTCTATGTACATTATTAGGTGAGTTATTGTTATAATAAATATAGCGTTTTTAAAGATCCATAGTCAAATAAGCCATAAGTTTAAGCCATGATGCTTATTATACATCACCATAATTTAAGCCTATAGGCTAACATTGCGTCAAAGATTGAGTTATTGTTGGATAATAAAGGGTTATTTATAAGTGTGAGTCTTATGTTTGTGTTGTGCTACGCACTTTACCGAAATATCAACATACCATTTAATTTTTACAATAACGGATTTCAATAAAAACATATTTCAAAACCAATTTAATTCTCATCAAGAAACAAATTTTCTCATGATGAAAATTCAATCATTGTACCAATGATTGGATTGAAAAAGGACGAGGTTAGCCATTCGCCTGTATTTATTGTGTGTTTATTTGTTAATTCTGAATCTATGTTGTTAATTTATGTTTGTGATCAGAAAGGACTATTTATGTATTGATTTTTCATTTTGTCATATCAGCTGTGACAAAATTAAAATAAAACAAAAACTAGTTTATACTTTTACAAAGTAAATTATTACAATTTCAACAACAACTCAATAACTAACATCTTGGTCTTCTTTGTATTTTTATATATTCATTAGATACTGTCACTATTTGTTGTAATCACAGTCACACTTCGACAATGTATGCAGTAGATATTTGTTAACAATTCTGTCACACTTCATTCATAATGTTATGTTTCAAAATAAAAGATCAAATGAGAACTTTGCAGAACAATATTTGAACATTGACTGACTGATAGAGAATTATAGTCTAAATCAGTGTTGTTAAATTGAGATATTGTTGGAATAATCAATATATATCTGGTGAATATATATCAAAGGATAAGCGAGCTGAAGCGGCAGTGTGCTGGTCATATAGTTTGAAGAACCGATAACTGATCGGGAACAAAGGTTTTTGAGTAGCGATCCCGTATAGGTAAACGGAGTGTAGGACAATATCCTATAGATAGAGTGATAACCTCAAATGTACTGCAGGGAGTCAGTGGATGCAAGTGGATGTCAGGACTGTTCCTTATGTCAGTCTATGGGGGACGCCTATGTTCAGCTGTGGCCAGATAATGGCTGAGATGATAATTATGATGATATATCGATTACTACTAAAATCGTGTATGCAAACATTATTTATTATTGTAGTTGTGACACCCATTGATTACGCCATTTTTGTATAAAGTGTCCGGGTCACATATAATGCGATAGTCGTAAAAACGGTTTATTACTCTTTTTCCACTTAAACACTTAAGATTAGTATAATCCATAAGTGAAGTTATTTTATTTACTGTTAAACCAGTGATTAAGTGCTATTGATATTTTAGGTGTATTATAAACGCTCTCTATTTGATAACGAATTTTTTTCATCTATAATGTAAAGATTTCCTTTAGTAGATACGATTCATCATCGTGCCACATAATCATAACGATTTATCAAGGAAAATCATATCGCACTCATGTGCAGTAAAATGTAAACACTATTATTTTGTCATCGTCACGATACTGACAATTTGTTTTTTGGTTATTTGTAATCTTGAGAGGCCAGAAATTGGCCTCTCGAGGCTACAAATTATTCGGAATTAAAAGGTATTCAGAACGATCATGTGTTTGCATATTAAATGGCATTTTGGTTGGGAGCGCTCGACATTACGTCTGTTCAGACGCGTTTTTTATTCTATTTTCCTTAGTTAGGGGGAAAGAGATTGTTAGTAATGTGACCTAATAGCCCCATTGTTAGCAATATCCATTCTCACACCTTAGAACCAAAATCATGCACAGTGCGGTTTCAGAGGAGCTTCCTTTCGCGTACATTCAGGCTGTGGAATGATTTTATTGTCGATGATTTTATTTTATTTATTGTTCAAAAAGGTCGTATTAAGGTTTTTTAAAGATCGGCAACGAGCGCGTTATATCCCTGGTGCTACATGCGTCTATAAGCTATGGCAAAAGAGCTCCCTAGATAAGTGGTAAACGAATCTATCGATAGAATCATTTCGATTAGCTTTCGCTTATACGAATTCTTTCTTATGAAAGAATCAACTATCTCATGGACTTACTAGAGATAATGATTCTATAGACAAATTTATTTGCCATTTATCTAGGAGAGCAGAACGCATTTGTACCGACGAATGTAAACATCGGTTCTGTAGCAAATGTGACCAGCTCATTGCCACTTCAGTCTTTTGCCAATTCATTGACATAATCCTGAATACTGAATCTCTAAATAATGATAATAAATTTTATGCTTTTCATACAGGGTATGGAATATACTTTGGTTTCGTCGCTGCATTTGCTTGGCTGAACGTCATGTGCTTCGACATCTGGTGGACATTTGGGTGAGTAATATACCATACCCGACTAAACTAAATATTATCAATAGGTATTATACAAATAAGTAACTGTTGCATGTATATGTTTAGATTACATCACTCTCCATTGAACTGTGTACACGAATATATAAATGATCGTCATACTTTGTAGTCCACTAAATGCAAATATGTTACTGATATCCTAAAGGTTCAGTGCCAGTATACTTAGGTATTAATACCTATGTTAAAAGGAGATATTTTATTTTGAAGACACGTTATGTAAACATACATCGAGCTTTCTTTGTAGACGTGGTGTCTATGTTAACGTGCGTTTATGTAGACGCCAAGTCTAATTGGTGTAAAATATATTACTTTCCGCGAGGTAAGTACGTCAAGAGTTATTGACCTATTGACGTAACTACCTCTTCGGAAACAATAAAATTTTAGATTTATTTTTTAAAGTCCTTAACGGCTTTTACATATCTGATGTTCATTATGAATACGGACGATTTCATAAATCATTATGCATTGTAATAAGATTTACAAATTAAAAGAAATAGTATTAATTTAAACATTAAAAATTTCAATGAAGTTCTGGGTTCTACAAAATAGTTAAGCAAACAGAACAATACAAACATTCGTAAACGTGTGGATTAACATACTGAATTGATTATACCTATTGCTTGCCGTCAGTTCTAAATCGGTTGCGTAATCTCAATTGTTCTCTATTCGGATTCGATGTAGAAAAAAAAAAAATATTAAAATCGTCGTACCACCATGGTTTAATAATATAATTATATGACAAAGTTGGGTTATGTTAGAAGTCACTAAAATACGAAAGTTTTTCAAGTATCAGGGGGATTAACTAAAGATTTTATTACTCTATTCGTGAGTGTTTCGTTTCGTTTCGTTATTTTTTATTTTATTTTTGATTAATTTGGCCTTCTATTTAGTTTTTATTCAAATTTTAGTTTATTCAAGTTTGTATAAAATCTAGATATAAGTTTGTAAAAACGTTACTATTATTTTATTTATTTAAATATAATTTCACTAAGGGATGTTCTATTAGCAAATATATTATTTGTAAAATTTTTATTGTATTTGTAATACTAAACAATTATTATTTTGATATCTTATTAATGTCCAAAGTTCTTCAATTTTACTTAATTTGAATTTAGAATTCTGTATTATGTATTTATGAAGATTTTTTGTGACAAGTAGTGTGTTTTTATTCTAAGAAATACAGCAGTTTCGTATAATAATATAACATTAATATGGTACTGATACGAGAGACGAGAAATATATACCCAATTGATTGCTAAAATAATTATGAAAATCGATTCATAATTGATCAAAATTTGTAAATATTGTAAATATTTAGTTGTTTGTTATATAATCATGTTTAAACAGTTTATTAATTAAAACTTAACATCTAAGTACCTGAATAGATATTCTTTATTGCAAATATAATATATCCCAGTTCACTATGAAATAACCGCCAGCTAAAGCTTGTAGGTATAAAAATAAGTAAATAAAGTATAATAGTACGGCGGTCTTTGTTAGTATTACTACATTTTGGTCTATATTATAATTTAGTTTTTACAGCGTTCTTAAATTAACGGTTTACGTAGCATACACAGCAGAGCGCTAGCAGGCCACCGACACTTATTTGATTTACTATTAGGTATCGTTTATGCATACCTCATACAATTTATAGAATAGCTAATTTAATAGATACTTACCTAAATTTCCCTAAGGAAATTTGTGTGACATAGTTTAAAATTTTGTTAAAACCGTCTTTAGATTTGGATTGTGATAATATTAGTAATGAAACTAACTTATAAAATTTCTGAAAAAAATCATCAAACTTGGTCCAAAATCAGGACAGATATCGGGTAATATAAAATGGGATTGACAAATTCTTCCTTCTTTAACCCAAGTCTGAAAATTGAATAAAGGAATCTCTTCCATTTCTTCTTGTTTGGTTTTTAATTTATATGAATTTTTGATTTTTCATTTATATAAAAACATTGAGGCATTAAAGAACATAAATAAATAAATGAATAAAGAGAGAAATTCACTTTTTTATTTTTAATATTATAATAAGAATATTACTATATATGAATTATATATATATGTATATATAGATTATATCATTTCTTGATTAGATATTGATTTTTACAAATAAACATCTAATCAATCATTGATAAATATAAAGGTACAAAAGAGTAATCATTACTACTCTATACTTTCTTGATTATCGAGGTAGGTACTATTTGTATAAATTGATATAAAAGTAGGTATACGGTTGTATTTCAGACATGTTAGAATAAAAATGATTGGGTGTATTTTCATTATAATACAGCTAAATCAAGTTCTTAGTATATTTCTAGTTATTTAGGAAAACAAATAGCCAATATAAGTTTTAACAAAACGGTAATAAAATAAATAGTAGCTAGAAATGAATAAAAACCGATTGCGCTTTTCCGAACTCATTTTAATGATTGTTGTAAAAGTAAAAGCATCATAATTTGTTGTTCATTAGTTTCATGGAATCTTCATGTGAAGACTATTTTAATACGGATACAATAGGATAACAGAGTTACGATCGAAAACATATGGTGGATGTATGAATCAACCTTTACTATAAATATGTTAGTACCATAGATATATCCCTATTTAGTATATGGATATTATAACCTTGTCTTATCCATGTTAAAGTTTCTGAAATTATTTGTAAATAACAATTTTAAATTAATAACAGGTTTACAAAATTTCTAAAGATAGGTACATTGTGACAGTAATGATAAATTAGAGCTTTTATGATGTCAATTATGATGTCATTACTTATTATTTCTTATTGATTGTTTTATTATTTAAATAGATATAAAGAGTATCAAATTAAGATTTTAATCTAAGTACAAATACTAACTATGGCTGCGACTTCGTTCTTGTCTACTAAAATATATTATCATTACAGTTAATTTTGTGTAATTTTTTTGTTTTTAGACACTATAATTAAATTAAGATAATACGCAACTTGACAATAGATGGCTTTGAGAATATTGACAATTGAACCTATTACACTGTGAAAATTTTATCACAATCTGGTCAAAAAGAAAAAGTGACAAACGCACAAACAAAAAAAAAAAAAATTAAAAACATCATCGGTTTAATAGTGATTGTACTGTAAACCTTACAATAAAGTTCTTTTTTTTTAAACTTAATGATTAATGTTCAGAAATGACTTCGTTTATTATAATATGTAAAGATTACTCATGATATTTTAAAACATTACCTAATAATATGTATCTAGTACATATTTAGACAGAATATGTTAATCTTTTATTTGTGTGCCATTCTCTTAATACTAATGTAATGTTTACTGTTTTATTTATACTTGTTTAGGTATTTATAGATACTCAATGTTGAAATATATTTTATGTGTTAGTTTGGTGGACGCATATGGATCCTTCAAGCCGTCTGTCGCAATATGAGCTAATGTTTACTTTGCCTTTGTGTAAAATAGTTTACATTGCTTGGGTGTTCGCCATTTGTAGATTTTGCTATTCGTATATTTGATGTAAGATGTAATAAGTAAATCCATCTTTACGAGTTAGCGATTTCTGAATAGAATAATTATTTAAGTAAATATAATTTATTATATTTACACATATATTTTCTGAGGTGCTTTAATTTGTAGCGTAGGTAATTGTTTGTCGAGCTGTGACTTTAAACTCCTTGCAATTTCATTAAAGCGGTTAGATTTTTCCTTCATTCTGATACTCGTAATATATATTTAGGTAGTTACCTAAATATATATTATTATATAGTTATATAGAGAATTATTTAGGTACGTGTCTTTAAATTAAATGATCCCACCTTCGATAAAAATATTGATCCTTTACTAGTAATATTGAAACTGTTTAAAGATGTTTGGGTGCTTTTTTAATGGATGATGATAGAATGGTAACTCTGCCTGCGCTAACTGGTATTGCTGGAACACCAATGAGGAATGATAGGTGAAGAAATGAATAGGAGGAGAATGAAAAGGCAGGTCAGTTAGCTCATCGTGATGAATACACCTAGAGGGGGGAAAAGGATTGTTAGCAATGGAGTTGATAGTTTGTTAGCCCCATTGCTAGCAATATACTCTATTAGGTCGACCTCCACGTGGTTCTCCCTGGACAATCTTGTTCAATTCATCGTGAATCATTTTTGTTGAATTCGTCACGATGGGCTAACTGACCTGCTTCATCCTCACCTATCACCCTTGACTGGTGCCCTGCTGGTGTATGCACGGGTGGGGTTACCATTTCATTAACACCCATTAAAATAAAATACACCTAGAATTCAGCACGATTGTTTTCAGGAGGGATCACGTCTTGACAGGGTATATTGCTAGTAATGGGCCTGGTAGTCCACATTACTAACAATGCCTTCCCCTCGATGTTTGAGTGTTAGGACGAGATTTGGTACATAGATATGTAGACCACTAAATTAACTACAATTAATGTATAGGATACCCTTTATAATAAGGGGGGAAAAGGATTGTTAGCAATGGAGTTTGACAGCCCCATTGCTAGCAATATGCCCTATTAGGTCGACCTCCACGTGGTTCCCCCTGGAAACCATCGTGAACAATTCTTGTTGAATTCGTCACGATGGGCTAATTGACCTGCTTCATCCTCACCATATCATTCTTCACTGGTGCCCCGCCGGTGTATACCGATAGCGCGGGTGGGGTTACCATTCCATTATCACCCATTAAAAAAAAAAACCCTTTATAATAAGTCTCGTTAGTGATTTTAAGTGGTGCTCTCTCTCTAACAAATTGGTGCCACTGAAAATCAGCGTCTAGTTCGAAAGAATATGGCATATAGCTGAGTGATACCATTTTAGTGCTTTTTCATTTTTTTTATTATTATGTGTAAAATTAAGGACTAAATATGTATATATTTCTTTTTCTTTTCTTTAATGTTTTTAAAAATATTTAAAAATGTCTCTACAGCTATAATAATAGTGTA